AAGAGTTGGAGCTGAGAGGGTGCCTAGACCTCCTGACACCCTTCGACAATGCACCATTATGTTTGTCAAGTCAACAGCCCCTAGTTATATGTAAACATTTGTATAGGTCTTGGTTGTTATTTGTTCAAAACAGATAAGTAATGAAAACAAAATGTCATCCCTAGAATGTTTTAACATGTTTATTTCTGCTGTATAGGTGAGCATATCAGGGTAGATGGGTAGAGTGACCATATGTCCTCATTTACCTGGACATGTCCTCTTTTTGGGGGGCTGTTTGGCCTGTCCGGCCTTGTCTGGCTTTGTCCTGCTTTGTCCAGGGGAGTTTATACAATCCTTCAAATTTACAGGGTTTTGTATGGAAGTTTTGAGTTTGTGTCATGTGGACTTACTGAGTTAGAAGAGCGTAAAAACACTTGATCCGACCCGAAAAACTGTCAAAAATAACTACACACAAGTCCGTGACTCCGCCTCTGCATAGTTGTGTCCTCTTTTTGGGGATTCAGAATATGGTCACCCTATTTATGGGTTAACTTAGCTTTTTGGGTGAACGTCTTGTGGACACTTGAGAAAATGCATTGGTTTGGTCTTTCAACACCCAGGATCACTGCTCGGATTTAGACAAATCAGATAAAAGTTTTAATTTCAAAGCTTCAGAGGATGGATTATTGTTGAAGTAACTGATGGCTGCAACATATCTGCCTCAGACGATGTGGTCTTCATGTCCTCATCTCTCAACAGTAAATCAAAGAGGCACATCTCCAAGATGTCAAACCATGGAGTTTAACTATTCTCAGATAAGATCCAGCCCACAATGTTTTGATTAAAACAAAATAAAGAAAAGAATGTTAAATATGAAAACTGTAGCAAGCATGTAACTCAAGGTCACCTTCCTGTCTCTTTATTATTTCAGCATGACGGAGTGCTTCTCCCACACAGCTGGTAAACTCCCCAGCCTTGGTTCTGCCTTATTAATATGTTATTGGGCAGAATATAGTAAGGGCAAAGGTCCATATCCTGTTTCAACCTGCGGATGATTTGTTGCAGCATGGTATGTTACAGATACCTCATGTTTCAAGCGTCCGGAAATTTGTTGCAGGATGATGGAAATAAGATTCCCATCAATGGTTTTGAACACATGAAACCAAACATTTGGTCGGCGATTAACTGACAGAGGCTAATTTCTACAGTTTCGTGAGAGCTGACAATGAAGAGCAGAAGGTGAAACAGGAAGGGGAATGAATGCAGAGGAATATCTTGGATGTGTTGTCTTTGCATTACACCTGAGACTTGAGGCTTAATAGTAAACATGAAACAGAGTAAATGGATTTCATTACAACATAATGGCCCCACTCCTTTTATTGCCCACCACAGCAAAGACGGCGTCCTTGCAGAAGTGCTCTTTGATGATGATGGATATCCGATTTAAACTATTAATCTTCCACATGAAATGCTTCAAAGACTTAAAGTGCACCTGGGATTTGCACATCTTAGGATTTTTATAGTGATCTCTTTAGCATAGTTGCCCAATTTGATGTGTTTTTTGGTTATTTATGAGTTGTTTTGTTTTATTACTTTTGGTCTGTGTTGCATTGCATATGTTGTCCATTCTAGTTGGCATTATTTTGTATTCTTTACACAAAGAATTTTCTGTTCTATTAGGACCAAATCATGTGGAAATGTATTGTTAAAATAAATCTTCATAACTAAGATATGCCGCCTCTCCTCTCACATCCATAAAAATCAGGTTGAATTGCCAATTTATTGCTCTTATCTTGGAAGGTACAGTGTGTCTTCGGGCAGAGGGGTAAGCGAGAGGGAGAAAAGGGGGTTTTAGTGATCGTTTTCCTCTAAGGGATGAGTGATTTTCCTGTTATCTCCTAATCTTCAATTACTCAATATCCAGAACAATTTTGGCCTCAATCAACTGATCCAGTGAAGCAGAGTTAAGAGTTAAGCAGGAACAGATGAGAGCCTTTAGGGAACGTGTTGCTTACTCTTCTGCAGGAGAGTGTGGTGGCTCTAGTGTGCAAGTGCTTTCATTTAAAGGCGAAAAACACCAAGAAGGAAATTGCTCGGTTGTTCATAAATATATAAAACTTTAAAAGGCAAAGGGCCTACACAACTGTGGTCGGGGCAACGTGCATATGAACCCCGCTTCATGCTCTTTCCTCTTCTCTGACCCATTTACTGTCTTGGCCTGAATACGGTGTAACAAGTGCAGTCTGAATTTAAACCAAACCGAAACAAAAGCATACAGCATCTCCAATTAAATGAATTTCTGATAGCAACATTAGAGGTAATCTGTTTTCTTTCCCTGGAGCAGGATGCAGGCGTTTGAAAAACTACAGAGGGACACATAATGAAACTGTAATGGCTTGAATAATGAAAATCCTCTCTAAATGGAAGGGAAGAGTTGTATTAGAGTTCTAGTGATGATGTTAATAAAGCATTCACCAGGGGAGTCACTAGACTGGCTTGAAAAAAAAATAAGACTTGTGAATGTCATATGAGGCAAAAGGCTGTGCTAAAATATGGTGCATGCTTTGTATTTCAATGAGACTATGTGAATTTTTTTTCTTTTTAATATCTGGTCGAAGGTAAACCCTCTGATTTGGAGTAGCAGAGTATCTGCAGTAGAGAGATCTCAGGAATGTGGGACGAACCCAGCTCAGTGTGGGTGAGGCTACGGGGAGACGTAGACTTAATTGAGTAAAGAGTGCCCCCTCAGGGTTCACTCTGTCAACTGCAGTTTACATGCTCGCCTGACTATAACCCCATATAGCCATCCACATTTACAACTTATTCACAATATCTTTCCAAACTTTCTTGTAATATTTGAAAAGACTTTTGGACTGTATCCACAAATAACAGTTTTCAGTATATAATGAAGACTGTTGAAAAGTAAATTACGACTGAATACTTCATCAACACAATGCATGAAAAACTGCATGATGTGACACAGAACATTCAAATACATACTGAACTACAAAGGTAACATCCTACCTGTTTGTAGGCAACACAGTTGGACCTGTTAAAGTTCTAGCTGGATCAAAACATGATCAGGTCCAACATGTATATTTGTAATATACAGGGCCTTGAAAAAAGTATTCATACCTCTTGACCTGTCTGTGAGTTTCTTTGTCTTCATTATGCTCTTTGTTGACTAGTGTTCTCTAACAAAGCAGGCCTTCACAGAACAGTTGTATTTATGCTGATACTAAATTACACACAGGTGGACTCGTTTAACTAATTAGGCGTCTTCTGAAGGCAATTGATTGCACTGCATTTTATTTAGGGGTATCTGAGTACAGGGGGCTGAATGCAAATGCACACCACACTTTTCATATTTTATTTGTTTAAATGTTTGAAAACCATGTATCATTTTCGTTCCGCTTCACAATTATGTGCTACTTTGTGTTGGTCTATGACAAAAAATCTCTATAAAATACTCTTAAGTTTGTGGTTGTAGAGTGACAAAATGTGAAAAAGTTCAAGGGGTATGAATACTTTTTCAAGGCACTGTACTTCATTAATGTTACAGTAGAGGCTATTTTTACCACTTTAATATAATGTACCTTTTGGAAATTACACAAGTGCGTCTCATATTCATGCACTCGAGTGTGTGTTTCAGTCCTTTCCCAGCATATTGGTATCCTGCTGTACATCACAATCACTGTTAGGATATCAGTATACAGAGGCCTAGAGTTTTCTGTTAACATGCAATGTTTTTTTGGGTTTTTTTTCAGCAATGGCCCAAGCTTCAGACATGATATCAAACAGCCATCTGCCATCTACAAAATAAGCAAACCATTTTAGCAAACAACACATTCAGCCCACTATGATGGGAACCAACACATGTTGGGCCTTTGCCACAGCCTAGACCTTAAATCTTTATGAATGAAAACAACACACAAAATGACCCATGATAGCCTTAATAAGACCTCCACTGCCAGCTAGGATGTGTAAAGGCTTCTGAATGAAATCATACGTAGGGGAGAGTGGGGTAAGATGAGCCATTTTTCACATTTCAGATCACTACATCAAGGCAATCATAGTTTTGTCTCTAACTAGTGTATCTACATATATTTCAAGATGTTGTGCATCGATGCAAACCAACAGAATGAGTGTAAACATAACTGTCTTGATAATATAGTATGCCAAAAAAGTGGTCTCCTATGGCGGGGCGGGGTAATTTGAACCGTATCCCTACTATCCCCCCACTCTCCGCCCCAGCCCTCCCTGACCCTCTCGCTCCCTAAATAACAGTCACTTCTTCCCATTCATGTGTATTTTTATATGCTACTCAACTGGTACAATAATACTTTTTATTATTATTGCATATATCTGCTAAGAGCATTTTAACATGAGAATGCCTGTAAGTGGTTCAGAACATTCAAAGCTGTATTTTTGAAAAGAGAAAGTAACACATTTCAACAATCTGAACTGAAACTCTGATCCTCTCATCAGACTCATTTACTTTCTCAGTTAACTCACCCCTGGCCAAATGGCTCATCTTACCCCAGAACTACTATGATGACTTTATTATTCCTCTAAGCTAAAATGGTGGACTTTTACCCCAGGGTTTTTGACCTCATATTGTAGCTCATAGATACCACAATTGATGTATAAAACAAATTTAAAATGATCTTTTTTGGTCTGAACACAATTCTAATAAAACTTATGACAGACTAAATTCACTTTCAAGAGTGAAAATGTTTTTTTTTGTAAATAAATGTCTAACCCCTTCACCCATGTGCTTCTAACCTTCACAAACTCCATGAATTGATGTCCATCTCCTAAATATTTGGTCACATGATCAATTTCTTTTACCATTTCCGAGCAACAGAGAGTGGCTCAATTTACCCTTTTGCTCAACTTACCCCACTCTCCTCTGTGTCACAGCTGTAGGCATCACTATCCACATACTGACTGGCTTTACTTTCACTTTGGTCCTGTGTTTTAATTGGTTCAAAGTTTATAAGACAATCCCACTGCCCGCCTTTGTGCTCACACTGTGTAGCAGCTCAGCTGTCCGGTGGAAACGGGGTCTTGGTGTGGGTTGGACCGGTTCTCTGACCATCATAACACCGCAGGTCACAGCAGGACACAGGAGCCACAGGGACACAGTGAGGTCGGTGTCAGCTTTGACACTCTCTTTCGCTCTTATATCACTTGTATTTACTTGTTAAAGGTGTGTTGCTAAGCTAGCTTGAAAAGACACACAAGAGTTGCCACCCTTTAAAGGCTAAAGAAACTAATGACGCTTACTATTTGTCGAGACGGGAGATACTAAACTTGACATGAAGTTCCTGTAAATTAAGAGAAAGCGTTTTAAAGTGGGTGTGTATGTGTCCTGAGCTGTTTCTCACAACTTTCCATCTGGGTCAAAGTTCACTAGCACATATTAGCGTAGAAATGTAAGCTGCTGTGAAATATACGTCGAGTTTCGGTGGTATTTTAGACAGAAGAAGCTAAAACTGAGGAGGTTTCTGTGAGACAAATGACGGACCTCATCCTCACTGAAGGATTGAGCAGACTGCTTAAGTGGGCAGCTGTGGTTCAGTCTTAGTTTTGCTCTACCATGTCCTTCAGAAACTTGACACTAATCCAATGAAAGCCAACACAGAGCTTTTTGTTGTAATACATCAAGTGAAGTTGTGTTTGCTGCTGTAACTCTGTCACACAAAGAGACCCCTTCAAGTTTTAAGTTCTCATGAGACTATAACTCTGAGTTTATAACTATTTTAATCCAAGAAATGTGGTTTCCCCAATTCAATTTCATAGGAATTGTAGATGCATAGCTCATTTTAATATTTCGTTTAAGTTTTTCTGTCTAATCTTTTTGGCCTCTGACATTCAAGTTAGGACCTCTTGCAGGTTCTTGACCCCTGGCTTTAGTGTATGAAAATCTGGGTCTTTAGGTCTACATAGTTTTAAATACAGCTGTATCTCTAGCAGAAGTGCAGTATAACTTTGATTAAACACAGACTTTCCCTTCCCTTTCTCTTTATCTGACATTTCAGGGACAGCCTCTTTAGCCAGCTGACTAGTTGTGCTCTGTTTGTTTAAACTCCAACATCGTCCTTCAGTGAGTGTCTCAATAGTTCCTCAGAGATAAGACCTTTATGTCCATTTATATCAAAGGTCACACAGTGTTTCAGATTCAAAGAGAGTGTGTGTGTTTCCCTCCTCTGAAAAAGAATGATGCACCAGAACTTCGCACAGATACTCTCATTTTGCAATAGTGAGAGGCTAGAGATAGCCTTTTTATCAGCAGTATGCTCGAGCGACTCTTTTTAGACTTGTGGTTATTTCCACAAGTCTAAAAAGAATCTTATTTTTTGTACAACAGCTTTCCTCATACTATCAACTGTGTCTCAAAAAATTATCTCCAGTTCATCTCACAGCTGATAGCAGAGAGTAAAGTGTCAGACTTTGGTTTGTAATGAAGCCAGTGATGATCTCATCAACTGCCACTCGGGGAAAAAAACATGTTGCTCAACCAAGCTGTTGCAATAAAATGCAATTTGCAATCAGACAGAGCCTTGAGAGACAGTCTGCTCAGAGAGAGAATGTGTTTTATTCAGCCTGACGTCTCAAAGAAGTTGTGAAATGAATATACAGTAGTTCTACATAAAGGTCATCCATGGTTTAAGATGTCTTGTATCAGTGATTTGAGGCTTGTCCCCACATCTCTCTCTCTTTAAGGTAGATGTGATTCTACCTGAGTGTTTGCTATATCCTCACAACTAGTTACAGATGGTTAGCTTCTGTGCCGCACATTCAGACGGGTCGACTCCTTTTTTTTGACCTGTCTGCTCTATACACCAGATCAACCATGGCAAACATGTGTTGCAGTAGGTACAGGTGGAATCAGTTCTTCTTTGTCTTGCTGCACCATCTGTTAGAACACAAACAGATGCTGTCCACATGTTGGGAGCACCTGAGGGTTCTTCTCACTCAGTTATCGTGCATCTTTGCTTCTCCACTTTCCTCTTTTAATGTTTGTGCTTATTTCTATTGCCTACCATCTGCCATTAATAGTTTTTTTTTTTTTACATAATGTCAGAGAAAATGTTGGTTTAATCCAAGGTTATGTCTTGACAATGCTTGTTTTGCTTTACCAAGAATACCAAACCCAAACATTTTTAATTTATTGTCACATTAAAATTAACAGTATTACCTTTAATCAACTTTATTAGCAAATGAAACTATCAACAACAAGAATGCCTTGACTATAATTATGACTGCCTGCAACCATTGTGGTACATTTCAATGTTTAAGTGCAGCTTGTAGTACTTAGAAGCAAACAGACTTAATACAAAGACAATGCACAATCACTGGCCACTTTATTAGGTACACCTATTCAAATGCTTGCTAACAGAAATGGCTAATTAGCCAATTACATGGCAGCAACTCAGTGCATTTAGACACGTCGATGTGGTCAAGGCGACTTCCTGAAGTAAAACTCAGTGTTCAAACTGATGGAGATTTAAGTGATTTTGAAAGTGGCATGGGTGATGGTGCCAGACCGGCTGGTTAGGAAAGAACAGAAAACTGAGGCCATAATTGGCACCGACTCATTAAAATGAACAGTAGAAGATTGGAAAAATTCTGCCTAGTCTGATGAGTCTCAATTTCAGCTGCAACATTTGAATGGTAGGGTCAGGATTTGGCTTAAACAGCATAAAAGCGTGAATCCATCCTGTAGTCACGATGAGTGTGCAGTAAATATGTCAAAATTAGTGTGCCATTTTTAACTCAATATGAGGTATTATACGGTTGCACAGAATGAACAAACTGTTGCTTTGTTTGATTTTCATGTTTTGCATTTAGTGAATGGCTACAAGAAATGCAGCAGTTGGAGGTCTAAGAAAGAGAGAGAGGTTGTTAAATCAAAAAAACATCTTCTTTTGGGGTCCTTAAAGAATTAAATCCAGCAGATTTAAAGTTCCATTATAATGTAAAGTATAATAATATATTAATATATAAATTATAAATATATTTTATAGGTTTTTATAGTATTTAAAGTAGATGTGATAAGTGGAGATTACCCTACACGGTTTGGGGTTAGCCCTTTATGTTAACGATACCTAACTGCCACTAAAAAAGCAGTGCCCTAGTTTGACCACCCTAAGTCCAAAAAGTCTGGCTTGGCCCTTGTCATGTTACCCCGCTAAGTCTGTGTGAGATTGAGTATAACATAATTTTTTCTCTGTGCTATCAGAAAAAATTCACATTTTCCTGAGAACCAAATAAACTCTAAATTCAGCCCTTTTAAAAGGGAATATATCAGTGTATTAATGCACCAGACCAGTTTTGACTGACAGCAGTATTTCACTTGAATAATTCTTCTTGCCTGATTTTCATTTCCAGCAATATTTCACATAGCACATGTGCAGTGCTGCTTAATATTTCACTTGATGTGATTGATATTGAGGTTGATTTTGCTCGCACGCCTGTGTGTGAGCTTATATCCAGCATACTAACTCCCCTACTGGTCTACAGTTACTGCAGTTATCTGTAGCTTTTTAACTGAATCTTTACACTGATTTGAATGAGACCAGCCACTGCTTCCTCTGAATGATTTCTTTTTAATTTACCTTATCAGTATGCTTTTCGCTTGAACTGCCCCTCAGTAAATGCATGTCCTGTACTTCTTCCTACTTTATGACTCAACCCATTCATATCTCAGTTATGCATATAACATTAATACACCAAACACCTGTCAGATTAAACCCTTTATTCACGAGGAGACTCTTAAGTTTGCCCAGCAACTGATGGCTTCTCTGAGTCACAGGAGAATGATGAGTCATACATTTTGCCATTATTTTGAAAACTAAAGAAAAGAAACAAATGATGATAACGTTAGCTCAATACAACATATTTTAATGATAAAAACCACAAACATGTAACAATTTTATGCATATGTCCAAACACAGAAATCTCTTTCTCCCTTATTGTTTTACATACAGACACCATAATGATTATTCTAGCCTTGTGTAATGGTCAAACAAGCCCTCAATGGAAAGATTACCAGATCAAATTGCCGCAAAAATGTAGTTGAAAAATTCAAAGATTTCGGAGGTTTAAAGTAAAATAAATAAATTCCAATTGTATCATCCAATTTCTACTATCGACTTTGACTTACCATGGAGACTCTGATAGCTTGCTTGGCTGCTCCATTTTATTTTTAAGTGTAGTTTCACCCTCATTGCATCATAGTGTTGACAAATGAATTTAACATGCTTGACTTGCCTTCCTGCCTATATTTGAAAACCCTCTGACACTGCATATCAAAATTCATAAGACGTTTCTTCTCGGCAAGATAAAGTGTATCAGCCACTTAAACAAAGACTATCACAGAGGGCCATGTATTTCGTCATGCATACCGAGTGATGTGAGGTGAATCTGTGTTACTGACACTTTATATATCACATGTCAGAGATTGAACCCAGCAGTCACAATGGCAGACAGCGGGAAGACTAATGAGACTGGAGCTGCAGCAGCAGAAGCAGCAGAAGCGGCTAATGGAGATCAGCAGGTGAGGAGCACGGTGACCCAAAGTGACACTTGTGACAAAACCCAGACATAAGATGAACTCATTTGACGCTTAGAAATTTCTCATGTTGTTAAGCTGCTGTGGGGAATCAATCATAATCCCTGACTAAATTCTATCTGCACAGAAATGAGGTTTTCTAGTCCTCCTTTCTTTACATGGACAGGATTGTTATTCACCATCTGCATGTCTTGTAATGGTTGTTTTTTTTGCTCTAGAATGTTGTTTCCAGAGTGGGCCATTTACCTCTGGTCAGTTCAGCCTGCGAGGCAGTTTCCAGCGCATACAGTAGCACCAAAGAGAGCGTGCCCTTGCCCATAAAGGGAGTGATGGATGCAGCAGAAAGTGGGGTTCGAACCCTGGGAGCAGCCGCCACCACGGGGTCCAAGCCTCTTCTGGACATTATAGAACCACAGCGTATGTTCTTCTCTGATGTAACACATGTGCAACGATAGCACAGACATTTACTCTGAAATATGAATATAAATGATTGCAAGCTTGTTGCACAGTAAAGATATGTAACTGGGGTCCACTATCATACAAATAAAATAGATATATTCAAATTGAAAACAGATATTGCTTTTTTTCTTGTGTTTTCAGGAGTAAATTCTATATGATCATGAATCTTCAATTATCTCTACATTTCTGTTTCAGTTGCTACAGTGAATGAGTACGCCTTGAAAGGACTGGGTAAGATGGAGGAGAAGCTACCTATTCTTCAACAACCAGCAGACAAGGTCAGAGAGAAAATCATTTTCCTTTGATTACCTGCAAAAATATGGGAAATGTCACCTTTAGTAAACATTTATTGTTTTCTGTTTTGTGTGATAGAATTGAACTATTATCACGTTAGGTCCTCTAACAGACCCTTAGACATGTGTCAGACGGCCTGTGATCATTTATACATCTAATGTATCAAGAAAACCTCCGGCAAGATTTCGTCGGCCTTCAAAAGTCTGTGTCATGAAAACAATACCACTCAGACTTCACAATATGTGAATCACTATGCCACAGTATGAGAAGATAGCATAAAACATGATTTGATACCATATGATACAACACAACACAATAGGATATTCAATACCATTTATTGTAATGCAATAGAATACAATATGATACCTTGGATTGGCATGATGCTTTCACTAGTCTGCCTCCGCACAAGTATTTATAGATTAAAACTTAATTACTACATAACATAAATGAGTAAAAGGGTTAAAACATTAACCTTTACACTTGTCTGTTGCACTGATTTATGTTGTGTATTGTGCAGAACATGTCCAATAGGGGTAATGTGGAATATGTCAAAGAAAGAGGTAAAAAATAAAGGTTAAAAAGAAACCAAACCATGGGTAAGACTGACTATAAACAAGCAAATACTGTATGAGAACAGCCATATGATCTTTTAAAATGGCCAGTATCACTCACTCAGATCTGTACTTGTCTTCAGGCTGGTAATATGTCATTCTTACTAGGGTTATGAGAGCTTTGTGGAAAATACATAGCAACACCATAACTCTCAGAAATCTGGTATTCCCTGCTCAGGTGGTGTCGGACACAGTAGGCATGGTGTACCAGTCAGTTGCAGGAGCCAAAGATGCCGTGATGGGGGCTGTGATGGGCGGTGTCGAGATGACCCGGGCAGCAGTCAGCGGAGGTTTGATGACCGCCATGGGCACCAGGATGGGCCAGATGGTCAGCAGTGGGATGGGCCTGGCGCTGAGCCGATCTGAGGATTGGGTTGACCAGAACCTACCGCTCACTGAGAGGGAGCTGGGTCAGTAGCTAGCCTAAATAATCAGTCCACGAAACCCAGGGGAGGCGATAAACCCATATGTCTACTTTGAGGTAAAGACAGGTGTGATATAACAGTTGGGTCAAATGAAGCTGAAACAATAATGCAGTTTGAATTAATTTTGGAAAACGAGTGGCCTTTTTGCCAAGTTTTGATGAAAGGTGACTGTAAATGAGTCAAGTACATTCACTCTCTCTAATCCTGGAGAACAAGTATCATAAAATGTAGTTTTAAGGCCTCAACACTCAGTTAGGGAAGTATTCAACACAATAAATATGGTGCATACTGTATGTTGAAGATATGTAGAAAAATACTGAGCATTTGACACGTTAGCTCTTTCTGAACTATTCATGAAAATCTAATGCTTTTCACTTAAATGCAGGAATGCTAAATGACACTTAAGAGCTACCTACGTACTTGGTGCTGTCTAAAGATTTCTTGACATGATTCTAGTAATTTTGAATGGATCAGAATGATGATTTTGTTTCTATAATGGAATTTTAATTTTGATATAAGGTCATATTGTCATTATTCATAGAAGTAGAGATCTACAGCACCAGCTTCTTCCCATTTCATCATTTTTTGCTGCTTTACATCAGATTTTATAAATACTTACAATGAAAAGATAAATTGGAAAAATTACTCAGCTTCACATTGGTGTATAAAAAATTCATGACAGTCTTACAACATTCATCTCAGTGAAGAATTTACATTCCTATAGTTATGGATTAAGGGGTTGTGTATGGAGTTGAAGCACATTTCTTTGCCTTACATTACTCCAAGATTAGGATCATACCTTTCAAACTGTAGCTTTGATGCCTTTTTAATAAAGCTTTATTTATTCCATAATTAAAATGCCTGAATGATGGCATTTACACTATTTGACGTTGTCTTGTAGTGTCAGCTACCGACGCTGTATACTGATCTGTATATCAAACAGCAAATGTGATGAGAATGTCAGAATAAATCATCATCACGAAGGCAGGAGCAGGTGATCTACATGATTAAACAGTTGTACCACATGATCTGAGCACATGAATGGTCCATGCTATTCATAGAGGTGTAGGCAGGACATTCCAGTGAACCTCCCTCTGTGAACTTGGCCCATAAAGCACCTACACTTTCCAGCACTCACAGCTCTGACACCTGCTACTGTGATGTCATGTTATGGTGACAACCTGCCACACTCCAGTAAAGCTGTATTACTCAACAGGGCATCCTCCTCTCTTATTTTAGACGCTAAAAAATGCGACTTAATTGCAGTAGTAGTCAGCCTATTAGATTCACCAAAGTGGCTTTTAATGCGGGAACAGAGAGAAAAAAGTCACTGTTTAAAACCCTTAACTTTCACATAATGATGACTGGAGTCGTGAGGTAGTAATAGAGTCTTTTTACCTCTTGAGCAGATGTTCTGTAACACTAAGGAGCTCCAACAGATGCTCCAGCTGCAAAGTGGGAAGTAACCAATTATGCCTCAATCGATCAGTGAAACATGCCCACAAGTTAATGCCACAAATAATGCTAAATTTCCTGTACATTGTTCCTCATGTAGGTAAAATCCAAAGACAAATGAATAGATCAACAACACTGAAATATTGTGTTCTCACAACTGAGAGTTAAAAATCTAATAGTTAAAGACATATTTGTAAATAGTCCCTAAATGACACAGACATGTATATAATTTTTAATGAATTACATGAACACTTTTCTCTTCTAGCTGCCTTGTCTGAGCCTGCAACAGGTGAGGTGACTGCATCATCAGCCAGCCCCAGCTACTTCGTCCGTCTTGGGAAACTCTCTACCAAGGTCCAGGAGCGAGCCCTGCAGCAGTCCCTGGTCCGAGCAAGGAATGCCAGGGATGCAACCTATGCTGCAGTTTCTCAGATTACCAGTACCTTGGACCTGCTAGAGAGCGCCCGCACCAGTCTAGGCACTGCCAGTAACCAGATAGGAGGAGCCTCAGAACAGCTGCTGCAGCGCTGGACAGAGTGGAAACAGAAGCAGCCTGAAGCAGGACAGACCCAGTCAGAACCAGACGGAACCAAAGATGAGGCCGAGGTCAGGGCTGGGAATGGGCTTATTGGTTTTTGACAACATTATCCTGGCATTTAAAATATGTACAGTTCATAAACCAACAGTCTACCTGCAGAATGTGACTTTGAGTACTACTGTAAAGAGTCAAAGAAACATTTTAGTATCAGTAAAGTGGAAAAGAACAAAGGAGTCATGAAATAAAATCAGTGTCACATTATAGACTTACTCTGTGTTATAATGGCTCTGCTGGTTTATGTGAGATAGGAGTGATTAAAGAAGCTGTGGATTATAATGAGTGCTTAGCACAACTTAGGGAACTGCCTTGGATAAAGGCAATAAAAAGACTCTGTAAGATCTTAGACATTAAAGCGTCACAACCATATGTCATTTAATATGCAATTATTTGTCAATTGAGGGTATTTTTGTTTTCTTTTACAGCAGCTTGAATGGCGCACCCTCTCCATGGTGCGTGGCCTGAGCGATCAGCTGATGACAGCATGCTCCAGTGTGGTGTCAAGCGCTCAGGGTCTGCCAGGTGCTGTCCAGGACCAGCTGACCCATGCCAAGCAATCAGCTGAGGAGCTGCGCACTTCTCTGGGGAACACCAGCAGCATCACACCCATCCTTCTGGAGCGAAGTCGGCACCAGCTGACCCAAGTACTAATTACACCATGCTGTTGTTAGCGCAATGATGTTGTTTTGCTTCATCAGCTTGGCTAAATATAGTCCAGTGCTTTGAGTTTTGTTTTCGTTTTGCAGTACCATCACTTAGCACAGTTAGGGCTTCTATTATGTTTTTATTGGTGCATAAATGAGATCCTCAGAGCCTTAATGAACAGGAATTAAATAAGATACTCCTGTATACACCTCATACACAAACATTCATTCTCAGGGGTGTATGCTCATGAATATGCATTTATGAAACTAGGGCAGTTGTGATGAGTAATGAGCATAGTACCTCAAAAAACCTCAGAACATTTTGAATTGAAGTATTTATTGTTATGTTTATGATTTAGATATGTAAAATAATACTACATGTTCTTATTTTCAGGTCCAAAAGTCTCTGGATGGTGTCATGGAATATCTACTGAACAACACACCCCTCAACTGGCTCGTGGGACCATTTGCCCCTCAGATCACTGAAAGGGCAGAGGAAGATGTAAAGATGGAGCACAGTGGACCACAGACTTGAAGATTTGCTTGTCTTTTTCCATGAGTTGTGATCGATGTGACATGATACGAGATATTATAACTTTGTTCTTGCTGTCTCTTCACATTCATTTAGTCATGTTTTCTTCATGCTGCACTTAATTTGAACTTTGTTGATTGCACTACCATTTTAAATGAGAAGTTAATTAACTTTGATTTAGACTAAAAGCTCTAACTTTTTGCCCAAAGACATTTATTTACTGTGGTTTTACATGCATGTATGTATATGTTTGCATGATAGGGGAGAGTGGGGTAAGTTGAGCTAAAGGGTAGGTTGAGCCACCCCCTGTTGCTTAGAAATGGTAAAAGAAATTGATCATATGACCAAATAGTAAAGAGATCATCAATTCATGGAGTCTGTGAAGGTTAGAAGCACATGGGTGAAGGGGTTAGACATTTATTTACAAAAAACACATTTTTTACTATTGAAAGTGAATTTAGTCTGTCATAAGTTTTATTAGAATTGTGTTCAGACCAAAAAAGATCATTTTAAATTTGTTTTATGCATCAATTGTGGTAGCCATGAGCTACAACATGAGGTCAACAACCTAGCATAAAAGTCCACCATTTTAGCTTAGAGGACCAATAAAGTCATCATAGTAGTCCTGGGGTAAGTTGAGCCAGTAGCTCAACTGAGAAAGTAAAGGAGTCTGATGAGAAGACTAGAGTTACAGTTCAGTTTGTTGAAATGTGTTACTTTTTCTTTTCAAAAATACAGCTGTGAATGTTCTGAATCACTTAAAGACATTCTCATGTTAAATGGCTTTTTACAAAACAGCTTTATGGCAGTTATATGCAATAATAATTAAAATAATTATTGTACCAGTTGAATAGTGTATGATAGATAAAAATACACATGAATGTGAAGAAGTTATTTAGATAGAGAGAAGGTGAGGGAGGGCTGGGGTGGAGAGTGGGGAGGTAGTAGGGATACGACTCAACTTACCCTGCTCCTAAAGTCAACTTACCCCATACACGAGGTAAGTTGACCATAGGAGACGACTTTTTTTGGCATACTATATTATCAAGACAGTTATGCTTACACTCGTTCTGTTGGTTTGCAGACATATGCAGACACACTAGTTAGAGAAAAAAACTATGATTGACTTGATGTAGTGATCCGAAATATGAAAATGGTTCATCTTACCCCACTCTCCTCTATGTGCCAATTCTTATGTTAAAGACAGTCTGTAAGTGCCTTAAAGATTTCAAATAATAAAAACAAAGATGAGGGGTGGTCTGGTGAGAACAAGATGTACGCAGAAATGCATCTTGATTGAGATAATTGGTGGTGTTTAACATTTCACATCAGAATTTCAGTATTTTGAGAGTCTTATAGAAACAGCTGTTGAACTGTAATGACCTTATATGTCAATAAAACTTTAACACAGCCCGGTGCTGGTATGGTGCTTTAATATGCTGTCTAAATGTGATATTTTTGAGTTTCCCTGTGAAGATATGTGCTGCTGGGGTGGTGCTGCTGCTGCTGCTGGACTTTGCTATGTTGGCCTGTTTGACTGAAGGCTGGATCGATGCTGGGGGATGACGTCATGGTCGTTGTTTCGAATGTCGGGAGCTAGCGCTGGGTAGGAGGCCGCGCGCTCTGCTGGGGACGAAACTTGTACAAATCTGAAGCCCAAGGTCGTCGACAGCCCCCGGTACCTTGAATTTCAGGTATTGTCGTCTTCTTGGATCGATATGAGAGACCACCGCCGCGTGAAACCTCTTTTAAACGAGCAAGGACACTGTCGAGAAGCGCACTGTTTTTAGGGCTGCCTGATTATGCTAGTGGTGCGGCTAATGCGAGCCTTGCTAACACTAGCGTTTATTCGATTTTAAACACACCGTTTGTTTGTAGTTTGTCGCCGTGGGTGCTTGGTATTATTTATTTTCTCAATTTTCGCCACAGTGGAAGACTACTCGGCGAGTTCTGACCTTGTTTTTGCGACGGTATTTAGTGCCAGACAGACAAAACATCCAGTGAGGCTGTTTGCTAATGTTACAGTGTTTGCTTTGAGCTATGTAAGCACAGGACGACAATTGTTTCTGCTGCGGACAAACTCACACCGGGGGGACAGTCAGCTGTAAGTTGTTTAGCTGGATTATACCCGGTGATAACGTTAACCACTGCCAGTTGTTCACTTATTTTGGCCGTTTTGTAAAGTTTTCTGGGTGTTTAGAGGAGATGTGTTGTCGCTTTTGTTCTTGTTTTGTTAACTTTGTCCTGATAAAACCCACCTCGCTTTGCGGCGGAAGAAGGCAGAAACTAGCTGAGCTGGTGGCTGGTGTTTTTCACAGAGAGCAACCTGCCTGTTAAAAATGTATCTGAGTGTGTATCTATCTTTATAACGCTGCTTTTTGTTCATTTATCGTAGTTTTGTGGCGGCTCAACAGCTTATTATTGTAAAACTGGTACATTGCCTAAAGAAAGCAAGAGGAGCACTGCAAGTAAAATACACTTAAATGATCAATTTTCGGACAAATTCACCTGTAACAACAGCTCACACTGAAGGATAGTGAAAACTGCAGTATGCTTATAAAGTCAGACTTAGAATAATGATAGAAGTAAAGATCAGACTGTGTATGCTCTAGATTAATGTGGTGATGTGTATGCCATTACTTGATTACTGTCATTTTTCGTGTGAGCGGGATTAAGTCTTTTGTATGACTGAGAAATACAAACAACATCTGATTCTGGTGTAAAAGCCGAGTTGGACTTTGTCACTGTGGTTGAATGGTACTTGGGTTTCAGAAGGAATGAACCATCTTGAGAACTTTCAATTACAGCCAACTGCAATTAGTACTCCATAACCCCTCTCATTTCTATGACTCTGCTCACTGCTCCAATGGCAGTCTTTGAACTCTGTCAGCTTCAAGACACTACTAAAGTCAACTATGACATTATGAATCTGTCTGACCTTGTCAATGAGAATTACAAATTTAGAGGCTTCATAAAAATAGAATTTATGGTGGAGATTAGATTGTCCAGGTGTTCATATGATGGCTGTTTTTTATGAGGGCCCCACCGATACCGATTATTAGGGAGGGGAAAAACCTGATTACCAATTAATCGGCAGATTTTTTCAAATTTGTTATGGAGTTATAGAACAATATACATATATATACTGTAGATATCTACAGTATACTATATACTGTGGATATGCTGCAGGCTACTGCTCTTCATGCTGACAGGAAGACTGACTGATCAAATACGGACCAGAAAAGTGTTTTCAATTACCCCCCACCCCCACCGATCGGTGCCTCCGCGTCTTTACTCTCGTTACTCATTTCCGGTCCGGTCTCATCTGTAGACATGCAGCTGCCTCAGTAAGAGAAGTAGCTCAATCAAGTAATGTGTACTGTTGTTAATCCTACCGTTACTGACACAGATAACAGTGTAGCAAGGCTAATAGCAGATAGCTAACTCTAACTTTAGCTTGCATATTACACGGCGCTTCACAGTTAACTCAGCGTGACCGAGACCAGCACAGCGGGGAACAACGTGAAGTGGGTTGAACTGAAACTTGTTGACTTATTGTGTATTTCACAAACTGGTTTATTTACTGTTGAGGCAGACCACTCTCCTCCGTTCATCCCTGAGCTGCCTGCTTCAGATCCATCACTTTGCTGTGCTGTGAGGTAGTTAGTGAATGAAGATTGTCATGAGGTCGCCGCGCCATCTACAGGATAAGTTGGGGAACTTTTTGTCGAAGTAAAAACTGAATCTTAGGGCGCGTTCACACCACCCTTGTTTAGTCCGGTTGAACCGAACCCTGGAGCGGTTACCCCCTTGGTGTGGTTCATTTGGGTTGGTGTGAGCGCTGACCTCGAACTCTGGTGCGGACCAAATAAACGAACTCTGGTCCACCTGAAGAGGTGGTCTCGGACCACTATCAAGTGAACTCTGGAGCTGTTCATTTCTGGTGTGAACGTCATCCACACCAATCACAGGAAACGCACGACACACTCTCATAGGCTCTTATTAATGCATGTCGCCGTCTCGTCTTAATCCATCTGTTGTTTGCAGCACGTCTACTCCGGAATGTATTAATTAATGTCACAGTAAGCGCTCGCTGGCTAACGAGCCATCTTTTGATACGTGCTCCAGATGAGTAGCAAAAGCAAAATCAGCTTACGATGCTCCATGACAGGTGAAGACAGCAGAGTGAGGTTTGTATTCCCACATTAACTAATGAGCAATAACCGAACGATATTCGCAGTCACGTGACTTGCGGTTCTGTTTTCTGGAGCAATTTGAGTTTGTCTTTTGTGAATGAAAACCGGAGCAGTTAAACAATCAAAACAAATGTATCGTCTTGCCTTGGATTCGAATCAGGAAACAGACCTTTAGGTGTGAACATGACCTTATTCTCTGCATTTTATTTCTGAAAGTATCGGCAAAAATCAGCAAGTTTTGGCCGATTACCGATTAGTCTCAAACGGGCTACAATTGGCCAATTTAATCCAAGTTTTCGGCCTAGTAGAGCTCCACTATTAGATTGTCCAGGTGTTCATGTTATGGCTGTTTTTTTTACAGTACAAAGTTGCAATTTCATTAACTTGTAAATGCTGACTGTGGATAATTTCTGCAAATCCTTTTTTCAGGAATATCCTCTCCCATCCCCCTTACCCCCTCTGTTAGAGCATGGCTCAGGAGACCAATCAGACACAGGTGCCAATGCTTTGCACTATGGGATGTGGTTTCTACGGTAACCCCCGCACCAATGGCATGTGCTCCGTCTGCTACAAGGAACACCTTCAGAGACAACAGGGAGGGGGGAGATCTAGCCCCCCAGGAGAGAAAGGTAGGGGAATGTTGGAGACTGTCTTTTTTTGAGCAATGTGGATGCTGAGTATTGGTCTGTATAATGGGAGAGACAAAAAAAAAAGAGCAGGAAGTCAATAGTAAGGCACATAGGCATTGGGAGGTACTGCTATAAGGGTTCAACTAAGGTAAAAGTACTTGCCTACACAGGGTTTTTCCTGGCTCAAATTGAGGCAGAGGTGGCACCATCCTGACCATGCGCCACGACGTGCATGTATTTGTAAATTCAACCGATTCACTTTCTTTTACAGGCAACATACTTTAAGTTAAGAGTTCAAGAAAGAGTGTGACCATTATTATGTTAAAGCATTCATTTATTAAAACTATATACATACACAAATCAGCTGGCAACTTTAAATTGAAAGTACACTTCATCCACACATCTCGCAACCATACAGAACATTTCAGCCTCCTCTTTTTCATTCTGTAGAACCTCCTCATGCACTCCTTGTAGTCCAAGGCCTCCTGGTCTGGTCCATCAACGGCCACCTTACAACAGACATCCAAGTGCCTCTCCTTCAGTCTGTTCCGCAGAGGTGTCTTCACCTTAAACAAAACAATTCATCATGCATTAATTATTTTTGCTTTTATTCTGACACAGACATGAAGAGTGATTGTGTTTTCAATCATATATATGTATATGCTGCAGTGTCCTCCCTAAAAAAACGACAACCAATTATTTCTTAAACTGTCTAAACTATGTTATTTTAGTTTTTGTAACTTTATTAGTTGAGTTTTTTTAGGTACTACCATCTTTAATATACTTCTCCTTCTCTTCTGCTGCTTTGTGAACGACTATCACCTCATGTCTTTTTTAATGTGTCCAGCCTGTAGTTGGTTGATGGCTGTCTCACTAAGGAGGCAGCAATTGCCTGCTGTGTTGGGGCACAGTGCTTTTGGCATAAATAGCAGTGCATACCCTCCTCAGTATGCCTGAGCCAGGTACATTGATTGAGCCACTGCTTGTCAAAGCCACTGGCTCTGTGTTTTTGAGAAAATCTGGAAAGAGGAATAAAAACCACGTTACACGTCGGCTTTGCGTTGTTATGCTCCTAATTGGAAACTAATTAATTAATTACCCTCGCCTCGCCGACTCGTCCTGTCCTGCATTCTGACCCTCGCGATCACCAGTCCCTTCTGAAGTACTTTCAGACCTGACACAAATTTCCACGTTGCCACCACCATGAATTATAGCATTTTAACTGCCTGTTACGTTTTTTCTCTGCCGTGTTTCACCTGGACTCTTGACTTTCCTCCTCGCGAGGTCGCTTTTTAAAGTACTGGCTGATTTTGCCTGTCATAACTGCAACGCTAAAAACGGAGGAAATTTTTTTTTAAATAAACACGTCATGCTTGGATGCAAAAAAGACAAGCAGTATTTACCTGTTTGTACCATCCGCCAGGGAAAATCAGGACGCCGATAGCACCAACTAGCGGGAAAAAACTTGAAAAAACATGATTCGATCCGTTTCTTCTTCGGTAGATGCTTCAGGTCTTTCCGGTGCACTGCTGTTGATATAGCGCCTCTATAGTGGCGCAACGCTGCAACTGCAGTTAAAATACGTTGCTGCTGCAGAGGGACATCAATCGCTCAATCAACACAGCTGGAGCTTTACGCTGTGTTGAGCGAAATCAATCGCTCTGGCTGGGGGCGGCACAAAATTAGGTGGAGGCGGCCGCCACGCAATTTTGAACGCAGGAAAAACCCTGCCTACAGTGTCGCAACAAGCCAGAAGGAGTGACAACTCAATCTGAAAAACATATCATTAATGTAGTCAATGCCAACGATGACTGTCTGAAAGTAATTTTAAACAAATTAAAAGCAACGACTATCCAGGGCGGGAAACAACCTACTTCGTGTAAGTGGTACCATCAAACTTTTTTGTTTTTCCACTCAGCTGCCACATCACCATCAGGATCACCAGGGTCAGCTGGTGTGACTGTGGAAAGTGCACCCTCAGAGCCCAGTACAGAAGTGGCAGGAACCCCACCTGAGGAACAAACAACCAGGTATGTTGACTGACTTACTGGGAAATTGCTCAAATTAGGTCATTTTAAGAAAAATTTTAGAAAACTTTGGCTTCCTGTTTTGTGCAAGGTGTTTTTTTCTGTATGTAATACCGTGATTGTCATAACATGGAAATAAATTGTCAATATCTCAAGAAGACTGTCCGTCAGTTCTTATTGTTCCACACACAGCCTGTTGAGATAATGTTACAATCAATCTGTTACTCAAACATTTTTAACTTTCCTGATGCAGCTGAGCTCTCGAGTAAGGGCTCTTTTTAAATTCATACAAAATTGTTGATTGATGTAAAGGAGTTCATGTACAACAGGTAAAGAATTATGCTTAGTAAACGAGTTATTACAGCACCTTAGAATCCTAACAGTATAAGCAGCACCCTGACGTAAAGATAAAGGCTCATTGACACCCTATGTTAGATACTGATACAGCCAAAACTTCAGATTACAGATCATGTTAAACATGAAATATAATTCCATACTTTGAGAAATCAAATTTTCAATCCACGTCTTGTGGCGTGTTGAATGATAACAATACCTCTGATTTTGCCTCTGTCCTAACAAATTCATCATTAATATCTCCTCCACTGTGGTCACAGTCTTAGTTGTTATAAACTTTTGACACTTTCTTCTTTTTGGGGGTAACTTCTGAGCCTGAGCGGCACCCTTTGATAGATTTTTTTTGCTTCACATCCATTCCAATTCAGAAGTTGGCATGGACTTATGAAGATTATGAGAGTTACACTGTTTAAAACTTATAGATCTACTTTTGTACATAATGAGGGCATAAATGGGCCCTATTGGGCCCCATCTTATTATGGCTAAGAGCGCTTTTAGGGTTTGCTTCAGTTAAAGCAATACTTTTCTTTTTCGCAATGTAATAAGCAAAGAAAGTATTCTGAAGATGATCTCCTGAAGTGAAATTGCCTTATTAAATTGTTAACATTTTTGTTTTAATATGTGCAGTTTTGGCTGTTTTTTTTTTTTACTTTAAAGGTAATCAAAGTAAATAAGAAATTCAACAATAAGTGGGTTTTATTTGAGCGAGCTTGTGGCGATTGCATCGTGGTATGATTTACCACAACTATATTTCAGAGTTTCTCCTTGAAAGCCCGGATTAGCCCTGTCGAAATGAGTCTAATTATCAGAGAAGTAATATTACTTTTCTGTAAATGGGTTTAGTCTTCTCTGAAAGTCTACGGAGCAGTCTAAGCAGCCATTTGTCCCCATTGTGGAGAAAAAATGTTAGAAATAATTAGAGGGGATTTGCGCCTGATTGGTCTGTGTTGTGTAATCACGTATAATTGCATTGTGTTCAATATGCTTGTGCCATATTGTTTTTTTTTTTTTTTTGTATTGACCCCATCTATTTGTTTTTGCTTCCGACTTGTTAAAGTGATAATTACTAATCAAGCAAAGTTCACAAAGTTGTTTTGAAGGGGTGTGCTGAATCTCAGTTTTCAAAATTAAGTCAGTCTCCTGACAAAACAATTTAGATGATCGATATCGAAGGGTAAAATGCAAGATGCAAAACATTATGTTTATTCTTTTGTAGAAAATACAGACCCTGTTTAAATGTTTGTTCACCTAATTTTCCCAAAGAAACCCCCCAAATTCTCCTGAAAAGATACCTATATTTGATAACATCTGCGATTTGACTCTGTAAACATAGCTCCTTGCCATACACTTCAAAACCACTTTGTTGTCCTTGGTTTTAATGTCTTGTTTGATAAAATATTGGCCCTAAATGTATTATTAATGTGTAACTTTTGGGGGTTCGTGTTTTGATGTCAGTCCCAGCTCTCCTAGCCCAGTAACCCAACAGATGACAGCCATGAGTATCTCCCAGGATTCGGGAGCTGTGGACTCTGATCGAGCGGAGGCTGATGATGGGGAAGAGGAGGGCACATCCAGCAGTTCAGGTAAACATCATAGAAAACAGCAGTTCAAAGGCTCCAACATTAACATAGCTCCAACATACATCTCTGGATGGTTTACTTACTAGAATGTAATTAACATGTGGTTAGGAGTTCTTATTTTACCATCAGAGGCAAACCCACTGTGCAAAAACACATTTAGATGGCAAGTTAGCAAGTCAGTCTGGTTTCCCCATGGTTGGATTACTTAAAGAGGGGATCTTGTACTTTTCCATATCAGCATCCAAAAATGCAAAGTTACAATGTTTGATGTTTGTACTAGATTTATGCGGTATCTAACTTCGAGGTAAACGTATGTTTTAATGATCATAGAAAGTAGATGCAAAGTGCTCAAAACAAGTTGTTTGGAAATCATACAATATTTCACAAAGCCGTCTATGAGACTCACTAAACCATGAAGTCATTGCAATAGACACTCCTAACCGGTTCATCTGTGTTTCTGGCAAAACGACCTGCCCCCAGCAACATGTGAGGTGACACCCACAGCGGAGCAGGGTAACACTGCTCTGCAGCAGTACTCGATTGCTTAACAGGACCACAGTGGGCTCCATGCACAGCTTCACTACTTCCTGAACTTAAGGCAGAACCTCTATTTCCTGTCTTACATTATTGGACAAACTGATTAATCCAGGTGTGACTGATCATTGACTACTCAGACACACCTGGATTAATCAGTTTGTCCGATAACGTAAGACAGGAAATAAAGGAGCAGCCTTAAGCTCAGGAAGTTGTAGATCAATGCATGGAGCCCATAGAGGTGGCAGACTCAAAACATTGAGCTCTGTCCTCAGCCGGCCTTGTAAAGTCTCTGGAAAGGTGTCCAATCAGAAGACAGTAGGCTTGTGGATATGGGGGGGTATAATGAAATTTCATACACCATTGTGAGAAATTTCAGGCTTTTTTTAAAATCTGAAAATCATTTAAAGCCATAAAAGAAGTATCAGACAGGAAGTGTAGGGTCTAAAAAAAATGCATGATACCCCCTCTTTAACATTTTTGATGCTTCACTATGTTTTTATGTTTTTGTAAGTCTTAGAAAATATTAATTATCCATAAGTAAAAAACACACATAAATCCTTTTGTTTACAAAGTTCTTCCTCTGTATCTTTCGCTGTCACCAGAGCCAGTAGGGGAAGCAGCACAAGCCTTGTCTGATAGTGACCAAACTCCTGATAAAAACAAGAAAAAGAACCGCTGCTTTTCTTGCCGGAAGAAAGTGGGCCTTACTGGTAAGAAAAAAAAGAACCATTTCACACACACACACTGTCTCTCTCTCACACACACACATACATAATGAGCAGAGAGCTATTCTTAGCTGCTGACATGGTTCAAAGGTCCAGGAGTCACGGACCTGCTTTGTTCAGATTCTGTACCAAACCTGACAAACACTGACAGACTCTGAAATTTTGTAGTGATAATTATTAAACTTAAGAGCACTGCCACAGTGGTGTTGTAAAAACTGAACGAGAATATTAAAATCTCTTGTCAAAAAGCAGTCATCCAAGGAGGTGACATCTTAGCAATCCTGCATTCCTTTTAACTGATCAAAATGATAGACGTCTTTGGAGCCATCATCTAGAGGGGGCTTATATTCTTGGGCGAGTGAGATAAGAGTTAGTTTGCTGCTGACCTTGATAACAGCTTTTTTTTCCTCCTCAGTCACCTTAAACCCTGGGTCAGACTCACAATGCTTTTCTTTTTTCAGGTCAGATCTTTGTTTGTGGTGTTCCCTGAGGGTTTGGCAAAGGCTGACACCACTTAAAAACAAGATGAATGGCAATGACACATGAATTTCGGGTTTCCACCACCTTATCCAAGTTTCCACGTAGTATATGAACTGTTTTTCTCCTGCCCTAAAAGACTAAATTTCATTGCAAATAGACCTCTGAAACTACCCCTCATGTACTTAAACCAACAGCTCCCTCATCTGTCAGCAACAGGAAAACTTGCTGTGAAAATTTCCCAAACCAAAAGACAAACTAAGTACCTTGTACATATATCCCTGCAGTGGCTTCATTGTGCTTTTTAAAGGGATTGTAGACTAACAGGATAGATTACAATAGTGTGTACTTGTCCTCATAGAGTGTTTATGAAGATAAAACCCTGTAACTCCCCTGTTTGTGTAGTGTTTCTCTTCCCTCCCCACGGAGACACTTGTACAGAGAGCAACATACTGCAGGTCGGTGGTGTATTTCGCAGTCGGAGGCATTTCACAGCACACTGTGGGCCTCCGCCATTTTGCCAGTCCTAGTTGCCTCCATGAACAGTCCAGTAATTATTTTGTGTTTTCAAGTAACAATTCATCAATTCATTTTGGGCATACACTCAACCAAAATGCTCGAACCTTGTGCTGAGTTATAGTCAGTATATATGTCCAGTTGTGCTCACTTTTGGGTCATTTTTTTCTACAGAAGTTTAAGGAAATTTTGATTTAAAAAGTAGAAAACTTAGCATGACTGCAGGTTCTGGTGTTCTAGGATTATGGAATACATAAAGATTTGTCTGACCCGTGGAGGTCAGCAGTGCAGCTCTTCTCCATCTTCTTCTTAACAGGTATAAAGTAATGAGGCTTTATTATTGACTGATCATGTTCTCTTCTCTTCACTTCAGGTTTTGACTGTCGCTGCGGCAACCTATTCTGTGCCATTCACCGTTACTCTGACAAACACGACTGTCCCTATGATTACCGGAGTGCAGCCGCTGCCCGCATACGCAAGGAGAACCCCATCGTGGTGGCTGAGAAAATTCAGAAGTTATGAGGACTGAGTGCAAAAACAAAAAAGTCTCTGCTGACTTTGTGAATTTGAACAATGGCGACTTGGATGAAAACACCTGATATCATGGCTTCATTTGTTCATGGTAGTCTAAGACGGGTGGGGTGGGGTGGTGAGGTCGCAACCACTGTCCAGACGCTTCCCTTACTAGCATCTCCCTCTCTCTCCGCTAGTGACTGCAGCTGAACCTGAGTGTTTCTTTGTGTGTGTGTGTGTTTGTATGAAAGCGTGCGTGTGTGTGTGTGTGTGTTTGCATATTTGCTTGAGAGTTGGGGAGAGAGCCGTATGAGCTTGGTGGACTGTTGTGTTGCTGTGGGGAGGGAAGGCATTTTGATTTTTACCCCTTTTTGTTTCTTAAGGCGGGGGATCGTGTGAGCTTATTTTTATACAATCCCTGTAAGGTAGTTGAATTGAGACAGGGGTAAGCTGTTAAGGAATGTGTCACAGCTTGGAAACTGGCACAGAGCTCAATTAAGGTCTAGCAAGTTTAAAAAAAAGAAAACAAAACAAAACTAACCGGGAGATTTCATTTATCAGCGAGACCTTTCAAGGGCTTTGGAATACGATTTTTTTTTTTTTTTTCTCCGGGACTGAAAATGATGTCAACCTCTTGTCAAATTGGCATTTTCTTTTCCTCCCACCTCTTTACTGTCTGGGTCACAACATGTCATACTCCCAAGTCTCAGCAATTCCCAGAAATGTTTCTCTTTGATATAATAACTTATCATACTGATATTGGGTGCATGAACAGTTATTAGAGGGGGATGGCAGGGGAGGGCAAGGGGAGGGGAAACCTTGACTTAACTGAGTGATTGAATTCTGTGTTTTTTTGTTTTGTTTTTTTGTTTTGTTTTTTTAATTTTTTTTTCTGTTTTAATGAGCGTATGACATCAGAAGATCTATATTAATATATTGTAGTTAGCTTGAATCGTGTGATTGCATTCTATTTATTTTTTATCGTTTGGTTGGTCTATGCTGGAGGATTGGCAGCATGTGTCAGCAAATCATTCAGATTTGCACCAAATCATTACAAGTATATTAAAGTAATTCCATCTTGATTATATAACCATCGAAGTTTTAAAAAAAAAAGATACACAAGCTCTGACATGGTGAGGTAGAATCCCGTTAAGCAGTAACAGCTACAGTCAATGCAGCAAAACGTCCACTGTTCTGGATCCGGAAACAAAGCACAACAAAGTGTGTCAACTGCAGAGCACAAACTTCTGTGCCACACCTGCTCAGTTTCGTTCAGCATTTGGGTCATTTGCAGTTTATATTTGATCAATACAGCAAGCTTGCTGAAGAGATCACCTTGTGTGAGACACTCTGAGAAGTCCTGTTTTAGTCGGATGATGTGTTCTCCTTTTAATGCCATTTTCTGTTCTGTGGAGTCAAAGTGAACTCCATGTTTCTCTAACCACCAGCAGACCACTGACACATGCTGAATGAAAACTGACCCGGGCAGCAGTCGACTTACTGACACACCTTCTGCTCAGCTTGAAGTAAAGATTGTTGTAATGCTGCAGAGCTGCGTGCCGCGCTTTAAACGATGTGCTCAGATTCAGACGAGTCCTCGCTATGAAGACTGCTTCTAGCTAGCTTCTTTTAGGAAGTTCAAACTAACATGCATGTTACAAGGGGGTTGCAGTTTTGTAAGGGACTGCACAGTTTGAAACGAAGCTGGAATGTTTTAAAAGCCACACAGCAGTAGCACAATGCATGGCTGGAACCCTAAAGGTTCAAGTTAACAGGACTCTACAGTTTTTTTTCCAACTGTAAATACCATATGGCTCCGATTCATATAGTATACTCTTAATGTAGATTTTTGCCAGGTAATTAAGGTGGGGGTCTAAGGTAAAGAATAGTTCTATGTGTACAAAAGGAATTTTCATAATTGTCCAAAAAAAGGTAACAGATTATTCCTTCTTCTTCTTCCCCCTTTATTTAACAAGTTATGTAACACATCGCATTACCCATTAAGTGTCCAAAATATTGAATACTGGCTTTGTCATGAGTGTCTCCTGCAGACTGTGTGGTTTCTACTCTATAATACCAGTCCGATTGTTAATAAGCAGCTGTAAGCTTTATTAACCTTGCGAAACTACACCGTATCGAAGCCCATGCTTTTATATTGTTACTGAAGTTTATTCATAACAGAGTGATATTACAGAGTTAAAAAGTCCCCTTGTGAGATAGAAGAGGATATTCCAGGTTCACCTTTTCATTATCAAAAGCTTTCGGTATAAATGTTGCTTGATCTCGATCATTAAATATTTATGAAGAGCTGTTGAAAAGTCGAGAACTTTGCAGAGTATGCGTTTTCAAAAGTAAGGCAATGCAGAATTTGGGGGAGTGAGTGAAACTTTTTCTACAAAGACTATTACACCGTGCAGGGTTCAGTTTGGTTTTGGCACGTTTGATTGGAAAATAGGCTTACTTCAAAATTCCTGTGTGGGTGATGGACACGTCTAAATGGCTTTGTGACTTGGCGTGTCGACTCTTGGACTGTTTTTCTTGGATAAATCAGTCGCTGACTGATCTCGTCACCACTAGTGGAAAAATTAGACTTTCTGGAGAGTCTTGATTGTGTGATTGTCATATTAGGGGAAACTGCAGCTTGTTGTCCCCTTATGTGTATCTTTATATATGCAGAGTATTAAAACGTTCCTGCTCAGTTATGAACTGAAGATATTTTCCACAAAACCGCTTTGTTTTCCTTAACAGATGGTGAGTTACTTAACAGGAGAAAGTCCTATACTTGGAATGATTGTTCAACTTTCCAAAGTGTGAGCATTTAATAATCTCCTATTGCTGTTTTTAGTGACTGCTCATATCAAACCCAACATTTTATTTTCTTCAACATGAGCGGTTTGAATGTAATCCACCATAATTCACAAGGTAAACTGTTCTGCTATCTATCAAAATCCTCAGTTCTTTTATTGGCATTGTTTTAGGCAGAGGATGGAGGCCATTCAAGTGATTTGGGACAGTTGGATAGATACAATAGTTTTGACTGCTTATGATGAGGACTTGGCACCAGCAAATAGGGCAACCATACCTGAATAATCAAGATATCACTTCAACATATACGTTTTTCTTTCTTCCGTTCTGTTGCTTTGATAGAGTTTTGATGTCTTCAATCCTGTCTTTAGCACAACCTTCCATAATCAGTGTCTTCATTGTGCAAGGGTTTTGATTGATAATAATGATGAACCTGTCAGATGTGAGGAATCTGATTGAAATTCAGTTTCACTGCAGAGATGAGACACACCAGGACAACTCGATTCATTGTTTGTCAAGATGAGCTTGAGGGGCATCAAATGATATCTACAATGTTCACAGAGCTGTAGTTCTTGTCCCATGGCACTCCAGTCCCCCAGAAACACCACCAGATATCTTTTATTTTTTTTCTTTCAAGATTTAGGATTGTATGATGTGTAAGAGTAAGTATAAAACAATAAATTCACAAAGTTTATTTTAAATTACACTTGTCTTTTGTCTTTTTTAGTGCACACTTATGCAACAGCTAGGTTGCTGAGAAAGTTTTCTAATGCACAAACAATTATTCTTTAAAGACACCTCTGTGTACAGTTCACAAAATGAAGTATAATCTGAAGTATTCATAAATTTACCCCTGTCCATACTTTGGCGTCACTGCCTTATAAATAGCTTCACATTGATGTTTTTCCATGTGAAGCAATTGAACACTTCGGACACACCACAATACCACATGATCAGCTCTTAAAAGCTGCAAGGGTGGTTGCTGAATGAATCACTTCTTTGTAATAAAGTCAACACTTTCATCAAACATAAAATTTAAAAACTAAACAGAAGTTGGTTTTTGAAAAGATGGCACCCCCCTGATTTACCATGCCAGACTAGCAACGAATGAAGTACATCAATTAATGGAGACCCTTCTCCAGTAGAGAACCCGGCATATGTAGCTTTATTTATATACACTGGAAAGAAAACTGGGTGTTGTAACTATCACAAGCAATCAACTGATGATAGAAGTTGCCTTGCGATTATATATTCACAAAAAAACAAATATCTAGCGAGTTATTGTATGATGACCCAAATGTAGACAATAAGAAATCAGGTGTTGTCGGTGGGTGATCCATATTCTTTAGAATAGTCTCCACCTTTCTCAGTGTAGATCTCTCCACCACATCCTCCACTGAGTCCAGCTTGAGTCCTAACACAGAGCCAGCCTTTTTCACCACTTTGCTCAGACATCTTGCATCTTTGTGGTTGATGCCTCCTCCCCAGCAGACTGCAGCGTAAAACAGAACACTTACTACCACAGACTGAAAACATCACAAGCACTAGACAAGCACTAGAAATAAAATTACAGTGACATAAGTAAAAGTAAAAAGGCTTTTTTTTCAGCCTGGACAGTAAATCTGATATGAACTACTGTAGGAATTTGTAGAAATATCGTATTTTTTTATCTTTTCAGTAAATAACCTCCCAATAACTTTGATGTAATATCCTTATCACTCCGTCCTGGTAACGTGATGATTCATTTTTTTTAAAGAGTAAATGAACAATTAAGTTCAAATATGTCATTTCACGCTCGGGCGTCACGTACACCGATAACAGGTTTCCCTTAATTGTCCAATGGAAACTCATTACGTCACATCCTGTCAGCTGTCGCTTCCGGATGCGGTGAAACAGCAAAGAAGTAGGAAAACACCGTACGTACATGGATTAATTTAAATGTCACGGCAGCATCCATAAAGTCAGAGGAGACACCGTATCAACGCAGAATGGACTCTTCGGGAGAAATACTCACGTTAAGGACTGAGCTTTAACGATGTTTTAATCGCAGTTTGATGAATTTGTTTTCTCGGAGTAGCCGTATTTATGTCTTCTGGCTAGCTTAAGCCAGAGTAGCATTAGCCGGGACACGCAGACAAATAGCTGCTCTGCCTCTCTGTTAAATACAACTCCTCGGTGCTCTTATTCTTCATTTGACAGTCATTTCTGCGGAAGGAAGCTGTTTTTCGCATGTTGTGTTGGAACTGAAATTCTTCGACAGTTTGTTTTGGACTCTTTAAGGTCGTGAATCTATTGGAAAAGCTGTTTTTTCACTGCCATCAAACTATTGTAAGTGAAGTAACCTTTGCTTTAACACGTCTGAGGCCCGCTGTGTCTGAAATCCTTCGTCTGTATTTTGATTTTGTCGGCAAAATGGATGTGATCTGGACTAAAATCATCGCCCTGAAAAGTCAGCAGATAGTTTGTGAATAAGACTTTCCTGTCAGCCTGTGGGATCCTGCACTTCTTCCTTACTGCCTTACAGACACTATCCTCTGAAGTAGAGGAAGTCCTCCATCTATTTTTATTCTTATCTTCACTTTGACGCTGATAAAATCTTTGTTCAACAGGTACGTTGACTTTTTTATTTACATGCCCTATGTTTTTAAGTGAGGTCATTTAATGATCATTTTCATACCTGAATGACTCATAATGTAATAATCTCCTACTTTAAAATGTTTAATTTAATGATCACAGCCTCAGGTGAAGTCTTAGATAAGTGCTTTTTTTTTTATTAGGTTAACCTCTACCAAAGTTGATCAAGTTTTAAAGATGGATCAATTTAGTTTTTTGTTTGACAATATCAAAATAATCTGTGACTGGTGTGATCGTTGATTTTGTGATTAATCCCATTATAGGGAAAGTTGCTTCAGCCTTGCTCTACCTGTTGTGACAGTAATTATTAATCATTTTTGGTCTTTGGTCAAACAAAAAGCTATCAGTTTACATCACTTTTAGCTTTAAGTGCCAATGAGATTTTGTTTTTTGTACATTTTTATGACCAAATGATTCATCCAAAATAAGGAAAGAATGTGCAGGTTTTATTATCTGGGTCCGGGTCGCAGGGACAGCAGGTTCAAGAGGGAAGCCCAAACGGCCCTCACCCCGGCCACTTCCATCAGCTCCTCCGGGGGGATTCCTAGGCGCTCCCAGGCCAGGCGAGAGATATAATCCCTCCACCTGGTCCTGGGCCGGCCACAAGGTCTCCTCCCGGTGGGACATGTCTGGAACACCTCTAACAGGAGGCATCCAGAACGCATCCTAACCATAGACTGTATATAGAATGGACAGTGTCTCTGAACACAGTGTTCTCTGAAGCTCCATTTTTAAAAGTTATTAGGGGGTTCATGTTTTCTATGATTGACACCTGATACAGCCTATGGGTGTTCAAGGATTGTGTAGCTCTCCCGAAGGATATGCTGTTAGAGCCGAGCGTCATCACAGCGACTCTCGCCAAATGCATGCCCGAATGCGCGCATTGCTACCGCGCAGCGCTGGTTTCAGGAAATGAAGAAAAATCCCACAAATACCAAGAGCTTTTTGGCTTCAAATCCGTATACAGGCGGTAGGCGGAACCAACTTGTCCATAGTATATACAGTCCATGATCCTAACCAGATACCCGAGCCACCTCAGCTGACTCCTCTCAACATGGAGGAGCAACGGTTCTTCGCTGAGCGCCTCCCGAGAGTCCGAACTCCTTACCCGATCTCTAAGGCTGAGTCCAGCCACCCTGCGAAGGAAATCCATTTCGGCTGCTTGTATCTGCGATCTTGTTCTTTCGTTTATTACCCAAAGTTCATGGCCATCGATGAGGGTCGGCACGTAGATCGGCTCAGCTTTCTTCACCACAACGGATCGGTTGAGCGTCCGCATCACAGTTGACGCTGCTCCAATCCGCTAAATAATGTCTAGTCTAAAATTACAAGATAGATTAAGACATTTCTCTCATTCTTTAATCCAGAGAAGGTTTCATCATTTTTCAGCCACACTCAGTCTGCTCCTGACATTGAATCGTGCTAAGTGTCTCATTGTGTTAACACTGGGATAATGTGTATTCATTAGCAGAGTGATTCTCTTGTCTTCCTCCAAAGTGAAGGATGAATGGCCTCTCTCTCAGCGAGCTCTGCTGCCTCTTCTGCTGCCCGCCTTGCCCCAGCCGCATCGCAGCCAAGCTTGCCTTCCTGCCCCCAGAGCCGACGTACACCTTTCTCCCAGATCCAGATGTGGGTCCCGCCGCACAAGGGGCAACTGGGACATCCAGCTTGCGGGCACGGAGTGGTGCATCAGTTTCTGGAGGCGGAGGTGCCGGAGCTGTGGATGGAAGATGGAAGCTCCACCTGACAGAGAGAGCAGAGTTTCAGTACACACAGAGAGAGCTAGATACGACAGAGGTGTTCCTCACACGGTCCAGTCGAGGGAACAGAGTCGGCTGCATGTATATTCGCTGTGTCCCCAACGCCAGGTAGGTGTTTCCAAAGTTGGACCTGCTCTCTAAGTTGAGATTGTCACAGTGATTTTTGTGTGTTCTTTGATCTTCTTGTGCGTTGTTTGTTACGCTCCTTTAGATTAGGTTTCAACTCAGGAGCACTGCCAGGGATTTTAGACCCCATGAAAAAGGGCGCAGTCAGCCCTGATTCTTCACTTTCATTTTTGTTCTCATAATTTTTGAGGGCCCCATCCACCATGGACCCCTAACACCATCATAACTGTTCTCACTCATACTGCCCCCTTGCTTACACTCCATTCTGCACTTGTACATCCAGGGCTGTTTCCTGTCTCCGCCTTGACCTGGCAGATTCTTCACCCTGCCTCAAGAATTATTACAATCCCTTTGTCATAACATAACAGCAGTTATGTCTTAACATTATTTGTTTGACCTGTAGGTTTGTATAAACTTGATTGTTTAGCTCTACTTCTCAAACATCTCATCAGAATTGAGAAAAGGCCCTGCTCAGTCACACGTTATCAGTTGTCAGAGTCAACACATCCTTAAATATCTGTTTTTAAACTGGTCGATTTGAGTCATTACACGTGTTGACAGTGATTGATACATCTCTCGATAAGAAGTGATTGCGTATTATGCCTCGGTAGAAATTAAATTTGATGTCCTTGGATGTAAAAGTATTTATCTTCATTTTTACACCAGTGCTTTCGCCCTGCCACCGCTGCTAATTAATTCAGCAAATCAATTAAAAAGACATGGACAGGCTTGTGTTACACTCCGTGCGTAACCTGTATTTTTGCCTATCTTGTATTACAGAAGAAAAAAAATCCAAGCTAGACCTGATATGAGTCATTGTTGTGCCACGTTTTGTACAGAAAAGCCGAGAGCTAAGCCACGAGCTAAATTGGTTCATAAACAAAACAACCGAGAGAGGATCTCAAAACAGGCAGTGTTTTTAAAAGAGTATCAGATTTCTGGATGGAGCACAACATGCATTCATGAATAAAAGGTGAGAGCTGGAGTATGCAGCGTTTAGAGTGGATACCCTGCTTCTCAGGTTGTACAAAATGTCTAGAAGTAAGAGTCATTTGACCAGAGTCAAAAGTGGTAAACTGATCCCTTCAACACACAGCACTTTTTGGATATAGATCTGTTGTTACCAGATCCAAAAACATGTGTTAGTAAAAAAAAATACAGCATCTTTTTGGGTTAAGATATCAGGCTGAACACGTGGATGAAGAAATGCATAAGATGGATTTTTGTTTTTCTTTTAAGTGTAAGTTCTTAGATGTGATTTCTCTCAGTCATTCGGTACCAGTGTTTCACAGTCATGATTGTTGTAAGAAGCAAAAGCATAGTGGAAAAAAAATGGTGTCTGCTACCCAGTGTTGTTATTGTTAACGAAAATATTTCATCAAGGGCCCTTTTTTTTTCACCACGAAGACGTGACGTTAACAAGCTAAACATAAGTCTTAGATGACTAAAATGTGACGAGACGAATGTGCATTTACGTTGACGAGACTAGACAAAATGTTAGTGGTGGACGACAAACAGAGTTGCAAAATTCATGAGTGTTTCATCAGTCAAACGCAAAGCTTATATTCTGCAGTGTTGTTTTCGTTGACGATGACATTGACAAAATATCCTGGTCAATGTCATCAGCCTTAAGCTACCTCATACACAAAACTACTTGCGATAGAGTTACTCTCATAACAATGAGACAAATAGCAGCTTTTATTCGAGTCTAACACCGCTTCATCAGTTTTGTGCATATGTTTGTGTCTTTGTCCCATCTGCTAAGCTCTCTTCCATGTGTGTTTATTTTCAGGTTTACAGTGCTCTTCTCCCACGGTAATGCGGTGGACCTGGGCCAGATGAGCAGTTTCTACATTGGCCTTGGCACTCGCATCAACTGCAACATCTTTTCCTACGACTACTCAGGCTACGGTGTCAGCACTGGCAAGCCTACTGAGAAGAACCTCTACGCGGACATAGATGCCGCCTGGCATGCTCTGCGTACACGGTATGCTCGGATATAATTGCCCCACATGTGTCCTTCGAAGGATGATTTATTAGTTGCTGTCTTGGTCTGCTGTGACATGAGGCTTTCTCATTATGTTTAGATTAAGGGTAAATCAAACAGCATACACGCTCTTGTGGATGACTGCGAATCCCTCTGCATATTTTACAAGTTTTTCCCTTATTTTGCTGTACAGAAAAAAAGTGTTGAAAAAAAATTGGCAGAAGAGGGAAGAGTTAAGACGAGGACATGCAGAAGAGGGGAATGAGGGTGGTAGCTGGGATGTGGAGATCAGAGTGGGGAGCAGACAGATGCTGTGGGAATAAAAAGAAATAGATGGAGGAACAGAGGAAGGGCTGGGGGGCAAGGTGCCTCTCAAGGACTTTGAGGTGTGATAAAGTGTCTCATTAGTGAAAGTGGAGCTGTCTTAGTGCAGCTGTAGCCCCGGGAAGACAAATCATTGCAGAGTGTTGACTTAGAGGTAGGTCGAGTTGAATTTACAGTTTGGTGTGGCTGTCACTGTCCATCATATCATTCATTTAGATTTATCAATAACTATTACCCATAAGAAGAAAGATATGATTATTCTCCTGCAGTTAAAATAAACTGAAACTGAATCTGATCTGAACAGCTGAAGCTCATATCTGTTAATGTTATACAAGCACATTCTCTACTACCATGTACTTCAGAAGTTAACTGTCTTTTTTTCTTTTAACCAGTTACGGGATCAGCCCAGAGAATATCATCCTGTATGGACAAAGCATCGGTACAGTTCCCACTGTGGACCTTGCGTCCCGATATGAGTGTGCTGCCGTGGTTCTGCACTCGCCTCTAACATCCGGCATGAGAGTGGCCTTTCCCGACACAAAGAAAACGTATTGCTTCGACGCTTTCCCCAAGTAAGTTTCTAACCCAGAGTTGATGTCTTCTTTGGTTCTCTTTGTGACATGTCAACTTCATCTCTTTCTATATCTGATAAAACTCTTCAATACGGTGTTCATATGAAAAGAATATTCATACAACAAAAAGCACACAGGCTTTTTTGTTGCTCGTTGGCACTTCCACGTAATAACTGATCTGCCAACAGGAAAGTGTTAATTGCTGCTTTTAGCTGAAAGTGTTTCTTGACCAAAAAAAGACGTGCATTCAGAGAAGAGCTCTTCTTTTCCACTTTTAGTGCTGTGATTACAGATCTCTGATGTCTTTGTTTTCTTGGTTGGTGGGTGGATACCACTTGTGTCTTATTTTTATAGAAGAGTCATCCAGAATAGTGCATTATTTCTAAGAAGAACGAACACATTGAACATCCATGTTTTTTGGGTTTTTTTTGTATCAATATCGTCATACAGCAGCTGTTTGTACCCTGTGACTTTTCTATCGTAAAGTTCCAACTCAGGTTTGTTTTGTCACATTTGATATTTGTCATGAAAAATATAAAATCCCTCGCCATACCATATGATATCTACCTCACCCTCCTTTTATTCTGTCAAATCTCTAAGAGACGTATCTGAAAAATCTATGTGTATATATTTCTGTATACATCTATATAATGGAACAAAACAGAATAGTATAGAATAGAATGAGGAGTTTATTCCTATTTGCACACACACACACACAGGTACAGGACAGTACGTGTTCATTAAAATTGCTGGTTTCATAGAATATTTTTCACTGTGGAAATCAGCAAACATTGTAAAGTCTTGCATCCTCCCAACCTCGTTGTTAGTGGGCCATATTTCTATACACTGTTATTGCTTAGTCAGGCTTTGCCTCTTCATATAGACACAAAGGTGTTTTTGTGAGGCGTAGAAACAGAAGTGTTGAGATCCTGGCATATTGTTTTCCCCCCTGTACCTGTGAGCTTCTTTTAATGCTTTATATCCAGTTGTAGCCTCCTTCTTTAAAGAGGCTTGGTGCCCCACATGTTTGTATGTTTGTTATTGTAATTTACGCAGTTTATTGTAATTTTGACACCTTGGCCAAGGGGCAACTCCCACACTACACAGAGTAATGCTGTCATTAGCCAGGCTCTGTCCCTTCTGTTCTTGTGATGTTGGTTTCAATTTCCGCGGCTGAATTTAAACAGAGTCAGTAGCAGCCAATGCTAGCTTTAACGCAGAGTCTGGTCCCAGATGGTACAAGTGGGTGCGGAGCAGAGGCGGTGAGGAAACCAGGGAAAGCCTCTCTGTGTGTGTGGTGGGCTGAGAAAGCCTCCAGTGTTTGCCTGTTGTTCACATTCAGAGTGGGCAGCTGGCATCCCTGCTTGTCTATTTGTGTCTTTATCATTCTCTACTGTTTTATATGGACAACATGTCATGGGTTGTGTGAATATAATTGTAGGAATTTGCAGTTGTTATCATTTTTTTGTGGCTTTTTTTAGTCTGCAAATAAAAATATTGAGTAAATGGGGTTTTCTCTCTTGGATTTTAAATATATACATCATTGGTTCTCAAGTCCAGTCCTCGAGGCCCACTGTCCTGCATGTTTTGGATGTTTCCCTGCTCCAACACACCTGATTCAAATCATCAGCTTGTTATTAAGCCATTACAGAGTTTGATAACGAGCTGATGATTTGAATCAGGTGTGTTGGAGCAGGGAAACCAAAACATGCAGGACAGTGGGACTTGAGAACCACTGATATACATGAATCCCATGGTTTGGAGTTCTGTTTTTGGTTTCAAGAAATGTCAGTACTTAAATGATTGATAGTTTTAACATTTAATGTATTGTCTTTGCACCAATTTTTCAATTAAATGAAGGCTTGAATGGTGAATTCTGTTTTCCACAACATCCCAACTTTTTAAGATATAGAAGTTATTTTAGCTCAGATAACCCTCTATTTTAGTTTTAGATCAGGAGTATCTTTAAAAAGGACTTTTATTTTGTAAAAAAGAGGTTAAATTGAAGCGTCTTTGGCAAATTGGTACAACTAATTCTGGTGAAGTTATGGAGGTCCCTGCATGGCCAAGATGGGGAGATTAATAACAACAAAAATACAAGAAGAAGCAGCAGTTAAATTATAAATTCAAAACACCATTATCAAAATTGGCTTGTCTTACATGTCTGACTCTTTCTAAGACCATCTCACTGACCCACCATGATATCAAAATTTTAACAGTTTGAGCCTCAGAAACAGTGTGTTACGAGTCCAGCTCTTCTCCAGTTTCAATGTCATCTGTATAGTTTTTTTTTCTTCATGTCTGACCTCATCCCGCCTTTTTTCTTTTTCAGTATCGAGAAAGTGTCCAAAATCACGTCCCCGGTGCTCATAATTCACGGTACAGAGGACGAGGTGATCGACTTCTCCCACGGACTTGCTTTATTCGAGCGCTGCCCAAAAGCTGTGGAGCCTCTGTGGGTGGAGGGAGCGGGACACAACGACATTGAATTGTACAGTCAGTATCTGGAGCGTCTGCGCCGCTTTATAGGACAGGAGTTGGCAGCACAGCACGCCTGAACACTACAACCAGGATTATCACCAACAGATATATCATTTGCATCTTTCTCCGCCCTTCTGAAGCTTTGTCAAGACGAACGGGTGTCCTAGAGGCGTTCTTGTGCTCGACTCAGCTCACAGTTCTCCATTTTATGAGGCGTTTAAGCCCACAGTGGACCATGTATTGAAGCAAAATGGAGAAGTGTGTTTCTATACATCCAAAGCCTGTGACCGAAGAAAAACTTCATGTAGGTCCTTGTTTTTCTTAGCAGTCACTTTAACAAAACAGCTGCCATGTGTCACAGTACAGTGTGGCAACAGATAAATCCTTTTTCCTGTGCAATAATATGGACCGCAGAGACGAGACCTCACATGATAAGAGCTTTAAAGAGCGACAAGCTGATATGTAATCATGTTGGTCGATTGTGTCGTGGTCCACATGGAAGACGTCGTCGTGTTTCCAGCCTAATCATAGAGTTTGTGAACGTAAATATCTGATTTTAACCCGAGTTAACTGTTTGTAGATGTTGAAGTATTGGAAGCACTTTAAAAAGACTCTCCTAAATGCTTCTGACGTGTGTTGGAGTTTTTCTGTTTCGAACCCAAAAGAACAGATAAGTTTGTCACTAAGCGCTCGATATGATTTCATGAGCCGCACCTGAAAAACGAATGCGATCCATTTAAAGTCCTTCATTAGCTGCTGTTGCTTTAAATGTATTCTAATGAATTAGTTATTAGCTTTTTTTTGCATTGGACTGCATTATATCAGAGGGTGTTTCTTAAATCCTATCCCTTAATTATTCGCAAATATATATTGAGGTCAATTTTAATTTTGTGTTTAATTCTCTTGGCTGTGCTTCACATTTTGCTCAGGTAGCCCTCTATTCTTCATTAGGGTCTGTGTTCCACATTTATTTGGTCTCATTGTTTTTAATCTAGTTGGCTTAATCTCATTTGATCCTTTGAGCAAAGAGTAAATAAGTTCATGCAGTGTGATTGTGTTGAAATCAAAGTGACAAACTAAACTATGAGCCTAAACAGAGGTACAGACCAAACTGGATTTTGCTGAGGCTGCTTCATGTTTTCTTTTTTTTTTTTTTTCTATTTCTCCATTTTGACTTTCCATTTCAAACCCTCCAGTTTCCACTTCACCTCATCTCTCGCGCAGATATAAAGCAGGCCTGGCTGTGTTAAAAGCAGGACAGGTCAATAAGCACCAGAAAGAAGAAAGGACAAAAAAACTCCTGCTTTTTCCTGTGTTTCAGTTCTGTCCACTTTATTTTAGTCTTGTTCATGTTTATGTCTCACACCAGCAGGTCACAGCTGTGAGCAAAGTTCCTGTTTCCCCTCCTCGGTGTCTGGAACAGAAAAGCGACACTATAATTAAACCCGCCTTTTTTTTCCTTTTTCTTTCATTCAGCCTGTTTTAAGTCCTTCAATACACCCTGATTGTCGTTGTTTGCTCTCCATCTTGAGGGGCAATTTTCTCAACTCGAGTAGTGAATGAAAACTCCTCATCGGCGCTACGTATGTTATGATTGTCACCGAGAAAACTCACAGATGTTTTAATGTATTTGATTGTCAAACAGCACAGTCTGGTGATGTAGAAATCATTCCCGTCTTTACTCTAATAGGCACAGGAGCAGACTTTTATCACTCTTAGACAGTTCCTTTTTTTTCTTTTTAACAAAGAAAAGTAAGAGGCTTCCTTTTGGGACTGACATTTAAGTCTTATAACTCTAAACAACATGATGACAGTGCTCTGGTACCACTACTTTATGCTGCAAATAAAAAAATAGGCTTTTAAAATCTCTCCTCACTGCCAGTAACATTTCTCGATCTGTGTAAACACATCCCACACAGTCATGGAGGATTTTGGGCACAACGTTTTTTGATAACACTCGATTTACTTCAGAGTTCAGTAAGTGTAGTGCAGTACCTCTTAAACAGCCACTAGCATGAATTTTTAAACTCCTTAAACCTGTCTCTTATTGCACTTTTTTGTGCTCAGTGGATAGAGAAGAGTCATACATGTAAGCAGTAAATTGTTCTTAGTCACAACGTTGTAAACAGTGCTAAACGGTTACACCAGCTGGCTATCCTGTTGAAGGTTTTTAGGGTTGACTCGCAAGATAAACCATAATCCCTTCTTTATTCCAGTTTATTTAGATCTGTGTCCCACGGTGAGAAAATCCTTTATTTCACTCACCAGTGGTCCATCTTTACTTTCAGGGATGGCGAGTAAACTGCAGTACATGTTCGAACGGTGTAGAGCTGAATTTAAACCCACAACCAAAAGGGATGAAAAGATGGCGACAAACACTCCAACTCAAGTGTGTTATCTGAGCTGTTTCAGATTGAACTCTAGATGTTAGGAAATCTGAGATTAAGGTCGTCTTTTTTGTTGTTGCTGAAGGGAAGTCAGGTTTGCTTGTGTATTTATCAACCAAAGTGTAACTTCTTTTTGTCTTTTCAGAGCTTCACCCAGTGTACCTTCTGTTTCTCTTGGTATCTCCAGAACCAAAGCTTAAAGAAATCTGAATTAAGTCGGTCGACTTTATATTCATATCTGTGGTTTGTCTGATCTTTTTCATTGTACAGTACATTTTCATAAAGCTGAATTGTACTTCTGTCAGATTTCTTTACAACTATGTTTTATCAAGTCATGTTTGGTTTGAAATTTGCATCAGCAGAGTTTGAAAAGCATAGAAAACAAAGTTGTGTGTTTTTATTTGTTGTTGTTGTTATAAGCTGTTAAAACTGATCATTTTTGGAGGAGTACAACCAAGCAATACAGCAGAGAGTCACTGTTTGAGTGCGGGATGATGAAACAACAACGACAGAGGAGCTTCAAGCACACAAATGTAAAGCTTTTTATGTTTTGTCCTTCATTTAAATGTTTGAAGTTCTGCTGTGATACATCTGTGGGTTTTGTTTCGTCCTTTATTATTCATTGTAATCCACTTTTTACTATACTAATTTCTAGTTTTTAAAGATTTTTGTCTTTTTTTCAAGATTTAAAGAGAATAGGAGGTTAATAAAACATAATCAGAAAACTTGTCATCACAGTGCTTTCTTTTAAGATGACTTTGAATGTCGGACTTTTCTCCGTAAATCAACGTAGCTCGTGTTTCATTCAGTCACCTGTGAGTGAACGGTCTCACACACCTGCACAAGATGAATCCAAGAAAGGCTTTGGGGGATAATTGGCTGACGAGTAATTGAGTCCTTATTTGCCTGATGGTCATCTACCACCTCCCCACCCCCCCCTGTGAATTTGCCATATCATGATGAGCCTGTTATCTGTGACAAAACACGGTTCAACAGTGTGTTTTAATTAAACCAGAACACGGACCGGGTCTGTTCTAGCCTCCCTTCCAATGTCTGCTGCCACCGTGTTCAGATGTTGGGGAACGGACAGATGGATGGTAAGCCTTGTTCCCCCTCCTCCACCCTGACACACACACACACACAGACTAAGACACTTGTGCCTGCTCTTTGTCAGTGTACTACATAAACAATCTGGTGTCCCACTCAAACGCTCCTACGGATTAAGAAGCAGCTGCAGTGGCACGTCCCCCCCTGTGTGAGGCAAAGTTAGCGCAGCCTGATTCCTGCACACTCACACACAGACTTACACAAAAACCCTTTTATGTTGTCACGTATCAAAGGATTGTGGATGTGCCAGGGCTCCAAAACAGGAGACTGAAAACAATGTTTGTGAATCAAAGAGTTGCCTCACAGACAGTCCTCCTAACTGGAGGATTGTTGGGAGGAGACATTTAGGCTGAATTTTATACTTGTGAGATGTAGAGACACATTTACTGCCGTACTAGTTTCTATCTGATCCTGATATGTTTAACCACGGAATAAAATAAGGTCTGAGGAAAGATGAAAAACAAAGCCCTGCTGATTTGTGTGTTTTGGGGGTGGATCTTGTTTTCTCTTACGAGCAAGATTCATAAATGTCACAATTTGTTGCACCTGAAGATCCGACTGTCTTAAGATTGTGGATGATACAAAATTACTGCTTTCTAAAATAAGTGGACACAAACACATTTAACATTTCCAAGTTCAGGTTTTTATGGACTCAAAAGAAGATTGTTTGTCAAAAGTCAGAATTTAAAGCACTTAAAAACTGCAAACAAACACCTGCAGACTGTCATACATTAAGACAGTGGACACAAGTTTGTTGCAACCTTTGAAGGACTGATTCCTCTTCTACACACTTGTCCTGTAAACGTATTTGTTAAGTGCTTCAAGTACCAACAAAACATTTGACATTGAGACACAAAGAAAACTACTAGCAGCTAGTCGCACGGCTTACATCAGATGGATTTTTAGCAATTTTATTTGTGAGGCCTCCAAAAGATTAATCTCAAATAACAGTTTTCAGGGTGGCATTAGGGATAGTGGTTCAGGGGCCAAAGCCACCCCCTGGCCACCCGCTGGACATGCCTCTGATCAAAAGAACAAGTATGAACATACAGTGTACCATATTAAGTTTTCTGGGTGAGATAAGTCATTGTTTTGCATGGCACTGGTCTTTTTTCTCTCACATATGTTGATTTTAGATAAATTGACACTAAATAATGACACATTTTGATACGTGTTCTTCAGAAAGTCACTACTACCAGCAGTTTGACGGTCTTTTTTGGCTCTTCGTCCATGTTCACTGAGCTTTGACCTGTAACATACAAACATCTTTGTCGACTGAAAGACCGTGGTTGTTTCCTCACATTGGGTTTGACCTTTGAATGGCAGGAATTCATTCCCCCTCATCTTTCTGGTGCATTTGCCTCCCTTTTTCATTGCCACTCGGTTCATTGCACAGTTCTTTTACTTTCTGTTGTTTTATTATTTTTGATTCACTGGGCAAGTATTCTAGAGGAGAGCTTTCCTCATCATCTATCACTGCAGAACACAGCGAATAGAAGTGATATATTTGTGAATATATCCATCCCTGAGATGAGAGGCCATTTGTTTTGGTCTGCACATGCGGCTGTGAGAACTGGCTTATTGCATTTGCAATCGCACATAAAGGGAGCTCTGTCTTTGTCCTTTGTGCACAGCAACCACCTGTTGAAATGTTCTCACTGTTATCATGTCTCCCAGCCCTCTCAAACACAAGTTCACACTGTATCTCTGCACACACTCCACTGGTCCTTTATGAGACACACTGACTCCAAACATGTTTATGTAAAGCTGCTCCAGAGGGCCGGTCCCTAAACTCTTCACACCTCAGTAACAATGTCACAGATAAAGACAAAATTATACAAACTCTAATTATAGAATCAATATCACTCTGACAAGATAAAACTGTCATACAAAGACATTTAATTACAGCTTGTATCCAAAAGAAACTGCTGTAATCTCAAATTTAGAGTAAATATTCATCTCTGCCTGGAGCCTGTTTTTATTTTTAGAGTAATGTAGCACCGCTCCAAACTTCAACAGTGTCACATGTAAACAGATGCCTCACCAACTGAAGAAAACAAAAGTCTTATATTAGTCAAGAGCTGGAGCTGCTAAGCCTCTAAAGAGGATGATGGATTTTATTTGTTCTGAGGTTTTATAAGAAATGGTCGTAAAGTTGGCATGAGATTTGAGTTCAACAAAAAAGTATCTCTGATCTTCAGGTTATCTTCAGTTACCTTTCTGTCGAACTTCTTGTCATCAGTCTAATATCACTTTTAGAGAACCAAAAATATGGAATGATCTGGATGTATCTCTAAAATCAATATCATCCTTTAAATCCTTTGAAACATCATTGAAATCACATCTAATCATGTCTTAAACACATAACTATCTGTTATGTTCATGTTTCTTTACTTTTTATGTATACTTATAATTTCTCTATCTCTGGTTGGGCTGGTGGATGATTAGTCTATGTTCTATTTATGACAATTTGTATATGTTTTGACCTTTCCCTACTCATTATTTATTGATAACCTGTCTATGTCCTAATTACTTTGTTATTTGCACCCTATGCCTTTACTGCCCAGACGGGAGCGGAACTCTGTGTATCAGCTTCGTTCCCTCCTTGCACTGTTTTTGATCTGTGTTAAATGAATAAATACAGATAAATAAATTACATTTTAATTGGAGGATGTTTGAGACATCAGAGGATACATTATTTTTTACCTGATTTTTTTCTTCATTCCAATATATTAAGTTATAATTTTTAGTTAACACCCAAAAATGCATCAGAAAATTTCACTCTCTGTTCTGATATAATTAAAGAAAGTGTATCTTTCCAAAGTTTTAGTGTCTATCTTTTTAATTCATTCCTATGAATGTCAAAAACGAGTGTTTGTCTTTGAATTCCTGGAAAACTGCTTGTCCAGCACAGCATGTCAGGAAAGGAAGGTCGTGAGTGTTGTGTCCAAGTCAGCAGAAATGTCTTCCACTCAGCAAAATAACTTGGGCTCCGTCCAGAACAGCCTCTGGACATTTTATTGATAATGTCAATCCTAACGGGAAGAAGCGTGCTGTCCATCACAAGTACAAGTGTGAAAAGACGAGGTGAAGAGTCATAAGCGTCTACAGAGCGTCCATGACGCTATTCGCTTTGTCTAAACTGATTAAATGAGACTATAAAATGTCACAAAACTACTATAAGTAACTGCTTAAAACCTCGATACCCATTTCAGAGTGTTGGTTGAAAGAAAAGAGAGAAGCAAAAACCCAAACACATTCTTTGTCATAATGATAATAATTTATTTATTCAGGTAGAGCAGGAGTCTTTGGCAGTGAAGAACAGGGACTGAGGGTGATTTCATGAGAACTTTCAAAGTCAAGTGCTGCATGGAGACGAATGATTAGACCAAAAATGTATTCTCAAAAGCAAACCAGCCCCCCGACAATGGGACATTATCTGGTGACACACACATTCGACAATAGCACATTAGTTTGGCGCTGAAAGATCTGCAGGAGTACAAAGACAAATGTCTCCGACAGTTCCTCTGTTGTTAATGTGACAGGTGATAAGTGTCGCTAATGTTGCTGTGAAACTGTGATGGTGCCGGAGAAGACGAGTGAGCCCATGAGACAAGCAGATGGCTCTCGACTGTGTGAAGAGCTGCTTTGCTTTTTTTTTTATGAGTGATGAAGTGAAGCGTCCCTTGGTTTAGTTTTTGAAATATATCACAGTTAAAGCTGGCACTGGCTTTTTTGTTTTTTTATGGCACTCTGAATTGGTTAACATTTACTCTTAAAAGGTCCTTCATCACTCTTCAGTCTGGCACACATTTTCTGGCCTGAATTGTGTTACAAAAACATATAAAGAAAGCAACAAATACAGACAAAAATACGAATAATTCATTAAATGAAGAGGGAGCGGCTGGCTCATTCTTCTGTATTCACATCCCATTGGCGGCATCTGCTACCAACTGACAAGTGCAACTCTACAGTTCATATAATGAAGGGCAAAGAGGTACAAGTATGAGACACTAATACGGTGCTTTCTATTCCAGGAAGTCCCTCCCTCTTATTCTCTGTGCTTCTACATCTATTCACGTCTTTTTTTTTCAAACACATGCTGAAAATTGCGAGGAGACGAGGGAGTGTCTCCTGTGGATCAGGAAGCAGCAGTCATCTTTACACCCTTCAGACGGGCTTTGCAAGGCAAATTTGACGAGGACTTGTTAAAACCAAGTTAAAGAACCAATCAGAACGCACGCAGCATTCGTCACACAGCTCACAATATGAGAGGGGCTGAACACTGTTTAACATGTCCGACTGGGGATAATAATGACATGACAGCTCCTGTCAATCATTGAATCAATATCATTCAGAATACTGTCAAAAAGGTCCACTCACTCATGGATAAAGGCGACAGGACTTCATGCACAGTTCAGTCCTTCTGTTAATCTTCTCTTTCTGCATTCATCACACTTCTGTTACCAGAAAAGTCTTATTTTCAGCTACACAGACATCACAGGACAAAAATAAGGTCATTCAACTTTAGAATACTGTTGGAGGTCAGGAGTTTGGCCGCTCCCAGAACATGTGCAAAAAAAACCTGTAAAGAGCAGAGACCACAAGGGGTCACTGTTTCACTCTGTCACAGGTATCACTAGTAAAGAAGTTACTGAGTCCCACTGGCACAGCAGTCACGCTACACGTCCATGTTCAACATTAAGGCGAGAGAAAGAGGGATAAATCAGTCCAGGTCGAGCTCTTCAAGAGTCCGTCAACTCTTTGAATTCCTTCAGCCGTCCTCTTCTACAACCCACTGAGTTCAGCCCTCTAATGTCCTGAAAAGTGGTTTGAGGGCAGACAGCCGGTCCCTGCAGGTCTGGGTCACAGTGTGACTTTGCTGAGTCTGAGTGACAGGCTGGCCCGATGCTGTGCACGAGGGAGAGTGGAGCTACACCGGCTTCTGAGCTGCACAGTCCGACTCGCTGAGCCCCTCACCCGCAGCAGGAAGTCGAAGTTAGCCGAGGTGTTCATGGCGTAAAAGACATTAGCGTTATCGGGGATCACGAGCTCTGGAGGACGATAAAAGAGAGGAGAAGGAAAATTAGCATGAGTGAGGTTTAAGATCTGGTTATACTTCAAGTCAACAAAACCCGAGATAGAAATGTGGCTGATCGAGGAAAAATAACTGAATTAAATAGAAATGTTTAATCTATCCAACATCAGCTGTAAAATTAACTACTCCATGTATTTAAGTTTTACTATAATTTAAAGGTTAAAAAATGAATCAAGGTGCCTGTTGAGGAGAAATTTGTACATATTTTAAAACTATAAAGTTAGAAAAGCATAGAAAGCTTTAAGTCAAAGGCATATTTTTTTTACCTTTGTCTTCAGAGATGACTTGTACCAGCTCGTATCCCTCCTCAGGCTCTGTCTCCAGGTTGTGCTTCGCCATGGCTCTAGAGATTACCGCTGGAGTCTTGTCCTGATTGGTCAACTACATGATGAAATAAACATAAATTCACTTTAATCGTGGGAAAATGTGAGTCAATCACACAACAGTGGATATGATATTTATGGGTTATTTTCAAGCTCATTTTCATGTTTTCGTCTTAGAAACAAGTGGGAAAATTTACTCAACAAAGAGAAGAAAACATTGTAGGCCAAGAGCAGGAATGCGAACACACTCATGGTTGTTTACCAGTATGCTTTTGTAGAGGTTCCCATTGCCCTGTTCCAGACTGACTCTGATGATGCACGCGTCCTGAGCCTGGGTGTTGTAAGCCAGAGTCTGACTGGGGATGCCAGGGGACATGGCTGTGAGGGACATGGAGCGTCTGTGGGTACAGGGGGGTCCGGGATGTGAAGGGGATGCAGGAGTCATGGAGACGCTGGCTGTGGATGAGCTGGTGTCCATGGAGTGTAGTGAAGTACACGAGGAGGATTCTGATAGCTGAGGAAACACAAACAAGAAAATTGCATTCAGACACAAAAAGTGATGATGGGAATAACTTATTTTGCATGAATGTAATCCCTCAACTGTTTTTGATCACTGGTTTGCAGATTTTACATAAAATAAGTGCTGAAGGAGTGTAGCAGAGTGGTGCCTGCATTGGAGATAACCAGAACTGCTTTGCAAATGGGCCTTTGCCTCAAATAAAAGGGTTAAGGGACTGTGTGACAATTATTTAAGGGTAACAGTGCCTGACAACAGGGAGTGTTGAGTATGTAATCATTTCACTAAAACTCAGAGAGTTTGGATTATATCGGAGTTGGATTTTTTTGTTCTGCCTTGGAAAGACTTAACAAATTTCCCTAAGAAAGAAAGATGGACTGCTTGTGTCATAAATGTGTTTTTCAGACATATAAGGGGGAATTTTTCATTATCCTTAATTAGGTGGTAGCTTGAATTAGACATTTATGTAAAATACAATAGATGTGGATACCCAGATCGACTGTATTAGATTTAAATGTGTTAAAAACCACTTAAATACATGAGTGACAGCTGTTGGTTCTTATATTTAAAAGACCTCCAGTGAAAGTATGACTTATTAATTTTACAAAAATAAGTTTGGCACTTCTAGAACTATGAAAATGCAACAATGCAATCAACGTACATGTATTTAAAAGTAAATAAATTCACTTAGATTCACCACTTTGTCAAAAGAAGAGTCGCAATTAGATCTAGTCTAGTCTAAAAGAAAACTTTCAATGCCCTCCCGCACTTATCATTTTAATACGATCCCTAATTTTAGCACACTCATTTTTTCTAGTGTTCGATTAGTGACTCACCTTGTTGTGCTGAGAGTCAGAGCTGTGTGTCGGGGTCAGGCCCTCGCCGTCTGACGGGCTACTGGAGTCACTGGAGGACACGCTGACCGAGTCCATGCTCTCCCCTGAGCTGCCAGTAGGGGGCGACCGTGGCGTCTCCCTGACTGGAGAACTGGCTGCACTGCTGTCAGTTCCAAGAAACAGACTGGAAAAATAGAGGAAGTGGGTTATTAGATAATAAAATAAAAATAGGTCAAGGCATCTCGGCTCTAACTGGAAAGAGAAACTTAATTTTGGATATTTAAAGCTAAAGTTTGCTCTATTATGTTGGGTAAAAGTCTATTATCTGGATGTACTCACAGGCTGAGTCTCTTCACCATGCTTTTCCGAGGTTTGGGTGAGGTTGGGCTGCTGTCCCCGAGACCTTCAATCTCACAGGATAGGGCATAGCTGCAAGAGGAAACAATCAAACCTTTAAAACAATGACAAACTAAGATCATGTGGCTGTTCTGTTGGTATTTACACCCATGAAACTAAAGTAGGACAGAAGAAAAGAGAAAATAAAAGAGGACCAGAGAAGGAGGAAGAAAAGAGGCTTCACGGGGCAAAAACAACAAGTACAATAGATCAGTAGGGAGTGAAGACATGGCAGAAGAACAGCAGGGAGAGCTGAGAGGAAAGGATGGAAAGAAGCCTCTATTGTGCGGACAAAAGGTCCAGTAGAGCATGACCTCATGCACTAATTTGCTTCTTATCTAATGGATAACGGTGCTGTGAGAAAGCAGCAGTACCTCTCCTCCTCGCTGAGCTGAAGCTGGCTCTTAAACCAGCGCAGGAACATGGGCTCAGGAGACAAACAGTAGCTGTTACAGGCCGACTGGAGCAGCTTGATCTGAGCGATCACCTCAAACTCCTGCAGAGACAGAGAGAGAGTAAAAAAAAAACAACCTTAGATCTGTTGATCTTCAAACACCTTCATGTGATAACTGTCAGTGTAATCATGTCAGCGGAGACTCACCCTGCGCCTCTTCTCAAAGTTGATCAGACCACCCTGCAGAGGACACAAAGAGAATGTTGTCAGGACCTGGAACATCACATACCAGCGGCCGCTTAGCCAAACAGCATTAGGTGGACCACTCTGAAAATGGACTAACAAAATTCCTCACGCACTCATGGAAAGTTACACCCCGCTCTCTACCAGCCGTAACACAGACGGACTCTCAGATCTGCAGAGCTGTGCAAACTCGCCGACACATGCTCTCAAACATTCGCACACACACATTCAGCAGGTGTCGCAGACTTCTCCTTACCTCCACCAGGTCAGGCAGAGCTGTATCCAACATGGTCAGATCTGTCAGGAAAGTCCCCAAGTACGGTATCGTTCCTTGCATTGCTCCCTGGAAAGAAAAACATGCTCTTTCAATTCTTTGAACCCACATTTAGTTTAAATAAATATTTAAAGAATACCAAAAAAAAGCCAGAGCTCATGGTTTACAGACGCAGTGGTGGCTTTTGTAAAATACAACACAGGCTTAATGCAAGTTCAACACATAGCGCACAGAGTAAACAAAGCTAAGCATGCGGCTTCATCACACTGGAGAGCCCTGAACTCACTTTACAGTGCGCTGCTTGAGAGGAATGTGTTGTTTAAATTTATACAGCATTCTTGAGAAAGGATCAATTTTTTTTTATTTTTTATGCCGTTTGTTGCAGAAGCTCTGAAGTTTGAAGTCTTGGTCTCACCATTTCCTTCTGCAGCTGGAGTCTCTTGTGTGTGCGTTTCTGATGCTCCTTGGCACAACTCTCCAGACTGGCAAACTTTGAAGTGCCTTCCTGAGAGGAAACAAAGAAAAACCAACAGATTTAGGCCTCCAGATTCTCATCAGGAATGTTTTGAAGGAAGATTTCCACGATTTCCTGTTCGCATTAAAAAAACTTTTGCAGCAGAAACTTGAAATCTGAACTGACCCTCATGAGGAGCTCTCTGCTGGTCAGGTAGTTGTTGTGGTCGGAGAAAATATCCGACAGCTCCTCGAACGTCTGCATGCTGTCTCTGCGTCAAGAAAAGACTCTCATTAGCTAAATGTCATCAATCTGCAAAGTATCTGATTAACGGCTGACTAGTTAAAGCAAATGCACTGAGATGAAAACTTCAGTCTTACTTGTGCACGCAGGCCCACGCTCTCTTCAGTCTGTACAGAGGGTTGGACTGCAGGGCCGACACAATGGCTCGCAGTGAGGAGAAGTTTTTGCGTATCCGACACTCCTGTTGGGAGACGACACGAGAACTGTCATTCCTGTGACAAAGTTATGATGGTTTTAAATCTAAGCTTCTGCTGTGTCTTTGTATTCCTGCAAACCTGAGCGATGTCTATCCAGCGCTGGATGACCCGCGCTCTGACATGCGGTCTAATCTGTCTGTGCTTCAGCACTGTGCTGACCACGCAGGCTGCCACGGCATTGAACTGTGTGATAGTGGCACGGATAGTCGGAGCGCTGTGCTTGTTGTGCTTCTTATCCCTCTGGGACCAGATGGAGCCCAGGCAGTGGTGTGGTACCACCTTTTTAAACAAGAGCTGGAGCAGAACAACAGAATGACGTTAGCATGGTGGAACAGAAAAAACAGCACAGGAAGGCGACCTTTGTTCCCTCCCATACAACACACATCTCCGATCAACCTCTGTTTCCACTTCTTTCCCGTCCACTTACAGCATCCATGTAGGTCAACTGCTCTGCCACCAGGTCTGCATCGAACGACAGGAAGTCCTCTTGGAGCTCGATCTCAACTTCCTCCTCCTCCCCCAGGCAGAAGGAGCTGTTGCCTTGGAAACCAGCTAAAGAAAGACCAACACAGATTATTTATAACATCAATCTAAAAGAAAAATATACGACAAAAAAAAAGGAAGCAGAAAGATAGTTTGTTTTTATTACCATCAGTTTCATCCATGTTGGCTTGACTCTGCAGCTGCTCCAGCAGACCCTCCGCCCGTCTAAGAGCTTCAGAGCCAGGCAGGGTCCTGCGCAGGTAGTCCATCAGCCTGTGGAGACAAGGGTAGTCAGGAGGCTCCTGGAAGTCTTCAGGACACTGGTCTAGCCAGGCGCGCAGGATGGAGGCTAGGGCGCTGAGGAGACAGTAGAGAAATGACTGAGAGTTAAGAGCTGAGAGTAACAGGAGGACAGTTTTGATACCTACTGCTCAAAGTTACACAGAATCATATCTATCGAAGCTCTCTTACTTTCTGATGGCTCCGTTGGTTTCAGAGCCTTGACATCTTCCTGTTTCTTGCTCATTTTCTTCCACACTTCCATACCTGCAACAGAAAGTTCACAGAATACACTTTAATGAAAACTATTTGATGAATCCAGTGGGTTTTTTTTTTTTTGCATCCTTGCTTATTCCATCTCTACCTGTCAAGCAGCAGCTGCAGTACAGTCTGCGTGCTGGCGAAGGCTCTGTAGGTGGACAGGAAGATGGAGGTGTAGGTCAGGTCATTGTCTCCGAATGCTGTCAGTAATGTCTCCACCAGACGCTCCAGTGTTCCAGCGCGGATGCTTCGGATTTTGCAGGTCTCCAGCTGGCTCACTGTGTGGCCCGGAGGAAGACGATCGCCCTCAGCCTGAACATAAACATGTAAAGACTTATTAGTTTACACTTTTAAACCACACAGAGATTTATTTTTCTTAAAATTATACTATCATCTATTCACTCTGTATTATTTGGCTATCCAATTCTTTTTTCTTTTTACTTATTTATCTTTGTATGTCTATTTGGTTATCCTGTTTGTTTTTACTTATTACTACAACGCAGCAATACCTAGGTATGGGATTATTATTATTATTATTATACCACTGATCTTGTCAATGTTCAAGGAAAAACTCTACATAAAAAATTCCAAAAAAAATAAAAAATAAAATAAACACAGTGAGATCTTCAGCTGATGAACAAAGGTAAACTGGTGTATTTTAGAAAATGGATTGAAAATCAAAGCGTAAAGAAAAAATTATCCTGAGGCACACAGTCAAATCAGCAGTTTTAATATTGTAGGTGTATGTTTGCACCATATTAAAACTATAAATTACTATTATTCAAACAGGTGTTTTCATCGTTCATGTATCAGAGAAATACTTCTCCTAACTAAGTCAGGATGTTAGGCTGTTATCTCTTTGTTTATGACAGGACATTAAACCATGTTATGACCCAAATAAGCCTGGAGTGATATAACAGGAGTAAAATAATTCAATGGGGCCAAAAAATTGATAAGATAACCAGGGGAAGCGGCAAGGACAATCAGGTACTATATTTACTCCTGATTTCCCCAGACGTGTCCGACAATTGTGCGTCTACATGGAATCGGAGCAACAGGTTACAAAACAGGCACAAGAAGAGGTGGCACAAACACAGAAAGAGAGAGAGAGAGAGAGAAAAGAGAGACCTTGGTGGAGTTAGCACGCTACAACAGGAAACACTCCAATCTGCTTTTAATCACAGCAAGGCCCCTCCTCCACCCGTTCAAACCCCCAGACGGAGAGGAGGACAGCAGCGGGGCCAAGTTCTCCCACCTCTCCTGTCTGATAACAACTTTAAAAATGACAACTTCTCAGCTGTGAGAAGCGACTACATTCACAGTCACACACACACACCCATATAGGCAAAGACAATACACTGAATCTGCAACCAGCTCTGACACGGTAAACAGTGCGTGATTGTAGGCCTGCAGTCCAAGTGAAAATAACTGCTGTTATTCACTGACAATTGACTGTTTATCGTAATTATACTCATGTCTCAATAGGGATTGAGCTCCATTCTGTCTGTTCAATAGGCAGCACTGTATAGAGTAGCAGCCATGTTGCTTTAATTAGCTTGAACACAGTTAGCCATGCGAGCAGCTGTCAATACATCAATATAGTTTTAAAGCCTCTGTGATGTTTTCTGTGATTTCTTTTTGTACACTAAAGCCCATCCCCCGCTTCACGCACACATGCACAAATAACAGGATCCTGATCTTTGTCTTAATAACACAAGGAAACCCCACGTCTCAATCAGACTTGTAATTTCTGTTACGGTGGTTTTATGCATTCTTTAAACACACCAGAGAGAAAGCAGGATAATGCTGCTAAGTGGCCCTTCCAAGCAGTATAATAATACTGTGTAACATCTTATTATGCTGATATAAACAGCACAGTGGAGGAAACAGCAATGCCTCATGCACAGTGAAAAAAAAAAAGTGCACAACTTGAGGAAAAGGCTTTAAACCCCTTTTTTGTTTTGTCATACCAGCATTTTGTAAAACACTGCTGTGCAGGGGGAGCGAGCAGTTTTGTTGGCAGACGGCGAAGTCAGGAAATCACATGCTTTGGCTAAGCGGAGCGGGTCTGGTGAAACTGTAGAATTTTGACTAAAAAGGCGTTATCTGAACAGGAAGATTTACAGCCCAAATGTTAAAACAACTGCCTTTGCGTGGTGCTGCACATCGCAGAGAGGGACACACAACGACAGAGAGACACTGTGTGCTTTAGACAATAGAGATTAGACTTGGGGGTTTTAAAGCTCAGCAGTTTCCACACAAGCAGCTGAATTGCTTTAACATTTCATCTGATGAATTCCACAGGAGAAGCTTTTCCACTTAGAGTAAAAAAAAAAAAAAGTGAAGAAAGTGGAAAAAGCACCAAGACACATCTGACTTCTTCTCTACTTCAAACAAAAAAAGCTTTGCCAGTGTTTAATCTGTCACACGAGAAGACATCAGACAGACACACTCACCCCGAGCCATCGTGCTCCCTTGTTGGCTGCCTGCTGGATCTGCACCCTCTTCAGCGTCACATTGTAAATGGCTCCTTCCTCGACTTCCTCCCCCCAGTCCTGCACTGAGCTCTGAAAAAAAAAGGGGAGAGAGAATGTTAGAGACTTAAGGGGAGATAAAAGGAGACAGGAGAAGAGTTGCGTTTCAGGATAAAAGGTTGTAACAATTCCCTGTTAATGACCGTAGACTGCAGAGCCAATCAACAAGTTTCCCAGCAAGTGTCAGAGGAGTTGTTTCACCAAATGGGGAAGTATATTTTCTGGCATCCCCACTTTTAAAATGTGCAAATAAAAGGACCACAAAAAAGAAAGACAACAACATCACTTGAGCTCTCAAAAAAAAAAAAAAAAACCCACAGCATAAGTGCAGGGAGACCGACTCCCCAACCCCCACATCTGCAGCCTGTCAGGCCTCCCTCCCTGTCTTTTACTCCCTCTTTTATTCCCCTATCCATCTCCTTCACTCTGTCTGTCCCAGCCTCTAACTGCAGCTGAAGTCAGAGCTGGATGACTTTACTGGAGATAAGAGCCAGATTGGATGAAGTCTCTCACAACATAATAAAACCCACCATTTGCAGTACTCCTCTCTGACCGTTTGCCTGCTTCCCTATAACAAGCCAAAAGAGTTTGATAACAAATCTGCGCCCAGTGAGACTGAATGGATATGCGCACAACTTCACATATGTGCCGAGTTTGTATCTGGTTGCAATTCACAGATGATCAGACGAAACAAACAGAGGGAGCAGAAAGAAGTCAAACTACAAGTACGCTGAGGCACCAACATGTGGAGACAAAAACAGAGGCACAGACAGCAAAGGAGGGGGGGGGGGCAGGCCAAATATAAACACCATGAATACAAGTCTTTACACACACAGAGATATACACACAAGCTGCAGCGGCCAAGATCACCCTCATTCGTTCCCACTTTCATTTAAACAGCTCAATGGCTAAGTCCGCGCAGTATTCCCCCAAACAGAAGGGCTGCTAGAAAGGAGGTCAGAGGTCAAAGTTGCCATTAATGGGCTCAGCGGATAGTCTAGGAGACACTCGACCATGACTGTGCCGTGTTTGGGTTTGAACAGAAACATGTGACACTAAAAAGAAAGAGAAGAAAACCCAAACTGAGAAACACAAAGACAGAGAGAGAGAAAAGAGAGAGGAGGAGCGAAGAAGCGGAAAAGTTTAAAGTGGCTTCTTGCAAGCATGCCCGAGCTTTTCTTTTTTTTTTCAGCATTTCTCTGAACTTTATCTTCATGCCTGTCTCCTACCCTCTTCAGCATCTCGTCATAAGATCTGCAACCTGTACATGCACCTCTGTCATCCTCTCTCTCTCTGGTTCTGTAGCCGCCTGGATGGCCGGCCCAGCCACAGATAAATACATCATTGCATGAGTCATGCAGTCCACACACTCCCAAAACAATAGCGGGAGGTCTCTATGCTGGCCGACCTGGGCTGCTGAGTTCACAGTCTGCACACACAGCCTGCTTTTTGTCAGCCACAGAGCTGGAGATGTTTTTCAGTGCTGGGTTTAGAAGAAAAAAAGAAAAAAGCTCTGCCAGCTCTGAACACCACAGCAGGGCTTACACAAAGTTTCATGAGCTTGCATGAAAACAGATAAAAATTGAAAGCAAAGAGACTGTCACGTTTAGATTTCTTCTCAGTAGTGGACAGGAGATAGGAGTGAGTTTACAGAGAGCCCAGTGCATTAAATAATCCTGGGTATGATGTAAACAGGACATGAGTTGTTTACGGTCTTCTCTTGTTTGGAGTTGTTAAAAAGTGAACAGCGAGGACCCTCAGAGGAGCCAAATAGTGCTCTATCTTTGCCCAAATGGAGCCAATCTGCTTATCAACCTGTCCGCGGTGTGTGTGAAACAATACTCCAAAGATAACAACAACAGTTGGTTTAATTCTTGGGCGCTTGATCTGTTTGCTTTTGTGTTTTTCTCGCCTGCACGCAGCTGGGACCCGTGCAGATACACCAATGGCCCCGGGGCCACGCCAATTGTTCCCTCTGTATTTCGCTGCAGGCCCCCAGACAAAAGTTTTCATATCCACCATCAGGGAGGGGAAGCTAGCGGATCGAGATCATTTTCTGGCGGAGCTGTAAGGGGGTTTTTCCTCCCCACCCCCCTTTCTGTACCCCCACGTTTCCAAACTTTACGCGACATCTTTATGTAGGTTAAACTGGATTTAAAGCGCAGTTCAACAAATTAAAATGCACGGTACAACTAGTCCCCCACTCCTCCTCCCCCTTCTCCTCCTCTTCTCCCCCATTTATCCACGACTTTCCCATGCCTACAAACACCCCCTCCTCTGTCTCCCCCTTTCCTTTCTCTTTAAAACCACAAACTCGCCAACATAAAGTACGATGGCAAAGCATGTCAAGATGTCTTTGTTGAGGATTCATATTTACCATTTTAGTTTTCCAGGCGAATTTCATGGTGAGCGTTTCTTTCATGATCCGGGGACAGCATCAGAGCTTGAGAGTAATCCGCCAAGGAAAGAAGATTTTATTGTCCTTATAATGAATCCAAAGACGTCGCAAACAGAAAACAACTCCTTCTCCTTCACCGCACACACTTCTATCTGCCCGCTTCAAACTCCAAGTCCTCCTCCTCTGTCTGTCAGTAAGCTCTCCCTTCTTCTACTCAATGACCAAACTCCTCCTACTTGCACTCACAACAGTCTCGTTTAAACTCCTCCTCCTCTTTTTTTTTTTGTCCTCCCTTTTCATCAGAATGACAGTGTGCGCGCTCCGACGCAAGCAGAGGACGCAGGCTTGTAATTTCTGTTTGCGCAACGTATCAACTCACAAGGGTCATAAATGTCGTTCTTGAGAAACTCACAGTGGTCACTAATTCTATTGGTTCCTTTTAAACGATTATTCCTTTTTATTTCTTTTTTAATGGGGGTGGGGGGTGGGGGTCCTACATTTGCAGAAAGCTACAATATTGATTTATTTTTATAGATAGATAGATAGATAGATAGATAGATAGATAGATAGATAGATAGATAGATAGATAGATAGATAGATAGATAGATAGATAGATAGATATCACCGACCAAAGCCTGCCTATGCAGATGCAGTCAAAAAGAAAAGACTAAACTTTAAAATGGAGTTCAAAGTCTTTTCTCGTTATTGTTCCAGCAGAAATAAAACTTTTTTTTAAGCAGAAGAATTTTGTATCTTTATCTTTCATATCATTCCTCAGTGGCACAGTGGTGTTGTGGTTAGCACTGTCGCCTCACAGCAAAAAGGTCCTGGGTTCAAGTCCAGGTCAGGGCGTTTCTGTGGGGTGTTTGCATGTTCTCCCCGTGTCTGTGTGGGTTTATTCCAGATACTCTGGTTTCCTCCCATATCCCAAAAACATGCAGAAGTGGGGTTAGGTCAACTGGCCACTTTCAAATTGCCCATAGGTGTGAATGTGGGCGTGGATGGTTGTTCGTCTCTATATGTCATCCCAGCAATGAACAGGTGGCTTGTCCAAGGGTGTCTGGGATAGGCTCCAGCCCCCCTGGGAACGGGAATAAGAGGTAGAAAATAGAAGGAAGGATGGATTTCCTGAATATTTATTTATTATGATTTATTGTCAACAATATTATAATACAATTTTTTTGAGTTTGTCAATTTTAAGTTGGCAGAAAACCAGGTTAAATTCTGGTTAGTGGCAGGGGCAGGAAATCATGTCTACATGAGTCAAAACCTTCTAATTGCTGCTAATACTAACAAAACTCATTCAGAAGCCCGCCAGAATAATTACACCACTTCATTCCTCCCCCAAACCCCCGAGGTTTCCCATTTCTAAATTGGTTAATTCAGCCCAAACAGAAAACAGTGACTCAGATGACATCCTGAAGAGATCCATCAGGATTTCTTTTGGGCTTTGAACAATTTTCCTATCATAGATTTAGAATTATTCCAAAGTTTGTCAACCTGCTTTTACAGCAGATAACCATACATAATCATTAACCTAGAGATTTCATAAACTCATGAATGATGGCCGTCTTGTGTGAAGCAGCTGTAGCCTCGAGGTCTCTGCGTGGGACAATACAAGGAAGAGTGTAGATGCCGTCACTGTGCTGCTCATTGTCAAGGACAGGAGAGGAGTGGAGAATAGGCCGAGTATGAGAATGAACGACACTGTTCTCCGCACACGTACTCAAACTGCCCACATGTGTGAATAAACAGGAAGATATGAATCAATCCCGGGCTGTGTGAGGGGTCTTTTTGTATCTGTGTGTATCAATAAAGAGTTCATACATTAACTAAACTTCTGATTCAGAGTCAGGAGACAGCAGCAGGTTGTGACACTTACTGTCACTGCTAAGCTGGCTCTGGTCCACTTCTCAATATTTTGTGAATGCGCGCCCACTCCTCCAGCTCCCATAATGCCAACATGCCACTCATACGTCACACTCAGCGTCACTGGCTGTCAGAGACCACGCTGGAGGGCAGAGAAACACACGTACACTCATGCACCTACACTCACAAGGTCCCCATTTTTGTTTTCTTTGCTCCCCATTAGTTTTCCTCAGAGTCATTAGAGTTCAGGGAAGCCCGTCCAGCTCCATCATTTTCTCTCCGTGTGTGGTTATCTGTTTTATCAGAGTCCCCTCTTGCTGACTTTTCATCAGGATGTATATCTGGCTGAGCTCCAGTTCCCAGGCCGAGCTGCCCCGGTGTCCACTCGGTGTCTTTGGAGCTCTGGGAAGCCTAGAGTGGCAGTGGGAAGGTTGTGACCCTGCACGACCCCCAGCTCGGGCCCCAGGGAGATACAAGTGTTGGTCTCACAGTGGGAGTGATGTCACATCTCAGCCAAAAAACAAAATGTCTGACAGATGTGACAGCTGTGGCTCCACGTGATGGATGAGCAGATGAGTGTAAAAATGAGATGTTCAAGAAAGATGTGAAAATATATGTATACCTATCAGAAGTATAAAGTCGGCTATCAGTATCCTCTTTGACCTATTAAGGTCTGTTGTTTGAGAAAAAAGGAGGTCATACTTGAGTAAATGTCAAAGCTGTTTTTAGGCATTTTGGTCAGAACTAAGTCCTTGTGAAAAAATCCAAGCTAAGGAAACAGCTCAGTATGTGGGGAGGTATTTTAATTCTTCTCCTGAGGATACAGAGGGACAAAAAACACTCTCACTTTTACACTAAATTTAAGTCAAACCTGAAAGTGGTTAATAGCTCATAAAAGCTTTTAGTTTGTGTTGTTTATGCACATTATATATGGGCCTGATGAACTATTGATCCAATAACAGAAAATTATTTCACAGTTTTGTCCAATTAAAAAACCACAGGTAAGATCTACGGTGGCAGTGTACAATCTATACACTGACCAGAGGGTCAAACAGGTGTCATCCATGTAGATATTTTTCTCTGTTTCAGGAGGGAGGATAACATGAATGTTATTTGCAAAAATTTTTAAAAATGTCCACAAGTATTCCAAAATTAATCTTTTAAATTCTAAACAAGATGTCTTGAAGAAATCCAAAGCAGCAGAAACTTTACCAGAGGTAATCCAAAAACTAAAGTTGTTAATAAAAAAAGTCACTAAATTTACAGCACATGACAAGTCACCCTTCTCCCCTCTAAATTAAGGACCAATGATTGAACCAGCTGATGGCGTATTTGGATAAGTAGATCTCAATTTGTCTCAATGCATTCCTACTTGACTTATACAATTTTATCTCTGATCTGACCAACAGCAACATCAGTGACATAAATTTCGCTGCAGACATCTCGACTTTATCTAGACTTAAACAAGAAAAATACAATAGCACACCCTGATATGCAATTAAAAAAGACCCTTAGAGAGATATAACTCTTCTTTGTTTAATTACATGTTAACAAAAGTGATTCCTGTTGAATGATTGGTTAAAAATAAATGTCTATCTAAGCTCATTAAATCATGGCCTTTCTCTCTCTCTAAAGCATTCATACACATTATGAAAAACAAAAATAAAAAACAAGCATCAACAATCTTGCCATATCTGCCATGAAGGAAGGGCTGTTATTGGTTATTAGCTCTATTTTTCTACTGCACTTTGTTAATCTCCTGCCCCAACACTTTCCCTGCAGCAGTGGCTCCAGGCAGTAAACAACTCCACATGGAAAAATTTGTCTTTCCATCAGCTGACACTCTTGTTTGCTCTTGCCGATCATAAAAAGACACGAGCATTAATATCACTCTGTTTAATTACCAGCAACGACTCTCTAATGGGTGAAAACAAAAGGAAACAGTTGGCCTTCTCCTGACCAAAGGTAACAAATCCTCCTGCCAACATCCTCCAAAGCTCATTAATCGCTGCGTCATGATTCATTTCATTAATCTGCTCCAAAGGAACAAAGAATAAGAAAAGTTTTGGCTGTACAGGTTTGTGTCAGGAGCTGTTTGCTGCAGCGGATACAGAAACTTCCCTGAGTCTTATCATTACTGTGAGTTTGGCAGTCAAGGTGCTAGTCTCATCAACTCTGTGAGTACTTATCGTTATTTAAAACACTGGGAGATGTTACAGTAGTGTGTCTGCTTCACATAAAGAGGCTGATGATGAGGTGGAGAAGTCGTAGTTTGGCAGAAAACAAAACTACCTCTAAGCAAATGTGGACTTTAAGTGAAGTATATTTTGTGAATGTGTTGTATCAACCTCTCATATCCATGTGATTATGACCCAATCTTGAGAGGAGTTTGAGTCCACAGGTCCAGTTTCCAAGTGGTGTTATCCCTGGTACCAAGTTTCCCTCTCCACTGGAAGACTAATGACGTAATAACTCTTAGGAAAGCCCTTGACGGGGACACGGCAGTTTGTTATAATGAGTTCCTGCTATTATTAAACATCCTAAGCACCCTCTTCTCTCTGTTCCACAGAGTCCGAACAAGGACCTACAGTACAGACGGACAGACAGACAGCGAGGGGACAAAAACAGGAGGAGCGCTGCTCACACTGTTATTGCACCAGTGTGGGGAAAAAACGCACATTCCAGGAAATCTCCCACTTCCTGCCTCCAGCCTCCTGACTCCAGAGAGCCTGCTGTCCTCATACCTGACTGGCTGGGGGAGCCTCTGTGGCCTAGAGCACAGTCATAAAATCAGACTAATACAACAAAGGTAGAAGAGAGGAGAGATGAGAAAAGAGGGGGATCTTGATGCAGGAGAAACAGATCAGCTCTAAAGAAGGGGGTGGGGGTCAGACGCAGCATGTTTAACATCTCAGTGTTTACATACAAGATAAGAAGGCTGTGCATCAGAGACAGAGTAGGAGATGAACTTAAAAGGATATTATCTCCCCTTTGAGTGTGAGAAGAAGAGACAGAGTGGGAGTGTGAGAGTTCACAGTACAGTCAGAAAGTGAGAGGATCCATACTGGCTAAGAGACAAGGCATGATGCAACCAGACTCTCTCGCACTTCCAAAGAAACACTGATTTAATTTTTCAGACCGGAAAGAGATGCTCTGTTTTCTTCTCAGAACGAGCAGACGCGTCACTTCGCCCAGTCAGAGGAGTGTCTGCTGTGCTGTGCTCTGGCTGGAGCTGAACTCCCTCTTTATGGAAAACAGATTCCAAAGCGGAAAAGAGAGCATCTCTCCCGCTCCGGTATCTGAACCGAATGTGTCAGAACATTCGTGTGCTGCTCTTGTTTGTACTGTCTTTTCTCAGTATGTTTGTGTGCGGTTGGTTGGTCGGTCGGTCGGTGGGTTTGTGTTTCCAGAGCATTCTGCCCAGTAGAGGGCAGAGTTCATAAAACCGCTGTGTTTATCCAGAGTCAGCAGAGATTTTGATGCTGGAGCAGGCCGGAGCTACAACAACAGAGAGCTTGAAGATTTATGGTGCAGGGTTGAAATGATCTGCTATAACTCAATAAAAGCAAAAAAAAAAAAACAAGAACATAAAAGTGGCTTTTATCTCTCTCTTTTAAGAGCAGTGAAGCAGTGGCAGTGCCCTTACTAAGTGCATTTGCGACTTTAATAGGGTTTTAATGAAACAACAGATCGCTGTCTTTGTCTCCAGGAGCAGCAGCATCAGTGCAAACTCAGAGGGATGAGGACATACCAGGGCTTCTCTTATATAACTGACAGCTGCATTTCTTCTTCTTCTTCTCTCTCTCTGTGTCTGTCTCTTCCCCTCACAACTGAACCCCTTTGTTCAAACATCACAGCCCCGTCTCCTTCTCACTCACTCTCCCTCCTCTCCCCTCTTATGTCATGCCTCTGCCTCTGCCTCCCCTCATATCTATTGTTGTTGAGCTCTCCCTCTCTTTTCTCTGGACGGGTGACATCATTAGTTTCCAGTTAAGTCCGGAGCCGCTGTCAGACACCCCCTGTCCTCCTCCTCCTCCTCCTGCTCCCCCTCCTGCACACTCAACATTAAACACAGCTGACCCTGCAAACCGAGACAGGCTCCAAGGAAGAGTTGCTTACAGTTTTATTAACAACAAATCCACCATATCTCATTCCTGCGCAGACATGAAAATGTGCTTTCTTTTCTGGTAACAGGCCTCACGTGGGGTCGGTTAAACCCTGGCTGAGGTGCTTTAAGGTGTCTCTGCATTTAGAAGAGTGAGGATAAACAAAAGACACACACAAACACACAAACACACACACACATGAACCCTCTCTGGGGCCTCAAATCTGACCCCCACTAGATCTAAGCCCCGCTAAGCCTTGAAAGAATCGGTCTGGACCTGATCGGTTGTCTGTCTGACCTCCTGCTAATGAGAGATGGGCCATCTGTTGCCCAACAGGGACATGCTAACCCTCAAGTTGTCACATATGCAACAAAAACAACACACAGCATCAACTGGGCCACTTGCACACCGGTGATGACTGCAGACCCACACTACAAAGCACACACACATGTGTCACAGAAAGTGGAAAATCACACTCTTCACCGACTGTGGAGAGAATTAACTCCTGTCACTTGTTATATTTCTGAGCTGTATAGCACCCCCGCCTGCGTTTGTGAGCGTTACATCAAAGTGTGAAGCATGTGCGCTGTAGGAAATGAAACTGCGTAAGCGGAGCACATAAACAACACATACTTGAGCTGCTGCTGCAAAAAAAAGAGGCAGTCGCTGTATTGAAGCACAAAAACAATGTGGCTGTTGCAACAAAACTGACCTTAAAATACTCTCTTAAAGTGATGGATGCACTAAATATTGAATAGAATTATCATGTGCGTATAAACCTTTCCTACTCTGTCATTTAAACAACTAAAGGATGTATATGTTCTTATGCTGAAGCTTATATTTTCCTGACTTTTGTAAGGTTTGCCCTTGCTTACATTGTTTTCATCTCAAATACGCTGACATATAGGGTGTGTGAGTGCTGACCTCTTATATTAACGACGGTCATCTCCCACTGGCATACTTTGAAACTCAGACAACCACACACATACTCTCTTTAACTAACACACGCGCTAATACACATATCACAATGTCAGCTTGATCCCAGTCATGCGTCAAGGCTTATAGTGCGAACCCTGCCTGAGCGGGAAAAGGAATAGAGAAGTGTGTGTGTGTGTGCATGTGTGTGCATGTGTGTGTGGAGGGGTCACACTACTGCACACACAAACAGTTTAAAGCTGCAACACCATAAAACGTCTAAATCAAAGACACACATTTCCCTCAGATTGACCCGCTTCCAAATCACGCACCCATGTCCATATGGCACGATGAGTTTCTGCCTCAGTTGAGCGGGCTTGGGGTTGTCCCACTGGGATGGATGGATGGATGGATGGATGGATGCGTGGGTGACAGGGACAATACCCACAATATTGACTTTTCACACCACTTCTATTATGTGGCCTAATTAGGCTAAAAATCACAATATGAAGCTCCAGCAGAGCCGCGGGTGGAGGGGGGACAACTTGACTTGCAGGAGGTCAGTGAGTGTGTAAACAAGTCTTAAGAGGTGGACAGAACAAAGGAATGACCGAGAAGTGGATTTTTGGAGAAAGGAGAAGTCTGGTGCTTTGTGAATTGTGCAATTTGAGACAAAAGAAAGGACAGGAATGACAGGACAGAGGCAGATTACCGTCTCTCAAATGTGTCTGATATTGTCGGTGGTTATTGGGTTAATCAATGACCCTAATCCATGCTCCTTTTAAAACTGTTTATGTGTCATAAATCTTTAGAAATGTAAAACACGACCATTTTTAGGTCAAAGTTGGAGACTTATCCGGACAACATGAATGAATCACTTGAACAAAAAACATGACACAAGCAACAATGTAAACTTTAGACATGGAAACACTGAGACGTCACAGCGCATCCTCCTGAAACGTGCACTTCTCTGTGCAAAAAGGACAAGAAAGAGGAAGGAGGAGTGCGAACTCAGCTTTCTTATTTTTTTCAATGGAAACACACACATCATCGAAACTCCCCCCCCCCCTTCCTTTGTCCCTGTTTTCCCTCTTTTGAAGACGCTTCTGCATTTCCAGCAAATGACCCACTGAGGTTATTGAACTGCTGTATTGGGTATTGAAGGCCAAACTGGTGTTAGATGGTGGCTGACATTTTTTCTCTCTGCTGGAGTTTTGATTGATCGGCCTGTGGCTTCATGACATGCTACTTTTAGTGACAGAAGAAGAAGAATGTGAAAAAATACCAGTAAAATAACTCAGAAAGATCTGGTTGTTTGTCTTTATCTGTCAAACCAAGACGTAAACAATTGTGTACATAGAGCCTAATCCAGGGACTTTTGGTTTGTATTTATTTTGGTGCTTCCAGTGGGTAGAGCGCTCCTATCCTGTGAATGCTTAATGCTTAAACAGTGTCGTCTGAAACAAAATCTCTTTTTTCTGACTTTTGATAGTCAATTTATAATTTATTGTAATTACTTGATGTAGAAATTGTAAAAATAGGGCTGTTTCTTCAGCTGCTTACACAAGTTCCAGGTACTACAAATTGGGATATACAAAAAAACATCATTAAAAAGCATCAGTTTAAATTTCGGTCTATTTCAAAAATGTGAACAAACTCCTCATAGGAGCTTTAAATAATCATTTCTGTTCCCCTGTAACTTGAGTGTGATTCTGCATGTTTGTGCCTCCCTGTCCTCAGTGGACTGTTCATTATGGCTGACACCTCAGCACTCCTCCCTGAACTGTGGACCTCACAGCAGCGTGATTCGCAGACAAATTATCACTTTAATGGCTGCCTTTATGACTGCTCACTTTCATAACCCCACACAGGCTGCGAACAAGTTACCTCACAACACCTGAGTGTTGTAAAAGCAAAGGTCTTTGAGCTACCGTGAGCTGGCTGATGAACCCTTGAGGAGAGTTTGAACCATGTTTGTTCTTTTCATTTTCATTGTTTTATGTTCTTTCAATTCGCTCTGTCTCGTAAATAAATAGTTTCATCCAACAACTCTCTTTTACCCTGCATTGTTTTGTCTGACAAAACTAAAACCTTTCTGTGATCCCGCTCACCGCCATGTTGACAAGCTCTGACAGCAATAACTCCTAAATATCATGAAAAAACAGTAACAAGGATGAGACAAATATGGCAATGCACGAAAGTTGAACCTCAGCTGGTCTTTACCATTTAGAGAGTGTCAGCATCTGCGAGCTAACCTCCAGTCTTTCACCCTTTGAAACAATTGGAGGAAGCAGCGCTTTTAGACTGGAGGACACGTCAGCCAGGATGTCGCATATATTCAGAGAAAGGATGATTTTCCCTAAACACTGATTAAAAAAATATGAATAAGAACCAGAGTTAATCAAATATCCATCAGAAATTTAAAAAAAAGAATAATTAACTGTACTTAAGGTTATTTCCACAACCGTTCTAATGGATTTTTGTGCATAAATTAGATCCTCGTTGAATAAATTTCCAAGAAATATCAGATCTGGAGCAGGTAGGAGTTCAACATCTTGCTTTAAGACTCTTTAGCAGCCTTGTTTTCTGACCTCAACCCATCTACCCATTAAACCTAAACGTGCCAAGTGTAAACACCAGAAATATTTGCAGTTTAGCCTCAATACCGCAAGTGCGCACATGCGACAATTAGCCACAAACTAAGCTGGACTAAGCCAAGGGTTCATTTCTGGTAATCACAGTGTTAGGAGAAATCTGCAGCTTCTTAGGAGATTTAAATGAAGATAATTAAACAAAAATGTGAACACACTCTTTAATGTGTGTAATGTGAACAAAGATTTAGACTTGGACGGTAATTGGCTGACGCACTTTTGAGTTGTTCTTGCGTTTGGGTTCTGAAGTAGCCTGAGTCATGTCTTTTCTGTGAACTCTGACCAGTCAGCAAAGCCGTGCGCACACACACACACACACACACACACACACACACATACACACTCCGTGACCGATAGTTACAGTGTGAATTACAGCCTTTCATAAGAGGTCAGCTGTCTTGTCTGTGCAGCCAAAGGTTACTGTGTAGTTTGCGTTCTTGCACTAGATGCGCTGTCGACTTACTGTGCCAAATCTCCATGACTCACGGCTCAAAAGTTGTGAAATTTACAGTTTTTTAATAAATGTCAAAGCCATAATGGAAAACTTGTCGCTGATTGATTTTGTTTTTTTAACACCTACACTGTACATCACTCAGGTGGTTTCTGCAGGAGGTGTAGATCAGTGGTTACAGGATGCATCACGTCCACTTAACTGTCCATGTGACCGCAACACAGCCCAGAACTGTTAAGTCCAAACCAGCCTCATGTTTGCCATAATTTACTCCTCAGCTGTAATCAAATACCGGCCAATCTCTCATGCAGTCACCTAAGAATGTGCAAAAACACTCTCCACGGTTTTTCTTACTCTCACCTTCCCCTGTTTCTCACATTCACCAACAAACAGACCTTGGCTGAATCATAAACTCTGCCGGTCTCACAGCTTGTTATCTTACTCCTTTCACAGCTCCAAACGCTTTCTATTATGCTTCTCAATTCCCATCCTTGAGTCTATCCAAACTGACCGAGCCTTTGACACAAAACAACACTGCAGATCTTCACACACACATGCACTGTAAACAGCAGCAGCAGCAGCAGGCATGGGAAGGCCATCCAACAGCTGGCAGACTGTTCAGCAGGACTCGGAGTACCTGCACATGCCTCCATGAAATGACAACAGATTTCTACCACAACAGGAGTATTGTCTTTGTACTGACCCAGTGGCGCGGGCTGCTCTCTGGGGAGCGAGGCTGGTACCTCTGCAGGTAGACGCCGCCCTCCCCTTCCAGCAGTAAGGTGCAGTCCAGGTCTGGACAGCTGTTGTAGTGGGGTCCAGTGGGCCAGGGCAGCAGGGTGGCCAGAGGGTAGTGGGAGATCATGGTGACCGTCTGGATCAGCGGCATGGATGACCGGGAGGCCAGGGCATACTGCTGTCTGGACCGCAGAGTGGATGGAGGTGTTGGTCTTCAGGTGTTGAGGATGGAGATGATCAAGATTTTGGCTCCTCGGGATCTTGCTCTCCAGATGCTCTCACACCTCCTTGTCTCTCCTGTTTGAAGATTTGCCTTCTCTCTGAGGTGTCAGTAATGATAACTCTTCTTCCCTTACTCTTCTTTACAATTTCTAACTCTCCCTCTTCTGTTTTTTTCCTTCTCTCTATTCCTGTGTAACTCTGCTTGCCAACAACCTCATGAGTGATTAAAGTCTATTGTCTTTCTCCCTCCTTCTCTCTCTCCTGCCCCCTACATTCATCCCGGCCACAAGGAGGAGAGGGAGGAGGAGTTAAGACTAAGTTGCCCGCCTCTCCTTTTTTTTCTTTCTAAGAACACTACCCACAGACGAAAGAGAGTGTGGAAGAATGTGGAGAGAAAGACGGGGAGACTTTCCTGGCTGTGATAAAGAGGAAGATACACGGGAAGAGGCTCGAAGAATTACTGACAATAGCAGATATTTTCCATAATGGACGGACTTCTGGACTTGTTATGTTCGGCTGAATCCCAAAATGCACTCATTAAATCTGCCAACACCTACTAAAGCTAATTCTCATTGTGTGGAGTCATTGTTATTTCCATATTGTGACATAATCCTTCCTTCAAAATACCTTAATGCTTTTAGGTTTCTCACCAGAATGATTTTAAACAGTAAGTTTCTTAATGAAAATGTGATATACAAACTTAAAGCTCTAGTAAGGAGTTTTGAGTAATACTAGTGCCTACATGTGACCTACAAAAGCAAACAAAACCAAAACTGACAAGATTTATTATACCTATGTAGGTCCCTTGCTACTGGATTTATAATGTTATAAATGTGAAAACAACGACAACAACATTTTTAATGTTTTTATACAACTCCGTCTTTTTCCACTGAGTTACATGGTTTGGATTTTTTTGTTCTTTAGAGAACAAAAAAAAAAAAACATAAGGTTCTTTGAAAAAAAGTAAAAAGTTTACAAAACAAAATCAGCAAAGAAATATTGGTTTTAGCTTTGTCCACAGGGGGCGCCAAAATCAATGCACTACAAACACTAAAAGACCCTCACTGGAGCTTTAACTAATTCCTCTGTGACTACTTCTATATGTTTGGTTAGTTCGTTAGTTCGTTAGTTCTTTAGTTAGTTAGTTAGTTAGTTAGTTAGTTAGTTAGTTAGTTAGTTAGCTTGATTTTTAGGTTTGATCAGTAGCTTAATTTTCCACTAACGGTAAATGTAGAAGCATGCATGGAAATTATCTTTATAAAATTTAGCAACTTTATGAAAAAATAACTCAGCAAATTCAGACTACTACTAAGACACACAGATGAACGTCATATAAACTTTATGATCTCCAGTCTGGATCACGATATTATATTTAGTGCAATAGCACACCTATCTCATAAATTTCAATGCACTTTGTGTTATCAAAGCATTTTTATCACTTCCTATTTCTATTTCTTTTTTCTAAAAATCATGAAGTCACTTATTTAGCTCTCTCTTAGATTGAACAACTCAGTGAAATTTGTGACAGCAGGATTAAAGCCACGATAAATGTGTAACAGCAAAAGACAGCATGCCTGTGTGTGTGTGTGTGTGTGTGTGTGTGTGTGTGTGTGTGTGTGTGTGTGTGTGTGTGTGTGTGTGTGTGTGTGTGTGACTGAGTTCAGAGTACAAGTCAGAGCCACTGAAGTGTGAAACACTGCTGTTTAAAAGAAGAGGATTATCTCGGGCCAGGCACTGCTCTGACACACACAGACACACTCAAACACACAACTACAGCAGACGAAGATTAAATGGTTAATGTTGTACTAAGTATGAAGTAAGTTTGTCTCACAGTTAGATGCTGCAGTGTGAATTTAACGTTACATCCTGTTTTCTTTAGTAAATAAACAACCACTGGAAAAACACAAGTGTCAGAGAAGCATCCGGTGAAGTCGCCCCACAGCAGAGGGACTTTGCAGGACACACACACAATACACACACATGCACACGTTTAACTGTAACCATAAGTCTGCACTGTCTCGTTTTGTTGGAACGTGCTCACCTCCCTGTCTATCCATTTACCTTTTTTTCGTGATCTTTCAGCCCATCAAGTCACTGCAGCAGATCGCTGTCCACCAATGACTCTTTTCTTGTTCAAGATTTCTGCCTGTTGAAAGGAAGCTTTTCTTTGCCTGTATGGAAAAGTGCATGCTTATGGTGCACCCACGTTGCACTCCTTAAAAAAATGCACAAAGAGATACATATAGTAATGATCATTTGTGAAGTTCCGCGAGATAACTTTTGTCATAATGGGTTTAGACTGGCAGTTGCACATTAAGCCTCGCTCTTCATCCTCTGTCTGTCTGTGTCATTAACTTTGAATCATTATGTCCTGTTGAAGTCCCTGAGCTACCTCATCCAGTAGGTTCTTCTACCACACCAAAACGGGAGTTTGGAGCACTCAAACCGGATATTTCTGAATCCAGAAAAACAAGTGGAGAAATAAAAAAATATCCGTATTAGTGGATTCGTGTGGTTGAACTTTTCCGGATTGATGACGTCAAACCGCAGCTCGCGTATGCAAATTAAAAAGAAAAACAACAACGACGATGGCGGACATACGTTTGTTTTGCCCTTTTGGTGCTCATTTCAGCCTTACAAAGAAACCTTGTTTTATACAATTACATCCACCAGTCAACCAGCTCACAGAGGTGTTATAGCCGCCACACCGTCACATGGACCCGACGCACTAGCGTAGCTTCCGCAAACAATGCATGACGCATCACGCTGTTACGATTCATCGGCCAATCAGTTAGCTTTGTTCCTGAATTTCTTTAAGCGGCACCAGATAGAATTGAGTTTGAAGGCTACGTGTGGACGTAGATATTTCTGAGAACTAACACGCGTGGACAGATACAGTTATTTAGATGGGAGTACAAAAATATCCTGATAAATAAATATCTATACATAGTCCTTGAGCCGGACCAGATGTCGGTACCACTTGGGTGGGCAAAACCTTACATATACTAAATTGTTTTTAGGGTCAATATAAGTAAATTGAAATATGATAGACTTTTCATAGGGGTAGCTTTTTATATTTTTTCTCATTTTGTTATTTTCCTCAATAGGCGAATTTTTGTTAACTCCAAAAGCAAAACAGAAAGTCAAAAGCACATTAAAAGTCACACTCTTTTTGGGTCACACTGCTCTTTTCTATAAATGAATCAAACCTGTGTCTAATTAAATGAGTTGATGAAGTGGGAGTGGCCCAATTTGATGGTGGAGCAGTTCTTTCAGGTATCATAGCACTTGAGCCAAGAACCAAAATTTCACATATCGGTACCACTTGTGTGGGCAAATTCTAGTTGTGATTTTTTTTATCGCTATACATCCCTACAATAAGTTTTTATATGATAGACCTTGGTAACTGGTAGCTTTATTGTAGTTATCACTCATTGAAGTAATAGAGTTCAGCTGTTCAAAAACGAAAAATCGCCTTCCTTCAAAATGAGCTTTCTTTCATTTTAACCTCTCATCTAGGTGTGTTTGAACTATTGGCTAGCCATAGAGACTTGTAATAACCCCCTAGGTAGTATTTCAAGTAATTCATCTAATACAGGTGTGTATATATAAGCTTCAATTAGCCAATTGTCAGGTCTAAATCAAGGTCTAAATTAAGGATATTTTTTTACTTAGAAGTAGAAGTAAAGTAAATGCAGACTAATAGCATTATAATAACACAACTTTAATATGACACTGACATATTTTCAATGCAGGAACTCAATATAAATCATCCTGGCTGGTGCAGGGCAAGAAGACATTAGCAACAAAATAAGATCTACTGATGTACACTCTATACAATCATCTGAGAAAAACTCCAATTCCTATTCAAAGTCCTATTCTTTCCATAAGGAACAGTGACGGCAAATATGTCAAGTTTTGGCTTAGTACATAATACTGTCACTGAGTCACAGTGGGTCTGTTAACATAGCTCCCTTTGGTCATCACTTATTAATCAACATCAGTTATCGACATCAGTATCTGTATCTTCTTCTACATCTGAATCTGCCGGTGCGCAAGGGGCTCTTCCTCACTGTACTGATTGGCACAAGTTTGTAATTTGCACAGGTTTGTGCACTTCAGCCCATTGCTGAGACAGAGTAGTCTGGTGGTTTGCATGTCCTCACACACTTGCAGGATAGCAACTGCAAGACCGAAGAAGTAAAGTAAATGCAGACTAATAGCATTATGATAACACAACTTTAATATGACACTGACATATTTTCAATGCAGGAACTCAATATACAATCATCCTGGCTGGTGCAGGGCAAGAAGACATTAGCAACAAAATAAGATTTACTGATGTATACACTCTTTACAATCATCTGAGAAAAACTCCATTCCTCCACCAAGAACTTGATGAGACTGGCTTTGTTGGCAGGGCTGCAGAGAAGTTTCCTCCACTGCTGAATATTGTGGCCAGAAACAATGTTTCTGAACTGGATCCCCATGTCTGCACCTCTGTTTAGTCTTTCTGAATTTTTGATTGACATGTCCTTGTAAACGTCAAAGACAACGTCAGTCCTTTCACTTTCACCACCTTCATGCAGGACCTTGGCTAAAGTTGAGTCCAGCCAGCTTCCACCATGTCAGGATTGCGTATTAATGCATTTGATTCGTGCCAACTACCAGGCTGCTATCTGGAGACGGTCTCTTCATACCAAGCCATCTGTACCAAGTCCCAAGGACCATGCGTGGACCATAAATGACAAAGGGCAGCTAGAAAACAGTGGATGCGTGGTTCCCTAGCACCAGATGCGGTCTTGCAGTTGCTATCCTGCAAGTGTGTGAGGACATGCAAACCACCAGACTGCACATGTCTCAGCAATGGGTTGAAGTGCACAAACCTGTGCAAATTACAAACTTGTGCCAACCAATACAGTGAGGAAGATTCAGATGTAGAAGAAGATACAGATACTGATGTCGATTACTGATGTTGATTAATAAGTGATGACCAAAGGGAGCTATGTTAACAGACCCACTGTGACTCAGTGACAGTATTATGTACTAAGCCATATTTGCTGTCACTGTTCCTTATGGAAAGAATAGGACTTTGAATAGGAATTGGAGTTTTTCTCAGATGATTGTATAGAGTGTACATCAGTAGATCTTGTTTTGTTGCTAATGTCTTCTTGCCCTGCACCAGCCAGGATGATTGTATAATGAGTGCCTGCATTGAAAATATGTCAGTGTCATATTAAAGTTGTGTTATTATAATGCTATTAGTCTGCATTTACTTTACTTCAACTTCTAAGTAAAAAAATATCCTTAATTTAGACCTTGATTTAGACCTGACAATTGGCTAATTGAAGCTTATATATACACACCTGTATTAGATGAATTACTTGAAATACTACCTAGGGGGTTATTACAAGTCTCTATGGCTAGCCAATAGTTCAAACACACCTAGATGAGAGGTTAAAATGAAAGAAAGCTCATTTTGAAGGAAGGCGATTTTTCGTTTTTGAACAGCTGAACTCTATTACTTCAATGAGTGATAACTACAATAAAGCTACCAGTTACCAAGGTCTATCATATAAAAACTTATTGTAGGGATGTATAGCAATAAAAAAATCACAACTAGAATTTGCCCACCCAAGTGGTACCGATATGTGAAATTTTGGTTCTTGGCTCAAGGACTAACACGTGTAGTTCAGGCCTTAGTCTCTTGATTTTTATCACTTATACAAAGCGTATGTTGTTGTTCGTTTTTATCCATCTCTCTTTCTGTACATCCCTCTATCCCCGCCCTAATCCCAACGCAGCCTCTGCAGATGACTGTCTAACATGAGTCTGGTTCTGCTCAAGGTTTCTGCCTGTTCAAAGGAAACCTTAAGAGAAAAACTATGTAAACTAATTATTATGATACTGTTTTCACACCAATGCATTAGTATAACATTGTAATCATATCAGTCACAAGGTCCATTTTCAGTGTTCTGAGTTCTCAAGTAGGTGGTTAGAGTTTGATTCCAGCCTGTTGCCTCACCCCAACATGTCACCCTCACTCTCTCTCCATAAATATCACAAAAAAAGAGTATTTTGATATAGTTTTTATTGTTGCTCTATCTAACCTCTCATGACAGCTCAATTTTGCAGAATAATCTCTGTCGTAGCACCAGATCTCATGTCTCTCATGAGCTCTGATTTCGCTGCGACCATGATTCAGACCTTCAGTCTGACTCAGCGTGACAAAATTCCTCTGCAACCTTCATCACAGAAAAATGCAATGAGCCTCCACCTCAACTATGTGTATATTTAGAACTGACTCATGGTCAGAGGCCGTGGATGAAAAATAACACTGAAGATTAAAATGCCTCTGTAATCAGACCAGATAAACGGAGCTGAGCTGAAGTGTCTGAAGAGGAAGATAATTATAAGCATTTATAAAGAACATGTCTGTCTGGATTGTATGTGTGTGTGATTGTGTGTGTGTGTGTGTGTGTGACTGCTGGGAATGAATGGGATAATAACAGGCAGGAAGGGTGAGTTAACACACTGCATGTCTTCTTGTAGTGTGGATGGACTTCCAGTGAACCAGCCTCCCCCTCTTTCCCCCGGTTTCCTCTCTCTGTTGTTGAGAGCTTTCCACTTCCCTCCACTTTACTCATCAGCCACATTCAGCAGTCTTCACTTGACTTATGCCCTACTTGTACAACGTGAGCACGGCACTAAAACAGCGAGAACATATTTCTTTACAAAGTCTTCTTCCTCTCAGTGTCACTTGTGTTCATTGTTCATTTAAATCCTTCACTTTCCTGGCTTTTCTTCTCACTTTCAATCAGAGTGTGATGACAGACTCATGGTGTATCCAGGACTAGTTTACACAGCTGGTTAGCCAAGGCTCTCTAAACTCTTACAGCGCACATACACACACTTTCACACACACTCTACACTTAAGATCCATTCAGCAGAAAGGAAACCTCTCCTCCTGGCTTCCTTTCTTTTTTCTTTCATTTTTACACATCGTGAAACACAAAAGTAGAGCTCTCTATTGAGCGCCACATTTAATACAACGGAACAAAGTTTAATCCTTTTTGCTGAGACATAAAAGTAAAAAGTACAGGATCTGAAGAAGAATTCATATCCCTTTTCAGCTAAATTAACTCACATTAAGAGTTTAAGTGTTAAGTCCAGGTATAAAAGAAAAACGGGACAACCGAAAGAAATACGTTGAAGTGTACTTCAGGTATAAAGTTTTAATGGTTTTTATAACCTGAAATTGGGCCAATTTAGTCCCAAGCAGTTAACTTGTAAGTGCTCTGGTAGTATACAGAACTTTAGTATACTTCTTAAATGTACTGGATATCTACTTATTTTTGGTGAGGGAGTTTACCTGTGATACCAAAACTGGTCATAAAGCATACCTCATCCTTCATAACAGAAAGAAACGTAGAAATTAAATTACAAATCTCTCTATATATTTTCTAACATAGAGAGCAGCTTCTTTTTAACATGCAGATTACTGTGTAGGTTTATATTTTGGAAAAGTCACGTTTCATTAATTTATCTATTTTTGAAAAAGATGATTGATTGACAGCTCTGTTGACAAATAGTGGGTCCTGATGCGCTCTTTACCACATTGTCAGAGGATTGGCTAGAGATGAGACACAAGATGTTGAATTTGGAGTAAAATATGAATTGTGTAAGAAAATACCCGTATGATGGAAAACTCAAACTTTTTGCAGATTTTGGTCCCCCAAAAGTGAGACGTCTTATCTCTTTGTATGCATGAGCGGTAGTTTTAATGAAAAGTCTTTCCTTGCTTTCTTTTTTTTAAGTCACATGTATCACTCAGTTTGAATCTTTGCAGTAAGAAATGTTTATATGTTCTGTTCTTTTTTCAGTGTGCTGTTAATCACTTTGTGTTACACCCACTCTGTCGCAGTGATAACAGACACTGAAAAAGACTCTGTGATGGTTTTGTTTGATTTTGTCCCTCATAGAGAAATGTCCTTTATAATTTAAGTCTAGCCTGTTAAAAACTCTGCACAGGAACTTTAAGCAGAGGAAAACAAACATCATACAAACATCAACAACATGAGAAATGTTATAAGTTGCTATCATTATGTAGAATATTCAGATTTTGTCATTTTCTCATAGAGGTTTTTCAATATTTACAAATTTGCACATCAGGAAGTTTTTGTTTTTATAATGACTCCACACTGCTCCCTGCTGGATGACACAGGAAAACAACTAACACAACTCCAAATAAAAGAATTAAGACGGCTTTATTATTTCAATGGATAATACTGGAGAATTAGCATAAAACAAAAACAAAAATCAGATAATTCGATTGTTTTTATGGAGGTTCATGTTGCCTTTAAGTGTTGCTGCAGTCAGACCCTTTTCTGCTCTGATAGTATAACTCTGAATCAGTTTGTGCTCACACACAGACTTATTCAGTGACTGAGTGGAGGTCTCAGGGCGCTCTTGTTGACACTGAACAGTTACTCATTATCAGTGAGAGGAAGAGAACAGAGAGAGACAATGGAGACTTTCTCTGGATCACTGACACTGAGAGAAAAAGAAAAACAAAAGGCGAAGGAGGCGGTAGAGGCACCCAGAGTGTTTTAAAAGCAATGTTTTGATTTTCCATTTCCTTCTCCCTTTTATGCTTCCTTGGTCTTTTGAAATACATGAGCATGTGTGTATGAGTGGATCATGTCCGTACAAGAATGTGCGTATGTGTGAGTGTGTCCGTCAAAAGGACACGGCCTTACAACAGCAGTATGAGTCACTGACCACATCCCTGCGCGGTCAGCAGCCTCTCTGACTCATTTGATGCACTTACACAACATTATTACTTTTATTATATAAAGATTCACATATGTTTGCTCTCAATTCCCAGTAACATTGAAAACGTCTTTTCTTCTATGCAAAAGAAACAAACTCTCACATTTCCAAACTGTGATTTTCACATAAATCCACAAGTGTTCCAACAAAGATCTGATCCATATGCCCTCCTGTACATTACATTATGCTAATACTTCACATATGAATATAGGCTCCGTTGCTGTGTTTCCCATCCAAATAGCCAGCCCCCCTTGAAAGTCTTATTTTATTCAAAGCAGGTTTTTTCTGTTTCTTATGCAGTGGATTTCCCTTGACTTTTACTTTCCAGCACTTGTTCTTATTCAGTGTGCAGCAATTGTTTGCATGTGATATTGAAATAGATATCAGAATACTTTACTTTCCTGGTATACATTAGTGTATCTCTGAATTCAAGCTCCAGTCCATCGAAAAATGCATGTGTTGTAGCTTTCTGCCCTTTGCTAATACCACTAGATCAGTTGCAATGAGTATAACAAGTCGGTCCCCTTATAGTGAAAAGTTTTAAAAACATCAAAGTTTAACAGTTAATACTTGAAATCACTTTTGGAGGTTTACTTTTAGTCTGCATTGTAACATGGCTTGAAAGCGATAATTGATAACATGATGTGGAGGTAAGGTTCAGCTGTGCTGTGAGTTAAATGTTATACAAAAATGAGTGACCTGGACAGTGTAGGGAACCATCAACATGACAAACATGTTTTATCCTCTAACCCACATCTCCTTTGCTTAAACACATCTCCATGTGTGTGGTGTAGATAAGAGTCAGTCTGGTTCAGAAGAAGTGAGGGTGCAGACAGAGAACTTGATCTGATAAATATTTTACATAATGTCTCAGAAAACCGGGGCTGTGTGTGCCTTAGAAAAAAACAAAATGACCATGAACATAGTAGAGAAAGGCACTTGCTTTGCTGCAACAACACAGAATTACCATTTAGCTGCATCTCCTCCAATGACATGGTCTCCAGTGAGGATGCTGTGGCCCGTGACAGCACCTGTACTCCCCAGGAAACTTCATCAGGACCCTGTTTAAAGTCTTAAACTGGAACAACTTCCTCAGTAATGAACAGAAAGCTGTTCAGGCATAAACACAACAACCACACTTGTAATCACCACTGCTGTGACATTGCTGAGCTCATTCCTCTGCACTCTGTACCAGCCCCTTACCCCCTACCACTTACCTTAAATATGCAGATGACACTGCTATCATTATTGCACCCACAAATAACAACACCATGCTGGTCCATCACAACTCTGTAGCTCCTTGACTCAATAGTGTAGGAACAAACAGCTAAATTTCAACAAAATTTAAGAAACGGTCATTGGTAACATGTCAACCCACCTCCTACCATTATTCATGATAGAAAACCATTAAAAACAGTTGACAAATATCTCAGACTAATGCTTGACAATAAACTCTGCTTTGACCCGAAAGTTGAAGAACTTTCAGAAAAGAAGCAGCCGGAGATAACACGCATCATGTCACAAAGTGTACCAAACTCACACACATGACCGAGCCCTCTGCCATGATAACAGGTCTCCCACTTTAAAACTTTCAGAGATAAAAACTACGTTCATAACTTTGGAAACAGTATCAGACAAGACTGCACTCCTCTGGAAAGAGGTACAGAGTCCCAGTATGCAAGAGGGCCTCCAGCCATAGCAACCTTTAAAATTGCTTTAAGTTCCTCTGTATATATACAGTTTCTATGTCTGTGTCTCTGCAAGTATCTTCAGGAAATACAGGATTTAAAGGCAATATAGGTATATGATTTTGAAAACATTTGTTCTGTTCTGTATCGCAGCAGAGAAAAAAAGGAATGAAGAAGAAGATAGGAGAGTAAAGGACGGGAGAAAGCTTTAACAGAAGTTGTGAAACTACTTTTTCAGGCCACACTATCAGAAGGCTCTGGCTTAGCGCAAATGATGATTTTGTTAAACGATACCATGTCTTTGCGTGGTTGCTTTTGTAAAAATGCGTTATATAAGGTTGTGTGGGCACATACAGAAAATATTAAAGTTTCATAAGATAAATCCTGCAGTTTTTGTGTGTATTTAAAGAGAACTTGCTGGCCCTTGATTTTCCTTTGTTCCCCTGGGAATGTGTCAACATGTCATTGTGTCAAGAGACGAGAGAGCGGGAGAGAGAGAGTATTTTTATTTCCTGCAGATATAGGGTCACATATTATACATGGTTTTGACAATATTAATTTTGAGCCTAATGAGTTATTGACCAAATTTATAGTTGATGTTAATTTGTTTATCATGAGTTGTAAAAACAGTTAAATCAAATTGCCAGTGCAACCAGCAGGTGGCAGCATTATCCTTTTCAGTATCTGGAAAGGTCATTAGCTGAGAGAGCAAACAGGTTAATGTGGCATTCATATAGGAAGTCTCTATCAGCATGACACATATACCAAGAAAAGTCCAGTCTGTGCTGAGAAAAGCAAGTGAAACAGTGTGATCATCTGGTTAAACACCAAATTGCCGATTGCTGGAAATTATGAAGACTTAAGTTTCAATTTAACTATGTGATGCCTCCTCCCTCGTCATATCACCCATGACTTCCACAACCTCCCCCTACCATCCCCACTGTCTCCTCACCCCTCCTCTCCATCAGATCCCACAGTAGACAGGAACTATAAAACAGTGAGCAGAGTTTCCTTCAGCCAGTGAACAGTGGGAGCCAACACTCCTGCTGAGTGTCCTAAACATGATAAACACTCAAAGCTCCGGTTTATTGGGAGGTTGTAGCTCCTTTCATGTTTTCCCACCACTTTTAAAATGGCTTATTTTCAGAGGGTTTCCATCTTTAAAGAAATCAGTAGGGTCGTGTGAACCACCGCAGCAAGTTTGTGCTTCGAATTGACCAATAATAAACACAACTTAATGAAAGCCCTACTTTGACTCCCACAGATTGCTGTGTATATATTGACTAGTAGTTCTCTCTTCATTTGTTTCTGTCCACGAATTCTCTACACCATCAAAAGGGCAGCACTACATAATTACTGTCAAATTAAAGAAAGACATAATTAACATGGAGGTGTTTATCATGCAGAATGAGAAATAAACACATTATAAGAGAATCTGTTTTATTGATTCAGCCCAGCTCCTCGGCCAGACCGAGAACAGCCTGTACCATAGACATGAATAATTCATTAATCCAGTCTTTCCAAAATATATCACACAAATATCCTCTGAGAGCAGGAGTCTGGGGTGGACTAATAAGCATGCATCATACTACAGTCCACATGTTATGAATGAATGACTGATGGACTAAATGCTCATGAGCAGGACCAGCCTGCTGAGTGAGTGATCGCTGCAACCAACCCAGTCACATCTGTCACTGATTTACAGCGCGGAAAAGAAAAGCAATTCTGTCACTGGGCGCGTGCATGCATGACAGTTTGTGTGTGTGTGTGTGTGTGTGTGTGTGTGTGTGTGTGTGTGTGTGTGTGTGTGTGCAGTTTACCTTGTGGGAGTCATTTTGAGTTATAGATAATAAGGCACGCTCTTAGATCAGGGTTTGGAATTAGACATCCATCTGTGACGGTTGGCAGAATAAGCAAAGGGGCTGGCATTGTGAGTGAGTTAGCGCACGTCATCTTTATTTGTACCTGAACTTTTTTGAGTAGTTTTCCAATGCAGTATTTTCACTTTTGCTCTAGTATTTTCTGCGTAAACTTTCGTACTTCACCACATTTTCAACTCAATCAATTAACTGAGCAAACATAAGGCCAAAAGCTTTGTATGACAGTCAGCTAAATGGTTCGTGTGTGCAAGTGTAAAAAAATAAATCAAATCCTGCCAAGTGACTTTGTCTCAGTTCTAGTCGAAATATCTCATTACACTTTATTCATTATTTCAAGATATTTAAAGCCAACATTTTTTCAATCAGTTCCTGTCACAAATTGTTTGAAGAACTGACTGAAAAAAATTTGCTTGCATGTTTGGAGTTATTTTCTACTTTTAACTATCAATTCAGTCCATATTTTGGGCTCATACTGTGCCTCCCCGCACAGCCAGCCATGACTTCAGAGTGCAGGGACCACCTATAAACTGTTATCCAGACAAAAGATGCTGCAAAAATATTCAGTGACTTCAACCTGGATAGCCACAGGGAAAAAATCACTCCACACATGAAGGCCGTTTGTTATATGACAATAACTACTTTAGGAAAACAAGCTCTTACAATTTTGGGGAGCACTCAGTGCTCTTTAAGTTCCTGATGAGAGTTTTTTGATATTCATGGAATAAAATGAAATTCATATTAGTGCCATACTAGTCAAAAGCAAACAAGATCATCAGCGACAAGCCAGAGATGTTCATATTGTAACTTTTTGATGTCAAAGTGGTGCAGAGGGGTGAGAGTCAGCTTTACATTTGAAGAAAACAGCCCAGTGTTCATAATCTCTCCATGAAATACTCACAATAAATGATCAATTTGACTGTAAAAGTCTGCAGGATGAGATTTTTTGTCAAGAATTACTGCTGACCACAGGGGGGCGCCAAAATGGATACAAACTGAAGATCATCACAGGAGCATTAAGTACACTCGGAAACCAGTAAAGTAATGCTATAGCTTTGTTTTTTTAATGGTTAAACAGTTTAGTGCTCTCCTGAACTTTTTGAAGCATGAGACAAAAATCTGATGAGATTAGAATCTGTCTTTTCATTCTGACTTCATTTATAGTCCTATTCAGGTTTTTATCTGTTTTGGCAATTGTTTTATTTCAGCTGTTCCACATTTTTCTGGTTTCAAATTTTCCATGACTATTCTTATTCTTGTTTACTTAATCCTTTTTCTTTATTGGTTCATTTGTCTGATTTTAAATTATTCCATAACCTTCTTTCTTCTTTTAGTCTTTCATAATGTAACCTTTGGTCATGAGTTTTCTGTGTGTTTCTAAATTCAGTGAAGTTGTGTTGATCTGCTGTGAACATCATGAGATATCTTCGACATTTTATCTTCATGCCATGAATTTAAATGTCTGCTTTGATTGGTGGAAAGGGGCGGGATGCCAAAGAGCAGATCCCTGCTGCTCAGAGTCTGCTCCAAATGCACATGATGTCAGCGCCTGTTGTGGGTGTATGAGGGCTGATGGGGATTCGGCTTTTGATTGTGTACAATGTGCAGTCTGTCCTTATATACAATCAGTGATCTACACACATACACACAAACAAGCAGGGGAAAGTTTAACACGCACACTTAAAGTTGTTTTCTAACAGCTCAAAAATGTCTTTATTCCTCAGCTGTCCAATAAACAAAACACACGTTTTTCTTTTTAAATAACAATAAAACTTCTTGAAATTGATTTGTGAGGAGACTTATTCTCTTTTCTTTACAAACATTACAAATGCAAATAACGTTAGCTCTCCTCCATGAGTTGCTTAAGTTTCGTCAAACCGTAAGTGTCTCCACATGCCCACAGGAGGCACATGGGGAATAAATAAAGCTTTTGTCAAAGGCCTGCTGGCCCTCATCCCAGGTTTTCCTCCTCTTCCTCTCCTCAGAGTCCCTTTATCCACATCAGAACTTGACTTGTATCCATGAATGATTGTATAGTATGTCAGCTTGTAGTTCAACTGTCTTTTCAAGTGTGTGTACTCCTCAAATTCAGTGTGTGTGTGTGTACACTGTACAGTAAACAAGAGTCTCTCTCAGTTTCAGGTGAGTGTATCATCTTTCAGTCTCAGGCGTGTGTGTGTGTGTGTGTGTGTGTGTGTGTCATCTAACAGTATTAGACGTGTGTATGTGTCACAGTTCGTCTCGAGAGGCTCGAGCTGCAGGAGGCGGGGATTCTCCAGTGACACTGTTCTGCGCCACGGGCCGAATTCTGCCCTGTTGGGCCGTCTTACGGGCGTGTTGTCGGTCCCAGTCTGTGGCAACAGCTTCATCATCCCAGATGGTGGAGGTCTCTGTGTCGCTGATGTAGCCTGGCTCTCCAGTGTAGTGGGTGGGGTAGATGAGCAGAGGCTCCACGGAGAAGGCCTGCAGGTCCCGCGGCTCAAAGTGAGACATGAACTTGGTGCTGAGGAGAAGGACAGAAGAGCAAGGAGGGGTTAATATGATGTGGATTATTACTGCCGAGAATGACTAGATTCTTAATTAATATTCAGGTTAATCTTTTCAGCTGGGAAGTGATAGAAATACAGATATAAAGATTTTAAAAGCCCAAAGTTATTGCCATTATACAACGAAACGCTTCTTTACTAATGTACTCTCGACACTAATGTTAATGAGATCCCTCTTTCAAAAGAAATCAATCTCTTCATATGTAGAATCATGCATCCCTATGAAGGAGTAAGAAGGTCGTTCTCTTTCTTTCTTTAATAAAAGCATTTAGAAATGGGATGTCAGCTCAGTAAATTTGCCATTATTGCCTAATTCTTCTGTCTGTGACTGTTTCAAAGGTCACCGCAAAGAAGAGGAAGGAAAGCAAAACAACACAGCGGTCACATATCACTGTTGACTGTTTTTCATTTCAGCTCTGAGTTTTGTTTTCTACACTCAGCGAACAGGAATTCAATTTTACTGGACAGCAAATCTGCAGGATGTCAAATACGGGAACAGGACAGTGTTCACTTCAGCACAGTAAGTCATGGCGGAAATGTTTTGATCGACTCTTACAGAACTAAAGTCTTTGGAAACACAAGTGAAGCAATACGAATCAGGTTAAAAGTGAGCCGAACTAATGTATGCTAATCTCATAATAACAGGGTTCCTATGCAAGTATGAAAAAGTATGGAAAATGAGACATTAAGTATGGAAAAATACTGATGTTTCCAGACTTATTACCACAGTTATAAAATACTGTTTTCTAAAATAGAAAAGTAAGTATTTCCAAAAATAATTCTAAAAAGCAGGTATGGAAAAATATGAAAATTCCAACTGTGTACGAATCTGTAATAAAAAGTTTTCCTATTCAGATGTTCATTATTTCATTTAACTCTTATTTTATACTCTTGATGAGTATAGCACATTACATATCGTCACCCTATTTAAATTATGGCCTAAGTCATTTTTTGACGAAAATGAGTTTATGGCCTGAATCAGCCTGATAATGCTGGCCATCTCTAGTAAAATCACCTAAATCCTTAGTTGAAAGGATCATGCCATGATCCTTTCAACTAAGGATTTATCAAGAGATGATTTAGGCCATAAACTCATTTTTATCAAAAAAAAGACTTAGGCCATTATTTTAATAGGGTGACGATATCTCACTGTCAAAATCAAAGCTCAGACTTATCTCCTTCTGTAAATGCTCTGTTGTACATCACAATGACCTGAAAGCACCTAAATATTTTGAATATAGCTTACACTTAATACCAGCATTAGTGTTTGGGTTGGACTGTCTTAAACTGGCACCCCAGCATTTAAGCATAGTAAACTAAAAAGCATATTATAAAGCTAATCTAATCAATCAATCAACTTTATTTCTATAGCACATTTAAAATAACCACAATCAATCAATCAATGACCATTTTATCCCTAATTTGACCCCTGAATAAGTAGATCCTCATCCCTATGCTCTCTTGTAAACTACCGTCATATTGAGTCAATCTAAACAAGGAAAATAAACTTTGAAAACTGGACTTTTAGCCTGTAGCAGGGTCAGAGAGAGGAATGAGGACTGCGAGGATCTGACACGTCAGCCGAGAGGAGTCACACTCCTGCAGACAGAGGTCACCACAGAGGTCACCATCCCGCCGCCAAGCGCCTGTTAAGAGCCTGTCGGCACAACACGAGGAGAGTGAAACCCTACACCTTTGTAAGAGCTGACCTGCAGCGACAAACACAAACATCCTCAAGAACATTTTCTGTGCGGTGCAACATTTTTGTGGCTGTTTCTGAACATTTTATACTGTATAAGAAGTGCGCCTTAAAGAGAGACTCTACAGCCTCCCTTCTCCTGAAATACTGCATCTGTGACATAACATTCACAGGGAACACATAATGACCTGCAGTTCGTTTATGTTACACTCATTTTACATATTTTCCCTGGCAGATTTCTACCATGTTTCCTATTTCTTTCAGTTTTAAACAAACCTACTTTCTCTAAATCGTGAATATACACACAGTGCATTCACGAGTAATCTATATACACCACATTGGACACACATCTCCATGTATTTATAAAGCCGCGCACACACTCACACAGTGTCCATCCCTACCCAACCCCCCTGCACAGGCCTCTATCAATGGGAATCCTGTCCCCTTCTCCAACCAGCAGGAAGAACTGCTCTGGCCCACATTCCTCAAAGAGAGAGGAGGAAAGGGGGAGGAGAAGCGGGTGACACAAGGGGGGGAAGGTGTGTTAAAAGTACAGTCCTGTTAAGAGGAGTGGGAGACTATAAAAGGTGCCAAAAAAGGGAATTAAAAGGGATAAAAAAAAAGGATTGAGAGTGAGGAAAAGTGGACTTTGAGGATAAAGATGTTAAAAGAGAAGGAGAAAGGAGGTGCAGGTGAAGGAGAAAGAGAGCAGGGTATGGCAAGAATCCCAAAGGAGAAAAGAAACAGAAAAGCAGGCATTGTGTGCGCTGTACCCGCTGAACCCCCAGAACAAACCATGCCCTGTTTGTGAGCGAGCACAGAAGGAGAGGAGAGGGGAAGGGGGTCATGCCAGAAAAATAGAAAGCAGGAGGGACACAATCAGGTGGGATGGATGGAAATATAGGGAACAAACTGTGGAGTAAAAGAGGACATGAGCTGTGGTCTACCACCAGAGAAAAAAAAAAAAACCTTGTCCATTACACTCTGTCCCTGAGGCAAAACTAGAAGTGGACATGTATGTTGGTTTCTATATATAGATAATTACTGTATAGTGCTTTTCTTTTTGAATTGGTTTATTCCCCTCTAGTCTGTTTTTGTGCATGCACAGGATTTATACAAGTCCAAATTACACTGACTAAAAGTATCTTTCACTTCCGTAACTTCATGTTTATCTAACATTCCAATTAGCCGATATATTCATTCTTATATAAGGGTGCACCTGCAATCATCTATTTGTGGTCTTTAGTCAATGTTTATCTGCCTGCTCACAAACCAGAACATCTAAAAGGGTCTCTGCGCACAGAAATAGTTCTTTCTCCAGCCTTGTGATTTTCTGTACAGCATGTCTTAAATAGAATTTCTTTGTACAATATCTGTAATGTGTATTTAAAATGAAACAAATACAAAATAAAGACTGACTTGGGGTGCTTGTTGAACATGACGGGCAGGAACTCGTCCACAGGCAGCATCCTCGTGAAGGGATTTGCAGCCAGCAGCTTTCTGGCTCCTTGCTGTGAAAGTGCATATCCTAGCGTCCAGTAGGAATAGTCAGCTTTCACCAGGTTGTTTACACCATCCACGGACTGCTCAGGCTGCTGCACCTGCATACGCTTACGCCCGACATAACTGAGCAGAAGCAAAGAAAGGGTGTTGATGGAAGTCCACAAAGTAACTTAAGACATGAACACACATGCATTTGTGATCAAACATGTGGATATGTATTCTTACATGAGGTCCCAGTCCAGCTGGGTTTTGTCTATGTCATCCATTATGGCCTGAAGTCTTCGTTTAAACCTGGGCTCGAACCTCACATCGTCCTCTAAAACAAGAACTCTCTGGAGGCCCTGCTCCAACATCTGAAAGAAAGAGAAAGTTGACAGAAATAAGTAACTGCTGCAGGTTTACCAGCTGTACAGCATATAGATTAACGTGTTTTAACTAGGGATTTTAGTAATATTATCTCGTTAAAAATATTAACACAATTAATCGCAACCTATTGCATTTTTGCACCGCGGAACGTTTCTTACTAGACCAGTTTCAGGTATACTGTTTATACCAGTGCACCCTAATGTGAGTGAGTGGGAAAGATTAATGCACTTTATGGCATAAAAAAGCACCGATCTGTTGGTCTTGGTTAAGTATCACCTTGATTGCCTAGGCTTATGCATTCATTCAGTTCACTATTCATTGGTTCACTCCTATACAGTTTTAGAAAAATGATTCTCACTGTTCTCAGGTCAGATATTTATATGCGATTAAAATGCGATTAATTATGATTAATTGATTGCAAAGCCTCTGATTAATTAGATTGTTCTTTTAATCGAGTCCCGGCCCTAGTTTTAACATTTTAATGCAATCTTTATTTAAATGTGAGTATAGGGATATATTAAAAAGCATGTCCCTAGCTGCCAGACTCGTTTACTCATTTATATCCCATTTGTTTAAAATAAACAACAGAAATTAATTCTCAACGACAACAGGAAGGCTGGAGAAAACCTGATCACACAATTCATATCAAATCAATCTGCAGAAATCTCACACTTTTCATCTCTGCCTGTTGACACTGTGGCAAAAACACAAATTCTCATCTCATGCGGTTTATAACAACAGTTAACAGGACCAGTCTGCCAAGATCAAGTGACATTCAGTCCTGCTAATGAGTCAATGTGATTCTAATTTGCATAACCAACTATTAACTTTACCTTTTAACGTACTAGAAGCTTAAGGGTTTACATCAATTTGAAGATCTCTACACTGGCTGCCTGTTAGCGTTTCATATTTATTTTAAAGTTTTTTCCCCTTTTTTTAAGGCAGCAAATAGCGTCACATCAGACTCCATCCCAGAGATGCTCTCAGTTTATGAACCAGGAAGGCCCCTCAGACCCTCTGGCTTTTACGACGAGCTCAAACATTTGGTGGTGCTGCTTTCAGCCATGATGCCCCACGACTCCAGAGCAGTCTGCTGGAAAGAGCTGCAGACACAGATACTTTTAGGTGTAAACTTAAGACCTATCTGTTTAGTCTGGCTTTTATTTAGGGGTTTTATTACTTCTCTTTATTTGATATTTTATTCAGATTTCAATTGTTGGTTTATCCTCAACTATTATTGTTATTTTCAACTTCTCATGTTATTTGCAGCAAGGCAACAACTTAAATCTAGATCTGACTAAAGGCCAACTGCAAAACTCGAGCTGCAAATGAAGAGGAAAACAGCAGGAAGTCCAGCTTTTAGTGAGGAAATTACAGACTGAGTGGCGACTGGCAGTGCAAAACTTTGGTACAAAGGTCTTAAAACAATGTTGGTGAGGGTGCCTGCTGATATTTTATGAAATAAATGGGCATCTTTCAACCTCTCTGACAAAGAAGTCTGTGCAATTCATTCAGCAGTCAGTCATTTATGCATACTGGTGCGGGGTTAAGCACAATAACATGAAAATGTCAACTTAAAAAGAGTAAGCAAAGGAAAGATAACAAAGTGTCACTTGGCTATCTGGCGGGTACAAGTTCTGCATCTGCATGATAAAGTCATGTGACGAGGGCTATAAAAGCACATCTGGTCACAGTACTTTGTCTTTTAAAGCTGAAACAAACTCTTTCTGTAAAACACCTTCTTAAAAGTTTACAGACTACAGATCTTGTCTGACTTGGCTTCGTTAAAATTGTGTTCACACGGTAGTTAAAGGACATTTCAGCAGGTTGAATCTGTGCAGGCACTGGACCTCAAAACTTCACTGAACAATTCCTCATCTTCAGTCTGGTGTGTGATTCCTCTCTGCTCTTACGTTTATCCATATGGAGTGATGGCTCAGAAAGCAGCCGATCTCCCCTCGGGTCAGGACTCGGCCTGAATACGGGTCCTTGTAGTCGGGCATCATTTCTATACCAAGTGCTTGCAGCTGGGATGTATTGAGCGCCCTGAGATAGAGAAGGAGAACAGAAATTTAGGAGCGTGAGTGAGAAAAAAGGGGTGCTTACATTTGTCGCCCTGAGTCTGACATCAGAAAACAACTTGACTGTAAATCTCTGCAAGTAACAACAAGTAACACATTTTCGCAGACAAACAAAGGCTTGTGGAGGGATTAGGAGGTTCCCGACACTGGATTAAAGTAAGCACCGAAGAGGGGATGTAAGTAAGTCAAGAAAATTTCTACAAACACTTAGCATCTGTTGCAACAGGATGTTAGAAAAGCTGGGAAAGATGAAACAGAGAAGACATTCTCCTAAAAGCTAATTCAGGGACAACAGTCAAAGTCTAGACCTCACAGGAAAGAACAAGGATGTTGTTTTTTCAGGATTAAATCAGGCTTTGAGTTAAGTTTATGGAGTGCACACAGGGCTGCATGTTTGTGACCTACTTGCCATCGACTGCATCTATCAGCGAGGCGTGTAAGCCGAGGGATGCCATTGATTTTAACATCCTGGTTCTTCTGTCCAGACGGCGCTTCAGGTTGATGAGAAGAATCTAGGTGAAAGAGGAATCCTTTACTTCACTCAAAGCCTCAGAGAAGAGTTTAGGAGACATAATGAGACTAGAAAGACGTGGGGGGTTCCTCATGAGTACACAAGGAAACAAATAGTTCCCTCAGTGCTCTCAAACTCACCTTATCAAAGCCTATTGTGTCCTGCTGGGATGGCGGGAAGTACAGGTGCTCAGAGGGCTCAATGTCATGGTCAACTGTCAACATGGAGAGAAAGGAAGGAAAGGTTAGAACAACAAAAACACGATTAGAAAACAGCAGAATTTCCTGTGGATTGTGTTGGTTGATTTGATTTGTTGAGAGCAGTGAGGGCAGGCAGAAAAGAGTGGGTGAGAAGGGGGGAGACAGTATGAAGGGGAAGGAGGGGGTTGACAGGGTGCAACCATGAGGGAAAAGGATCAAATCTGAGGGGGGAAGTAACCAACAGTGACACAAAACCAAAAGAAGTGTGTGTGCACTCACTCAAAGCCTCCGTGACGGTGTGTATGAAACTCTCGCTTTCATCCTCCACACTCTGCTGTGCCTTTAGAGGAACAGGGAGGAAACCATAGTGCTCTCTGTTACACACATACATCTGCACTCCTGGAACACACACAGAAACACACACACACAGACAGAAAGAAATCTGTAAATACAACCTCTTGACCCAAACATGTCAAATAAACACACTAATTAGACCACCCAAGGGTCTCTTTATTCTCTGTGTAATGTGCTTGAGCGTCACAGCGGAGACTTTAAGCTTCACATAAGCAAATCCACCAAAACAAGTGAATGCATCCACAAACCAGAGCTTATCCAGTTAGTTAAAAGCAGACATGGTTGAGACAATGTGGTGAAGAATGTGAACTTTCTACCATCTCAAGAGGTGACATCGTCAGAGTTTTCTTTCCCCTCCTATACCCCTCATGTGTGATCATCTAGAGCTAGTTATGGATCCATGTGTTCAAATGCCAACCAAGCCTCACCTGCAATCAAGCCACTTTACCCAGCATTGTAATCTGCTCATGACCTTATTAAAGTACTTTTTGATCTAGTTGGATCTAGTTGTCTCCTTGAATACAGATTTCTATGTCTCTCCTCTTCGCCAAGTTTTAGGACACTTATTACATCCAGCCAGCTTCTGAGTGTAAAAACTCTGGATTTATAGACACTAAACCCCACCTCACTGAATTTGCAAGATTTGACTTTGTAACAATAAATAGTCTGTCAATTTTCACTCTCAGGCTCTGTTTGGGTCTCAGTATTTTCATCATAACTTCATTACCTCCCACTGAGCAATACACAGCTATTGGACGTCTTGGACCTATTAGACCAAATTTCAACCATCTAGATTCTGTATATTTTTAGACAGAATTTAGACGTTGCACTGTAACCCATTATTCGCTAACTATTCAAAAAGCAACTATGAGTTGCATAACTGATCTCCAAGTACTTAACCAAAGTAATTTAGCTGTTGAGCAATATACAGTGTAGCATAGATATAGCCCAGATTTAGATTTAGTCTAACCTTAGTCTAACTTAAGAAGTCTAATAAACTTTAATTTTTGAACCTGTGGTAGCCTGATTTTAGACCAGTCGTCTAGGCTACATTTGGATGTCTATTAGACCTCTTTTAGACCAAAAAATGCTCAGTGGGCTAACTTGATTGTGTTTCACTTGAGCTCGTCTTCAGTTTTGGATTTTTAATGACAGATCTTTTTATCAACAAGTTAATTCAAATGTGTTTTCTTAAAAGCAGCCTGCATGTGCAAATTTTCAATTTCCTCAGTAGTGGATGTAGATTTCTCAATCATTTTAACCATGTCGCCTGTGCAACATTTATTGAAAACCACATTACATTATTCTACAAAACGCTTCAATATAAAATAAAATCAGTCACAGTAGAGAAAAGTTCTGTTATGACTAACACTGTAAAATTATCCCTAGTTTTCAAGCATTGATGTAGATCAATTATAGTTATACATAATTGCAGATCGATAGCTCCATATCAGCACAGAAAAAAAACACATTTAAAATAGAAATATATAAATACAATACAGGGCCAGCAAAACACTAAGTTAAAGCAGCTATAGCTCACACTTTCACGTTGATTAAAAGACGAAAATGTTTATAAAACAAGAGAAATGCCTTGGGTCACTCAATGTGGGTTAAGTGAGCTCCCTTATGGTTTCATTTTCTGTATCAGTTAATCACTAAATAAATTCATATATAAAATTCATCAGTGCTGCATGGAAAGTGGGTTCATAGTAAGAAAGACACAAAAAATTGCACTCATCCATCTTGGTAATTTGAAAGAGATTCATTATACCTTATTAATTGCTACCTGAAGTTTTTTTTATTTAAGCTTTACATTTAGTGAGGCTTTAGCAGTGTTGAGCAACATTTAGACTTTGAATTCAACACTTACAAAGAGTTAAAAGGTCCATAGCTGCAAAATGAGAAACCTATTCTTTCAAAAGTTAAGTATCTACTTTATAAGTGTGTATTGATTTGTTCTTTAATGTACCTTCATATGTGCAACATTATATTTGCAAGAAAGAGGGACCGTGTCTCTGTGTCTCTTTTGTACTGATACTTTTTCAATCCTACAAATTAACAGATGCAAAGTCAGGACAACACATGGATGTTATTTGTTCTGCTTTTATTCATCTGCTTAAATCTGTACCATGTGCATAATCCAATAAAAAGCCCTCAGTGCTATAAAGCAGTACCAACATCAAGATTAAAACCAGGCTGTGAATGTATGAATCACTGCGTCACTGGCATTCCTCAATTCCTGAGCCATTTGCAGCTCTGCTAAGAATGTGGTAGTTTGTTGTTAAAGTAGCTTTCAGACTGACCTGCTTGACGGGCCGAGAAAGCAAACACCATGATGTCATCAAACGCCCAGCTGTAGTCCGGGTGAGGAGGGTAGAAGGCCAGATCCCTGGTGGATTCACGGCGCAGGTCCACTAAGAAGGTGCTGTGCACCATGGGAACAGGGAAACAGCCAAGCCTCTTCCACTCCCTGATGGGCTGGTAGTCCGGGGTTCGCTTGTAGTAACCCTGAATGAGGAAACTATCAGGTTAGGAAAAGAAAACAACCTGGAAGGAAGCCAAGATGTATGAGTTTAAGACTATACTGTACCTGAGGGGTGATACCACACCAGAAGTTTGAATAAAGTGAGCGAGACTCTAACATGGGAGCCGCCAGTGTCAGGTTTTCAGCCATCATCAGGTTGAGCACTTGTGGGTTGGTTAACAGGTTGTCACTGTCTACAAACTAAAGAGTGGAGAAGAGTACATATTTTAAGATTGTTTAGCTTGTCTTCACTAACCAGAACTGACAAAATATTTATTCATCTTCATCATCGAACTTAGATGTCGAGCTGGGCTAATACCTCCACCTACTGCCCAAGATAAAAATATATTATTTGATATTACAACTAACCATTGAATCACTCTTCAACAAAGCAACAATTTATAAACACGACTTCTTTCTCTGTCTTTTCTTTCCTTCAGGAGAACCGTGCGCTGCTAGCTAAGGGTGTCAATGTTACTGAGAGATAGCAAAGCGTTAGCAATAATTGTTTTACAATTAATCTACAAAAACAGTACTTTTTTTTTTTATTATTCTTGAAGTGATAATAAAAACTTTTAATTACACTTTGTGAGGCTGTTTCATGTCAAAAGCTGGACAGCAGTCAGGACATGGATATAGCAGTGTAGAGCAGCCGCTAACGTTAGCATGGCCTGTTTCTCAGAGCTCAACTTGTTTTTGTTGTTTTTGGAGTTCGTCTGAATAGCCAGGTCATGTGTAACTTTTTTTAATCACAAATGAAAACTAAGCTGCACAGCCTTCACCTCTGAAAAATGCCTGATTTGTGCAAATACGGAGCCACCAATCTGAAGTCCTCAACAACCAAATCCAGGTACGATAATATGTGTCGAGAAATGTAAAACACATCATGAACCAAACACTAAGATGTGTTATCCATACATACTGTATGTTCAATAATATCATGTCCAGGTCTTACTAGTATGTAGTCAGCCCATCGTTCCCTGGCAGCCTTTAGTGCCGCCTGCCTCAGCTTCATTAGATGGTTGAACCTTGAAGGAGACCAGTGCTTTGGACCCCACTCATCTGTGTAGGATCTGAGAGACAGGAAAAAGTAGTTGATCCAATTTTTTTTTTTAAAATCATTCATCATGTGAGGAAGGAGAAGTTACATATAGGATTAACTCTGAAAGAGGCTGAACAGCTTCTAATACGCAGTGGAAATGATGACTCACTTTGGCTCCTCCATGGGTCTCCACTCCACATAGTGATACATACGCTGAGCTTTCTTGAGCCACTCTCTCAGCATGGCAGTTGTGTTGTCTATGTTATGGTCTGTCGCTGCCCTGAAACACAAACACAGACACAGACAACACAGGATGTCATTCAAAGGAAGCAAACTCAGCATCAATTATAAGACAGTCAGTCCCCTGAACTTCCTGTTGTAGAGCATCTGCTAAACACTTGTAAATAGCTGCCTCTTGGCATGTCAGGGCTGTTTGCAGGCTTGGGACCCTCTGGAAAAAATAAACAGTGTGACACTGATTCAAACATGATGCACAAAGCTGAAAAGTGTCTTTAACAAAGGGATCATGACCCTCATGTAACATCAAAAGCATGTTATGAAAGAATATGTTCGGACCTTCAGGTGTGACTGATTATTACTGACTGGTTTTGGTGTTCTCGGCCCTCTTTAGCGCCTAATTAACTGCAAATACTAAAGCAAGAAAAGGGACCAAGAAACAGCAATGTTGACAGACTTTGCTGTGAAGCACTCAGAAGAAAAAACATTCAGGTAGATTGAGCAGTGGTTGAAAAAGTGGCCTCCACTTCAGGCTTAACAACAGATTTATTTGAGTGTAAATTGTGATGCACTGTGTGTCAACAACTGGGCACGCTAAAATTGCGCAGACAGAGCACCAGAATACACACACACACTCACACACTCCTGCCTGTAAGCAAATGATGTCAGTGTAAAAGTAAGGAAAGCTGCAGATGCTTATTTGTCATCCCTGCGGTTTTTCACTCAGTGAGAGATTTCCACCTCAGCTCCCAGAGCTGACTCAGAGTACACACTGTCACACTGTGGCTACTGTGTGTACGGGTAAGAGAGAGTATATGAAATTAAAACTCTGAAGAAAAAGTCCTGCACCAATGTGCAAAACTAATGTGCAATTTTCAATCACTGCTGCGTTTAAATCTCAGAAAGAATGAGGTCTCAACTGTTTTTGCATTTAATATTCATGTCAAATAAGAAAAGTCAACAGAACATGTGGCCTGTACTCAAGTGAGTGTGTACAAACACACACGCTCACAAAGTTAGTGAGATGGAGTTTTCCACTGCTTGCTGTAATATTCCTTGCTGTACTCTCTCCAAAATAACACCCAATTTTAGACTGGCCAGACACACACACACACACACACATACGCACACTTACACACTTGAGTACAGTCTTTTCAGTAAATACACTCTCATGGCAGAAGATAGCAGTGTTAGCACTCTTTATTTACCACAATGAACACAACCAGCAATACAGAAACACCTGTTTTCACACAGACTCAGATTCTCATGTCACTGCTCACACACAAAAACAACACACAGTTAAAAGTCACATAAACAAACACTCTGACATAACACTCCAAGAGGCAGAGCCGTCTTGTGTTTGGAATTTGAATAATCCTCATCCAGACAGACAGAAAAATTGCTCATCAGACAGAACCAGCAGCTGGAGAGAGGCCTGAAGGAGACCATGGGGTCAATAATTTTAATGGCATGAAAGTGTGTGCGTGCCTACACATGCAGTCTGTGACAAAACACAAGGGCATTTATTTTTCTGTCTTGGGAATGTTGGTTTAACAACAGCGTGTCTGGTGATTTATCTGTTGCACAAGTAGAGGTTTACAAGTGTAACCATAGCTGTTCAAGTGCATGTAAAAAGTTATGAGCATGCATGTAAAAACAGAAAAAAGCACCATGTTCAAGTGCATACGTGTGTGTATGAGTGCATAAATGCCAATGAGAGTAATAAAGGACCTGATAACAACCTGTTGCTCTTTTTTATTGTAAGCTAGAAACACCTGACAGGCTGGTAATGAGCAGATGTGCACATGTTTATGTGCTTTTAAGGCACTAAACAGCACATCGCCGGGGGAAATAAATATGTTTCTACACGTTATCTCCCAATGACAGACTGAGCTTCAGGCAGGGATTTAAGTTGGAGCACTTCTGGGCAGTAAGGAAAGAACAATGCATAGTATGACATGTAGGAACAAAAAGTGCATAAACTGTATGTTGACATGTATATAGAGGTCTTTTTGAACATGCAAAGTCAGGGAAGAATTCCCCCGAGATTTTCCAAAATTGCTTATGAGCGCATGTCCCTCACGGTGAAGGTCTGGGGGTGTCTTAGAGATAGGAGATGACATGAAGGATGTCCTGTTTTTGTTACTGTTTACAACACGGCTGACAAAGTTGAGTGCAATGCTATGAGACAGATCTTTCATTGAATGCTGAGACCACAGAAAAATTCACAGTATCAATGAATAAAGAGAGAGAGATGATACTAGCCAGTAGGAGAGAGAATGAAGCAGCCTGATTCATCATCATCTCTGCTTTCTCACAATTGATTTCCGTTAATATTACCTGCAGCATAAACACATCAGCTCATCTTATTTTAAGGGAAAGGTCTGGGCAAATTCAGGGTGAAAACTTTGGTACTTTGTGTCCATGCAAGCTCTCACCTCTGATAACTTCAGGAAACTTCCATGAGTGAAGTGCATGTATGAATACAGCTTAAGCTAATAAGGAGGAGTGAGGGACAGAGCGGAGAGCATCTGTGTATTTTATTGCTTGAGTAAAATTCAAAATGTGCACAATTATTCTAGAAAGTTCCTTTTTGAAGAATAAAGATCATTTCACAATATTTCTCATGGAGCTCATGAAACTTTTAAAGGGTTGGATTAACTTTCTTTTACAAGCATCCAAATATAAAGCTAACTTGAGTTTTTTCTTTGCTAACAAAGTGAGGGAACATAAATCTCTCTTACAACTTTTTTTTTATTTCCCTTATTTTTACAGGCTGTTCCTGGCAGAATACAACTCACTATGTCCAGGCTATGAAATGTTAAACGTTGAAGATGTGGTACCTTTTAAAAGTGTCCAAGGAATAGAAGAATTTAAATACAGATATTTGGGGAACACGTTAAGCCAATATGAGAGAAGTAATAAGTTGTCTGTGTTACATAAATATTGGGGTTAAACATATTTAAATTGTTAAATAAGCATTGTTAACTAATAAATGTATATAATTACTCTATTTAAGATGATGTTAAACTTCTTGAGTGTTTTTCACAAGCATATCCTACATGCCCGTTCCTCACATAGCTGAACTCACCAGAACTCTCAAGACTCTGAGTACCCATGTGATTTTCTACTTCAAACATTACACCCTCCTGTCCTGTTTGATTCATAAAGTCATGAAGCCATCTGATGTATGCATCAAAGCTAGAAAAAAAAAAAAAGAAGCAGTTTTTCCAGGGCCTCTTAACTTCTGTTTGTATTTTCGATGCATTTGTCCTCCATTGGGAGTCTACCATGTGTTTCAGGGTCCTCTATCTTCAGGCAACATCAACCATCACAGCTGAGCTATGCTGCACTGAGACTACAGAGTCTTCAGAGTCTCTAAAAAACCGCAGTACTGTGAGTATCACGCCGATCTGACCATGGGAAGAGTCAACATCTGTACACAGCTTGTAACATTTCATGGATGTTTATGTAAAAAGTCAATTGCACATGTGAAGTAACACATGAAACACAGCTCTCAAGTTCACACCCCCCTTCTCCTCCTTCTTCGACACCTCTGTCTCTTTCACTCTCATTAGGCTGTGTCTTCACAGTCCTGTTATGAAGTTAAGAGCGAGCTGCAGCCTCATTATTCTGCTGTCTGCAGGGTCTGGGTTGGGCTTCCTCTCCCTCTTTCTGTCTTTATGATCAGCATCTGGACAACACATGCTTCCTAGAACCTCACCTACACAACCCACCACTCCCTCTCTCTATCACTTCCTGGACATCCCTTTATCTATTTTTTTTGTAAATATCTAAGGGCAAGATCATTTAATCCATCGTTCCAGCGCATCACTCTGAAGTCTCTGTTGTTTCAAATCTAAAGGCAGCCTGAATACTACAGCCGTTGGTGATGGGAAATAGTGTGTCAGTGTGTTATGTGGGTCTTTGGTAAAGTGATCTTTAGTTTACATTGTTTGGTCCCTGTTTGTTTCCATGTACATGTGTATCATCAACCTGGGCCAAGGGATGGAAATAAGTCCTGCAACTATCTGGCATATTAACATGCCCAGGTCCATCAACGTGCACTGCCCCCTTCCATCTCCAGAACCTACTGCAAAAGTTTATTTCTTCTCCAGACCAAAACATCATGGATACTGGAAGTTTCACAGGCACATTAGAAACCATAAAGCTTCCCACAACAATTAAGTGACTGCCGGGTGACTCACTTCTGCACAAATCAGAAGGTGGATATGTGGCCTTGGGTTAGAAAATCAGGAATCCTGAAAAATCTTTGTAGTATTTGCCAAAGAAACGTAAAAAAAAAAAAAAAAAGAAAAATACATAAGTGTTTGCTGTTCCTCTTGAGATTTCTAAATCTTGTATTTATTTTAATGATGCGTTGGGATGATGGATCAGTTCTGGGAAGCAGGTGTTGTCCAGATGAAGATTATGAAGACAGATTTTTTGAAGACAGAAGTTTCCAAAAACATCTAATGTATCAAACTAGATAAATAAATACATTTGTTAAATTTTAAGGACATTTGGATTTTTTTTCGGTTTTCAGTAGTAAGTGAAATAAACATTTCAGCTCCACAAAACTTAAAGTTTTCTGGCCTTAATTTGTGGTGTTAGGCATTAAACGACTACCCTAGTTATCACCCTGCTTCATCGCTTTCTCCAGCTCTCTCCCCCCTCCTCTTTAAGGTCGAGTGTGTCAGATAACAGGGAAGGTTTAGGTGACTGACATCTGGACCTTAAACACAGAGGCTTTCTCTAACTCTGGACCTCTTTGGTAAACACACCTCTGAGTGGCTCCAGCAGGCCAGTGTCAGCTGACTGTTGATCAAATAAACTATCTAATATCCCTGCCAGTAATGAGCTGCTGCTGCATATCATTAACACACAAGTATGCTTCTTTCAAACCTGAGCGTAGATACCTTTAAAACATAATAACCATGCCAGCGTGTGTGTGTGAGTGTGTGTGTGTTGACTTTGCAGTATAGGCTGACGTGGCTGAGAGCTTCTTGATAGTCAAGCTGGGCAGAGGAGAAAGAGGAGGGGGTGGATGGGTTGAGAGATGAAGGGGATAAGAAGATTTGGAGAGAGTGTGAAGGGAGGGGCCGGTGAGACTGGACCTCCTGACTGAAATTCCTCATGACTCTCAGGGTCAACAAAGATATCCTCGGCAAGCGAAACTACAGTGGAGTGTAATATTTAGTATTCAGATTCAAGACTTTGGAGATGTATTTATTGCAGTTAGATATCAAAGTTAAAAGAAATTGCAGGGAGACAGGATGAGAAGTTGACTGTTGTTTAATTTTACACCACTTTAAGCCCTGCACGTTTGCTTTTTGGGGGAAACATTTGCCTTAGAGGGATGTGTAACTTTGTTCTCTCCTGGTTTGTACCATACTGTCACGGTTCAAAGGGAATGACTTTTAGGGAGCCTTGGCTTCAACAAGAAATCCTGCGGTGCTATCTGGCACAGAGTCATCCTCTTCTCTTGGAGTTTATTATGAGAAATGGAAACAGAACTCAAAATGGGAGCCATTAATCCTTGAAAAAAAGAGGACATGCCTCAAACAGCCTTTGAATTTTCTTCTGTGAAAAGTCCTCTTTCATAGATGTTATATATCAATGATGTAACACACATAAAAGTTGCTTTTCTTTTACCTCTGGAAAAGATTTATAAGTGCTTCAGTGCCATCGTTTAAACAGTTGCAGTTCATCTGTGAAGTTGCGGTGTGTTGATTTAGCAACGTCATGAGAATTCAGCCAATCCCAATGCCTTTTTCTGTGACCTCGCAAGATAGCAAAACTCTGCAACCTCTTGGCCAAATCCACCATAGGAAAGTCTTGTAATGCACAGCTTAGTTAAATTCTGTTTTCTTTTTTTGTAATCTAGTTTAACATCTTGAGACAAAAAATGTCAAGAAGTGAGCAATTTGTCCAAACTCCTAAAAACACTGTCTGGCTTTAGTGCTTTTTCGAAAAGGTGCAAAATTTAAAGAGATACACCGCTGCATCGTCAACAGAGAAGCTCATAAATCCATAAAGACAGAGTAACACTCTTTTTAGATCTTTGACATAATATTCCCAAAACATATGTGTTGTGGATTTTGTTTCATTAGCATTTGGACAGTGAGACAAAATGAGCAAAAGTGATTTCACTGTTTACTGATCTTGGGCAAAAATCTCTTTGCAGTCTGCTAACTTCTTGGTAAATAGTAACTTTCAGCTGTTTTCTAAGTTGCAAACTTATGTAGCTCTAAAGTCACAGTGGTAAAATTAATGTGAGTATAGCTGTCTGGATCAGTGTGCTGGCTCCTGAAATCTGTCACATCTCCACTCCACGGTAGCTTTGCAGCAGAAATTGTGCTTAAAATCATGTCTGTGCAACATATGCGAATGGTCGTATAATCAGAATCCTAACCATAAGCATGCACCAGAACCATTCATGTTTTTAGTTGGAGCTTTTTCTTCAAAAGCAAATCCACACATCCTTTAAAAATTATTTTGGATTCATGGTACTACATTAATAGTTCCCTTGTCCACAAAAAGTTAAGAAAAGTGTCTTGATATCCTTTTTCCAATAGGTACATTTTCCTGCTGTTAAAAGCAATGACCTTTTCTGGGCGCCAACACCTTAATTATTTTCTCTTAAACACTCTGAGCTATTGTTCTTTAACTTGCTTGTTAAAAATTGACCCTGTTCTTTCAAGTACATTGGGAATGATTTCATTGTGTACGCATTAAAAAACATCAGCCCTAAATGAAACTCATTAATTGAAACATAAATGAGAAAGAAAACAAAAAACAAAGTAACAGAAAACAGATGGAAGAAACAATGGAGAAGTATCAGGAATAGATGTTGAAAAAAAAGGGGAAGAAAGAGAGAGTGGGGTAAAGGGGAGGGAGAGAGAGGGAATACGGTGAAATCTATGACACAAAGAGTCAGAGGAGAGGAGAGTCTGTTCCTGCCTTTACTCCGCCTAAACCCATCCATACCCAGACATCCCTCTCTCCAGATGAAAGTGCTGATTCCAAGATACCGTTATTTTCCTCTCGCCAACTCTGTCATTGCCGTGCTGCCACGCTCTGACTACGCTGCTGGAAATGAGCTCGAACACATGGGGTATCTTTGCAGGAATTCACCGTTCAGTGCCAACAGACATGTCTAATCCAAGAGAGAGCAAATTAAAAAAAGGCTCAGGGACTGGAAAATCAATTCTTTTTGTTTAGAGTCCTCTGATTGAATAGGTATGTTGGGTCCACACTGAAATTTTTCCCATGATTACCTCCCTCCTAAATAGCAGAGATTACAGACTTATTGGCAGATCAACATCAACTGCATCCTTTCAGTTTTATTGCGTTTGCTGCTTGAGAGGCTGCAATCATAGACTATATATAGAATGGACGCCATCTGCCTCCTCGCTGGGTTAAGCCACTCCGAGAACAGCACCCTCTGGTGACGGGCTGCAGTATAGGTTATAAATCCCGCCTCTGCCAGCAATCACTATGGAGCTGTGGACACACATGTTGGTTTCAGGAAATGGAGAAAAATCGCAGAAATACCAAGAGCTTTTCGGCTTCAAATCCATACACTGGCGGAAGGTGGAACCAAGTTGTCCGTAGTATATACAGTCTATGGTTGCAATAAAAGCCTGTCCTGTGATGTCACTCTGTTAGAAAAATAGATATTGCACCACATAGTTATTTTCCTCTCCTCATAACATATCATCATTAATTATAAGTAAAAAAAAATATATCCACAGACACCCTGCAGGTACTAAAGCAGTATAATAAAAAGGTGACTCATAACATCTAGAGTTACACTGACATTTCTAAATGATGTGGCAAAGACTCTGGGCCGAGAGGCTTGTGTTCTCTTGATACCAGAACAGTAAAAACACATCAATCAGTCACTCAGTCACAACGTGTCCCCCAGTGCTATGAAAACAGTTTTGTTTTTTTCCAAGTCATCTGCAGCTTCACTGTCCTGCTTTGGCAAACCCTCACTAGACCACAGAATATATATTGATCTGTGGCCCATAGTAGACCACAACAGATGTAGCTCCTATTTGAGTAATCTTTACTAAAAATCATAGTTCCTGTCTTTATGAAGAAGTTGATAGGGCTTTTTCACTAAACAAGATATTTTCAAAAATGTTGTCAAAGACTTATTCTTATTCAGAAACCATCTGAGACTTAAAGGGATATTACGGCGTAAAATTAAATTATGGTCAAACACACCGAAACACCAAGTTAGACATCCCGTCGAGAGATGAATGTTGCCGACCGCTTGCTTCTCTAGTTATACCAACTTTAGTAATGACCTCAGCAAGCAGTCAGCAACATTCATCTCTCAAGGGGGTGTCTAACTCGGTGTTACGGTGTGTTTGACCCTAAAGTAATTTTATGCGAGAATATCCCTTTAAACAAGTCATGTCTGCAGATAAGTTAGATGTCAAACTATCCATAAATTGTCACTGATTTACAGCGCGGAAAAGAAAAGCCATTCTGTCACTGGGCGCGTGCATGCATGACAGTTTGTGTGTGTGTGTGTGTGTGTGTGTGTGTGTGTGTGTGTGTGTGTGTGTGTGTGTGTGTGTGTGTGTGTGTGTGTGTGTGTGTGTGTGTGTGTGCGTGCGTGTGTGTGTTTCATCATCGCAGCTGCATGTCAGTGAAACTTCTCCCTGTGATTGTTGGGTAAATGTCAAACACCTGAGCTGATGTTTGAAGGCCCTTTTATTTTCCCACAGATTGGATGAGACTGCAGAGTATGACTTCTATAATGATAATGATCAGGGGTCAGAGAAGATTGTGGCCTTTTATCAGCACATGAGGTTCTGGCTCACTGCCGGCTTATGAGGTAATAAGAAAAGTGAATGGAAACCAGAGGCTGGGCCAACAGAGCAGAAACACACCTGTATCATGTGTGCAGCGCCGTTCAAACACACAGACATAAAGCAAACTCTGATCTTTTGGAAAACATTCACTTGTTTGAAGATTTATTAGTACAGGATAATCAAACACACCCAGTTTAGAGCCGAGTGCCATTATTGTGATACGATGAATATGAATACACAGCAGAAGCATGCTGCTATCATTAGCATAAGCCCATGTTGTCAGCACCATATAACACACAATAGCCTCCCGGTAATTTATTCCATACACTTGGAGAAACTGCTCTCCAAGCTCCCTCCAGTATAAAACAAAGAACAATATGTGCTCAGACCGAGGAATGAAGCCTGAGGTAACACACCTGGCATGTGGAAAACTCCAAAGTGACAAAAGAACATCACACCACGGATAAACCTCAAAGCTCAACTTTTCCACAATCTCTCCTCATATTTGTCACTCAGAATAATGTTTGATGTCAAACAGTGGATTCGCTCGGTAAGTGAAACCACATTAAACCACTGGCGGTCCAAAGAGATTATCTGCAAAGCTGTCCACGAAGCTAACAGAGGCACCTGTGGCATATACATTACACATGCGGGAAGGTATTTTCAGTTTTTGGGGTTGCCTAAATGCATTCCTAAATACATGCCTGCACTCAAGACTCATGTTTTAATGTTCACAATAAACTGACAGATGTTTTCCCTTTCTGTAATATATGCTTGAAAGTAAGTCAACACTGCTCTTCAGCATACAGTGGAGGTATTTTTGCATTACTCAAATATTTCTATATTTGACATCTAAGAGGTGAATATTTTCCTTCTCCTCTTCTCAAGCTGACATCTTTGATAAATGTTGAGATTACAGTTTTTTTGTTACACCTTGTCTGTTCAATGAAGCCATGTGCATCCAAATAACTTAATTTGACATCCTGGTTTAGGATAAACTGAAAGAATAAAATGATCCAAACAAAATTGGGCTGAATGCACTACAAACTGTTCTGCAGAACAGACAGCATTGATGTGTGCTAGTACCGTTTGCATCTACTCATATTAGCAATTGTGCATCCATCTGGGAAAAATGGCACCTATTTATGCAAATAAATGTCATTGCGAAAAAAAACAAAATAGCAAATGATCTGAAAACAAAGGCACCCGCAGCAACTTGCAGCTGGGGTATAACTGTGCTGTCTACTGAACTGTGTATGAGATGGCAAACAGACAATAATGATGGTAAACAGAAAACTTTCAAACCAACTCAACTACTTTACGTGATACTTTTCTCGCCACACAACTGAACAGGTACAAATAAGGTAAATCACGCTCAAATACTGAACACCAGAAATGAAATCACAACCATAAAAGGAATGAAACATAACAAATAATAAACACAGACAATATGCACATAATGGCTCCTACAAGAGGTTCGCAACGGCTCACTTAATTGCTATCAACTGGAATTTGAATGTCATCCCCCATGAATTGACTTGAATATAAACTGATATTCAATTCAACTCATCATCAATGGAGAGATTTAAGAGCGTGATTGCTCATCTACACAATCAGACGCAAAACAAGAAAGGAAAATACGGAGCTGCAAAACTTGACTGATATGTGTGCTCATGGATATCATTACGTAAATATACGTTTTGTATACAACATTGAGATGAAGAAGATAGGGGCAAATAATGCTCAATTTTTTATGTTATTAGAAGCTTTAGTCTATCCTTAGTGAATCCCCCTCGCTATCGTATGATTCTTCCTTTAAATTCATAGGAGTGGTTATGTTTAGCTTCATTTAAACACTTTTCACTGAGGTGTAGGCAGGCAGTCTTGTCAAGATATTTATGTAACAAGCTGTATATATGTTGATTCTACTAATAAACATCGATTATTGATCAATAACAAAACGGTTGGATTATTAAGATCATTTGTGGATAGTCAGTTTTACATTGTAGTGAGAAATAAACTGGTGTTGTATAGAGGTAGAGGTTATTAAAAGTTCCTATGCTGTTGAACCATCAAGGCTAAACTATTTGTTAATGCTCAGTAAATATCTCGAATCTGTGAACTGGGTTTTCATAAAATATCTCATGTTGGATGGAAAAGATCTAGCACTTACTCTAAGGTGTTTTTAAGTTGTTGTAAAAGCATTTGATTGCTAAATGATTGAGGCAACCTCACAATAATTAGTGTGATGACTGTGCTGTGAGTAATGAGCGGTGAGTAATAGATTACATATTTAGTCACTTGTCCAAACCTGATCATAAATGGAGGGATTGAACAACACTGCATTTCTTTACAGTTAACTGCTGCCTTGCAATAAAACCAGAGCACTTTTAATTTTTTAACAGGGTGGCACCCGAGCCAAGAAACGGAACATAAAGTGTCTTTTTGGGACTCAGACAATGCCTAGTTAGAGCGATTTTTCAAAAAAAGCAAAATTTGGCAGTCGGAGGGCAAGTCCCAGCAAAGCACAACACAAGCCAGCATAAACCATTCATAAAGTCCTTTACTCAGCATTCAAGTCCAATTTGTTCTGCTTCATTTATTGCTGAGTTACTCTAGGCACTTGTCGAAATACTAGAAATGAAAAGGTGGAATATGACTTACATCGTGATGGGTTAGGATTTCAAATGCTTGAGTTGAAGTACCGAATAATCCCACATCAATCTCATGGCATGATATAGTAGACACAGGATATATTTACGTGACACTTCTCTACATGTCTGACAGTAATTACAATATACATAGAACAGCTGTCAGCCTGTAGTGTGTTTATTTCAGCAGCTGTGGAAAATTCTTTACATATAAAGTCACATCATACCCCAAGGTGCATCAGGTTTTACGAAGAAGTAGTTAAATATGAGTTCTCAATCCAAATCCCTGTATGAGGTCAGTTTAATGACATAAATGTGAAGTATGTGGTTCAGTGATGAATGGGTTAATACACGATTTGATATTATGATAACAAGAGAGGTAGTTTTGTGAGAAAGGCTGGTGAAGTCAGCGCTCTAACACCCTCCTTATGTTTCAGTTTGTCTTTCGGACAAGTCTACAAATCATCATGTCGACCCGCCGGCTCTGCACCTGGGGAAGCACTTCAGCACCTGAGCACAGCTGGCCTGCAGGCAGCAAGCAGCAGCAACATGAAGCATCAGGAGCAGAGTAACACGTCAGCATTGTTCCAGAGGTGTTAGACAAACAATCCGAAAAGAGAAAGAGGTGGTCTGTTTAAATCTGAACAGTGTTTCATTGTTAAATATCCCTTTTTGCAGTTACGTGAAAATATGGTTGCCTCTTGCATAGCTGTTCTTAGACTGAGGAGCTACAACCATGTCAGCTAACTTAGTTGAGGTTGTGCTGCTTGTCTGGCATCGTCACAAGCATAAGATTCAAAGTGCAATTGGTCAAGTCATGGTGTGGCGCATATTACCATTAGAAAGTACTTCAAATGTTTATAAAATGATCCTTATTTTGTCTTTTCAGTTCAGGAAATTGTAAAATGGGATAATGATGAGTCGGACACCCTACATTTTTGAGACTTATATCCAACAAAGATGTATGTGATTATAATGCTTAAAGTCCCACTCCAATCTTTTTTTTTTACTACTTAAAGTGTTCTCAGTGCTTTTTAAATTGTGATTATGAAGTTTTTACCAAAAATCCCATCACCTGTGTCATTTTCATGGGCTTTTATTCTGCAAAGTTCCAGTAGACCATTAGCAATTCACCTCTGAGTCGTGGGCGGAGACAGCGCTGCTCTGCACCTTCCCGCTTACGCTAGCTTGCAGCCTAAAATTGCCAGTGTAGCAGAAGTGGCAGGTAACATAGGATCTATTCAGCTCTCAGACGCAAACGTATTTAGTGACACAACGAAAGCTAATATCGTAATTAGCTTTCTTACGTGCACTGCAATCCGCTAACACACACGCTTGTTCCGTGATCGTCCTCTGTGTTTCTCCCCTATATGCACAGTGTGGCCTGCATAGCAGAGCTCTGGGGGCGGAGCTTGGATTGGTTATGTATGAAATCTCACTGTTTCTGAACCTGCTGTTTGGGGTCTGCCAGAGATTCACAGCGATTTGAATGAAGAAATACTCAAAAAAGCAATTTCACATTTAGTTCTCTCATGATATGTCCTGTAGCATCAGAAAAAATGCCATATGAACATATAAAAAAAAACAAAAAATGTAATTTTTATCAGAGTGGGTCTTTAAGCTTCCAACCCTAAGCGTGGTATCAGAGGAAAATGTTCATTGTGTAGGTTTGGACAGTAAGTGAGTTTCAAGTTTCCATCTCATACACACTAGAGTCAAGGGGTAAGTGAAGGGTCACCTCACTCACATACCTTTGAGCTGCGAAGAACACCTGGACTGCTGGACAAATGTCCCCCAAATACAAGGGCTCCAAACCCAGCTAATCTGCTACCTACTGAGCCTTCACACTGACCTCAGTTTGACAGCGCAGGCTTTTACACACAAGGTGTAAATCTCACCTGTCACCCTAGGACCTAGAAGAGGACTGACACACATCTTTAGTCTCATGCTTGTCTGCTTTAGCTACACCTCTTCCTTGCTTATAGCGACAGTGACGACTGTGACTTATTGCAAAGCTCATTCACAGGTTGGTTCAGCTCTTGAAAACGGAGTATCAAGAGTTTTCAGCAGCCAGAATATCTTAGTGAGCTTTCACGTTCGTGTTGTAAAGCCTCACATTACTTTGTTTTACTAGATCCAGACATTACACACGGCCAAGCTACCGTGGGAATGCGGATTAACCAACCTGCTAAATGCCCTCTGGGTAATTTCCCAACCCTGCTGACCACCCTTTCTCCGCCCGACCAGCCCCCTTCCCTCTATAATACCCCACATTCTTTCATTCTTTAACAGCACTTTGAGAGTCTTTTTCACTGCGCTGCCACTTCTCTGTCAGACTTGCGCCCGCTTGCTGAGAGGAAACTTCAAGAAGCAGATTTTAGTGACGTTTGCAACTGTCAGTGTGAGTCAGGTCTGAAGTAACAGGGTGGAGGGGACATGTTGTGACCCGGACATTAAATGCAGATTATCCAGTGAACAGGCTCAAACTGGAATCTTTGGTACTCTAAGCATTTCTGCATGTGTCAAAACCCGTCCAGACTTTTTGGAGGTTTTTGTCATCTGACCAGGATGTCATCTTTTCATTTTATTTCAACCAAGCCTATTCCTACAAAAATGTTCCACTTTATCTGTTTCTCATACAGAATAATGAGCCTGTCTGCATTTACATCCCCTTTATGTTCATCCTGACAGGCTCTCTTTGTGTCTTAACTATTTTCTGTGATTATAAAAACATCTCAAACATCTATGATCCCATGGGTGGAGATGAAAGAAGAGCGAGCATCCCTCTGCTGGTACCCTTGTTATGTTATTCAATTGTCTACATCCGTCTGCATGCCTGTCTGTCTCATGGATTTTGCATTAAAATGAGCAGAGTGGATGTAGAGAAGAAAAGCTACCCTCTGTGCCGCTCGATCTGTGTCTCTATGGAGGAACTCGAGCAAGGAACATTATGTCCCCGCTCACAAACACTGGAGCTTCACAGCCAGATGCTGTTGATATCATCCTCCCTCCTGATTGTTTCCTCAAGTTCTTTACATCAGCATGCCCATGAGCCGTCCAGATGAGCAGGGGAGTCGTGGTAAAGTGGAACAACCTGGCTGCTTTACGGAGGAAGACGTGTATCATGTAACCGCAGGCCTTGGCCTAGGTCCAGATGGAGACCCTCGTGTCACGTCATCATCCTCTACTTCTCCAGAGCTGCTTTCTACTTTCACAAAAATGCTGTGCAGTTAAAGAAAATTTGTTGTTTTTGCTGTGGAAAAGTTCCTGATCTTGAAGTAGCTGGATTTGTTTTACGTAGTTTTCTTCAAATATCTGTGCAACTCGGTTTGCTTGTCCTGACATCTCAAATGAATTCTTGAGCCTATTTTGTCAGTTGAATGTGATTAGGCATATACAGGGTAGTGTGGCTTACATGGTGGGCGGTGATAATGATGCTTAGAAAACACACAAACTCACAGACTGCCATCATTTATGCTGTGTAAACTGAATCATTGCTTAAGCCAGTTTAGCCACAAAGCAGCAACAAAGCGAAATATTTATCACTATTGTAATCTTTAAGGTTTTTGTTTTTTGTATTTCCACTGTGTCCAGTTGCCTCTTCTTCATCTCCTTTTATTTCTTTACTATTTTGTTCGATTTGCAGCATAGTGCATTATGAAACTTGGGTCAAAATGGTGAGTTTAAGAAAATGTTACAACTCTTTATGAGCGGTTGCAGCCAATATTCAAGATTTCTAAAAAAAAATAATTCAAGAACTTTCTGGTCATTTGGGTTCGGTTTTGAAGACACCAGTCAGCCAAACTTTATGTTTATTTTGTTCTGCTCTTGACCTGTAGTGATTTCTGAAAACAAAATCTACTCTTGAAGCCAATTAATGAAGTAACATCATCCTTGCTAGATGCTTTTGGCATCAGAATCACTAGTGGGTTTAATAAATCAATAATATTTTAATCATCATTTTTTTAAGACTGTGTTGCGTCTAAGCTGTGATGCAGCCATCTGACATGAGAGCTGTAAATCTGGTTAATGTCAGTTGTCATAATAATATAAGTCTGCACTACCTGGATGGGTGTTTCACAGTATGGTGCAGTTTGGCAGCATTTTGATCCAGGGCATAAAGATACAATGGTATCTTGGCTGTGTCGTGTTAAACTGTAGTAAAACCACTTGACTGAAATGACAGGTAACCAGAACATATGGACATTAAGCAAGGGGAGCTGAAGGCTATAAGTGCTAGCACTGCTACCATTAGCCATGCTACGCAAAAAAAAAATTAGTCCCATCTAGTGTTAAAGGGCTATTCCGATGTAAAACTATTTAAGGGTCAAACGCACCATAACCGAGTTGACACCCCTTCTAGAGATGAATGTTGCAGACCGCTTTCTTCTCTAGTTAAACTAACTTTAGTAACGACCGCAGGATAGCAATACACGGCGGCCTCTTTATCATTTCCTTGAAGTAATAATCACCAATTAATCATTTTGCACTGCCTATATATATCTATCCCTATATGTGTATGGAATATTCCTTTAAGGGTTTTTAAAGAGTCATGCTCGATTTTGACTTTTCCATACCTTTAGACTAGTCACTTGGTTGAAGTTCTTTTTAAACAATCAGAAATGTGTCTCTCTAGATCAGTCTTTATCAAATGGGGGTCCTTCTTTATGTTTCTGAACATTTCACTGCCCCATGGCAACAAACTTGTGACACATGCTGGTCTGCCTCACACAAGTTTTGGATCTTCATCCCTGGCTGCACTGCCTGCAGGGACAGAGAGATGCCACTCATAGCTGATGGGGCCCTTTTTCTCTTGCTTTAATCGCCCTCAAAGCCCTGTTAGCACAGCCACTCTGGCACTTTGGGGCTCTCTCTTGATTGAGTTTCCCTGTCATGCATTTGTGTGTGTGCAGAGGTGAGGGTCTTTAAATTGGAAACAGAGAGTGACTTAGCAAACAAAAGCCAGACTTCAGCAGAGGGAAGGGTGGGAAACAAAACAAAAGAATGTCAGCCAGGACAAAACACTGCAAACTATCAGATCTGCACAACTATCCTGGTCTCCATCTGCACTCTGCTTCAGTCTGAGATCTCTCAGCTTCTGTGTGATTTTATCAAACCTCTATTGTACACACACACAAAGAAACACACACATACACATTAAACGCACGACTTCCCAGAACTCACACCCCCCAGCCCTGCTGTCAGACCAACTCAATGTCTCCTTTCATCCCTCCACCTGAAGGCTCCCTCTTTGATACCTTCATATTATCTCAGTACGAGACCCAACTCACAGCAGGACCCTACCTGAGTCTGAAACCCCTTCGTACCCGCCTGCCCTGCTGTTTTAAAGCCTCGTTTCCGCAGGTTTGTGCTGAATCAGATGGAGGGAACCGTGATTAAGGGTTAAGCCTACCCCAACATGCACAGAAGCTCTTTCATCTTCTCCCACAGCGTGCAATTTGGATGCCGGCAGACACGCGAGCTGAGAGCGTCGTAAAAGTGCAGCAACAGGTCTGTGTGCTAATTCTAAGCTGTTATTATAATTATCGTGGACACACGCTGTTTGCCTTTGGCCCACGACACCGAAGTCCACTTTACGCATCGAGAATGTACTTTGCAAACTTTGGGGAAACTATGAACAATCACTTTATGCGCGAAGAGAAACCTTTATACATTTTGTTTACAAGTGTAGTTAATTTTACAAGTCATATCAACACAAAACACACACAAACCACCTTTTTATCCCCCCACTGCGCGTGTCTTACCAGATCGCTATGCGCTCCTTTGGATACTCCAGCCTCTCGATGCAGCCCAGGTAGTGAGGCAGGCTGTGCGCGGCGTTGCGAGCCACAATGGCGATCATAACCTTTGGCTTCAGCAGGACGGACTCGGGCTTGACCGGCTCCTGCACCAGCGTCACCAGCTCAGACGCGCCGCCGGGCACCAGAGCGCCCAGCAACGCCCACAGCACCCCGACTCCCACGGCACCGAGCGCCCGCATCTTCGCTTCGAGTTCCCACCGTGATTTCCTCCCGACCTGTACCCGCAACAGCCCTGAGACTGAGCGAGAGAGGAGGTCGTGTTAGAGAGTGAATGAGAGAGAGAGAGAGCGAGAGAGAAAGAGAGAGAGAGAGATCCCTGATGGGAGGGGGAGGAAGGCAGGAAGGTAGGAGATGGGGGGATAAGGTGGGTGGGGAGCTTCCTCCCTCTTTTACCCCTCCTACCACCCTTTGTTGATTGCTGCTGGTGGGGAGGGTTGCCAGGATCCCCCACTCCACCACTACTGACAGTAACACAACTCAACTACTACTACTATGACTACTACTTCTACTATAATAATAATAATAATGAAGATAATAATATTGTCACTATTATTATTCAAAAAGGGTTACTTTGGTAGATTTTTATTCACTGTTGTTAGATGAAATACTTCATATACTTAGTCATTACCCATGATGCCTGTCTGCAGCCTATTAGTTGATCCATGTCTGTTTCTCCGCCTGTTTCTTCTGAGAGTGTTTTTCCCTTCCCCACGCCTTCACTCTTGACAGTCTCTTGGATGCTGCAGAGTTGGAGACCATGAAGTCACCAGTCCTGACATCAGCCTCCAGCAGTAGGGGAGACCGGGGCTTGTTGTCACATGGGTAAACTGTCACACTGCAATTAACTTTGCCACCAGAGGGAGCAACTAAAAAGTGGAATACTAGTTTTATTCCTTTACATGGTCAGAGGTCGTGTCCTGTCTGAGAAGAGAAGAGCACATTATGAGCTGAGATGAACGCCAATTAACCATTTTGCAGAACCTAAAGTAAAAAAAAAATAACTTTATATATTTTAAAATTAACTTCTTCCAGATAAGAATCCAAGCAGTGAAATGGGGACTTGTTAGAGGAGAGATTAAGACATCCTGTCATAGCTTAGTCATTGTTCTGTTTTAAGATAACTTTAAGGTAGAGTTAGAATTAGAAAACATGGTAGTTTGGGTCAACACATCTCAGTCATTTTGGGGTTGGTTGTCATGTGTTTAAAAGGAATTAAAATTAACATAGAGAGTCTGTTTATCAGCACTTGTCATATTGAAACTTTGACTTTATTTTTACAGATAAAAAAGGGGAAGAGAAAGCGAGAAGACATGGTCAAGAATTACAAAAGAAAACAGTTGCATGATAGTTCATGTTAACGTTTGTTCAACGTCTTTTTCTAGCTCAATGATAAACATTTTCTGTGCCTGACTTTAATGTTCACTTTCATGTAAAAAAAATGAGAACATCAGTAATTTTGTCCTTGTTTTATTAGCTGAAAAATCCACTGTGACATCTTACCCCATGTAGTGAGACAACTTACCTGATAGTGGGGCAACATGTCACATGTTCACACTCTTTGTTTGATTGCTTATAACTCTGCACTGACACAGGATATGAAAATGACATGAATATGAAATGTATACCTTAGACTTTGGTCTTTCATCTGGTACACATTTTGTTTATATATGATGTATTGATTGCAAGAAAGAGTGTAAAAAGTGTGACAACAAGCCCCGGTCTCCCCTACTGCTGCACCATTGTTATTAAACTAATCATCTTTTTATTCAGTTTAGAAGACTTTCCGAATCCGTCACTTCTTTCCCAGAATACATCTTGAAACAGACATACATGCCTCCATCTCCTCCCGCCTGGACTACTGTAATTTCCTGTATTCCTATCTATCACAGCAGAGACTAAAAAACAACTGCTACTCCAGAGTGTGTCAGCCAGACTCCACACCAAAAACCAAAAAGAAAGAGAATATCACCTCTTTTTAAGCCTCCCACCACTGGCTCTCACTTAGTTTTAGAGTAGATTTTAGGATCTTAACGATAACTTTTAGAGCACTGTCTGGACTTGCCCCAAAGAACATCACTGATCTCCTCACACCTTCGGAGCCGGGTTGTACCCTGAGGTCCTCAGCCAAGAGTCTGCTGACTATTCCTCAATCCAGGCAGAGGACCAAGGGGGATCAGGCTTTTTCTGTCAGGGCTTCTGCTCTCTGGAACAAACTGCCTGAGGAGATCGGACTGACAAGTTCCTAATCTTCTTTTAAGACTCTTTTAAAAACCCATTTAAAAACACCCAAGTGTGCTTTTACTGGACATGATGTTTAACTTAGCTCTTTTAACTTTTTACTAAGTCTTAACTAAAAAAAAAAAAAAAAAAAAAAACTTTTATCACGGTTGGGGTTTCATCTTTTATTGAATTCTAATTCATTCCTCTTGACTGGCTGTTTTGGAAATTGTTTTGAAGTCTGTTGCTGCATTTTCTACTTCTATTTTTTATTTTGTTTTTATATTGTGAAACACGGTGTAACTGTTTTGAAAAGTGCTATATGAATAAAATTATTATTATTATTATTATCATCACTATTATATCTAAAGGTCAAATTCTAGTTTGAAATGCTCCCGTGTTCACCCCAGTGAAATCCAGAAGTGATGGTGGCCTTCAAGGACAAGAAGCTCCTCAGTTTATGCTAACTGTATTCTGCCATCTTTCAGGTTTTTACCCCAAATTTTCTTTTGCACACAACGACAAACAGTGTCTTATTCATCTTTATGTTTCAACCACTACATTTAGGCCGCTCATTAAAAACAAAAACACCTCCTGGACTGGTTTGTCTGTTTTGTAGAAACATGGGTTTGCAGGGGTGGGTGGTATATGAACTCAAGTTAAACCTAAGTTAAACACCATCAAGGCTTGACTAAAAAGACGGACACACTTCCAGAGCAGTAAGAGGTGCAATAGACTGGACAAGACTGCAAAAGATTCCTGTGATTTTTCTCTGAATAGCTGAGTCTGAAGCTGTAACCTGGGAGCTTACTTCAGCTTGACGGTGAAGATGCCAAAACTCTTGAGACTGTTGGAGTAATGACATGCACTAATTTGAGGAGAAATAAGAAGAGAGATTTTGCTGTGGGCAAAAGATATTGTACTGAGAGACAAACATCGCACACGGAGGATTACACTTACCATGCATCGCAGCAAGAGAGCATTTTGTTCCAGAATTTGACCATTAAGTAGAGATAAATATTCGGATTACTACAAAGTGTTCTTTTAGAGTAAAATCATGGCATTATCTGTGAATATTTTGGTCAAGTCATTAGACAACTAGGGTGCAACTTTTGAAATTAAAGTTAAAGCATGCACACCATGTACAGAGACCCCATGTACAACCCCTCCTGCAGCAGTCCCTTGTGCTCCCTACATTTCTTGTCACTCCTCTGCTATCATCTAATGAAGGCAAAAGCCCCGAAATATCTGAAAAGATTGACTTTTATTTGGGACACTAATAAACACTTTATGTTAACAACCTAACTGGTGGCACAAGTCAGAAAACAGATGTGACAAAACACTTGACAAGATTTTTTAAAAGTCTTTTCCTTCCTCATTAAGGAGGATGTGCTAAATAAGTGAAAACAGCAAAGCAGAAGACGTATCTGTTTCTAGTTTCTGTGACATAAACAAAATAGGACTTTAGTGGCACTAGAACAAAACATCCAACTCAGTGAAATGTGCCAAACCCAAATGACACCATGATGCAAACATTTAACCCCAATTTCATCCAAACAAAGCTTTGTGCATTACATGTACTTTGACAGTATGTAATGTTCATATATGATTATGATGATCCTGTAGAAACCTCCTTATAATGTAATTACAGTGGTGGCAGACAGACAAGCAAAGCCAACCCGTCGTGTCCTTGTCTCAACTCTGTTTATTTAAGTGAGGATCTCTGCCACCTGGGAATGTTTTTCCTCTTCACTGAGTCAAAGAGAAAACTCTTCTCTGCTGCTGGATGCTTGAGGTCACCACAGATGAGAGACTTATGGTAAGTGAGAGCAGTGATTTCGGTCTATCCCGGTAATCCCTTGGCTCCCTCTAGTGCTCTCCCACAGACAGTTAAAATGAGTGAGAAAACACTTGAGTGGAGGCGTCACATATTCACAACCCATACCCATTAATTATGTGGCACCAATTCATAACAAATGTAATCTAACGGTGCTTTACAGGAAGAGCTGGTCTAGACCAAACTCTTTTTTATATTTACAAAGACCCAACACCATGATGGGACAAGACTGAGTCCCACATCTCAAAATCAGATTGACTGTGTGTAAGTCATTGTAGCATTTAGGAAATTATAGTGAGTGGTGAGGAAAAACAACCTTTTAACAAGCAGAAACCTTGAGCAGAACCAGATTTGTGTTCGACAGTCATCTAGGGAGACTGTGGAAGGATTGGAGGGGGTAGAGTGATGTGCAGAAAGAGACAAAGACAAACAACAGGACATACAGACAGTGAGATATTAAAGACATTGATGGCAAATGGAATAAATAGTGATATCATCGCTGTAATAGCATTTGTAATAATGAAGTTGAGGTAGATAATTGGGGTTGTACTTTGAGCACCTGAAAGAGTCTTTAAGTTCTACATTAACATTAGCTTTGTAACAGTAATAAAGGTCATTGGTTCAATGCTTTTAGTTGAAGCGGCTGCAGAGCAGGCAAGTCATCAGCAATAGGACACCTGCAGCAGCAATCCAGAGGAACCTACGGGATGAGGGAGCTCAGGGACTACCAGAGAAGACAGCTGTTAGGGACTTTGATGGGACATGATAATTCAACGATTATGGCACGCAAAGAGGGAGAGGATAGAGAAATAGAGATAGGTGCTCAGTGTGGCGGTTCCCGAGCAATCGAGACCAAGAGCAGCATCCCGAAGACCTGTCCCAAGCATGAACCAGCACATGCTTATATACTACCCCAAAAACTTGTTATGGAGGGAGGTTTGATAGCCTTTAAATTTGGAAATTAGTTAAAGTTCCTGCATGAAGCTGTCTAAAATGAAGCTCAGAGGTCAGGATGAGCAACAGACCACAGTCAATAAATAAACTCAGTGATACAGTATCAAATTAAATAGAAAAGAAAACAGACATAAATTACTGCATGTCTGGTATTACCATAGACTGTATATACTATATATAGTCTATGGCTATTACTCACTTTACTCCACACTAATTTCTTAAAAAACAAGCCTCACCCTGTTGGCCCAGAGTGGGGCATCAACAGTGGGCAGTCTACGATACGTTTTCATCATTCAAATTACTCGTGCACTTCTGTCAAAGCCGAACATCTGCTTTGTAATTTTGGTTTGGTTTTTGACATAAAGCCATTTGTCTCTCTGTCACTGAACTGTAGATGCCGGCTGGGATATTGCTGTAGCATTTTTAGTTATGTTTGGGATAAGTGTACGTTTTAAGAACTGGCAAGCTTTAGCTCAGTTAAACTGTGGTTTCAGAGAAAGCGTAACTCATGGCCTCAAAACGCCGGGTAAATCCTTGTTTTCTGGCAACAAAATGAAAAAAAATATTTGGGGGAAACTCTTACAAAAGTCTGTTACACACACTAAAAATGTGGTGTAAATATAGATATAGTAGAAAAAACATACTGCTGTAAGATTGTAGAAATTTACACAGAGGGTCTCTTATGCTCACAGGAAACAAGTGTTTTTGACCTCTGCATAATCAAATGTGCTGATTTATTTGTGTGTGTGTGTGTGTGTGTGTGTGTGTGTGTGTGTGTGTGTGTGTGTGTGTGTGTGTGTGTGTGTGTGTGTGTGTGTGTGAGTGAGTGGGTGGGTCTGAAGTTTAGGACTTCATGCCTCTTTCTCAGCGGACAGAGTGATGTATGGCTCTTACAGGCGGTGCTTCATCATGCAAAGAGCCCTCTGAGGCAACCCACTCACGTGTTCATGTTCTTGCATCACACTGGAGTACTAAAACCAGCAGATGGCGCTCTTGTTTTATCCTCAAGGATCTCCCCCCTTTCCACTCTCACAGGCCCATTCACTGGGTCTTGTCTTGTGAACAGTGTGAGAAAAAAAGCTCCCGACATTGTCAGACAATTTGTCTAGTAGTGTTTGTGAGTAATCCTCTCCTGCCTTAGCCTCCTCATTACCTTAGAGGCTCCAGGCTCTGCTAATGTGACTTTGGCAGACTCCACTAAAGAACAACACACGTGCAAAACCATAAAGCAATCAGGCTCTTTGGAATCCATTTCAATCTTTGTTACTCAGCTGGTCACTTCAGTGGTGCAGGAAATTCATAAACAGCCTCTAATATATCTGAGCTGTCAAATTTTGGTACCCCAAATAAGATGGTTGCAAGACTGCTCACACATGAAATGAGATGTGTTCACACTGAACAATTAGGATCCTTGGATTTAAGTAGGTCACTTGTTGTGGATGTGCAGCATGAATGCAAATGCATGTATACTACCTTAAGCACTGGCCTCATTTGAGTTGTGTCTTTGCCAAGGTAATCCACAGTATGGATCTGCATGGAGAGGTTTTACATACAAATGAATGTTGAAGAGAGAGAGACAGAGAGAGAGAGAAGATGCAGGGCTGACTTAGAACACTCAAGAATATATATATACGGTATAGATGGATAGTAAAATTATACTCCCCCACCCTTAGCAAGGGCAGGATGCTTTAGAGGCTGCTGCTGCTGCCACATTTCTAAATGAATGTGTTCAGAGCTGCTCGAGGTAGTTTACTCTTAAGTGAGAATTAGGCAGCGAGGAGCTGCTGGAGGCAGTTAAGACACCAAGCAGAGGCCTGCTGGGCATCCAGGCACAGATCCATCCCTTTACCTCGCTGAGTTGACTCACTCTCTCTTTGTGGGTAATGGTTGCATGTGCACACACAGACACTCACACATTAATGGGAAAAGACACAGATTTTCCCCCTTATTATGTAAGCCTGGCACTATAAAAAAAAACATTTTGAGTTCATTCAATTATAATCTCACTAAAAGTGTGTATGTAATTATCAGATGAGCAGAGTTCTGATTCAGCTAGGAACATTTTACTCCTCTTGAGTTTGTACAGTTTCTTTCTTACCACTTATTCACACTCAAGTGCTGACAAAGAGAATAAGAAAGTGATTGTTTTGTTTTGGATTAAGAGTCTGAAACAGTGAGCACCTGATTTAAGTGCTCAAAATAACCCACGGGAACTCATGACAGAACATAGAGACACACACGGGTGGATATTCTGATCGGTAATGGGTACTTTATGTTCCTGCTTCTTAAGCTTCAATCACTTTTAGTCATCAACACGTCATCTGTGCACGCTGGCATGGGATTTGATCAGCAATTAGAATAGCTAATAAATGATTGGTTCAAAGTCACTCAAATCAAGGTAACAGTCTAATTAAAGGGATATTAAAAATTAAGTTAGGGTCAAACACACCGTAACACCGAATTAGACAACCCCTTCAGAGAGGAATGTTGCCGACCGCTTAATTCTCTAGTTTTACCAACTTAAGTAACGACCGCAGGATAGCAATACACAGTGGTGGGAGGAGCCATAAACAAACCTCAATCAAAATGCCACTCTATAGTCACAAATAATGCTCAGAACAGAACGCCATCAACAGTACATATAGGGTTCTAGCCACAGCACTAGCTACCAAACATCTTTTTAGCTTTGCCAAATTTTTAGCAAAGAGACTAAATGCAACTCACCCACTCTCTTCCAGCAGCCGCTTGTTTGTACAAGACCTCGGGCCAGTCCATTACGGACTGCTGTGGGGTGACACAGCTCAAGGTAGAACATTCATGATAATTTCTTCATGGAAATACAATCAGACTGAGACGCGTCTGCAGTGCAAAATGATTAATATGGTGATTATTACTTCAAAGAAATAATAAAGAAATGATCATAAATGTTCTTCTTTGAGCTGCAACAAACAAGTGACTGCTTGAAGAGAGTGGGTGAGTTGAATTTAGTCTCTTTGCTAAAGAAATTAGGCAAAGCTAAAAAGATGTTTGGTGGCTAGTGCTATGGCTAGGACTCTATATGTCCTGTTGATAAAGTTAGGTGCTGTTCTGAGCATTATTTGTGGCTATAGAGTGGCGTTTGGTTGAGGTTTGTTTATGGCTCCTCAGACTGCTGTGTATTGCTATCGTGCAGTCATTACTAAAGTTGGTATAACTAGAGAAACAAGCGGTCTGCAACATTAATCTCTCGAGGGGGTGTGTTACTCAGTGTTAGGGTGTGTTTGACCCTAATTTTGTGCTGGAATATCCCTTTAACAACAGCATTGTTGTGGGCTTCATAGTGTGTAGTTGTAGCATTTAGCAGAACAGACTTGGTAGAAAATGAAAATGATATCTAAACAGATTTTGAAATTAGTTTTTAAACATCAGAAAATAGAAATTGTTTTGTTTTGTTAAAAAATAAGGGGGTGAAAATAAAATCAAATATCAATGGTGCTGGACAGATCTTTTTGTGAATAACAGTTGTTTAAAAATGTCATTAAACCATTTCCTTACATGTCATTTAACATTTACCTTGACCTCTGTACAGGTTTTTTTTTTTTTTATAGCATAGTTCAGCGCCGAGAGTCTGAATCTTCAACTTGAATATAAATCAGTTTCACCCACCAGCAGATTCAGCACAGGTACCCACCTCCACTCAATAATTTGATTGGTTAAAATGCACGAATAAAGCTTGATAATAAATGAGCCCTTGGATATATTTTAAAACTGCTACAGGTGTGTTCGCATCAGCCGAGCGTAAAATCATCTCAGTTACATTCATATGAATCAAAGATAACCACAGATTTGTCATCACTAGGATGATTTCCTGTTATGAATATGACTGTGGCTCAGATTTATTTAAGGACTTGGGTTTAAATCATGCAAGCGGCCAAGAACATGTTGTACCCTAATAAGGACTCTCACACTTTGGGCTCTATTCCGCTCTCTCACACACACTGTAGCACACACACACACAGAAAAAGCAGGGAGGAGGGGGATCTTTATTGGTACTTGCGTCAGGGTGGAAAGAACATTTTCTTGCCCATATTCCTGTCTGGGGTTAACAGGCAACATCCGTCTCTTCCTCACTCTCCCACCCCTCCCACATCCTCACTTTCCCACCTCCCTCACCTTAATTTTCTCGCCTGTATCTCGCCCACCTCCCTCACCCTCTCACTCTCTTTCTCTCTGTCTGCCTTCAGCACACATTTATTTCTCTGTGTGGGAGAGCCTTGCTGTGAGCACTGGCCCATGGGGACCTTTTTTATGCTGCTGCTGTGCACAGCGGCTGCAGATTGTAACCTGATGTGCCCCTGCTAGTGAGTCATGCGAGGTAAAAAAAGGACTTTTTTTTGTTTGTGTAAGAGAAGCACAGTAGAAAGCAACAGCCAGACCACTGAGTGTTTCTTTCATAATGTGGTAATCAACTTAACCACTGAAACTCACTGAGAGCATCCATGGCATCCAGTCCCACTAGGTGCACATTAGGCTGAGCCTGGTGGAGATATTGATTGAGCCTGCAGGGGTTTTATATCGACTACAAACACATCATCACAAAGTCATTTGTGCAATTAAGGTGTGCACTTGATACAAGTATTACCGTCATTGCTTCATGTGCAAGACTGGACAGACGATTTGTGTCTGTATTAGTTATGATGAATCACGATTATTTTGCTTCTATCTGTGGAATTTTGTAAAGTAAATATCGAACTCATGAAGAGTTATAAAGCTATTTTTAACCTTCGCTGATAGTTATTATCGATTCCCCTGCACATGCAATCCCGGAAAGGACCAACAAAAGATTTATCAACGATGTCCCATAAAAGTCCTGAATGCTTTGATTTGTTATCATTGAACATTTCGCCTTAAAGCTGCAAGGGGAATAAATAAACACAATCAATGCTCGAGAGGCTTTAGTGGTACAGAGGGATGTAGACGCCATATGTGCCCGTTGTTCGGAAAGGTTAGGTTTCAAAACATAGTAAAGAAGTAAGAGTCAAGATGACCCACGCAGTCATCAAAATGAATCAGCACAGTCGGAAACACATCTAACAAAAGATCGCTGACGATGGTTTACGTGTGTTATTTCGTTGCCATCTATAGACCAAGGAAAGGGTGAAGCAGCAAAACCTCTGATTGTATTGATCCAAACAAGGGTGTGTTTCACTTGTCATTTAGGACAAGTCATTTGTTTGAAGCTCTATCAGGTAACTTGAAATGTATGAATTTTCCCTTTTGTAAAACTACTTGGTTCTGCTTGATCTGTGAAAGAGCTGAATTGGTCTGACCTAAAAGACGTCCATGCTGGGATAAAGCTAAAGGACTTTATCCCAGCAAGGAATAAGGGTCTGTTTAACATTTGTAAAACTCCTAAGAAATATAAGCTGTTTCTTTATCCAAATGTTAGGTATCTCTTTTACAGTGTATTGGATTTATTTTGTTTGGTTCTTGAAAAGGTGATAGATCAAAAATCTTTTATAACCGACTGCATATTCTTACATTTAAAATTCAATAACAGGTGGAATAAATCTTCTGATGATGTTTTTCATCCACACTGCAGTGTAGGCATCTTACCAGCAGGTGGCAGAACAAAGTCTCTAAGATGACTGCACAGCTTAAGGCAGCATGACCACATGAAAATAGACTGACTTCACACTCCTTATTACACTGCCAGCAGGACATGGCTCCATTACTCAGTTTATACTGAAACACACACACATGCATGCACGCACGAACACACACAGGAGCACACACATGCATGCACGCATGAACACACACACGAGCACACACACACACACAAACAAAGAGCTTTTTAAAATTTTTAATAGAAAAAAAGTATTCAAAATAATACAACAGGAAGTGTCCAACAAAGATGGCAACATAAAATAGGATCAGGTCTGTGTCTACATGGCAACCACACATCCTCCTCTTCAGCTCAAATCTGTCTGCTGCTGCAGCGCCCAAGTGCATGTATGTGCATGTATGCATGTGTGTGTGTGGGTGTGTATGTGTGTGTGTGGGGGTGTGTGTAAATGTGTGTGTGAACGTACTCAAAACAACGATAGAGCTTTAACAGAACAGCTTTGAACAAGACAGTCTGCTGGTGAAATGAGAGGGGTGTGATGATGTGTGTTTGTTTAATGTGTATGAACATGCCGAGGGGTTATGTTGAAATGAGAGTCTTTCCAAATATACAATAAAACGATCTGTGTGTGTGTGTGTGTGTGTGTGTAAGGATCTGGTTTCTGGAGGAGGATGAATGGAGCTGAGACACAGATGCTCTGACCCTATGCAGCCTCCGTCTGCCTGCTGCCGTGATGGGGATGATAATGACATTGTTGAAGATACATTAAGAAAGAAGCCAAGAGTAAAAACAAACTGAAGAACATCGAAAAAAGAGGCAAACAACTGAACCAGTGAATGCAGAACAAAGTTTAAAAAATAAAGGTCCTTGACTTCTGAAGGCAGGAGGAGTTGAAGAGTTTCTAAACTGCCAGCTTGCTTTGTACTCTCGCTTTATTAAAATATCACAAATTTCCTCTCTTCACGCACGCATTTCTTCCTCCATGGCTGTAGGTACACGTAGTAGGTTGGCCAAAAAGTTCAGTGTGGATTCCGGTAAAACAGGCGACTCCTCTGCCTCCTCCAAGCTGTGTGACTCCTCGTCCACCACGTATCGCACAAAGACTTTTGTTTTTCTTGAGCCTCCCTGTTTGGGCGTTTCTTTGTCCAATAGACGGGGTCGATTTTCAGGACTGGGAAACAGGGGGACAGACTGACAGATACGAAGGGACAGGTAGAGGGATGTTGTCCTGCTTCGGTAAATGACTGTGACTGTGGCTAGTCCTTTTTTCCACATTGATGGCACTCTTTGCCACTCCGTCGTCCATCGCTCCCTCATCTGTCCATCCTTGTATCGCTCTGCCACCTCCATCTGTCTGCTCAGGAGCCTGAAGGGCTGGGACGCTTAGAAGGAAGGCTCCAATAAAAGTGTCCTATATCCATCCTCTCTCTCTCTCTCTCTCTCTCTCCCGCTCTTTCACTCTCTATTAAAATACTATCTTTGCCACACGTCCAATAACACACATGCTCATACCAGCGCACACAATGTCCGTTCACATTAGCGCCTTATTGATAAAACACTGCTCCGACTCCACCTCTCTCAGGCACACATAAGCACACATGTACTCACTCACACACACTCACACACACTGTGAGGCTCTCTGTGGGGGTAAAACTGGGGGGCCTCTGTGCTATGTCCCATCTTCCTCCTCCTCCTCCTCTGAACAGTAGTCTCGCCCCTGCGGAGGAAGACACGGAAAATGAGACAGGTTCATAATTTTCGTGTTCATGTTTTTTTTTTCATATCTCTTATTTGTTCCTGTGAGGTGTACTCAGCAATAACCTGCTTCAATTGACTGTGAGCTGTCTGCATGCAGCAAAAACCCCCCACACACACCTCTTACTCCAGTCACTTTTACACAAACACTCGTCTATTTGCAGGCACTGGCATTTGAAAACACTGGATGAGGCAGTAAAGTGCTAACAGGTGGGGAGCTACGTTGGTTTTTTTTTATATTCCATCGTGATGAGGAGATGATTCAAGTGCCTTCTCTTCCTCTTCAGAGCCATCCAACAGATTCTTTAATTCCACAGTCTTCCTCCGTCAAAGAGGACTCTTACATGTATAAGAAATGATCATCTAATAATGGTAATAACTGTAGTTTAAAATCATAGACTGTATATAGAATGGACACCGTCTGCTTCCTCGCTGGGTCTCTGCCCTGGTTGTGATGTATGTAGTTACCTCCGCCAAGGAGGTTATGTTTTTGGTAAGCGTTGGTTTGTTTGTGATTTTGTTTGTCTGTTAGCAACTTTACGGAGAAAGTAACAGACGGATTGACCTGAAATTTTCACCAGAGGTGCGTCTCAGTGCCAGGAGGATCCCATTAAATTTTGGTGGTGATCCGGACAAAATTCCGGATACTGTGATCCAGAACACACAAAAATAAGGGTGTCATTAGAATTTTCAATGCTGAAAGATAACCAATGGGCGGCACAGTGGTGTAGTGGTTAGATAGTTAGTGGCACTGTCACCTCACAGCCCGAAGGTCCTGGGTTCGAATCTTGGTCAGGGCATTTCTTGTTTTAGGAACATTATGAACAGTGAACATACCAGTTTAAACACAAATAAAAGTTAATAAAAGACACGTAACAGTAAAAGTTTTGGTGTGAATCACAATATAAGGGGAGACATGAGCTGCTTGGCGGAGGTCTGCGCTCTATTACTATTACTATGTACAGCTGATACTTTTAGTACTGCTTTTTTTTTCACTCCGAGGAGACATGCCATCACATTCGCATATCCAGATCTTTTAACTCTGATTTTGGCCTCCACCAGCTCCTTCCTGCCTCTTTGGCTGTTCAGGTTGGGCTCAGTGGGTTTCACGTGAGCAGTAAACTCTGGTTTTGAGAAATGCAGCTGATGTGGAAGTGTGTAAAGTTGCAGTTCCTCATTGTCCGCTCGTTTCTGGCTGCAAAAGCCACATACACAGCCACTCTAAAAATCCCCTCCTTTACAGCTAAACTGAAAATGTTCAAAACCATAAAAATGATTTCAGTCTAAATAGTTAAGATCGCCAAAAACACACTCTTTACAGGGGAGATTTCTTTAATAACTTATTAGTTTTGAAGATGTTCAGGTTATGAGGTTTGCTGAATACAGGGTACAGCTGATCTGACAGACAGGCAAGCATACCGAAGCTATGAGCGGGGTGGATAAAGGTCCCACCTCAGCCCCACCTCCTTGGCTCTTGCAAGGTCAACAAAAGTTTGGTTGAGTCAGCATTTCCAACATGGCTATGGCATGCTTCAAAACTCTTCTTCAGAAACCAATAGGGGGCATCCCTGAGCCTGTGACTATGTTTCAAAAGAGTCCCTGGTTTTGCAGAGGGTTTTTTTACGGCCTCTTGCAGTGGCTGAAAACAATGCTGCATTAAGAATGAAATACTACAGACAAGTTGATGGATGGGAAACCAAAACTATGAGTTCAAAGAATCCAGAATAGAAACTCTACGGATAAATAAAAGTAGACAGTAAGTGTTGTAACTGAACTTTGTCATCATAACTATGGGCGTCCCACAAATTGTTATTCCTCATTTTAAAGCATTTGTTTATCCAATAGTTTGGGTTAAATCTTTAGGGTTGGATTAGAGAGGAACAGACTGATGGTAACTCTGGCTGACCTATAAATTATAGAGCAGCTCCAGACATATTTTCAAAGTAATGACTGGCTGTTTAAACAATGCCTACATGTTTCTGAACCATGATATATTACCACATTTGAGTTATGAAAACTGAATAGTCCTCCCAGCGATGCCCAAAACCTTGTTCAAAGGTTCAAAACAAGGGTTCAAAAATAAATTATAGCTGCATCCAGCTATGACTCAATGTTATTTCACTTCGCAACTCTGTCTACAGTCAGAAATAAGCCATGTTAGCTCGAGTGGCAGAGGAAGAGGAGTTAGTGCTCAACACTGCAATGGCCTCCTCCTCCTCCTCCTCCTCACAAATGTGGAGCTCACAGCTGACAATGCAGACTGAACAATGTTTTCATAACGCCTGTGTCTTTAAATATTAAGATCCAGCAATTTCTTTAAAAGATTTGAGACCTTTAACTATCCTCCTATTTAGTTCTTCAGAAGCTCCAGGAAAAAAGGACAACGCAATCACCCACATCCATTTGTATTTTTACACATATACACCCCCTCACCTTCTCAATCTTCTCGTCCAGCATTCTGAAAAATTCCTGCTGGCTCTCTGACGTATGAATACTGAGAGAGAGAGAGAGAGAGAGAGAGAGAGAGAGAGAGAGAGAGAGGGAAGGAGGGAGAGACAGGGAGGAGAGGAAGTTGGAGATTGGAGATGAGGAGGAGAAGGGAGGCAACAAATGCATCATGAGAACTTTCCATTACACCCCCCACACAGCACACACACACGCACTCTCTCTCTTTCTCTCACACACACACACACTACTCCCTGCAGTATGAGAAATCCATGGCTGTAAGCCTGTGAAGGGATTTAGCTGCTACTTCATGATCCAAAGGCTAATATGCCAACAACACATTTGTAAACAAGAACATAGAATTATAAACACACACACACGAAGAGACCAAACTTAGCAAAGATGTGACATCATATAACCCAGACACAATATATTACTGATTTCACACATCATAATACAAACACACTTCAAGTTTGAAGTCAACAAAGCTAACCACACTACACACTGCAGATAATACACTTTTATACAAACCACAGGACATGGTCTGCAGGCCTCTGTTTGCTACTTACTTTGACTTGATGTTGGCTGAAGCAACCTCTTTCTGCTGTTTCCCCTTACACTGCACATTACTCTTCTCCTAAAAGACACACACACACAAACACACAGGACAAAAATAAACAACATATATTAGACAATAGCCCGCCCCACAGAAAGCAAACATCACATCTGCATTATCAAATTATGTCCTTGCACAGCTGGCACTGATTTCATGACAGATATCCAGTCCAGTTATAATTTATGTAGGTCTGAAAAAGAACCATTGAATCACTTTTAATAATGGCTCATCACAGAGCATAATACGCTGTTTATACCATATCTTGCTGTGTGTATATATGTGTGTGTGTGTGTGTGTGTGTGTGTGAAACAACAACAGTGATGACAAGTGTTCGGAAACTAATACAGGTCTGGCAACATATAGCACGTGTGCTAGCTGATTACCTGTCTGAGCAAAAAAAATGTGGTTTGGGTCTTCTAGCGACTCATTCATCTTAATCTAGAACTCCCATTTTACAACCAGATAACAGACATTTTAAAAATTTATGCAGCTCCTGTGGGTTTGTCTGTGACAGAAACGTGTTGTTGAGACCTTGGCAGTGAAATAAAGTGGGTTGGCTGAATTCAGGAGATATAAGAAAAAAATCAAAACATTGGCTTATAAACCGGAAGGAGAGCAGAATAAAGTAGCAAGTTATCTAATTTCCTCATGTAGAACTCGACTTTCCTCTGCTTTGGCTGCAAGTTTTACAATACACAAGCTGCATATTCTCATGGTTGTTTCCACGATAAGGCCAGTTCTGAGGGTGACATAATATAAATTTACAGCAGTGTAAAACTACTTTGTTTTTAATCAGGATTTATGGCTACATTTGTTATTGTTTTACCTCCTTCCTCTATGCCAGCCAGCTGAGTTAGTGATGTACCGAGAAGGGAAACAGGCTCTCGCTTACGCAACAGAGCTCCAGCTTGACTCTTCCTATTTATTCCACGGAGTTCAAAAATCGAGTATTGTTGTTCTATTTACATTATACATTAGCTCTCTTCTTTCCTTTATGCTTATATTTGTTATAACTTTATTTGTCAATCAGCACTTATGTGGATGATTTGTTTCTATGACTTTATTTTGAGTTAAGCGCCTGCTTTGGTTGAATGGCACTTTGGTCAAGGTGTGTTGTTTTTGGATGAACCTAAAGAGTATATTTGACTTGATTTGAAAAAAGCACTTTTAAATCATTTGGTGTGCTGAGAATGGAGATACACCAGAGCATCTAGTCATCTGAACAGAGGTTAAATCCAAAGTTTGGACAGAAAATGCTCTTCAAGTACTTCAAAACTGAGTGCATTTTTAGCTCGGCTAAATATGAGATCACAGTCGACAGATAAACTCTGTCCAATTGGTTTTCTGAGCGTGACTAACATTAGCAGAGCTAGCACTACCAGCTCTCTGTTCCCCTTGCAGATATATTGGTGCGTTTCATTTACCTCGGAAGTCGAAAGTCGGAGCTGGGAATGATGTCACACCTGAGTTATCAGTGTTTCTGTCACAAAGTCGGAAAAAAGTAGCCAACCTCCAAAAACGGAAGTGGAAACAAGATGGCTACATCTACAAAAGTTATTCTCGCCCTTGCCTTGTCCGAATATTAACAACTTCTGGATAAATATGCGGTCCTTCTGCAACGTGCAAACAAGATGGATGAAGAGGAAACACAAAGGCGCAGAACATAGCATATTTTTTCTCATTACAGTAGCTCCTACTTACTGTACAACCAGTGCTGCCATCTTTAAATGTCAACTCGGAAATCCGACCTTGGGGGTCGTTTCAGTTCCAACTCCGAGCTCGAAAGTCCTAACTTCCGAGTACAACTGGAACGCACCATATGCCCTGATGCCTCTGCTGGCTGCTTCTGTTAAGTGGTTATAACTGTTAACCCGACACAGCCTTCATCGTACAAATAACTTCATCACAAGATGCCATCTGTCATCTGTGCTTGTTTACATCAGGGTAGTAAGTTGTGTTTTTAGAATAAAAAAACTGTCTTTCTAATATTTTACCCTCTGTTAATACTTGCAGTGGAGAGTTAAAGAATTTGTGCTGCCTGGGTGCGTTGTCAGGTCTGACACCTTCCTCCTTCCAGCAGATTCAGGCATTAAAAATAACAGTACATAAATTATCACTCTTATTGCTGGTGGTCTCATTTGCCTTTGTAGATCACAATTAACATCCTGTAGGATATAAATCTGTACGAGCCAAATGTGCAATAAGGATTGTAAAACAGTTTTATTTGGGAAGTGATTTAGTGTTCGTCTCAGAACAAGATTCAGTGTTCACTGCCCAGTAAGGTTTAATACAACTGCTTTGACGCCTTGCTCTTCTGGTTAAGACTGCAGGTTTTGCAGAATGGAGTCAAACCAACCAAGCAGCTGACCCCTACATTCCTCACACGCCAACATGGTGTCTCTACCTGCGTGTGAGGCACCTCTTTGTGTGCTTTTGATGGTGTGCAATAGACAACGAATGTGTACGTGTGAGCTGCTGAGACTGACAGAGCTGCCTTTGGACACAAACACACGCCTGTTAGCTTCGGCTGATAAACTGTCAGGAAAAGGTCTGAGGCTTTGTGCGGATGACGGGCTGTCAGTGGAGCTGTGTGTGAGTGTGCGTCTCTCACCAGGTTCTCCTGGTTGCGTGCATTCACCCGGTTTTCTTCCCCTCTCATGTACTTCACCTCCTCCACTCCCTTCATCTTGTATTCATCTGAGAAGAGAGCAGTTCAGAGAGAGAGAGAGAGAGAGAGAGACAGGAAAGACATGAGCAACAATCTTTATTTATCAGGCATCTCCAACACAACAAACACTGTCCTCCATCCTGCTTAATATGATTGAAAAGCCTCAGATGATTGGACTGAGCCAAATCAGCTTCACTTTCCTCTCACTGCATTTTGTCAACTAGACATGATGACTACACTTGATTCAATTCATAATCTGTCAAAGGTAATCTGATAACTTCGACCCGACACAGCATTTTAGTAAGTGGATGCGACAGTTGAGATTTAAGTAGACGGACACGAATCATCTCCTTTCCATTTTACCACCAATCTCATCTGAGGGCAAGGACAAGCAGAAACAGAGAGACAGTGCAGTGAGAAGGGATATATTTGAAGTAGAAGAAGAGACAGGAGGGAGAGAAAAATAGGACGGATCAGAAGAGGAAGCTTGAGGGGATTACAGACCAGTTAAAGAGCTTCTAGGCTACATGTAAAGCTTAGACAGTGAGGACTTTTTAAGACAAACTCAGTCACAAGAGAAGAAACACTTCTGCATAACTGCTGCACCTTCACTAGGTATCTGTAATCCCTGTAACATATGTAAAACTGGGCTGTGTGTGTTCAATTCTGAGTCTCAGTTATTTGCTCCCGTGTTTGAATCCCATACGGTTTAAATAGATGCGACAACTACTTAGAGGGTTACGGAGGCTTTCCACAGTAAACGGAAGTGAGTGTGGTTTAACCCAGTGAGTGTCAGAAAGCTCATACTGTGACGATGCTTTGCCTAAATGCTGTGAAAACACAGAGAGATGTAAATTGGGAAAAAACTGTCGTGTATTTGACTGTACAAACAGATTAACCAAGAACTCAGAGCAATCTCTGAACAGATACTGAAAGACAAATGGATCACTGCAATAAGGAGAAACAAGTAGAATCAAGGTCCTGAGGCATGGATTTGATGTTACCTTAGCTTAAGCTTAAGCTATACTGTATGTACTGACTGTTTATCATTAAATTACCCAGAAATTTTAATTTATGCCACATGTAACTGTGATGATTTGTCAGCATTTACCATTAACCAAGTGTGTATAAACCTTGTGTTCTATAGAGATTTTGTCTTAGTACTCTGTTCAAGACAATTTCTTTTATCTTGAATGAGGTACTGAACATCTCAGGATGGGAATTGGTAAGATTTTATTGATATCAATGCCATTATCGATTCTGCTTATCGATCAAATTCTTTAACGGTTCCCTTATCAATGGTTTTCTTTGATTAAAAAAAAAAAAGTAGACCATAGGTTTTCACTGTTAACTCAAAATTTTATTGAGTGTCTGATAACAGAAAAGGGTGTATGGCAGCATTGACAAATGTTTTTCATGTTGCTGGTGTTTCAATCTTTGTATGTTATCACTGCTCGACAAAAGTTGCTCTGTTGTCGTCTTTCTTAGTTAAATTAAGCCACGCTTTAGCTTGTTTCTGCCTACTTTTCGTACCGTCCACCATGTTTTTTGTCTGTCTCTGTTCCCGTTCGCGTAGATTGGCACTCATGAGACCATTTTTCGAGACACCGGGAAGAAAGGAATCAATAAGATAAATGATGTCGATGGATTGAACCATTGTGAACTGGTTCTCAACATGAACCAGTTCTTGATTCCCATCCCTATGAACATCCATCCATCCCTGCCTCTCCTTCTCCCTCCGCTTGGATTGAGTCACGGTAGGAGGCAAAAGCAAATTTACCCAAACATCCCTCTACCCAGCAATATCTCCAGCAAGTTCTGGGTCTACTTCAGGGTCCACACCCCCACAATCCATTCTTTTGGTCACTACCCAAAGCTCAAAACCAAAGATGAGGATGAAAAAAATACATCAATTGATGAATCCAAAGCTTTGCCTCCAAGCCCCACATCACCACAGCAGTCTGTTACTCCAACATACTTGGACACCTTAACTCAAAGCAAAGACCCACTCCCCAAACAGTGAAAAGGCAAAGAACCATGGCTTTAGGGTTAGAGGAGCTAACTCTTATCCCAGCCACTTTGCACTTGACTGCAACCTGCTGATTTACAATTAAATCTTGTCTTGAACTATGACCAAGTAACAACACGAGGCCCACATGTTGATATTCACTGACCACTTTGTCTATGGCGGGTTGAAGGGATCTCTGAAGAGACCAGTGGTCTCAGTTTTAGCAGAGACTGTCTTATGTCTATGATGACATGAGGGATGCAGTTTTAAGCCTAATGTACCAAGTTGTTGCTGATTTCTTTTGGTTGGATGGTTATTAGGAATTGGAGTTATATTTTAGAAAAGGAACCTACTTTGTGGCAGATTTTAGAGCCAAAGCTTGGGAGAAAAGGCAGGATACAATGTTTGAGACTGAGCTGTCAAAGAAACATGCCAGTTTGAAATGACGATGAAGTTTCTGTCGTTTCTGAAGATAACCACGTGGCAGGATGCTTTGCCACTCAGTGAGATTTGAGAGAGTGATATGCATACTCTGTAACCAGAGGTTCAATGCATCAATTTGCAATCTCCAGCCCCCACAGAGGAAGGCAAACATATCTTAAGTCCAAAGCCAGAGATTCATTAAAAAGGCACAGCTTTTTTTTAATTATTTAGAGTTGATCAATCACTGTGAAAAATGATCACAACCAAAAATTTTAAGGCTGAAACTGGCCCAGTAATTGGCTTTTCTGCAAATAGCTTCTGTGTCTTCTTTAGTAAATGTTGGTAGTTTTCTACAAATTAAAAAAAAAAAACACATTCCTTGGTGGAAAAAAAAAAAAACAAGAAAATTGTGAAAATGCCAAATGCAAATTAGATTTGCCTGAGGTGTCTTCTTTTCTCAGTGCAGCATCTCAAAACACAAAATCTTCATAATAGAGCTAAAAAAAACTGCAAGGACTGGTTGATTTTATAACGTTGGGATGCTGGGAATATTGGGAACGTTGGGAATTCAAACTATATTCTTCACACTGTTGTTCTTCTCTCTCAGAGTTTATTTTGTAACAAGCTCTACATTAAAAATACTTGTTTTTTTAACTTAGGTAAATTCTGTACAGATGTAAATATGATGCATGTGCATATGTTTTTTTTTAACACAAAGTTCCCTTATCTTTAATTTTTCTCTCGTTGTATCTATACTATGCTGCTGTAAATTTGGAATTTCCCCTCGTGGGACTTTTAAAGGAACATGTTATCTTATCTTCCATAATAAAATATAGAAAATTGTTCAAGTGCACAGGGAGTGACTGTGGACATATCCCTTATGTTTCTGTACCAACTTCATCAAAACACAAAATAGACCTGGACGACCCAAAACAGGAAGAACAACCCCCATGGGTGCTTCTGCCACACAATAACAAACAATGTCCCAATAAAAGGGACTGTACTGTAACTAATACACTGTCCAAAACCTCCACATGCAGCACCTTTACGTAAGAATAAACCCCACCTAACCTTGAGCAGAACAATACAAGCACACAGGGTTTCTGCTGACTACCTGACTGTTGGACATTTACTTGATAAAGTAGCTGAGACACTGATATACACATGAGCACTGACACACCACCTCTATTGCTTATCTGCCTCACTCTTTGTATTTTGCCCTCACTCTATCAGCAGTCTGCTTGTTTATCCATGAGTCTGTCTGTGCCACTTTGTACCCAGCCAAAGGCTTCCCCCTCTCTCTCCTCTGTTTCTCACAATCCACCTGGATCATGTGTGTGTTTGCCTCTGCATGTGTGCGATCACCTGTGTTTCTACCTCTAACATGTGCGTCTCTCACAGTAAAGCCAAACATGGCCTGCATCGGTCTACTGATGGGAAATCATTTTAAAGAGAGAGAGTGAGAGAGAGAGAGAGTCGGCTCATTTAAGGGAAAGAGAAGAAACAAATGTGGACTACTTTTTTGCTGTTCTGTTTGTCTCAGGAATGTAAACGTGTTGGAGCAAAGCAGCTCCTGTCTGAACACGCTCACACACACAAATGGTTTTATAACACGACACAGGCCCTCCAAACTGAGATGCACTCTGTAAACATGCAGCACATACAGTTATTGCAGCAGGAAACAGAATTAAGAGCCAGTATATCCCAGGGGCAATACGCATAAATTTCAAGCTATATAACCCGCACATTAAGGTGGAGACACATGATTAGGAAGGTGTTAGATTAGCCGCAGCCAAAGGAAACTTAAATAAATCTGAATGGATGTTTCCTAAATGTCATCTTACACTTTGGATGAGAGTCAGCATAATACAGTCGAGAAAAGCAGCAATGTTCTAGTCCTGGTACAGGAGGGTCTCTGAGCCTATGCCGATAAAGACTCACCACAGCACAGGCTTCAGTTTGAACAAGGGCTAAAACTGGTCGTGCTGTGTGAGTAGTACATGTGCGCGTGAGTGCAGTAGTCATTGTCACAAGATATGAGTGTGTTTCGTCACACAATCACAAGAGAGAGAGAGAGACAGAAACAGAGGTCACAGGGAAGACCTATTTCCAGAAGCTATATTTTCGTGATGTGGACATCTTTTCCATCTCTGATTAGAGACCTAAGCTCTGCACTGACCTTAAGGTGCCAACGGTTACCGCCAAAGCATGAGAGTTTGTTTGTCTGAGTGTTCGAGTGTGTGTTTGTGCGTATACGCATAAGTATGTTTCTATTTTGCTTGGACTATGAATCAGCAAGTTTGTAATTTTTGCGAATATGAGCCATTCCTACGGGTGTGACTCATTTCAATAGCCATCTCTGGGTGTGTGAGTGTGTATTTCTGTGTGTGTGTGCGCACTAGAGTCTAGTCAGCCTGCCTATCCTGTGGCTATGTCACTCCGTCCTTCCTGCTGGGTGTCCTCCCTCCTGGCCACTCTGGCTCCAGGCCACCATCCTCAGCTTGGCCGTGACATTTACACCTGACTACACGCCTTAACACTAACACACCCACAAACACATCAAAAGGCGATCAGATGAGAGGAAATATACAAAAATGGGGCAAAATATAAAATATCATGTCTTCTCGTGGCAGCAGTAGAAAGCTGGGAGGGACTGATCAGAACAGGTTTTTTTATAGTATTTGGTTTGTTTGTTCAGCATTAGATTATATTCACATCAATTTTGAAAATAGTCCCCTTTTTTGTTGATTTGGTAGAGTAGACAGTGGTATGATAGGAATTTTCCTTGATGTAAACAGATAAATGTCAAAGCCTCTAAAATATTCGTATTGAAGTTTGATGTGCCTAATAATGACAGTATTCATGATGAGATAGAAGATGTTACTATCGGTCCGCTTTTACTCTATGTGCAGATGCATTTCACATGCCAGAGAAGTCAGATACAAGTTGTGCATAACAAACTCAACCTTTGAAACAGCTTTATATTTCTTTGATGAAAGAGAAAACAAATCCTAAAGGTCAAGTACACAGATTTAAATATAGTTTTAAAGGCCAGTGTTAAACTAACATGCTCCAATTCTTGACAAGAGGAGGAGTTTTGTGTGTACACTTATCAAGTATGCATATTTAATGTACAGTTTGTACTTGCACACCAGTGTCATTTTGTTGATATTCAGGGAGGCTTATTTGTCTATAATTTTAAAAAATTCCTAATTGTCCCTCTCTTTCTTTTTCCTGATCCTGGTGCACGTTGGCTCTCAGTCAAACACGGTATCTGGAGCAAGCAATTGTATAACTTTGGATAGCTCACTAAACATTGATGCTCTTTTCCAGGCTGCTAGCGTTGAATCTCTCTCTGCAGGTCTTTCCGGATTTGCCTGCTTCTTTATTTGAGTTTTCCCTAAAGAGTGAATGTTTTGAAATATAACACTCCCAGGACTCGACAGTGCGACTGTTTCACTCGCATTTGCAACCAAAAATAGATGTGTGTGAATTGTAAAATGTGTTTAGGGGCATGTGCGCGTAAAAAAAAAAAAAACAGCCGAGGCAACAAATGTTTTCTCATGTAAATACCACAGTAAAGTTAGTTTTAGGTTGGATATCTTGTGTCTTCTCACTCTCCATAACCAGGAATAGCAACAGCAGCACAGTCAAATCTACTCAGCACCCTTGCCGTCAATGTCAGGTGTTGAATAAGGGACCATCAATAAATTACTGTTTCATGTTCTCAAAAAAGGCTGTTTTCATTCAATAGCTTCCATGTCTTGTGACCAATTGACCTAAAATTGATTTTAAATAATAGCACTTATGTCGGCCAATAACTATTTTATCTTAAGAGCACATGTGCTACTTGTGAAAAAAGTTAGTGTCAAGCACTGCCTCCATTGTATGATGTTAAATCGCTCTTTCTCGTCTGCTTGAGTGATAATATTTCCAAGGACTTTGCAGGCTTTCAAAGCAATTGCAGTTCATTCATGTGCCAGCTGTTCTATTAAAAAAAAAATCATTGTTGAGTAATCCTATCATCTTCCAAGCATAAGTATGACACAACCTTGGTATTACTTGTCAGAAAATAACTGCTTTTTCTTCACACTGTTCTTAAAAGTTCATACAGTAGCAGCTGATTCTATAAACAGAACAAGAAGTCAAATCGCTCTGGTGCAAAATCAGCACAATTCCTTGAACAAACAGTGAAATCTGCACACTCCCTTATCGTGTGTACATGTTAGTGTGCAATAATATACACATACAGTACTACACAGTCACTAGTCACTATCTCCTCTCCAATCTGCCCTGATTGTGATGACTGCAGACATCAATAGCATGATGTTGTGGAAAGTGTTGCTATTTTCCCTCGTCGTCCTCCAGTGTTTGTGTAATGGAGCTCAGACTTTTCCGGTTATTGTGTGAGAGGGACTGAGGGAAGACGGGCTGTTAGTGGCTAGAGTCTGGTGGAGTGGGCAGCGAGGCAAGAATATCTGGGACACATAACACAGAAGCACATTTGAACAGATTGACCGGCAGACAAATATGTTAGAGGCGGATCAGTGTCTGACGACGTTCACTGATCTGCAACGCACAAACATACGTGAGGGCAAATACGCAGACACACACATATATAGTCTACAGGGGGTGTATTTGTATGTCAGGGATTCTTGAGAGTCGGGACAAAACACTTCCTAAAAAACTTTTTTTGAGAATGCACACTATATTGATTAGAGTTATTTATTACTGTAGAGAAAGGTCTTAGCTATTTAACCCCGTAAAGGAACAGGCTCTAAATAAAAACATTTTTTCTATAAATTAACATGTTTCCCTTAGACAGTGGATTTGTGTCAACTCCATCAGACACACAAAAAAGAATATAATTTTAATAATTCTAGTCCAACAAGAATCTAAAGTTCTGATGTATGTTGTAATAGTGTTTAGTTACTCTGATATGCTATGAAATATAATATATAAACCTAGTGTGTGATTTCACACTGTTTTGAAAACCAAGATTTCTAAATAGTTGCATTTTCAAACTTTGTTTTTAATTTTTATATTATAAAAACAATTTCTGTAAGTAGATAAGACACAAGAGGATGTAGAGCCAATGCTCCTTTGTTACTTAAACAATATAAACTGAAGAAACAAATTTTTTTTCTCCAAAATTGAAGAAAAACATACATCTGACGGTGTTGACGAACACCTGACGGAGTTGACGAGAAACTGACGGAGTTGATGACATTGCATATGTTATTGAACAAATGTGTTTTTAAACCGATTGACAATAGGTCAATAGGTGAAAATAGATTAAGAACTAATAACTCATTATTTTCATACTGAACATACCGTTAATGCAATTAACCACCGCGCCGACAAGGCGTTTCCAAGCACATTTTCGTATTTTGGTGAGTTGTGCAGCCTGGCATAAGTATCCCCCTCCCCTAACTCAGCTCCTTCCAGCGGCGTAGGTCATAGGGAGGGAGGAGAGAGGGCGTTGAGTGGGTTTAACACAGCCGAGACCTGTATTGACCAATAACATCAGCTTTTCTCGCCTTTGAATCCGCCACTAGCGAGGCGTATTACTATTTTCGTGAAGTAGTCAAAGAGATCAAGAGATGTCTGAAGACAGCAATGCCACACGATGGCGACAGAAGGCAGCACCTCAACAAGTGTCACTGTAAGCGCTGCATTGGGCGTCCTCTGCACTGTCTCATATAAGCACAGATGGATTTGGTGTGTGTAATGTTTGACCCACTGGTAAGACAAACACCCTTTTCCACAAATAAAGACAATCACATTAAATTGCATATATTTAAACCTCACGTGACAAAGGTGGGTTGTGCGCAAAGGTCACAACATAAATTCCAATAATGGCATTAAAATCGGAACCAATCTGTGTGTAAATCGCGCTCCGTGGCCTGGCTCTTTCTTTCATAGATCTTGGCATATAAAATAAATTTGGCTCACAAAACTGATTATTATAATATTTGTATGTAGGCTTAAAGTAAAAAACTCATCTGATCACTGGAACAAATCATCTGTTCAGCTGCCGCAGCAGCAGCTGCAGCAGGACGGGTAGAGGACATGGAGACATGTCCAGGTTGAGCTGCGCGAGAAATAAGAGGAAGAGGAAGCTAGAAATGGGGGCAGACAAATTAAATATCTTGTTAACTTCATCATGTGTGTTTATTTACTAGATATTTGATTCAATTTCATGCGGATTCAGCAGCTGTGTTAATTTGGTCAGGTTGAGTGTCCAAACGCATGCCAAATGCGCTCATCAGATCAGATATAGATCAGAATATATCGATATAGATCTAAATGTATGTGCTGACACAGATTATTAGTTGTTATTGATTATTTATTGCACGGAAATGTTCCTGACACTGTGGAAACCTGCTGGTGAGGCCGATATGCCGCCGGTCTCCCAAAATACCACTAGCCCATCCGGATCCACCTGAGCTGAAAGCTGACCAGGTTTGAATCTGCGAGCTTTCAGCGCACTTTACACGCCGGCAACAAGTACGAAAATGTCACTGCACCAGCTGATTCTGTGGACACCTCACCCTGCCACACATCCACGCCCAGCTTGGCGGACCTCGGTGCACCTCAGTCCACGAAAATACCAAACTGGCTGTACGCTGAGCTCCGCCAGACGAAAATGCCGCTGCGCGGGGTTCGCCACCCTCCGCCATGGCGCCGGTGGACACAAAAATAGAGCCCAAGGTCTGAGGGTCCAAGTTAACAATGTAAAAATAATAACCTTTTTCTTCTATCTGGTATCCCACCTACACTGGGGTTTAAAAGAGCAACATAGAACTTCTTGCGCACTCTATAAGAAGCCAGTGTGTAGATTTTAGGTAGTGAAAATTACATACTGCACCTTTAGGATTGTACATTAATCAATCAATCAATGATATAAGGTGTGTGTGTGTGTGTGTGTGTGTGTGTGTGTGTGTGTGTGTGTGTGTGTGTGTGTGTGTGTGTTGGGAAAGTTTGACAGTTATAATTAAGCAGACAGCCTGCCCATGGTCTACTCTACAAAACAGAAGTATATGGTAAAATAACGTAATATATGCTATATATGTACTTTTATGTGCAGATAAGACCCTGGAATAACATTGTTATCCTTAACCATGTTCAATAATAGCATAATGTCAGCACATTAAGAGGTTATAGGTGGATTTGTCAACTCCATCAGCTTACATGTCAACTCCGTCAGACACAAAATCTGACGGAGTTGACGTCTGACGGAGTTGACGTAAGGGCATGTATTTTCCCTCCAAAACATATATTGTACAGTGCAGCTAGCTACTTTTTTGGCAGTTGCTAGCTGTCCTGATAATCTCACTAAAATACTTTAATTGAACTCACTATGGTTTAAAAAAAAGTATAATAACGGAGAGACGGTGTTGACATGGTCCAGCTGTGACCATACAAATATTGACATTGTTTGTCTAAAATATCAAAAACTGTAAAACCTACCAGACCATGTGTGGTGGTGTTGCATTCACCAGAAGCAGGAAATGAAAAGGGGACCTCAGGGATATAGCTGACCATGATATTGCATGATTTAATGAGGTTTATAGAATAATCTGATGGAGTTGACAGAAACTGAGGACACAACTTTGATAGGCAGATTTTTAGGCAAAAAGCTTTTTGATGTTCAGGCCATTCATTGTTTATATATTTATAGCCCTGAATTTTTATTTGATGTATATGTTTTCACAATTATAGAGTTTTTTAAAGTTTTTTGGGGCTGGTCAATATTGTGACCTCTTGCTGAGGACACAAGCAATAACATGGACCTTCTAACCACAGACGTTTCATTTAAACAAATATCCCCCCAAAAAGTAAATATCTGTGCTAAAAAATAGGATTGGTATACACAAATCCATTAGATTTAACTTTTTGAGTATGTCAAACATTTAGAATTTCTTAATTGTTTTGAATAAATTAGACTTTTCTATGTAGGACATGTTTTGTCCCGACTCTCAAGAATGGGTGATGTGTAGGCAGGCTGACTAATCTTTTCCGCCTCCATCATGAGAAGTACACCGGATGTAGAGACTTCGTTTGACCCGTGCTGGAAAGGGTGGTGAGTTTCTCAGGGAAAGAATGACTACTCTATATATGACAATGTCAGCAAGAGAAAGAGGAGATAGAAAGCTAGATGTGATCAAGAAGAAGGGATAAGAACGGATAAAGATGAGAGAGGCATAAAGAAAGGATGTTATAATCTCTAATCCATTCTATCCAGGTCACTTTGGTCTCCCATCTCTGCACACGCCGACAAACGCGCATGAACTGTACTTTAGACCAGTCCTCGCCACTTTGGATTCTCCTTTAACACACTGACAGCAGTAGCACGGGATAGGATGGGAGGGTGAGGGAGGAAGAGGGAGAAAGAGAGAGAGAGAAGAGGGGGGAAAAGGACAAAAGGTTGTGACCTAATGTTGCGCCAGAGAAGAGAGGAAAAGAGCTGGGGAGGAGAAACATTGGGAGATGAAGGCAGGAAGAGAGGGAGGAGGAAAGAGTAGGAGGGAGGGGGTACTGCGACCCAAAATAGAGAGAGAGAGGGAAAGAGGAAGGGGGAGACAAGGCCTTGAAACAGGGTAAGGGAAGAGGAAGAGACGTTGAAGAGGGAGGGAGACAGAGAGGAGAGCAGCAGTGTCAGAACCGGTCATACTCCTGTCGTCTCTCAAGGAAAAAATTTGCACTCCTCAAATCACTCCGTTTCTCATCTCCGAGTATATTCAGTCTCGCCCTGAGAAAAAAAAAAAAAAAGGAGGAGGAGAAAGGGGAGAACAGACAGAGACTGCCTGGGGAGGGGCGAGCACAGGGGGGAGGTTGGATGAGGTGAACATGCCAGGGAGGGGATGGCCTGTTTGAGACGGAGGAGCGAGTCAAAGGAGGGTGAAGAGGAAGAGGGGAGAGGGCTGGAAGAGAAAGAGACCCCCTGTGGTTCATCATCTGCCTTATCCATCCGCCTGCGTGCAGTCATAGCAGAGTGTTGCTCCTAATTCTTAATCGCTGTTAATCCCTTCACCAACCCTCATCTCTTTTTCCTCTGGCTTTCACTTTTTATTTCTGTCCCACTTAGCAGAACAGCTGGTGAGAAATTGATAAAGCCGGAGCTCCAATGAACTATTTTCTGCCGCTGATGAACCACATGATCAAATTTTCAATGGATTGATTCTATAAATATTACATCATGTCGGCAGGGTTTTACTCAAAGACACTTTGAAACATTGGAGCTTGGGATTGAAACACCAGACCTGCTTTATAATGAATGGCACAGTTTACTATCTGAACGACATCAACATAAAGACATAAAGAAATGCAAAAAATGACCACAGAAACTCCTCAAAGATAGACATGCGATCCTTAATTTCATCACTTTGTAAGAGCAAAAGAAAATCTGATATTTTTAGCAGTAAACGGTAAAAAGCAGAGCAAGAAATCCCTACTTTAGATGAGTGGACCCTATGACAGAAGGACTGAACTAAATAGACTACAAATCCCCCCTAACACACACACATGACCCCGTCAACATAGCCCTAAACCATCAGCATGAAGATTCAGTATCCTCTGTTAAAGGGATATTCCGGCATTAAATGAATTTAGGGTCAAACACACCGTAACACCAAGTTAGGCACCCTGTTGAGAGATGACTGTTGCCGACCGCTTGCATCTCTAGTTATACCAACTTTAGTAACGACCGCAGGATAGTGATACACAGCGGTCTGAGGAGCCATAAACAAACCTCAACAGTACATATAGGGTCTTAGCCACAGTAGTAGCCATCAAACATCTTTTTAGCTTTGCCTGATTTCTTTGGACAAAGAGGCTAAACACAACTCACCTACTCTCTTCCAGCAGCTGCTTGTTTGTAGCAGGACCTTGCGTCAGTCCATTACAGACTACAGCGGGGTGATGCAGCTCTAGGAAGAACATTTATGATCATTTCTTTATCATCTCCTTGAAGTAATAATCACCATATTAATCATTTTGCACTGCAGACGCGGTAGTTCTTCTGCCTTAGCGTCTCGGCCTGATTGCATTTCCATAAAGAAATGATCTAACTCGGTGTTACGGTGTGTTTGACCCTAACTTAATTCTACGCCGGAATATCCCTTTAAGCTTGGAGCCTTTCTCCATCAAACTCATTCATGCCAACAAGCCCGTTCAGGTGCTTTACCGTAAAATTTTTTTAATTACTCACTGATGCTACTTTTTAGTCAAATATACTAATACTGCTGACATTTTGAACTTGTTTTAAACTCCACTCTGTACGATTCTGTGTTGTGTTTGCACTGATGAACAAATAAATAACGCTCTTAAACTAAAAGCAGAAGAAGCCAGAGACTAAGGTCTTTAAGAAAGATTAATCAATTAATATGATCATTGTTGATCAACTGGCGTCTTAGTAGGGCTGAACGATTAATTGAATTCAAATAAAAATTGCGATTTGAAACATTGCAATTAGCTAATTACAAAGGGTGGGACATGTATGATGTAACACGGCTGACCCAGGGCGGTGACAAGAGGGAGTGGTGCTGAAGCGAGTGGCGGCTCGTTTAGTGACAGAGCGGAGTCAGTGAGTCAGTAATAGTGACTCTTAGTATGAAACCAACATTCTTGAACTGCTGATTATCAACTAGGAAATATTACAGTATGAAACGTAGCGATGCTTATGACGCCAACAACATAACAGAAAGGACATCACATGTTTCCTCAGCAACATAAACAATCATGTTGCCCTGGTGACAGACTGACAGGCTGCAGGTTGTAGAGACAGGGATGAATTTGATTTCATGTGGTGTTAAGATGCTCTAAATAAATAACAAAATATTCAAAATGTTGAACGCAGGAAGAAAGTTAGAACAGACTTTAAAATGTGTAGTGTAACGCCACAACAACAGATTTCTGATCAAATTAGACTGAGCTGTGGTGTGTGTCGTTGTCTGTGGTACTTCTTAGCCTTTTAAACTGAGTAACATCTAATAGTGCTCCCCTTTTTGTGCCAGGTTTTCAAATATCCACAAAATTGTGATCTCTCTCTTTTCAATGTCAGTTTCAAAACTGTTGACACAATAGTCAGTGATTAGACTTAAGCCTGTCAACATTTTCAGCATGTCTCCCTCCGTTCTCTCTTTCTACATTTCTCGTCTATTTACAATAAACTGTACGTCCTTTTGTATGAATGGTCTTAATTTACCATAATTGGTGGGAAAAAGGAAAGATTGGGGAAAATGTCTTGCGGGCACTTTCTCTGCTTTTCTGATGGTACATCTAAGGGTTCGTAACAAGCAAGGTACTTAAACGATTTAGTATTTCATCTTTTGACTTGTATCATTATACTGAGATTAAAGCTTGTGCAGTGCTTCGGTCAGCCGCAGTTCTTATAAGTGATCAGAGCCTTCCTGCCTCTCAAATCTACTTCCTTTCAAACCACACAATTCCAGTCTCTGACACAGATTGGCGACTAGAAATTCAAACCTCCTGCCAAAGCTGGAAAGTATCATCTCCTCTGACTTTGGAAATCTTCAGTCCTAGCTTCAGGAGTTACCAAGGTTCGTTTTTTTCTCACAGGCTCACTTGCTTAATAAATAAACTGAACTTCATGCGTTAAATTTGTGGGTAGACTTATTACTCTTATACAATCTCATCTTATAATTGTTTCCTTTTTTATCTTATTCTTTTTTCTTCCCTTTTACTCTATTTTCATTCCTCTCTGTCTCTCTGTCTCTCTGCAGTCCCAAATACGAGTTGTAAAAAATTAGGAATGTCAAGGATTCACATCGCTTGAGTAAATGCAGAGTTATCACTGCACTCTCACTAACTGATTACTTCCTCTTTCTTTCATGAACTGTCAACACATCTGACTCCCATAAAACTACAGCGCCGACAGTTATTGTGCAAAATGGAGAACTTAACATTGCCAGATGAGGATGAGCCATAATGAAGAAGATATATTGTGAGGGCAGACAGGGCAGCAGGTCTGCACTGAGCAACTGACTGGTTGAAATGGAGCTGTGAAGCTTTTATTGACATCTGTGTTTGTGTGTGTGTGTGTGTGTGCTGACCGCTGAATAGGTCTCCATTGCTGTAGGCCTTGCCACGTCCCTCCTCATCGTTGGGCACGGCCGACACCTGCTTGGCTGAGGTGCAGCCCATGGCCTCACACTCTGAAAGCTATCCTCATCGCACTCTCACCTAAACAAGACAGAGAAAAGCAAAATTTAACAACCACAGAGATGATTTTACATGTAAGTGCAGAGTGACCCTCTCTTCTTCAGTGTTCCAGACAATCCGGGTCGATCGATATAAAAAACTGAAAAAGAAAAAAAGAAAAGAGGGCCTCTCCCATTAGGGGACAGCAGGACTTGCATGTCTATTCAAACCTACATTTACAAACAGCACCAACACTTCAGGGTGTTAAATGCTGCATTTAGCTGTTGGATGACATACCTTACTCTAGGGGTGGGAGAAAAATCGATACTATATTGCAAAATGTTAAAAATCGCAATAATATTGTATCGTGTTCCAAGTATCATGATAATATCGCATCGTGGGGCCACTAGTGATTCCCACCCCTACCTTCCTCCATATTCAGTAAATCTGATTTTTCACTTTGAAACCTTAAAGACATCATTTTCTCCCAGTTGAGTCTATCACACACCCGGCGTTCAGAGCCACAAATGTAGGATGATTAAGTCCAAATACATCGATGGAAGGTAAAGTTAGCCTGCCTCTGTGCTTCTTCAGGGGTTGGGGGTCTTGGGGTGTGTGTATATAGAGAGCATGACAGAAGGGATGGACCCAGGGTTAACAAAATAACAATGTCTGCTTTCAAGTGGGGCTGAATTTAAATCAGCATGTTAAAGTCAATTAAATAGTTGAATTAATATACTAAGTTGTTTACTGTGATTTCTTATTATTTGTTCTTAAATGTCAACACACAAGGATTAATTAGAAGCTGCAACAACAACAACACAAACAGAGCTGATCCTCATTATATATGAGGCACAATTAAAGCAGATTACATTTTGTTTTATTAGTTTTAATTATCGCATATGTGTATAGGTTTGCGTATAATCAAAATTAAAATGTAAATGATGTCCCAGGAGAGGTCAGATCTTAACTTTCTTCAAAGATAAAACAGCAGAACAATTAATCCCAATAACACAATTTCACATATTCAAAAACAATAGTATCAGATACAGAAAACAACTTAGATTTGACATCTAAGTATGTTTTTTTATTATTATTTCATGAACCACCTGTACTGTAATGATTGATTTTTCTGGACACTGCATAATAGCACAAGCTGTGATCACAACACTGGCATACATGTGCTTCTTTTAGCAAACAACTGATGACATGCTCATCCAATCCAACAGACACAGACAAATACTGGCCTTCCAAAAAACCAAAAGTCTACTTTCTACTCTTCTTTGAGCGTTGTTTAGATCCAACTCCTGAGGGGAGTAACTAACATTTTAATGACAGAAGTTCAATGATCAATGATGTGTGGGAAATATTTGTGAACATTTTTAATGTCTCTGCTGTGTGACAGTAGGCAGGTTAAGTGGCTTAGATATCTGTTCCTACTCCTTATGTTTCATTGTGTTGACTGTTTGAAGGCTAACTGGTGGTCAAGTGGTTATCAGCCACTTTAACCAAACACAGCCTACGAGAACATAATCAACACTTCCTAAATCAAAACACTTCAAAATAAGTGCCATTTATCACCTGCAGGTGTTTGCCTTCAAGTAGTACAGCATTGTAGCATTTTAGCATTTTAGCAGTTGCTATTAACCAGAACTAAAGCCCTGATGAGAGGCAGGAGGCTGCAATAAAATTTAGACACGACATATGGGAGAATAATATGAATATTGACAATTCATTTGAAGCTCCTGAGGGGGATTTTTAACTGGTAATTTACAGACTGAAATTAACACTGGTACAGCCCCTGTACAACCTTCAAAAGGTAAACTGAACCCTCAGAAAAAAAACACAATATTTATATCGTATTGTAAATGCTAAGGGTGTAGGTGAAGACAAGATGATTCACAGCACACTGAAGAAAAGTCTTTAATTTTTTCAGGGTCAAATTTTCCTTGTGAGTGATCAATTTAACTTAAAAAAAAAAAACGCTGGAAGAGAAAAAATAAAAACACAGAAATTTAGGTGCAGAACAAGATCGTCAAAAGATGACACATATTCAGTCGTCCTCAGGAGACGCCAAAATAAACGGAAAAGACACTCCCCATATTTCCTGGCTCTCTACAGCTGTCATAACTAATAAAGGCAAAATTGCCCCAAAATAACTATTAAAAAAAAAGTTTTTTTTCTCAAGCAAGTGCTGTACAGAAAAAGTAGCCACATGTAAAAAATAATAATAATAATAATAAAATAAATAAAAAATCCAAATTTTTTGGTTCTGTTAGCTCATTGATTCACATATTATGCCTAAACTCTGTGATGGCCTTTACTGTCTGCACTGACAAATAACATGACAACCTTTCTACATCAGGAGACTGAAAATAGAAATAACTTATCACCTCATTATTATTCAGAACAGATGAAAGTAAAGCCCTCCTACACTGAAGAAAAGCCAACGTGAAGCGTTGAATGTCACTGTCAGTCAATCACAAGGACCGTCTGGCACAAAACACTCTAGATAGTCCCCATGTCACTCACACATGCCGTATGCTGTCATTGACAGAGCCCATCTGACTGCTGCTGGTTACAAAAAAAAAACCACATAGACCAAACGCTCAAACTGAGGCGGCCAATGATTATCCATCAACAAAGTGAAATCTGCAGAGCTTCTACATAACAGAGAGGAGAAGGAGTCTCAGATGGAGAGAGAAAACAGACACAGAGCCTTTTTTGGAGGCACAAGATACAAAACAAGGGAGGAAGGAGGTAGGGGACAAGGGTCAAGTAAGGATGGAAAATAGGTAGGATGGAGAGAGGCAGAAATGAGACAAGTGCAGAGCTTCAAAAGAGTACCGCCTGCTCCTCCTCCCTCCTTCAGTGATCCTCAGAGCGTTTGAAGTTGACAGGAGGCCAATGTTTACCCCTGTGTTTAGGCTGCAGCCAACCAGCCTCCATCGCTCTGGACAGGACACAAAACACCAGGTGTACAGGGTGCAGGGAGGGGGTGGTGGCTGCTGTATGAGTTAACTGTATAGCTGTGATAAGACTGTATTTTGCTGTGATTTTATACTTCAACCTCAGTAAAACTTGGCTGAGAGCCAGCATTTTAATCAATGATGACAAAATGTCATCCAAGTTGTTTCTGGGACTTGGGGACTCAGGTGGTTTAAAAAGGAGTCAAATCAGTTCAAGGACAAAACAAGAAGAGAACACTTCTATGAATACAGGTGCTTTTCTTGTTTAAAATTTGGCTTATTATGTAAAATAATGCAAAACCTCACCTTGTTCACAGCTTGTCTTACTGTCTGTTTGATTACTTCTGTGCTTGTCAGATTTATACATTCTCGAATCTCTGCAACTGGAATACAAGCCAAGACAGCTGCTTTTTGTTCCAAACTCCGGCAGCTATTTGAACAGCAATTATCAGATTTTATCTTTAATAATCTGCCAACTATATTTGCAGCCCAAACAGCTATGCCCTATTACAGAGGAGGATTTTGTAAAATACAATATGTCCTATCAAGAGCCCAACTACAACTGATGTTTTGAATGACATTGTTTCCCACACAAAGATGTTTCCCAAGATTATTTGCCCACGTATTCTTACACTTTCTTAATCCTTACAAGATTGCCATCTACAATCGATGAGGATTTCTGTTCACTCTGTATCCTTTAGTGTGATGCCTGCACTGCTGCAGGTGATCACAGATGAAGATGTTCAGTGCAACATAAAGCTCCTTATTCTACTGTTTCCAAAGTTATGTTCAGCTGGTTGTTATTTCTGTCATTCTGCTCTTCATTTTGGATTATCATAAAACACCAACTCATCTGATTGTCATATGCATATGGATCCCCTGTTGTAGGGCTGGGGATAAACTGAAAAGTTACCAATACCAAAATTTACGACAATAACCAACGTCATTTTGCCCAGATTAGTCTATTCAATGTCAAAAAAATAAATAAATAAAAGTTGTTTTTGGATGTGTTTAGGTAGGCAATGGTCTCATGTCCCTTTAAGATGCTGTCCTACGTAAGAGACGTGACTCCCATCCAGTCCATCACAAAGAGGGAAAGACAGGTGAGGAGATAGAGGAGGGTTCAAAAGTTGTAGCAGCTGGAGCGGCGGCTGAAGTAGTTAATGTGGGAGGGAGTGAGCAGCTTGTAGAGTAGTTATCGTCCATTTATCCTTATCAAGGTGAACTGCTCAATATATCATGATATTGATTTGAGGCCGTATCACCCAGCCCTACCCTGTTGTGATAACAGACTATCACGTGAAACATCAATTACGTGCTGCTGACGAAGATAAATACTGGAACACACGTGGTCAGTCAGAAACAGTAGGTCACGTGAGAGAGGTGGGAAAAGTAATTGGTTTGTGGACACACAACAAGGTGGAATAAAAAGCCACAGCTGTATGATATCATCAGCTGCTGTACAATACCACTAACACCGTGCTTCTTGATTCATCTTTTAGCTTGTAAATCAAGTGAGGTTGTGTAGAAATGTTAAAAACAAACCTTGAAAAAACAAAGAGGTTCAGTCAATCAGGCTTTACTTTTTCACCGTAGATAGTTAAGTGTGTTTACATTCAGCAGAGGATGAGGGAATCTAAATCTTTCTCTCCCAGCTCTCCAGATAAAATGACAGACATCTCTGGAGCCTTAGCTGAGTTTACACATGAATTTCTCACCGGGACTGCAGGTGAGAAGGGGCCGTACCCCAGGAGAGGGAATCAAGACGCGCACGCATACGCACACAAGCTTTGGATGTGTAAGAGTGTGTTGGTGTCACCTGTGGCCTGCAGCGTGTGTCCCGGTCGAGCGAGCAGCTTATCAGCCCGTCCCAGGCAGCCTGGGACACCTCTTATTACAACTGCCGCTCTGAAGCAACTCAATTACGGCTCTCATACACACACACACACACACACACACACACACACACACACACACACACACACACAATAAGGCATGCACAGCTGGAAAGTCTTGACGCAGACTCAGGCACGTTGTCTTACTAAGACACTAGCGGCAAAGTTTCAAAATATAAGCTCATCCGGCATAATCTTATGACAGAATTGCTTCAACGAAGAGTTTTCAAGGTTTGTGTACGTGAGTATGTGTTCAATGTGTGTGTGTGCGCACGCATAAGGAAGGGGGTTATAGCCGTAAACAACGCCGCAGGGCTGTATGTCACCTGTTAGAGAATCACAGCACAGTGGAGCGGAGAAAAAAGGCCTAAAGGGTTACAGAGACAGGAAAAAAATGATTCAAAGCACCTTCAGGCCCTGTGAGGGAGCAAACCGTAGAGTTTCTTTTTTACTCTGAGCTCTTAGCGAAGAACTGAAGTGAATATCAGATCAATCAAGCCCAAAGATTCCCCTCCTAAAAACCTCTGAAAGAATCATACTGAGAAATGTGAGCAGCCTTGATGCAGCCTCTGAAGTTTCAAAAGGGGTCTCCAGTGTGTGGACAGCATCTGTTTGAAAAGCTTTGATTTGTGTGAATGGAAACATCAAAATGTGAGTAGGAGCAGGATTAAAAATAGGCCCAGCAGTCCCAGAGCCATTGTTGTGTGGGGGGATAATGTTAGACTGTGTAGATCTGAAAGCCAAGCTGCTATTACTTGGCTTATACATATAAGCTATACGGCTAGTAGGTCAAAGCTAAATACGCCTGTAAATAAATGTCTGGGAGGCGTGTAACAAGGCTGAGAGTAGGGCTTTAATGACATAACAATATGTTATGTGCTGTAATGCAGCAAGTAAAGTCAATAAGTCAAAACTAGTGTGTTGTTATTTATATAACTTGACCCAAAAATCTTGGTCTTAAAGGTCCCTAATTTAAGTATTCGGATTTGATGGGACAAAACAATATTAACTCAATCAATTTTTTAATTAAAGCTCCTGTCAGGAACTTTTTTTTGTGTTGACTTTGGATCCATTTACTGATGTTGTGCTGTTGACTTGCGATTCGTGTTTTCTGAGAAAAGTGTGTACCATATTTTTGGGGCGAAAAGGTGTACCAGATTATATGGTGCACTGTGAATTAACATGTCTATGTTCACACATAAGGTGCACCGGATTGAAAGGCTCATTGATTGGTTTATTGTTGCTAGCGCGTACTGCGTGCCCTTACATGAATGTACTTCTAGTTTAGACATTACAGTCAGGTAGTCTTGTAGACTGCTCAGGGGTCCTGTTACGGGGCCGATCAGGTAGCAACACAGTAAGCACAACAAGTAATTTTACTTGAGGCGCGCTAGATTATAAGGCGAACTGTCAATTTTAGAGAAAATTTAAGGATTTTAAGTACGTCTTATAGTCCGAAAATACAGTAGTTTGGGGTAAAATAAAAGCATTATTTTCATTTCACCATATATACAATGAAGCCAGTGTGATACTATTGCATTATTCACTGACTTGCTTTATTGACTTTATATATTTATTTAAATTACACTGTACAGCATCAGTAAAATTAAGCTTTAGAGTAACAGCAGCAGAGCCTCCCCATCTGTCTACTAAGTGTCTCCAGCTTGCTGCAGTTTGCTAAAAGAGAGACTCTGCAGCTGCCAATTCTGTTTACTCCAATCTTAAGAGAACAGAAATAAATAAAAACAAAAGCATAACCAAATTGCAGACTTTGGCAATGTCCAGGCTGAAGGCTGCATTTGTAACTGAAACATACCAAAACATGTGACATGACAGAATTTCGTCATACTTTAACTGCTGCAACACGCCTAAGTCATGAACTCTTAAGTACAACAGGTGCTTGTTTTGTTACTTTGGAGCACATTCACAGCATAGCAAATGAACTAAAACAACTAAGATGGCTGATATAGTATGTCATTTTTAAATTTTGGCAGATGATTTATAAGATAAGATGAGATGTTCCTTTAATAGTCCCACAGGGGGAAATTCCAGATTTACAGCAGCACAGTACAGACATACAAAGAGAAATTAGAGGATAAAGAAACTTAGAGTTAAGTAAAGAAAAAAGAAAAAGATATGTACATGAGTCCTATTTACATAAACACAGCTAATATCTTCATGGCTATGTGGGTCTATTTTTTGGGTCACAAAATTCAGAAGAATTGTTGAAAAATCATTAATAATCAAATCTTTGAATCATCTTTCTGACTCCGTTGTTTGTTTTTGTAGCTCATGAAGTGGTAGAGGAAGAGGATGAACTTTAGTATTCCTCCCAACAGCTTAAAAGACATCATAATCACTTCTAAAAATAAGACAAAACATGTTTTTCGGGGGGATTTAGTTTGCTCTGTGCCAAACAAAGCTTTCTTTTACCTTTTTGAGTCTTTATATAAATTGTCAAAAGGATGAACAATTCTTTTAATGTTTTCTATTAAAAGTCTCTGACGGAGGAGACTTAAAGAATACCGCAGGGTGCTGATGCTCCACACTCTCTGGCATCCTCTCACTCTTTTGCAGCCTGGGTTTTCACTGAGCCCTGTGAGCTGTTCAGTGGTGCCACATGTTAGCCCACAGTGGGGCGTTGCACAGTGTTGACTTAACCCACAGGACAGCTGCTGTGTGTGCAGCTCTCAGCTCGCCTTCTCCTGCAGATGTGGAAGTGTGTCAATGGGGCAAGCTTAGTCAGGAAAATCAGCTAAGACCCTCATATCGACCGGCTATCTGTGGCCCCCGCTGGGGCGCGTACACGCAAACACACACAAGATGAGCTGACATGATCTGGTAAACATTGCATCGTCTAAAAGGGATAAGAGTTAATACCAGCAAGTACACACAGCAACCTCAGGATCCTTACAACTCTTTCCAAATGCTTAACATTCATCACAGGCGCACTCGCCAGAGCAAAGCTAAGTAGTAGTCTAATTCAGATATAAATAAATGTGATGTCAGCCTGCAGGTCTGCTGTCATTTCCAGCTTAACTTACACCAGGTTTGGCAGGGGGTCGACTTCTTCTAATGTTTTTTCCCCTTAGAGCAGCCTGAAATTCACCAAAACAAAAAGTTCCAACTCTTTTAAGTGCACACTGAGGCTAAAAAGAAATCCTTAACACATGCCAACAGATCAAGACCTTAAAATGAGTATGATTTGGCAAACACACCAACCTGCCCATGCCTGCTTACCTGGAGGAGGGACGTGACCTACTCTCAGTTGAGTGAATAAGTCTTTCTTTACAAGTCAGTTTGTCAAAGGTGGAACTTAGCAGGACTGTGCAAGGGGATTCGAGCGTACACGCTTGCATAAACACACAGTGCACACACAGGCCAGGCAGTGTGCAGTCAGTGCAAAGGTTTCTCAAGCACAGGTTTGTGCCAGAGGCAGACGAACAAACCACAGAGCTTGAAAAACTAGCCAAGCAAAGTTCTGGGTAGGTGTGTTACAGGTAATCCATGAGCAGATTGGCTCCTTCGTCAATTCCTGTCACAGGGCTGCTGCAGCAGGAGTGGCTGACTGTGATTCTGCTTCCTAGTAAGAAAAAGATTTGTAAGGCTGGGAGGGGAAGTGATGACATCAGTGGCGGTCAGCACACACACCTATGACATAGCTGAGATTCATCCTCCTCCTCATCATCATGCTGAGCCAGGCTTTGCTGCTGATCTGAGGATACACTGAGGGGAAAATTAGCTGGTTGGTTCATTATGTTGTGTTATTGTACTCTTGCATAAATCTTCATCTTTCTTTGTAGGAATCCATATTTTGATAAGAGCGGTACATGACTAAAGAGAGAAGTCACAAAGAGAAGATGACCTGCGTAATAGTGCCACAAAAGTTAATGTTTTATTTCATAAATCTTTTTACAATGTTAGCGGGAATAAGGTGATCAGCCTTTGGAGTAAAACCCTGCAGAAAACGATCAAAATGAGTCAGTTAGTGTGGTAATATAAAGCACAGCACCATAGAAGTCATGAAAGTGTTAGATTTCTCTCCAGTATCTTCAGAGGTATTAGGAAATCATTCAGCAACATGAAGTGTCTAAATCAGTAAAGAGGACTTTTAAAGCAGGTTTTAAACTTATAAGATTTTTCTACTATTTTCAAACTGATTCATACTTGTCATTAAAAAGGACAATACCGCCTTTTTCATCAGCTCTAAAGTAGAAAAAAATGCATCTGTTTCGGGCTTGTTGCATTTTACATTTTTCAGATTCTTGTTTTGGATGACAGACAGTCCAGAAGTACATTAGATTAATCCAGTGGTTCTCAAGTCCAGTCCTCGAGCCCCCCTGTCCTGCATGTTTTGGATGTTTCCCTGCTCCAACACACCTGATTCAAATGATCAGCTCATTATTAAGCCATTTCAGAGCTTAATAATGAGCTGATCATTTGAATCAGGTGTGTTGGAGCAGGGAAACACCCAAAACATGCAGGACAGGGGGGCTTGAGGACTGGATTTGAGAACCACTGGATTAATCTAATCCTGTTTAAATGTCCATGTTTTCTTACATGATGATAAGTGTTAAAGAGCCAATCTTAACAGGATGTTTCAATGATATAAAACTACAAACAGCATTGCAAGAACTATTTTTCCAGACAAATCTGGATCATCTTACAGACACAGACATACCGCTCTGCTTTGACTGACCAACTTTACATTTTTTTACATCAAATGAGCTCTTACAGTCAAAGCTAAACTCTGAATGTTGTACCTCAAGTCTGGTGAAGAATCACTGCTGTGTGCTGCAGAGTGTCTCTGCCTCTCTCTCTGTGACAGAGCAGAGCTTCAGTGCAACTCTCAAGCCAAAGCGCCATAATATTTACTCTAGCCAGGCAGCAAATGCTGCACCTCTCCTCTTGTCCCAGTTTAAGCACTCCATCAGTCTGACAAGCCTTGGACCTCGCGCCAGCACACACGACACTGGACAGTTAAGGTTTCTGAGTATGTGCTGCTGCTCAAAGCTCCCCTCTCTGATTCTTACAGGGTTTCTGAGTGTGCAGTGGCCCTTGGGTCTTTCTTACTGTAGCACAAAAGGTGGCAAGTAGTTACTGATTGTGGGGTGGGTGTAGAAACGAAGTGGAGTGGGGGGGCTAAAGGTAAATACAGGAGCTCCTCTGTCCTGTTAGTGGGAAACATTAGCCTATCTGTGTGACTTACATGGAGGGATGCACTGCAAATAGCTGTGGCATGTGCATGCAAAGAAAAAAAGCACCTATTTAGCCCAGGAAGAGACCTATGTCTTCACTTTAGACCCTTTTTGAGCTGAAACAAAGAAATCACGAGAGCGAAACAGAAAGCAGTAGGTGAGAACATGACACCGGGGTAGTTCAGCCTTGCATGGTAAGGGAAGTGAAATCTGAGCTTTATTGGGCCAAGACTTGGTGCAGAAAGAACCTCGACCATTCAAAAATGGATTGTTCCACCAAATACAGCCTCGACTAGAGGATTAAATGTCTCCTCTGAGGCCCATTACCAACTGGCTTTTGTAGCACTGGCTTCTGGAGAGCAAGACAGATTCCCTGTAAGAGCAAAAAAGCAAGTGGCGGTCAGACCGCCTTCATTTGCTCTGAAAACTCCTGCTCTGTTCTTCTGCTGCGTCCACTTTATGTCTGAGGTAAAAGCAGGTCAAAGCCAGGGGTGATCAGCGGGTGAAGAGTACGATCAAAAGGGTGGAAGAGTTGGCGAAGAAATGTTTTGGTGAAACTCTGACTTGCAGGAAAAACAGAAGGAAGTCAGAAGGAGGATATAAGAGTGCGGCATCAGGCTGCTTTTGGTGTAAAAAGTGGAGTTACTTACTTTACACTTAGTTTTAGATCTTGTTTTTCTTTAAAGGCGTATTTTTAAATGTTACAGTTACTGTGGTCTCATAATAAAAAAAAAAAGCATACTGGTTTGAGCTGGCTGTAGTTCCTCATGAGTAAAAGGAACACTCCTGTTGCTGTAAACCTATAAAAGTGTTTAGGATTGATGTTTTTACTATCATCACCTGTATGTGTCCATGTTTAGTGTTGGTGAGTAAGTGCTTATTCATCATATTTACTATCGAACAGCCACACATGGTTGGTTGATTGGGCCATCCTCCTCCAACACAGCCACTACACAAGGTCATGCATGTTTATGCCTTCTCATCCAAATCCATCTCAATTGCAAACCAACCAACCAACCCACAACCCAGAAAATCAAAGAATACCAGCATTAATATTCATTAGAAATTATCACAGCTCAGGGAAATAAATATCAATCTGTGTGTAATTGGCGAGCGTGCAGAAGCATGACTGTCAATCCTCTATCATTTGTCAGTCGGCGTGTGAATAAAACACAATGAAATGTTTCAGTCCTTTATGGAGGAGCCGCAGGTGAGCCTGGTTTTCAAGGCTCAACGTAACTGGTGTGATATAACAGCAACAACATCACTCTTTCAGATGCAAACCACTTCTCTATGAGGACCCGTCATCTGGCATAGTGACGCACAGACCATGGCCAGGAAACATTTAATTCAATAGACTCTTCAACAGGTTTTAATCAGCTGTCCGACAGACTAATAATACCTCACATGAGGTTATTGTCATGATGACATGACAGGAGTTCTTCTGCTTTACATGACTGTCATCTAGGACTCATATGTGTCACTAAGTCTTGAAGATGAGTTAGTGTGGTTATCCAGTTGTCTAGGAATTGTAGTCTCTAGGGGAATTAATAACGCAGCGTCCATCTATCTATCTTTATATCCATATCTATATGTCTATCTTTTGATATCCATCCTTCCTTCATTTGTTATGTTGGTCGGAAAAAAAACAGTTTGTCTTGTATTTATAGCCGGCCCATAATTTACCAATTTGCCGTAATGGAGATAGCCATCAATCATGGATGGAAAATTAATCAGTGAGTATCTCCAGGGATGAGTTATTTCAGTCGTTGATGAGCTGACAGATGTGGTCAGCTCTGGGGTCTCTTACTGTGAGGATGTTGTTATCCCTGTCAAAGCTGGTTAAAGTAAACCTCAATAGTAAATCTTAGGTGAGCAAACACTTCTCAGAGGTGTTTGAATCTTGAGTCTAAATATCTGATATAAAGACAAAATTTGTGCATTTCCTTAGCTGGTCTTGACAAGAAATCGAGTTATTGAGTTTAAGGCTTAAAGTCTCTAGAACAAGAGATAAGTGATACAAAAAGAAAATACACCAAAAATTAATTATGATAAATACAATACAGACTTTTATAATTCCCAAAGGGATAAATTACAGTGACCCCAAGGAGCAAATGCACAAACATTCAATCACAACAAGCATTAAAATTCTTTTATAAACAAAATATCATCACGGGGAATTCCAAAACCATTTCACCAAACATCAATACTTCATAAAACAAACAGTCAAAATAAACTGTTTTTGTCTTTCATGACATATTTTTGTTTGTTGGTGAAATGTTTTCAGGGGTTATGCAAAATATTTTGGGGTCTAGAACAGTGGTTTTCCAGTCCAGTCCTCGGGGCCCACTGTTGTGCATGTTTTGAATGTTTCCCTGCTCCAACACACCTGATTCAAATGATCAGCTCGTTATCAAGCTCTGTAATGGCTTGATAACGAGCTCATCATTTGAATCAGGTGTGAGCAGGGAAAACATGCAGGACAGTGGGCCTCAAGGACTGGACTTGAGAACCACTGTTCTAGAGAATTATTTTTGTGTTCCATATTTTTGTGTTTAGTTAAATATTTTTAGCTTTCAGTAAACTGTTTGTTTTTTGTGGTCATAAAATATTTAGCAGTTGACCTTGAAGGCCACTTCAAAATATACTAGGGATGCAGGGATGTTTCTGCTGAACGTCAATATCACTCAGTACTTGCCCTGTTGACAGACATTGGCCTATCAGCACATCATGTTCCATGCGCTGATATCAGTAGTCGATGTTTGTGTGTCTCCACCTTTTTTTGCATAAACTGCTGACAAACTAGTCTGACAGCTGACTTGGAAAAGAGGGTTTTCACTGAGCAGAGGAAACCACCTGTTTGACAAAACAGTTTTTTTTCCCCCTCCACAGTCAAAAATGAAAGAAAATGTCTGCAGAGTGGGAGTGTTACATTATCTCTGAGAGGGATCAGTGACATGCAGTTTGTGAAACATGTTTCAGTAAAGCGGTCAACTTTCAGTAAAAGGGTCAGTAAAGGGTTTTTCAGGGCAGATGCCAATGGCAAACTTGAATGTTTCCCTGCCAGGTTACAGTTTTAAATGTTTGAAATGATTGACAATTATTTTGGCTCAAACAACAGACTTTACTGTCCTGAAAAACTCTTGAAGTTCAGTGAATAAATTGAATCTTAAGTCGTACGATAGTGTTTGTAAATAAAAAAAAATCAGATATGGTTGTGTGTCTGACAAGAATGTATTGGAATTTCAACCCACCAGATAATACATAGATATGAATTATAGATCAGATAGTGCAACTTTTAGATAGCGATACTAAAGTGCATGCTGTAGATCTATTTTCACTTTCAGCTGCTTTTCTATTGCATGTATGGTCTTAAGTACCAGGCTTACTGCTCCACTTCTTTTCTCACTTTAACGGTAGTTTTGTCATTACCAAGAAATGGGCCTGAAGGGATCCTATCAAAGGCTGTTTCACCTAAGGTGACTACGGGGAAACAGATGTATTCTGTCTGATGGGAAAACACAGTGCAGAGATTCACACAGAACTTTAGAGTGGAGTTTCAAGTGAGAAATGAGAAAAGAAAAAAAAAGGACAGGAGAAAAAAAAAACTGGCAAGCAAACTCAGTGCTGGAACCTGTCTCAGTGTCCCATCCAAAGTGGACTACGAACACAAACTGCACAGTAAACACTGTCAGGGACACAGAGACATGCTGCTTTATCATGGGACAGACACAAATACACAAAGCAGGCATGCAGGCTGCAACGCCAGCCCCTTCTGACTCAAAAGGACCTGCAGTCAGAAGACCACCAATGCAAGAAACAGCCCACAAGTACATATCTGCACGTCCACCACAATGAAGGACAACAAAAATAACCACACATACAAGACATTTTTAAAAAAGCATACAATGACCAGAACCTGTTAAGGGTTAGTTTTTGTGTTGCGATATTTCCTGTTCAAGCTTTGATTATTCATTTAGGTGGACAAAATGATTGGCCAGCAAGCTCCTCAGTCAAACTGACATATACACACACGCACAGTCACGCACACAACACAAGGGGGATCATGTTGTGCTGGCTTAGTGCTTTCTGCACTGCAATACAGGCTGCCTCATCACACTTGACAGCATTGAGCACTGCCACACAGAGAGAGCACGACACATGCAGAGCAAACTCAACGTGGATGTTCGAGACCATCACGGGAACTTCCTCTCACACCCTAAGACACACAGAGACAGAAAGACAGACAGGCGGATGGAGGAGACATCCTGGTAGCCATGGCAACCCTCCACCTCCTGAAGTAGTGACATCACAGGTGTTGCATCTAGACAAAACAGGCGCCAAATGGCCACCTGAACTGCTGGTCAACCAGCTCAAGAGGAGAATGAGACTCTTATGTTTGTGTCTTTCTTGTTGCTGCTGGAACCAAATGACATATGTGACACACACACACACACACACAGATGCACGCATTAATAAGCAAGAGAGGGAGGATGAGAGAGGGAGGCAGATTGAAGCACATAAATGAAGATGGACACAAATCAAGCTGGGAGGGGGCCTGGGACATCCACTCCCGAGAGTGCTGGTTGTTTGATGTAAACCTCCTGTATGTAACCCTGATGTAAGCTGCCAGTGACAGGACACTCTGCTCTGTAATGCTTGGCCATGTAAACCCACTTTCACACCAGGGTGCTGCATAAACACCAAATGGATTTAATGGTCTGGTGTTGTTGATCACATGGGGAAATCTACAGTAGCTAATGGCCATATGGCACATCTGAGTGCAGGAGCTAGGCAGACAAGAAAACAGTTATGGAGTCCCTTTGCTAATGTTTACTAGTTTCTCAGTGAGGAAGGATACCTTTAATGATTTGCATATAAATATGCTAGTATATAGGACTGGGCGATTATATGATCATGATACATTTCAGTTCGATAACGGTGATCCTCGATCAAACATGGCGGAAAAATGCATGACAACAGCCAATCAGAGTCGAGCTTTTCCTGCTCACGTCTGTAAGTTGCCAGAGAAGTAAACAGAGTGACCGAACATGGATCTAAACTCAGAGCAGAGGGCAGCAAAATAGATGTCAGTCGTTACTTTGAGTTATCCTCTGAAGATGCCATTGTTGAGAAGACAAGTTATTTAACGTTGGTCGTGTGGTGGTGGTTCGGGTTTCTCCAAAGTGACGTCGAGCAATTAAGCCGATGTGCAAGGTCGGTGCCCTCAAAAACCGACAGCAATCAATCATATCATCCACGTTTACATCATCTAATGCTTACATTTGAAAGTGTCTTCATTACCTCTGAGGGGACAATTTGTTTTTTTTGGGTCTTGCGTACCTGCAAAAACACTCAGGACTGTAAACTAGTTCACTGTATTATTTAATATTTATCTACATTTGTTGTGCTGTTGGGTTAAAATGTTTTTATCTTTTATTTTTCCAAGTTTATCTTATTTAATTTGCTTTATATGATAATAAAATGTTGAACTAATCTCTACGGTGTGTCCCAAATCGTATACTTCCACGGTCGACCTGGAAGCTTTGTACAGATGTAAGTAATAAGTTGCCTTTTACACATGTTCTTTCCACCAAGCACCGCCAGCGTTTAACATTTTGAGTATATTTGTGGTGTAACCTGGGTAACCTGTTTGTCCTTTACCGCGAACGTCATCGCAAATGCCAGTTAGCTCATATGCTAGTTAGCTAGTAGCCGCTGAGTTCCGAAGCGTTACCTATGGCGTAAAACTGAGCGATGAAAGTTCATTTTGTTGCTGATTTTACCTCAAAAGTGGATGAACGAGCGCAGGCAAAAGGTGGCAGTAATTAGCTGATGCAGAGCTAGCTGGTGACAAATTGGCGTAGAAGAAGATATGGCATCATCATTTCCAGGGAGTGCGCCACGCGACAGTAAGCGATTTGGGACAACACTGCACCTTCAAAACTCAAGCACTAGGCAATTGAGTACATAGTATGCTTAGAATACTTAATTTGAAAAATAAAGTATTTAGTATGGATGTATGCGAGTTAGGACACACCACTAGTTTATTTAGTTTTTAGTACAGATGCTTTAAAACTGGCAGTTTGAAAAAAAATACCCAAAAAAATTGTTATAATAATCGAGATCGGACGATATGACATAATATATCGTGATCATTTTATTTATTTATTTAACCAAATCGCCCAGCCTTAATATCAAGTGTAGTATTTTGTGCTTTGACTTTCCTGATATTACCTAGCAGCCACTGTCTAGCCTCACCATGGACAGCTGTAATGAGCAACCAGCTTTCAGTAGTTTCTTAAAGACAGCCGAAATGCCTCAGGGTCTACTATCACACTGAAGAATATACACCTAGGAGATGTCCATGGTCCGGCCACAGAGCTCCATCCAGTCCCGGGCCTCGAGCTACAGCTCGGTTTAACAGCTGTGTCCAGCTGCGCTGCCGGGAGACACTTGGCGCTTTGTTCCCTACAGACTGACTTGTAGGCAGAGAGAGTGCAAACACTTTCCGCGTGTGTGTACATAGTTTCATTTCCACAAAGGTTAACGGCTCGTGGCCTCCAACTGCACAGGTCCAGGTCCAGCATTCCCTCTGTTGAGTGTATGTCCCCCCTTCCCTCCACAGCAAACGGCCTCCCCAGCGGCAGGCAGGCAGGCAGACAGGCAGGCAAGGAGCAGCAGGACGGACAGGGTGGCACGAGCCAACCAGGATGTGTGGAAAATTTGAAATGAGCTGTCCAAGCCGAGGGAGCGGACTGACACTCCGAGCGACACAAATGTACACGTCTCATTTGAACCACGATGAAACCAAAGCCGTGTTAGCGTTGCAGTGAGCACCCAAAACCAGAAGCAACAACAACAAAACATCGACAGATGCGGAGTCCCGTGTGCAGGAGGAAGGAAAGCGCCGGGTAATCACGGTTACTCTCAGGAAACAACAACAAAAGATTGGAGTAAAGAGAGAAAGAAACCACAGACAGGCGCGTAGTTTACACAGGCGGACAAATGACACCTCTGGGAGACGATTAACAAGTATTTCACGCTGTTACTTACTCAGACGAACCGGTTCCGCTCGGTCCACTGAAGGGATAGCCGGTCGGTCTTCCGGGCGGGATCTGCGCGAGGAGACTGGAGAGCTGCTCAGAGCCTCGAGGACTCAGCGTAAACTGTGGCTTGCGTCATTTCACCAGGATGCCACTGTAGCGCGTAGCAATGCAGCCATCTTGCTGAGGAGTGCCCCACCAACTCAGCAATCTCTTCAGGACCTGAGCTGCTCTTTTATTTTCATCCCAGAATTGAAAATGAGAGACTATGGGCAGCCTGGCATGGTTTATCTGTGGGAATTTATCCTGCAGAATATTTTTTTTTTCTTGACAATAGTCCAAGTAGCTACCTATAAAAACAATTATGAGCTATAGTTTTTGTCTGGTGTATTTTAATTGAATATATTTCTATCCTGGGGTAATTTTGTTTATGCTCTTGCTCTACTTTGTATAAGATAAGCATTTCATTCTTTTTAAATCTCTATTTTATTAATTTGATCTTTGATTAAACTCTTAATTTAACTAGAAGTCCACTAAAAAATGGTCTCCTCTGGGACCAGGCCAAGGCAGCATATCGGGGAGAGTGGGGTAAGATGAGCCATTTTTCATATTTCAGATCACTACATCAAGGCAATCATAGTTTTGTCCCTAACTAGTGTATCTGCATATATTTCAAGATGTTGTGCATCCCTGCAAACCAACAGAATGAGTGTAAACATGACTGTCTTGATAATATAGCATAGCAAAAAAGTGGTCTCCTATGGTCAACTTACCCTGTGTATGGGGTAAGTTGAGCCATATCCTTACTACCCCCTCACTCTCCACCCCAGCCCTCCCTCACATTCTCTCTCCCTAAATAACAGTCTCTTCTTCACATTCATGTGTATTTTTATCTATTGTACACTATTCAACTGGTACAATAATTATTTTTATTATTATTGCATGTAACTGCTAAAAAGTTGTTTTGTAAAAAGTCATTTTAACATGAGAATGTCTTTAAGTGATTCAGAACAGTCACAGCTGTATTTTTGAAAAGAAAAAGTAAAACATTTCAACAATCTGAACTGAAACTCTGATCCTCTAATCAGACTCCTTTACTTTCTCAGTTGAACTACTGGCTCAACTTACCCCAGAACTACTATGATGACTTAATTAGTCCGCTAAGCTAAAATGGTGGACTTTTATCCTCGGTTTTTGACCTTTTGTTGCAGCTCATAGATACCACAATTGATGTATAAAACAAATATAAAATGATCTTTTTTGGTCTGAACACAATCCTAATAAAACCTATGACAGACTTAATTTACTTTGAAGAGTGAAAAATGTTTTTTTGGAAATAAATGTCTAACCCCTTCACCCATGTGCTTCTAACCTTCACAGACTCCATGAATTGATGCCCATCTCCTAAATATTTGGTCACATGATCAATTTCTTTTCTTCTCTCCCCTACTGTAAATCACCTCCACATAAAAAAAAAAAAAACTACAGAATAGGGGAGGCACAGATGGGTCACTGTCACCACATCTTTTGATACTCTCAATCACAGCTCTCAGATACTCTAGCCACAAGTTATAATTTTACAGGCTAAATTTGCTGAAAATGAACTTTGCCTCTTTTCATGTCACTGCGTTAATCATAATCTCTTATATGACAGTGATATCCTCTGAAAGGGGCCATTCTGCCTAACAATTAACTGTGACTCAGTCTTTCTGTATTTACTCGGAGAGAAATGAGTAGGCTCCTTTTATCTCTGCTTTACTCTTACACTAACGATTGCTTACCAAGAGTTCTCCAGTTAGACACCTATATGTTGACTCAAATTAATTTGTGTGGGCATCCACCTACAAATGAGTCAAATGGAAAAGAAGTGATTTAAAATTTGCTCAAGTTTCAGATTACATGAAATGTTTTTAACATCTCCCCTGAAAATTCAATACTATGCCATGTGCTAAGTTTTCTATGCAGCAAACTCAATTTCATCTCTTCTCAATGATATATTAAAAGCTCTACGTTGAATTAGATAGAGTGGGCAAGTTAAATTCCCAGATTTAATGACACAAACTCCATTTTGAGATTATCTTGACCAACCATTGACTGTTACAAAAGAAAACAAAATAAATCAAAGAACCACACATCTACCCGATTTCCCTCTCCACTTTTATTTTGATTCATTATGTTAACTTATTGGCTTATTTTTCCCCCTTTCCAATCAGTCAGCAGCAACAATATGACAGACAGATCCCACTGCGCCCTCCTGTGGCTGCCTGCAGATGTGTGATCCATCTCAGTACTGCTGAGGGTGTGTCTGCTCCACCCGATGTGGTCCAAGGGTTAAAGTTTGTGGGGGGCAAACCAGAACCTGAGCAAAGCAGCACTTAATAGTTTCAGTCAATATATCTGAACAAATACATATTTACACTGACATATGACTTCATGTATTCTCAACAGAGACAGAGTTTGGTGTTAAGTGTCCTCCATTAAACCATAAAAATATCCTGCAGCTTATACCCCGTGTAAATTACTCCTCAACACACATCAATGTGTACATATGATTAGGCCCAAGACCATGATGGCAGTTAATGTCTCATCACAAGTAATTATCACATTCAGTTAAAATAATTGGTCGATGGATTAATTAGTTAGAACAACTTGTTGGACCAGCATTTGGGTAAAAAGAGACAAAGATGCATAGAGAACAGTGTGAGATGAGAGTAGAAACTGAGAGGCTGTTACACACAGTCTGGTCCATTTCAGTCATTTCATTGTCCGACAGATAAACAAAAACTGTATGAGAAAGTGAGGTAAGGACCCTGGTCTCTCTGCGATTGGCTACCAGGCTAAAAAGGACTCCCTTCTGGTCCAGAGATACAGTATGTGGGCTTTCTTGGCACATGAAAGACATCTCCACAGCCGCCTTCGCTGTCATCACATCAGGGCTGGCGTGAAGATGTGTTCCCTCGAGGTTCCTCGTCCACAGTTCGATCAAACCTGCAAGTCACAGGTCAGGGCGCACCAGCCGATTGTCAGAGCTCATCTTTCTCCATCTGCTGGAATGCCTCCAAGTCTTCCCGCCAATCAGCCAGCAGTTCGTCCACTGACTGACTGCTTGAGTCTGTGTCGCCCTCGGGCTCTTCTCCCTCCTCAGAGTCTCTCTCCTTCATGGGCTGAGCTACATTAGCCTCCTGATTCTCCTGAGGACTTACTCTCTCTTCAGGTGATGTAACTTCCTCTGCAGGACTAGTGTCTTCATCTACAGCAATGACTTCCTCCTGTGATGGAGTAACTTCCTCCGTAGCCACTTCGTCCATCTCCAGCGTGCTCATCTGTGATTGGCTGATGGGCTCAAATGAGGTGGGAGTCGTTGCCTCTGTAAACTGTTCTTCCTCCGCTTCCGGCACAGGCACACCTGAAAAGAAAGCAGGGGCGTGTGACGGAACAGCTTAAGACAAATAGATGTGCAGGACACACACACAATTCACACGCACACACCTCTCTTCCTCCTCTTCCTCCTTAGTCAGTTATCTATACAACATGGCCTCTGGAAAGCCGCTCTTAGTCAAAAATAGACCCGTTTTCAGAGGCTGTCAACTATAACACCATGATGCTGATGGTGAGTCATGTTTCCCACAGGAAAATAAGTATTTCTCACATAACTACACAACCAAACTGAGAATCAACTGAGAAAAGAAATCTGGCAAAAAGTTGAAGTGTGAAAATTGCACGGATGTGATTAGAAATATCTGTTAGTTGCTGAAAATGTAACCACTTCTTTAACTGTAGCATGTGAAGGTGTTTTAAAAAACTGTGCACACTTATTATAGAAGTAATGGTAATTCACTTGGGTACACAGGTGAATGTATTAAAGTACATATAGTAAAAATAATGCATGGGCAATATCTTTATACTGGTTATTTCCTGCCACACCACCTAGTTTTCTTATGTGTCACACAAAAGAAGCTGTCTCCAGAGCTCTGACGAGAAAAGGGACAAGTGACAGTATTGAGCCTGTTCTCTCAAAACATACAACAATTAAAAAAAAACCCTGTAAGAGAGGGTGTCAGAGGACACCGCAGGGGGGAGGGGATGCAGAGTTAAAAGTATAACTGTGCAGAGGACAAACAGAGATAAGAGAAAGAGTAAGGATGAAAAATGTGGATGGCATGCAAAGAAAGAAGAGAAAGAATACTTACTGCTCTCAATCAGGCTGCCAGGTAGGGGTTTACCTTTGAATATGGCTGCTGCTCATCCAAAAGGGAGAGGGTGATGAAAAAAAGAAGAGACACCAAGAGGAAAGAGAGAGAAAAAGGAAAGCCACTGTTACAGTCCACCACAGGGAATAGAGGGATTTGACAAATGGAGGATAAAGAGGAAAAGAATGAGGATGAAATATTGATATGGGTGTAAACCTCCACCATCCACCATCATAAAAACAGCTGGTGGGTGGCTGTGGAATGAGTCACCATGAGCAAAAACTGCCTGAATCCCTACAGCTCATCTTTATTTTATGAAGTAGAGCACATAATGAGGCTCAGGCGGTAGACGGATACGATACTAAAGCAATGACTCAAACAAAGAAAGAAGTCTGGTCTGTTCAGGAAGTTTCTGACTGAGAAAAGTCACACCTCTGTCTCTGGCTTTGTCGCTCAGCAGCACCTCCACCTCTCTGTACTCCTTCAGCGCCTCCAGCAGTATGTTGCCCTCTTTGTGGAAGAGGAAAAGGATGGGCAAGCTGATGTCTTCCGTGTTGCGGCCATCCCCTGCCATCTGAAACAAGGGGGCTGTATCGCTGCTGCTGCCTTCATTGTCATCTGAGAGGAAAAAGTGAGTGATTAATCCAAGAATCATTAAAGGATTCATAAAACTGTAGCATCAGGAGGGCAAATGCATAACTACTATGAAACTCCAATTGGTAGTAACCTGATGATATAGCTCTCTCTGTCCACAGATATCCTAATTCAAGTGCAGCCAACCATCTGTTCAAGATCAAAAACTTCGGCTTGAGTAACAAATCTGCTTGATCCTGTTGCAAAAGCTCACTGTTTGATTTTCCAGAGTTCCCAGAATGCATCAGAAATCAATCACCAGACCTCTAAACAATAAATAAGCACTTGCTGTATGCTCCTCTTGAAGACAGTTAAAGTTCATATTTTACCTCTCTGTTATTTCAGCAGACTTAAGACTTTACTTGTAAGTAAATCATAGAACATCCATTCTGTTTTAGGTTCTTATTGCTGAATGTGGACTTTGTGTTATGTACTAATTACAGTGATTGCTGAATCTTGAACCAAAGACTTTTTGAATTAAAAAAAACAAATTTGCTTCCTTCTTATGGAGTCATGCTGACTACAGCGGGGTGACGCAGCTCAAGGAAGAACATTTATGATCATTTCTTTATCATTTCCTTGAATCCGTCTCAATCTGATTACAGTTCCATGAGGCAACGATCATAAATGTTCTTCCTCGAGCTGTGTCACCCCGCTGTAGTCCGTAATGGACTAGCCTGAGGTCTCGCCACAAACAAACAGCTGCTGGATGAGAGTAGGTGAGTTGTGTTTAGTCTCTTTGCTTAGGCAAAGTTAAAGATGTTTGGTGGCTAATACTATGGCTAGGACCCTATATGTACTGTTGATGAAGTTAGGTGCTGTTCTGAGCATTATTTGTGGCTATAGAGTGGCGTTTGGTTGAGGTTTGTTTATGGCTCCTTAGGCCGCTGTGTATTGCTATCCTGCGGTCGTTACTGAAGTTGGTATAACTAGAGAAGCAGTCGGCAACATTCATCTCTCGAGGGGGTGTCTAACTCAGTGTTACGGTGTGTTTGACTAACTTAATTTTACGCCAGAATATCCCTTTAACTGAGTGGTTTGCAGGGAGTTAGTTGGGATTTTGTTGTAGACTTAACCATTAATACACTGCAGAAAACAGCCGTAACTAGAGAGTTTAACAATTTGTTTAAGTGTTGTAGAGGGATTCATAACTTCTCCAATGGGATAAATATAGATGCTTATCAATATCAGCAATCTTCTGCTATACTTCAATCATATTTCTCATGCAGGACCCTGTTCCATTGGCTGTTTTCAAGATAATCCATTTACTGAGTCATTAAGAAGTCATCTCCCCGCTTCTGTCCTCAGCAGCTCTCACTTACCGATGACTATGCCCCCGATGGCGCCAGCCTTCTGGATGTTTCTGGCCTTTTCTGCAAACATACACTGACCCCTCTGAAGCAGAGCTATGTGGCCCTGAACGTACTCTGCATTTGTGATCTCAGAACAGCCGCTGTAAGGTTCAGCCACAGTTACAAAACCTCGTACCTGTAAGGAGGTTGATAGAAAGAGAAAACATTTAAAGATGATGATGATGAATGTCACACTATGGGATCTGCAGTGGTTAAGTTTAATACATATGTCCTCTTTCTCCATCCTTGAGTTATTCTAGAGGACAAACTGCCCTCTCAAAAATTTCAGGGAAGAATGAGTGGCCCCATTAGGAAAAAGAATAAACCAAAGGACAGCTAAGAACTGTTTTGAAACCTGGCAGCTATAAACCCACTCACCCCTGTGGAACTTTTGGACAGGTCTGTGCCAAACTGTGCCGGGCCAGCGGTCAGCACAACCCTGCCAAAGAACGGATGTGAGACGATCTGAATAGCTCTGGGAGGCAGCTGCTCTTTCTGCTGCTGGCTGGAAAGCTCCATCATCTCCTGCATGAAACGCACACCATCCTCTGCTGCTACTGCGCTCACCGCCTGAGTGTGGGTGGGATAAAAATTCAAACTCCAGTTTAACTTTTTTGGATACAAAAGAATGTCCTGCTTTCTGCTTATTCACACAATCATACAGATGCACAAGTTACTAAATGTACAACAACAATATTTATATCAATGAGAATTTTCTTGCTTATCATTCAGATTGTAATGTGTTAGAGACAACAGACTTTCTCTAATGTGCATATACGTATATGCTCTGCATTTGCTAAAAAAAAGTTCCCCTTGTTTCCAAACAGCAAAGTAATGTGTTAAAAAACTGAATCCTCAAAGCCTTTGATTGTGTTTCATTTTTTTGTTAGCTTAACCGTTTACCTGTGTGGCATGCTGTACCAGCTGCACCCTGCCATCTTTCAGGTGGATGAGACTGACTCCCATCCTCCTCAGCAGCTCCAGATGTTCAGGGTTATTGGCCATGAAGTCCTGAGCCCTCAGAGGAGGGCGACCCATCCCAGGCTCTCTGGGAGGAGCAAAAGGAATAACTTTACAAATACAGCTTTATAATGCTGAGAGGAAAAGGGATAATTTCTGAAGGCTTTTTTTACCGGTAAGGAGCGGGACGGGGGCAGCTCTTGTCCACAGCACTGCGGATTGGCTCTCTCAGGTTGCGAGGGAAGGCAGGGTCAGGAAACAGGAGACGGGTGTTAGGGCACGTCCAATCGAAGTTTGAGTCATCCAGCTCTTCCTCTGACTGAATAATCACATACACATCAAATAATTATATACAAGGGATTTGAAACACTAGGGATGTCACATTGAAGTAGTCTTTGTGGCTTAACTTTGAAAGCATGAATGATCAGGTGTCAAGTGGGAGCAAACAATCAGTCAGGGAAGAAAATATCCACTCATGTTCCCAACACCTTTAACCAGTTGGTTCACATTAAAACATGCTTTAAACTTAAAGCACCATCCTGATAGCTCGATATGATCTGAGACCTCAGGTTGATCATCTCTACCTCATAGAAAATCAAACAAAAACAGGCGTATTTGAGAACTTCCTAACAATCAGCTATTTGATATTATTTTAATTGTTTACATCCCTAATGAGTATTTATCAACTGATTCCGTTTCTCATAAAAGGGTGTTACCGTTTTATTTGAGGGAATAGATGATGAGTGAGGGGCTGTGGAGAGGGACAGGGGCAGTAGGTGTGCTTCGGTCGTGAAGACATAATCCTCCACATCAAAAGGTAAGTCCTCAGCATCCGCAAACAGCAGGAACAGATATTTGAACATCTCAGCAAGGAAGAACGAGTCCATTCTATGAAGAGAGAAGAGAGGTGAGGTGAGGACTATAAATACAGCCACATGATAACAGAGAAATAATGTTTTACATCCAATGACCATGACCCATTGTTTCATTAAGTCAACAAATTAACCTCTGATTTATTTCTCAAACTAAGACACATACCAATGAGATCATTTTAACATGGTATGTAAGACTGATGGAAGTGGATAAAGCATGCCTATAGTGTGCGAAAGTGGCAGAAATACTGAATATTTTCATCTAACCTGTCCTCGTGGCTTCCTGTTCGTACGTCCTTCATTGCAGCAAAACCACAAGGGACACGGGCAAAGCGGTTGAGGTTGTCCATGATGGTGCGACCTGCCTCCAGGTAATATGGGTCTCCTGTGGCCTGAGAGGACAAAAGGACAATAGTGTGATCATTACAGAGCACAAAGCATGCACTGAGGAGAAGGCTCGAGTGTAACTGAGACACAAAACTTTGAGTTCACAGCGTTTTATCATATTATGTCCCTTCTTATGTTCCCACCAGACACCAGAAGGCAGAGTGTTATAATATGATAATGATGAACTACAATTAGTGCTCAGTTTGCTGTAGGCTGCTTCGAGAGAGTGTTTACAAAAAAAATGTAGATGAGTTCTTTAACATCAAACTGAATTCTGATGCATGGTAAAAGACATTTGCTGCTCTGTGGCAGTGAAAGAGAACATATCCATTATATCAAGTGTCCTTAAAAAAAATTACCTTGTAAAGGAAGTAGGTGCTCTCTGCAAACTCAGGCCTCAGGGGATGTTGGGCCCAGTGTACCCTGAAATCAGTAGTGAAGGCCTGAGGAAAATAGAGAAGGTCAAATGGGTCAGCACATTGTAGACGGAGATAAAATGGAGCTGTGTCTCATGAAATGCAAGCTTGTTTACTTCTGAACAGTTTGTGTTGGACGCATAAGCCATGCTGATTGTTGGATTTTATGGTCAAACAATACTATGTAATTTTAGAGTGGACAAAAAAGCTAAAAAATGGGTTTAAAGGTTGGAAGCAAGATGAAAAGATTACCTCGGGGAGGAAGTTGTGTTTTTTAGTAACCTGATACAGCATCTCGTGAGTCTCAATGGCCGGGCGGATATCTCCCTTCAGCACCTGAGACATGAAAAGTATTAACAGTTAGTAATAATCTCACTGTAATAGCAGGTGGGAAGAAAGTATAAAAGGATAAATTTAATACACATGATTCACACTGACCTGCAGTCCAGGGAAGAAGGCAAGCAGGGAGTCCATCCATGTGCGAGCTGGTAAGAGAGGTTTATGGATGTGGACATCCAGCAGCAAAGGAGGCTGGCTGATGTATTTCATTATAGATGCATAGTGCTAAGTGAAACCGGAGGGGAAGAAAAGTTAGAAGAACAATCTTTGGGTGCTTTTGAAATGAACCTGAAAAAAAAAAAAATGTGTCAGCCTCCAGACTGAGAACGGGTAAGAAAAGAGGGTTAATATCGTCTCTAACTTTTTTAACAATCATCTTTAAAAATTACTTCCCTATTGAGAATTCGACAAAGACGAGAGATACAAAATGAATCTGAGACATCACTGTGGCTATGCTACCATGCACAGAAGCATCACATTACTCTAATCACATTAGTGTGTGTATCCTTACAATATTGAACCGCTGCAGAAACTGATCATCTCCCAAGAGGACGTAGGCCTTCAGCAGGTATTCATAGTATGAGTCAATCCCTGCTCCGACTCCGCTGTCTGGAAAAATATACAATTATTCATCGTGTCTGAGAAATTACCTGCAAGACAAATCTTCTATTTTTACACATTTTCTTTCTCCACTATCATATTCTCTAACACCAGGACAAAAAAGATAATTAAATTTGACTTAACCATATCTTATATCCTCCTACATAATTTCAGTCCCCTCCATTTTCCATTTTCCACACTCCCCCTCCTCTCTCTTACCCCTGCGGACCCACTCTCCAGAGTGAATGTTGATTGTGGTTCCCACCAGGTTGCTGTTTCTCTGTCTCTTCTCCCACAGAAAGTCCAGGGCTCTCCGGGCATGGGCCTGTGTACGAGCATGAGGAAGGATGCATTATTGATTTAGAAAATGAAAAATCAATACGCAGTCGTGGCGGACTATGAGAAGATTATAGTGGGTGACTTTGTGCTTGATCAGCAGTCAGCTGCTGCCAGGAGAACAGGTGCCAGGTCCTAGTACTATAGCATCGGAAAAAATATCAAAAGTTTTGCAAACGCATCAATATTTCATGATACCACAAAGACTCACTGTAACAGCAAGGCCCCCTTTAAAGAATACATAAGAAGTAGGCTGATTAGAGATAGTTCTTTAATTTGATGTTTTCATTCTCATTTTAACCTTACATAGTCACAGCTAGGGAACACATAGGTCCAAACAGTAACACCCTGTTTACTAAGATAAATAATGCAATATTGATTTACGGTCCACAACAACAACTTACTAAGATACTTCAGTGAAATGGAATGAAAGCTGAAAAGCTGTATGCACCACGTACAGCTTTTCAGACAGGGAGGTTTACATTGTTATGATGAGAAGTAGAATCAACACCCATTTACTATCAAGACAATCTTTCTTTTTAGGGGAAGAGTTTGTATAAACTCAAGTATTAGCAATTAAAGTGTGTAGCCCAATCCCCACTGAATGATTTTAGACAGAGATAAAACTAAGATGATCGGAATAGGCATCATTAAAAAACTTCATTGTGATTATATATCTATAGAAACTATGTGTGCTGAAACTATATGTGGCTTTTAGCAATCAGTTTTCCTTGTCATCAAAATGACTCCAAGCCACACGTAAGGCCTGATCTGTGTATGATGATCCTACAGGTATAAAGAGTTCACTTAAAGAAGAGGAAACTGAATACTTAAAGGGCTTGTGATTAGCATCAGACAAAAAACAGAAGAGCGATTTTTAGCTATGTATAATTTCTACAGCTACTGGCTGTGTACAAGTAGCTTATGTATAATGAAACATATGATAATGTGTTTTTTTTGTATGACTTTCTAGTTTCATTTTATGCACTTCCAAAAGGTTCAAAAAAATAACACACGATAAAAAAATGTGATTTACTTGTGACACACACCGCCAGGCAGAAAAGGGCCATGCAATTTGGAAATCATCTGTTTTGTTTAAATGGCATACTGATTTTGATTAAACAGACACGGAGCATCTCTGTAACCATGGCAACTGGTCTGCACCTGTGTGCATGCAAGGATGATAGAAAGGGAAAGAGAGAAAGACGCTGTTCCGCTGCTGCTGCTGACTGATTGTTACTGTATGCACTAGTGCTGGGCGATAGGACGATACATATCGTGGGCACGATAGAAAATGTCTATCGTGCCATTTTTATTTTTATCGTTTCGGGCGATAGGCTGTATTTTATCCATAGGGCTTGTGCCATCAGATGATTCAATAACAACAACAATAATTGCACATTCAGTAAGTGTATTTGGTGTCAAACGGGAAAGAAAACAATATTTTCTTACAAAGAAAAGGATGCGTTGACATGTAGGCTTGCATTTCTCTTTCGATTTTGCGACATGACGCCGCTTTACGTGCCCTCTTCGTGTCCAGCGTCTCCCGCCGTTGCGGGTTACCTGGGTTACACACGTGAGGGGATCATTGTAAGCAGTGCTTAATTTGTGCCGGAGCGAGTCGGAGCGCGATCCGGGACCTCTTTTGATCGGATCCGGGACCTATTTCAGCCGCTCCGGCACCTGTTTCATCTGCTCCGGGACCTTCCCTGTAGAGGATGACATTTTTCGGGAATTCCCGTGGGTCACGTGATTCCCGCGGGAATCCCACGGGATGGGAGTCATTTTTTTATTAATTCCTTGATCGGGACGGGACGGGAAAAAAAGCAACGGGAGTGGGCAGGAGCGGGAACAACATTAAAAGATGATCATTTTCAGCCGTGTTTAACAACCAGATGAACAGGTGCGTCCATTTTTGTAGTCATCTCTCAGTGAGAGCCAACACTCTTGACCGCGCTAGCAACACAAAAGAACTACAACAGTGGTTTGACTTCCTGTCAGCTCGGAGCGCGGCTGCGCATTTCTACCCTTCAAGCCAGCAGCGAGGAAACGTAATTTTGTGACATTCTGTAGTTTTTCAATCATTTCTGGAGTCGTGGCGAATCAAATCACCTTACCTGTCTGCCCCTGATAGGCGAATAAAGCGCTCGGATTCATGCTCGGGTCTTGCTACGTGCTTCAAGGGTAAAGTAAACAATGATGGAGGTAGAGAGCAGCTTTGGAGGAGAAACATCTAGCAGTGTGAACAACCTCTTCAAAAGAGCCCTAAAGACCTACCTTTTTAATAAAGCCTTTGGTTAGTTTTCCTCTATGCTTTATGCTTTTACTACCTTGCCTCTTACATTGCAACTCTATATTTTTTATTTTTTTAATTCTTTTTTTATGCCAATCTGTGACTGTCATTCTATTGCTTTTTTTATTGTTGCTGCTCTTTTACTGTGTACTGTGGCACTTTGAGATTTTTTGTAAATGTAAAGTGCATTACAAATTAAATTCATTATTATTATTATTATTATTATGGAGTGCTTTGGCTCACACTATCGGCGTTTTCTGTGAGTGTTGCATAACTTTGGGTGAGCACAGACATGAACGCACTTTAGCCACGTATTTATTTATTCATTTTTCTAGTTTTAAGTGCTGGTCTTGTACTGGTACTGTACGAGTGCAGCTGTATACACTTAAATTTTTCATAGAACTGAAAGCATACCATAGCTATATCGTGATATATATCGTTATCGTGATATAAAATGATCCATATCGTGATATACATTTTTTTCCATATCGCCCAGCACTAGTATGCACTAAAAAAAAGGGTTAGCATCCTCGTTATGAAGCGTGACTTTCTGGAGCTGATTTTCTTAACTTGATTAGTGTAACCCTGCTCTGCACCATTGTTAAGAAAACACTCAGACATAAAGTGCAAATCTGCCAGATCATACTTATCACAGCATAATGCTAACAGTGCATCATACTTTGAAGTAGATGTACAACCTACAAATAAATACAAACAGACACCGTGGTTCACGTTGACACGGATGGGTCACTCTTCAGGACTGACAATTTAGAAAATCAGGGTGCATTAGGTAATCTGACAAATGGCTCACTGAATAACATCTAGGTATAGAAAGAACACATAGGCAGCCTGGTCTATAAGAGTTGTCAGTAAATGGCAATGGTCCCCTGGATTTTACAAACAAAGAAAGATGGTGACACCTGCAGGGTGTGGCTGCTCAATGCTGAGTACGTGGCAGTTCAAATAATTCAAGTGTACAGTGTTGATGAGCTGTTTGCTGTGCAATCACAAAATATAAGCCTAAACCTGTTTTTTTTTTGTTTACAGTAGAAATTTGCATTTTACAACTTGTGTTTTTGTTCTCATAAGCTTGGATTTTAGAATCAATTTTAATATCTTCATATTCATATCATTATTTATATATCTTTTAAATACTTTTTTAAGCTCATTTGCTATTTTAATACTGCTTTACATAAAAATACTGCTTTTTCATCTGAATACAATGTTATTTAAGTGTTTAAGTCAAAATATACTATTTTGGACACCTGCTTAAGAAGGTTTTCGATTGTTTATGAATAACACCAGCTTTTACATAAGCAGAGAAAGACCTTTTCTGATGAATGTACCTCAAACACAGGGTCTCCAGTGAAGCGACTCAAGGCAGCGAACTCCAGGATGATGGTACCCGCACAGGCAGTGCAGGTGTCCGTTTCTGTGCCTGTTCTTGTCTCAGGACCCCTGACGCCGTACTTCAAGTTCACCTGCCAAGCAAGAACAAATGATGAAATGAAACGACACAATCTGTATGACACACACTTAGACTGCAAGAGATGAGCATGAAAAGTATTCTGACATGAAATATCAAAAGATGTGGCAACTGAAGTAGTGAGGCAGACAATGAAAATATGTGGTCATGAGCTGAGAGGATGCAGATTTGAAAATGTACTATGATAATTCAATATTCGTCTTTGTATTACAAATATTATTCATTGTGTTTAATGAAGGCATTAATGAAGCAGAGTATAATTCAGGATGTTTTATTCCATTAACATGTCTATTTGTACATAATAGATTTAATTTGTTACCTTGATGCTTGAAAAATTACTTTTCACTCCAAATGCTGACTTTAATTGTTACATTTTTTAAAATGGGGTAGATGCTGCAGACACACTTTCATAAAATAAGATTCTTCCATAAAAACATATTTTCAACAAAGAGTGGATTTTGTTATATTTTAAATTTGACTACAAATAACATGACGCAATAAAGCAATTATTTTTAATATTCCTATCTTTATCAGACAACAGTGCATACAAGACGCTCTCAAGGTATTAAAGCTATAGGGCTAGATTTTCGTGCCCGCTGGCGGATTTAAAGGCGAGGAGAGGAGCTGATGTTATTGGTCAATACAGGTCTCGGCTGTGTTAAACCCGCTCCACGCCCTCTCTCCTCCCTCCCTAGGACTTACGCCGCTGGGAGGAGCTGAGTTAGGGAGGGGGGATACTTACGTAGGGCTGCGCCGCTCACCAAAATACCAAATTGTGCTTGGGCACGCCTTGTTGGCGCGGCGGACCTGACTTGCGTCGCGCCTGCGCCATGTCTCTGGCGAGGCACGAAAATAGAGCCCATAATGCGTAACGTCTATCTCCCCCTAGAGGATTTCTAAGTCATTGCAATGATATGGCCGGCACCTCAATATGACATATGGCCCAGTATAACCCGTACACAGAGTAGCGCTCGTCATGGTACATGGAGTAACACTCACGTCTCACCGCATACTGCTCGTCACGCTACACAGCACTACACAGACTGTAACTGTCTACACAACATGTAGGCTGCCAAAGTTACTCGACACAGCACACAGACACCCAGCAGTAAGTTAAACAGAAACACGGGCTTCACACCTACAAAACCGAGTAGAACTTGTCATTTCCTGTACGCCATCGTGGGAATGTCCCCAAAGATACCAAATACAAAAAGAACAAATACTGAAAAATACCGCGAGGTGTTAGAGGAGCCGAGCGGCTTAATCAGGGATTTATCATCTCTGGGCATTTACAGACATGCAGAAGTTACGCACTATAGTTTTAAGGATTGGAGTAACTCTGTTTTTTTTTTTTCTTTGGTGCTTTGTGCAACTCACCCGGGGATAGGGCAAGCCGCTACTGGTGTTGAAGGCTGGCAACAGTCGAAGACCCAGATCTTTGGCCATGTGCAGGAGCTCATCCTGGTACCACTGCATGTTTTGTCCTCCCTCTTTCAGCATCACAGCCATGGAGTGTCCTCCCAACAGACCTCTGAACCCACAAGGACATGAACACACCAAGCAACCACATTATTAAGAAGTGAGTGTACTTAAAAAAGTGTTTCTGAACAGCTATTGTGTTTGCTGCCTTCCAGAAAGAACATGAAATGTAAATCATAGTATAGCATATGTACAGTTTTTCATTATTATAGGGTTCTGGTAATTGTTGTCTTATCTTACCCAAGGACTCGAATGTTGGTTTCAAAGACTGACACCACAATGTCATTGTCAAGCCTCACATCTGTCAGCACCCTCCTCACAGCAGCTTCAAATTCTGTCGTCTTGTTAAGAAGCTGGCAATCGGAAAATATAAGACAATCAAAACTAGGATTTGATGAAAATCTTTTTAACAGTTTAACAAATGGCTAAAATACTCAATATAACCTGAAGAAGACTGACTCCAGTGCTATTTCAGAGAGCTTTTATTGTTTTCAGTTTCAAACATTGGTGTGTTTTATTTCTATTCTGTTCAGGAATCCCACAGTAACATGAACACAACATGGTTTCGTTTTTTTCAGTGCTTATAAACACTACTATAATTATTGGAATACCTCTGCTATGCTCAGCTACATTTTTTAATATTAGCTGTAAAGCCTAGAATAATAACATTTTAGGGAAAAAAAATTCTCACCACCAGAGTATCCAGAGTGTCGATGAGGGTTAATGAGAACCTATTAGAGGGAGACAGAGGCTGATTACAGAGGGTGTTGACAGCACAAAACAATGACAGTTTCATATCATTTAAAATAATTATAGTTACTTAACACTGTGAATCTAACACCTGTGCCAAAAGCACAATCAGGTGTGGCTGCGTGACGGTGAGCAAACATCATCACTGGCCTATTATTATGTTCAATCTCACAGAACACTATGCACACAGTATGCTACTTACTTTCCTAAAGCGTCGTCCACGTCACCTCGGCTTGGTTCAAGTCCGCGTACTCTACCTCTGCATGTCAGCGGCATAAGCTCATCTGCGGGGTATGCGTGGTCCTGAGACATACAGAGAAACAAACCTTAAGGCTATGCTTCCACCACAGTCAAGCATCTAAAATTGGGCATATCTTATACAACCCCTTCATGAAAACAGTGGTAAAATGAGTTTGTCAAAACAAAAAATGCATCAAAATAGGAAAATAAGGTGTATTTTCAGTTCCACAATCAATCATACTAATATTATTTCTGTCTCAAAACCAAGTAACATGCTGCTAAATTGTCCTTAACTGGATCAACACACATATATAAATTTATTTTGATAATTCTCTTTAGTATTTATCTTTCCATTTTATTCTTATACATACACTTTATTTTACTGTTCTGTAGAATTCTTGTCTTGTATATATAGTGCCTTCTTTCTTACAACTATTTGTACTTTTACTACCTTATTTTTACTTGTCTATTGCACTGGAAAAGGAGAAGATCTCTGATCTAAAAGTTTGATTCTTGTGAAATACTCCAGCAAAAATACATCACTTACCATATAATTCTGATATGCATGGTCAAACATCTCAACCACTTGATTCCTGTGGTAAGAGGGAAACAAAAGGCACAAATCAGCCTACAGAACATTTTCAGGAGGAAAGATGTTCTGTGTTTTCGTCATTCTACCTTAATTTGCTCTTTTCCTCTTGTGACATGGTCTGTCCGGGTCTGCCTAACGCTCCCAGCAGCACCAATAATGACAGAAGAGCTGACATTGTGGGAGCTGGGCAGGATCTCAAAAAATATACAAACAACTAAAGTTTGGCTCTTGTCAAACACAGAGTCATTACCACTATCTAACAGCTCGAACTATTACAAAGATCTATGCACTCCCATCAAAGTTACATAACATAGAGCACCTTTTGGCTTCCCCGAATACTAACTCCATATCAACAACTGAGGAATCCACGCAAACTTACCCTTCATCTGTGACTTAGAAAACATCAAAATCAACTCTGATTCAAGCAGCAACTATGGACGATGTGCGTAAAATAGTTTGAAGGAATGATGACAATTCAAGTAACGCGATATATGAACTTGCAGAGATGTGCCCGGCAGTGGATGTAGTGCAATATAGTTTCAATTCCTGTTAGCAGGTTGGTTTGTCACACCTGTTTACTTTTCCAAGCTGTCACCCGGACCTAAACACACGTGTTAAACTTTGACGTCCTTTAAGATCAGTTCTACATATTACTTTGCTCTCGTCTCTTACATCAAACTGTCTAAATATGTCATTGATCAGAATATACTTTTCGAGATAAAGGCAGCAAACAACAGCGATCCTGTGAACATGTGGCCTCGAAGTTATACAGACGCCTCGTCATTTTTGGGACTTGCTGTAAAGTAAACAGAGGAGTTCCTTTTATTCAACTCTGTGATCCCGATCTCATCACGACCACATACTTCCCTCAATCTAACGTTATAGTCTATGACAAACAGAAAAGACACCCGTCCAGTTCATACCAGCTCCTGTTATCACTCTGCAAACCCTTGATAAGTTAATTATTTCCCCATCTTGACAGCTAGATGTAGTCAGACAGTCCGAGCAGCAGCCGACCACTCACAGCCTTTAATTAGCCAGTTAGCCACCTCTGCTAAACAGCCCGGTTGGAGACGACGGACACACCAAGTAAACTGGTCAAATGACCAAAAAACACCTCCATTACTAGGCAGCGGCCCTAACCAAGATTTCTTAATGTCCTCCGAGAAACAAGTACTGTAATTTCACCGTAAGGTAGTTATTCGTCTTGCTAGCCTGCCTTTACAACCGGATACCGCTGCGTCGAAAACGTCAACATATCCGCTTCCTGGAACACTGGGTAATTTCGCCCCGAGTAATCACTTCAGGCATTTTCTCGTTCGTCTTAGGTTAGCTGATATACGTTTTCTTTTTCGAGACTTGCAATCTTATCTTAATATATCTTAATAATAATAATGGTAATAATAATAATAATAATAATAATAATAATAATAATAATAATAATAATAATAATAATAATAATAAAAGCTCAGTTAAAAACAAGGCCTCCGAATCAAAGGCCAATTTCATTTTTCGTAAGAAACCCAGACAATACAATAACCCTACAACATAAAATAAGACCACAAGGACCAAAGAAGAAATGAAATAGAAAAGGGAGGCAGAAAGCAGGGAACAGGATAGTAAGTATCAAAGAGGATATTGATATTGATAATGACAATAAAATCATAATAAAATAATAATGATGGTTATATTTATGATAAAATGTAATAATAAAAAATAAGCAGGAAAGGACCTATAAAGGTAAATTGAGAAAAAATTATAAGTAAAACAAAGGCAAAAGGACAGTAAGTCAAAATAAGATAGAGCAGGGGTGGGCAATCATGTGCCATGGAGGGCCGAGAGGCTGCAGGTTTTCTTTCCAACCCAAAACTCCACCAGGTGATTTCACTGATTAGTCCCTGATCTCTGCTTGGAGGAAAGGTAATCAGTGAAATCACCTGGTGGAGTTTTGGGTTGGAAAGAAACCTGCAGCCTTTCGGCCCTCCATGGCACATGATTGCCCACCCCTGAGATAGAGGTAAAAGAGATAAAAGAAAAAGGAGAAAAGACGGCATCACATAAAAGCAAGTCTAATATGACTAAGTCCCTGTTCGAGTATAAATTACCAGAATTTATGACTCCAAAATGACATTATTTCATATGGGTTATACTGTAAGTAAAGTCGTAACCTTACAGTCTTTGCTGAGGGAATAATTACAGTAATGTACAACCCGTTCCCCATAGACATAACACGTAGACGCCCCATTGCGTGCTGGAGCATGAGCCAGCGTCGCCGCCATATTGGATGGGTCTCTCCACTCCAGGCTCGCTCAAGAGCCATATGGGTCAATGGAGAACAAGCATTTTTACACTCTATGGTTGAAAAACTCGACGCAGTATTGAAACCAGACCACGTAAAATTACATATTACAAATAGGATTGAAAAATAATTTGGTTTATTTTTAATGTGTGACATTTCCTGTGTTATGGCTAAATCCCTGCCGTTTGTAACAAACCAAATAGTTTGAAAATCGGGCACAGATTCGGAGAGCTATTATTAATTTCGTTGGGCAGTTCTATCTATCTTAATGCATTGGAGGCACATGGGGAACCCATCCAAGATGGCGGGCGAGCTGATACGTGGGCTCCTGTAGGCAACTTCAGGCTTTGAGGCGTCTACGTATCTTTTGTCTATGACTGTTACCGTTCATGGAGTCTTCAAATACGCAAAGGAAAATTGTCGAGGTTACCCAACGGTCATCGCTAAGAAAAATATATTTTCAACAATTACGAAATTATATGTTTGATTATATATCGTTGACGTTTTCAGCATCATGAAAGCCACCGAAAACTCCACTGAACCAACAGCTTAAATAAAAGGCTGTTGTCCTTTCTATAGTAACCGTGTCATTGGTTGCCTTTTTAATGGATGCCCCTCACCTAAATATGTATATGTTTTGACCAACTATGAGCAATCAATGGTGGGCAATTTAGTGTAGTTTCCCGGGGGTCTGCTTTCCTCATCCACCACCAAATATGAGCTTTCAGACAACCGAAGTCGACATTTTCACTACGTGCCTTGAACGCAGCTTTGATGTTTGAAATGAGAGACAGACCTCATCCAAAATATTCAAATGGATTAAAGGATTAATAACAAAGTCGGCCCGTTGACATTTATGCGTTTTTTATTTTATCCGTGAAAGCATAAAAAGCCAACACCAACTTCTTTTTTTTTTTTTTCTCACTTTTTTCACTCGCGAGCTACATGTCCCATGAACCTTTGCGATATCACTTGATAAATTGGTGGCTTCACGTGACGCTCCATCAACAAATCCTTCACGACTGTCTGAGGAAAGAAGTTAGAAAAGACGACCATTGATGTCCTCGCCGCGCACAGAAGGGACTTCGCTCTGACTGGACATACTTCATACTTTTCTGAAAAAAGAAAATAATAACGAAGTGAGCAGGGAAGGTTTTTATTTTCTTTTATAGGAAGGTCGATGCGTTTCCGGACTTTATACATCATCCTGCCGGTGCATCATGCACCGTTTTGCCTTTTTGTAAACTTGGTTCTCAAAAAGAAAAAAAAGCGATAGGCTCTGTGTGTATCGCCTTGCCTATCATATTTTCTTAATCATTACTGTATCTGTTATTCCTGTCCTTTTAGGAATTTCAGCATTCCTGATGTATCTCATATATTTTTAAAATTCCAGGTAAACAATTTATATCAACCATGGCAGCTGTTGCAGATAAAAAGCTAACAGGACTTGTCGCTGCCACATTTACCCCATTAACGCCTCAAGGGTAAGCAGCCACTCTCTTTGATCGTTTTCTTTTTTGTTTGCACTAATTGATGTGCATGCTTTGAGATCATGTGCTGTCTGCTGTCCTGAAAAAAGAAGACTATAAACGAAAATAATTAGTGTACTTGAAAACAGTGACTACAAACTCCCAATGATCGCTATAATATGCCCTCTTTGGCATAACTAGTGGGCATATGTTTTTTTAGTAAGACTATGATTTTTCACATTTTCCCAAAACAGTGAAGTCAACCTATCACAGATTGGCCCTTACATTGACTACTTGACACAGAAGCAAGGTGTAAAAAACATATTTGGTAAGTTTCCCTTCAGGGATCCTCCTTTTGGTTTTTATTGTTTCTGTGTTCCCATTTAAGTCAGTCCAACAAAACCCTGTTGGGTTAGACAGAATAGTTCTCATTGTGTAAGACATTTGATTTCCCTTCGTTGAAAAACAGGATCTGAAAGTGCTGTGGGTCAACCCGACTCAGCAGAAAAAGTGCTTGACAGTGTTAGATTCTCATATTGGTTTCATAATAAGTCTGTGCCAGACAAAAGGCCATAGGATAATGCAGTTTCTCATTTGTATGAAGACAGACATTTAATACCAGCCATTATATAAAGGTGCCTCCAAAAACTCAAAGTATCCCTATACCTTGACCCCTGAGATCCATTCTCTAAAAATTTGTAACAGAGCTGAATCGAAGAGTTTTGTTTTATAGCAGCATTGTCACTACACATCTGTATGTCCTAAATTCATAATCAAACCTTTCTTTTTTTCAAATCTGGACTCTAGCCCCTCCTGAAAGTTAAAAAAAAAAAAAAACGCACTCAAAGGCTTTCAGCTAATGATTACCATTTGCTTTAACATTTCTAGCTCATTACTGTCACTAGTCTAGTCTGAAAGGAGAAAAGGTCTTGTATTTGACAGAGTGCAAGATCACACTCTTGAATGTCTTTGTCATACCTTGTAAATAAATCTGTTCAAAGAAATCCTGTTAAAGCTCCTGTAAGGAACTCTGTGTTTGGATCGCCCTTACCCCAGCGAACTGCCAGCAGACACTCACAGGGGTACAGTCAAATATGTTTATCCACTGTGGATATTTACTTTGGTAAATGTAGTAAAATTCGGATTTTTCAGCCTGCTGCCAGGCTTCTGGTCTGGCCTGCTCCCTCACAGCGATTCAACAGATGTTCAAAATTCCAAATATTGTAAATGTTGCTGATGATTTCTTTAATTACAATTTTTTCTTACCTTAAGGGAAGGTTGTTTTTGATTTTGTGGAAAGCCTTATCTGTTTTTTCCTTATCACACTAACTATCCTTCTCATAGAGACAGAGAGAGGGTATGATAAGGTAAAAATGTGAAGTCTGCCCTTTCCTTTATATTAATCAAGGGTATTCAGTGTCTCCTGGATGGTAAAGTGATTTCGTCTTTATTTTAAATCCTATGACACCCAATTAATCATTGAAGTTTGTTCTAAGGTCAGCTTACTTAGAGTTATTACTGCTGACAACAACCTATGTGCTCTTAGGCGACCGAGAATAGATATCTGATGGTGCCTGGTAGGCTGAGCTTAGTAGAGTCCAGTGTAATTATACTTTTTATATCACGCTATAAATTTTCTATGCGCTCTTTGTTTCCCACATGTTGTCTGATAAGCTGCTTAATATAGGTTGTGTCTGTGATGTAGCCACACTATCTGTAAGTAAGACAATATTTAACTCGATTACAGTCAATGGCACAGCCGGAGAGAGCATGTCCTTCACTGTTGCAGAGAGGAAGATGCTGGCAGAGGAGTGGTGCAAGAAAGCAAAGGGCATGTGAGTTAAGTAGCAGCCTTTTTGGCGGGCCTGGAGATTTATCAATGTGTTTCAGCTAAAGCAAGAGCCAAAAATGCTGACTGGTTTGAAATGTATTTGTGTGCAGAATGGATCACGTGATCGTGCATGTTGGATGCCTGAGTCTCAAAGATTCCCAAGAACTGGTGAGTGGCTGTTTTCATGTCATGTATGACAGATAGATATCAGTTTTACAACACCCAATATGTGAGAGAGCAGGTCAGCTGATTGCCAATATCAAATTTTTTGTTGTCTTATTTTGGATTTTTGTGAAATAGAAAAATGAGTAAATGCTAAAAACTGAGGAACAACATTTTTAAAGTTTTTGAAATGGCATCAGGTGCTTGTGGATTTTTTCTAATCATTTAAAATTACTAAAAAAGGGTGAAAATACAGGGAAAAAAATTGGGGGTTGGAGAGATTTATCATTACTTGTACGTTTAAACCTAACAGACATGGTTATCTTAGCTTCAGATCATTTCAAGTGTCATCCTGCTTTCTTTTGACAGTCTATAACTCAGTGTGTTTCTCTGCCATTTACAATTTAAACAAAAACCCTCTATGTAGCGTGTTGTAACTTGCTTCATTTGTCCTCACCGACATTGTGGTAGCATATACAAGCATTAAAAATAACTGTACAATAGTAATTAATCTGTACAACAATGGACAGTGTTGATTTTGCATTTGCTGAACAGATCAGTTTAAAAAAATCACTCCCTCTCTTCTTGGGCTTAAGCTCATCTAGACCGCAACCACATGTTTCATTCATCCATCCACGTTAGTTTGAACTTGGTCCAACACCTGCTGCCAAAGTTGTTTGTTTTGTTTGTTCAAGTGCACATATGTTCACCGGCTTTTATGACATAACCTCAAGATCTGAATGCCAGCACATCCCTGCTGTCTTCAGTACAATGGACAATACTTTTATTTCAACACATAATAAAGAGAGTATTTTTTATTTTTGTCATCACATTTAATGCAATTGAGTTAAGAAAACAAAAAGTTTTGCGTTGACGCCACAGTAAAGCATTTTTAGCTGGTACTGAAACAGACTGAAATTAATAGTGGTGCCTCTACATGATCTTCTGAACCAAATGAGACCATCAGAAAAAAAAGGGAGATTATTTTGAACACAAACTCCGTCCCAGAACAGGTTATGTGTTCAGCATAAATATCACCACGATCTGCCCCAGTGACATACTTTTGTACAACTGAAAACCTAGGTAACTCTATAATTTCAAATCTTGTTTTACAGCATACCTCACGGTCTGCAGATTTCATGATTCAAACAGCCAATCAGGATTAGCTTGCACATAACCGGCAACACTGTACAAGTTTGCATTATCTGGCTTCTAGTGACTTATGTTTACACCAGTAACACCATATCAAAATTTTGAGGTGTATACTGATCGGTTTTTGGTGTTTCTGTCCTTTTTGTTTGCAACAGCTGGCATGCCTCTTTGGTACAATCATTGATTTAAGATCATTCAAGGTGGTAAAGGAAGAGGGTGATGGTTATACTACTAAAGTCATTTTTGAAAGAATGCACTACAAATTGTGATTCATCACGAATCTCATGAAATACTATTTTCTGCTGTTTATAATATGTCCTGATTGTATTTTGAGCAAAGTTTTGAGTCTAACAACATTAAACACTACAAGCTCAGCTTGTGTAGAATATCTGCAGCCTCTCAGTTTCAAACCTCATTATACGTGCAATGATCTGAGTGGGCGAGGATGTTATGAGAACGAGGCACTAATGCTGATTGGCTGCCTGAATGTCATCTAAAGGGGAAGGTGTCAGGTGAAGAGTGAGGAAGATAGTAGAAAACTCTACCTAGGAGGTTCCCTCTGAAAAAAAATGCAGTAGACTTGTTCATGTGTGTAACACCAACCCTTTCATATAAAGTACTGATGCCTGTTACAGCCCATCTTGTGGGAAAAAGGGAAGAAATATAAAAAGGAGAAATAACAAAACTAAGTGGGGGGAACTGCAAAAGTGCTGAGGAGTGCTGTTTAAATCAATGATGAAGGAAAACAAAGAGGACTCTGACTTGAGATTTCCACATTATGCTAACGCAGTAAAAAAAAAAAAACCTGACCTCCCAAACTAACAAAATTTAGTGTGTAAACATCCCATCACAAGTGTATGTTTGTGTGTTTTATGCCTATAACTAAACTTTGAGTGGCTCCATGTCTGCTCTGAGAGCTTGAGGTTAACAGAAACACTGTAGGGGCTTTTTCACTTTCATATTCTCAGGGTTACTTGACTGAAGAACGACTGTGGTCCACTATATGTTCAGGCATAAGAATTGTGTTGTTCATTAAATGGAACCCTGAGAAAGGGTAAAAAATTGTGTTAAAAGAAAACACTTATGTGTAAGCAGGTATATTATAAGCCAAAAACATATACCCCACTATGAGCACAAAGAACACTGGAAACGCAACTTTAAAAGTTCCTCACAAGAGCTCACTTGTCTCTCAAACTTTCAATGCTCTGGCCTATAATTTCTTCAGTTTGTAGGAATAAAACACAGAAATGTGGATCATTGTTATTAACAATTATACAGACAACAATCAGATTGCACGTGAGTCATTTCACTCCACTGGTTTAAAAAAAAAAGTATTTTTCTCCTGTGTTACTGTCATGACCCACTTTGGGGTTGAAGCAATACTTCAGTCTTCTGTTTGGGGGAAATGGCAGTCAGGCCTGAAAAATACTTGATGTCAGTATGAGATATCGTCCTACAGCTATAGTAAACAAGTGATATGTCATTACGAGGAAATTGCCATTTTAGGAAAAGTAATGTGCCAGACTATTAAGCAGTTGCCAGGCAACCAGTCAAGAGGAGAAGAAACTAGCTGTGGCCAAGCAATAGAAATGTAACTGCCTGAAAAAATAATCACAAATGGTCCTATTTAAACTTTCATGTAGATTTAATGAATCATATCATGTGTTACAGTTGGCAGTTTTGTCACTTGACCCCATATCAACTCTCCCTACAGGCTCGTCATGCTGCAGAGATAAAGGCTGATGCGATCGCAATTATGGCCCCCTTCTTCCTGAGGCCCAAAAATGTGGGTATGTGATCACAGAACATCTATTTGCACTTGTCATTTAAGTTTCATAACACACTGTGACTGTGCTGGATACATAACAACCTAATAATACACTTTCATAGTACAAATATCTCTCTGTCTCTCTCATTTGGCCTCAGCTGCTTTGAGGAAGTTCCTCCAGGAAGTGGCTTCAGCTGCCCCATCTATGCCTTTCTATTACTATCACATTCCACGCATCACCAATGTAAATCGTAAGTGTCATTTGGGATTGATGATTGGAGAAAATAGGAGCGGTTTTAAGCATGTCCAACAATAACAGAAGTTTGTGTTTTTCGTTTTTGCCAGTGCCTGTGGTAGATCTGTTGGAAGACATTGAGAACGACATTCCTTCATTCAGTGGCGTGAAGTTCTCTGCATCTGACGCGATGGACTTGGGCCTGTGCATCAACAACAGTAAGCCTCAGTGGACAGTCCTCTTCGGTGTAGACGAGGTAAACGTTTTCTATTTAATCTTCTCTGGTGCAGCAGATTTATGCTTGATAGCAAAATGACCTCCACCCTGAATCCATTAACCACTTCTTTTTTTATTTCAACTCAGGAGCTGCTCTCAGGTCTGGCAATGGGAGCTCAGGGAGCAATCGGCAGGTAAATGCAGGTTCTTGTGTCCCTTTTTAAACTTTGTGCTAAACAGTTAATTTCATCTCTTGTCATGTTTTTTTTACAGCACATATAACTACCTTGGATGTCATATAAACAAGCTTTTGGCTGCATTTGAAAAGAACAACCTTGCTGAAGCCAGAAGGATACAGGTGCCATTCTTCTTCTCTGAGTCCTTCCAAACTTTGATACTTTCGGTCAAATTTGATGACTAATGTCTTTTTTTCTGATTTCCATTAACAGTATAATCTGCAGGAGCTCCTCAGATATGCAAAAAAATATGGTGGTGAGTAATACTTATGTATTGATTTTTGCTACCGTTCTACATATATTTACCATAAATTGTGTAAAAAAGCATGGACAACACAACAGCTCTCCTCAAGTGAAACCAAAATTGTTAAAGTTCCCCATGGTGAATGGCCACTGTATACATCTTACCCCCAATTTCCACCACATCCGGCACGGCTCCGATCCGGAACAGCAGTGATTTTCGCGGTCTGCCAATTCCTACCGCATCCGTTTTTGAGGCAAATTTCGTGGCAGATTACCAACAGAGGGAATCGCAAGAACTCGCAAGAACCCGTGGATCCACATGCAATCATGCGATAACGAATTGTCTCTATAAAGAAAGCAGCATAACCATAAAAGCAGTAAAATTGTGTCCTTCTAGAGGAGGAAATCCACCTCTAGACTTCTAAAATCAGCATCTCCTCATCCGTGGTGTCATCGCGGTGAAATGCTGTCTAAAAACCTTTCACTTGTTCGTCCCCGCCTGTTTGCATGGTGTGAAATACGATCCGCCTGAAACACGTGGTGCTTTATTTTGAAAGGAAGCCGGATGTTTTATTTTGTGTCTGTGCCCGACTTCCTGTCCAGCCTGGACTAATCTGTGCTGAATTTATCCGGCATGCTTCGGCGTCCAGACAAAAATAGAACTCTTGCGGTCAGCTGCGGAGTCTGCTGATCCGCAGCAGAACGGAAGGAAGCCGGTGGAAATTGACGCATTAACTTCAATGGTTACGATCAGCTGCGTCAGTGGATACAGCCTTTTCGTAGCCGTTCCAGATATGGTGGAAGTTGGGGTTTAAAGTCCACCTCCTCCAGGTGGGACACAGTCGAAACTTTTCTTAAATACACTTTCTGTCAAAGCAGTAGGTTCTTATCATGCTGCTTTAGGGCAAATGTTCATTTCAAGTTTGGTTTTAATTTGTCATTTGATGTTACAAAAGAAGGAATGTTCATAATTTATAGCTCCAGTGACAAATGAAGGCTGCTGCAGCGTCCTTAACCAGGTTTTCAGAGCAGAGAATGAGCAGCTGGAAGATGTAACTGTAGGCGTCCACCAGATCCCTGTTCAGAGCTGACAGGTTTCGCTATAGTCATGCTGTTTGTCTGCAGCTGATGTGCATGGCTCCTATTTCTGCCAGCTGGCATAGCACAGGGGAAATGAACTAATTTTCAGAGTTGAAGACTTTGTGTCGATGCAAGATCATATGTTATTGAACGGCATCAACAAAACACAAAGAGGAGAGCCAGGCCTTAGGTCAGCAGGATTTCAGAGGCCATTGACAACAACATGTACGAGAAGTCCATCACAGAAGCGGAAAACCATTAGTGATATAATTTACAGCAGGAAATCCCTGAACTTGTGACTCCAATTGAGCACAGGGAAACACTGGCCAAACATGGATCTAGTGGAAATCTGAGAAAAGTACTGACTGAGAGACTTTGCTGTGTAAGATATTTGTGTGTTTTGATTAACCAAAGCAGAGTGATATTCTCTCCATGGCCCCACAGGCTAGATCACTTCTATGCATGTTTCAGCACCCTCTAAAGCAGTATTTAAGCTTCACTTTTTACAGTAGGAGCGCTGTCTACTTAAGAATACAGTCAATGATATTTGTTGTTTTTATGCTCTTCTACTATGGCTTCTTTTCTCCACATTTGACACTTAATTTATCATTTTTACATCATGCTCAGAGTGGTAAATGTTGGCTGATGTGATACAGTATTCTGGGTTGATTCACTTCAGAATATGTGTCGTTTTTTGTTGAAACATGACCAACTGTTCCATCTGCTAATCAATTGACAAGCACTGACAGGTAATAGTGCTATTTCCTACCTAAAACCTGTAACACACAGTATGATATTATGACAAAGTTAGAGCTGCCCACGTCAGGGCTCAGCAGCCGCAGAGTGAATGTGTGGTTTTGTCGTTTGCAGGTTTTGATTTGGGAGTCAACAAGCAGCTGATGGTCGAGCTGTCCGGCTTGCCTCTGGGGCCTCCTCGTCCCCCTGTGATCCAGTGTCCCCCTGAAAACGCTCAGTCCATCGTACAGAAATTTCACAGCCTCTTCTCCGAATCCTCATAAGTTCCATCTTTGTCAAACATTTAGAGCCAAATCACCTCTAAATAACTGTGACATTACCAGAGAATTTCAAACGTTTGATTTTCTGATATCCTGAAACCAGTTTCTCAAAATATGTTTGATCGATTTTATACTCTTGACTGTTTTTACTGAAGTTTTTAACTCTTTATTGAATTTAATAAAGTTAAAGGAAAAATACAATTACTTTAAAAATATACTAGCGTGTAAATCATTGTTGTTGCTTTTATATTATGGAGGTGATAAACCTAGCAACACTACAGTGAGGAAACTAAAAATTATTTTATCTTATTGATCAATGTACACTCTCCAAGCCTTGTTAGGTTAGTGGTCTAACATTTATGAAGACATTGTTGAACCACACTGAACTACAGATAAAAATGGAGCAAAGATGGTCTTTGGTTTTGTAGATCAGGTTTGTCAAATGTAACCTTTGTCAACTGGGAAATGAAAGATAGTTGTTCTGCTCAAATGTCGCAAAAATGACAACGAAACCCCCCACCCTTCCTGACCTTTGACTAACTTAATGAGAGGGAAAATTACACAGGTAAAGAGGGAATTAACTGTACTGACTTTTTTTTTGATGTATTGCAGTTTCTGACACTCCAAAAGTGAATGTGGTTTGTTAAAACTCAATTCTGTTACAACAAAGCACTTGCAAACAAAATCTGACCTTGTTTTGCAAGAGCATGAATTTTTATTAAATGTATACTGTGTAACTGTCAAACATAAAGGGAAAAATGTATATTCAATCTGCCTCAAACGTTTTAAAGAGTTGATTACTTGTTTTCACACTATTAAATGTTCTGTTGTTTCACATGAATCAGTGTCTCAGCCTTTTGTTTCTCTGATCCTGGAGCTTTTTGAAATCACTAAACCAGATTATCTCAAAGACTTGCTCAAACAAGCAGGGGGGACTGTGCATATTTGTTTGTGTCCACATGAGTGTTTCACATGTTCATGTAATAATTCCGTGGTTCTCAAGTCCAGTCCTCAAGGCCCACTGTCCTGCATGTTTTGGATGTTTCCCTGCTCCAACACACCTGATTCAAATGATCAGCTCGTTATCAGGCCATTACAGAGCTTGATAACGAGCTGATCATTTGAATCAGGTGTGTTGGAGCAGGGAAACATCCAAAACATGCAGGACAGTGGGCCTCGAGGATAATTAATAAATACATTTCTGTTGTACACACTTAAATTCACTATTTGAAACATGACAAATGAGACTACAGACAATTGAATTTCCTTTCTGGGATAAATACAGTTATTCTTATTCATTGATTGGAGAACCTTTCCAATCATTTCTTGTGTACTCTCAGGAATTGAAGATACATTCAGGGATGGATGAAGTGAAGGGTAGATGGCTGGTGAGTACAGTGATAAAAAAGGAAATCAACACATTGCTATCTTTGCTATCTCTGTCTAGACAGAATAAACACAGAACAGGAATTTATGTTTGGTTCCTCAAATTGAATTCCACAAAACAGAGGTGGGGTCAGGAGGATGTCTCAAGCAGAAGTTTATTTTAAACAGAAATTAAGCAGGCGGTGAAGGCAGAGATCCAGCTGGTTGGAGCAAAGATCTTCAAAGCTGCAACAGTATTGGCAAACTGGAGATCCTGGGCAGAGGAGAAACACAAATCAGCCAAAAGAATCTACAAGGTTCAAAAATTTCTCATTAACACTAGGAACTGAGTACACAGAGCTCCACCATACAAGGCAGAATTATGTGGCAGTGAAATGGAGTTCAGACCAGGCTTTTCAAGGCAGCTTGATTGACCAAGTGACCTCAGGTGAGCCTAATCAGCTGCTGCAGCAGAATCAGCCCCTATCTCCCTCACACAGAAGCTGCAGGGATAAAAAAAACTCCAAAGAAGGGGAAGGGAAAGCAACAAAACAACAATACAACCCAGAATCATCACTATTAACTTACATTGATTATCAAACTGCATCAAAACTGCATTTAATTTTGCAAATACAATTAATCCTGGCATTTTTGGGTGTGTCTTATTTGCATATTAAGTAACACAGTAATTGAATAACACAGAAATAAATGAGGATATATAACAGACAACCCAGAAGGTTATTACAGTTGTAAACAAATAACTCACTAAGACACACTGCCGCGCCATGATCACGTGCTTGGCAGTATAAGCGCATGGACCACACCTGGGCAACCTAAAGACAACCTCGACTACGCAACTCCACCCACTGTTGTCTCAGTCTCAAGGGAGTTTCAGGCCTGAGATTAACAGCTCGTCACTCCAGGAACCTTGGCACGAGTATTGTGAAAGCTGCTACTCATCGTGACACCGCCCTCAGCTCTGTTACCTCTGTCCCATAAAAAAACACGCAGGCATTGTTACTTCACTCGTCTCAAATATACTTACTGTTCCACACCTGGTCAAGCCACTCCACAGTATTACATGAGCCAGCCCTCAAGCCTTTGTATCCCTCCTCCCTTTCAAATTGGAGCTGCCATGTGGTTATCAATCAACAGAGAACAAAACAACTTATCTGTGGGCAGTTGAGGCATCTTCACATTTAATTCATTCTATTACATAAAGTACGATGTGTTATATTCTAGTGAGCCCTGTGAGTTGAACTTTAATAGATCCCTTGAGAAAAGAGAGAGAAGTTCAGATATTTATTTATTAAAACTGCTTTCTTAAATATCTCAAAACTTTGTTGTGTTTTCAAAATGTCTAAGTGCAGTTAAGAAAAACATGTACTGAAATACAGTGATCAAGTAAATTCACTCTGTTTACCACTACCCATAATGAGTTAAATGTATAAGTATTTGTAGCACCTGTACAGGAGTGTAAAAAATTGAAATATATTTTCATTTTTCTGAATTTCTTGTAACTTGATCAAATTTAGGATGTTTTTAATGCTGCCAAATGTCAAGCAAAACTTGACCTAGAAAGTGTGCAGGTGTAACAAGATATACAGTAATACTTAAATGTTTGTCTGCCGAAGATAAAGGAATGTATTTTGAGTTGATGAGTTTTGAAATATGATATTTTATTAATGAAACATAAGCTCTGGATGGATTTTACCAACAAGTGTTTTTCTTCCAAACCTGTGAAATTGTAGTCAGTGTGAAACCCCTTTTCAAGTCAAGTCTGAACTTGACTTTTCATTCAGAGATTCACAGATCTGAGCGCATATTTATCATTTGAGGTAGTCCTATGTACACACGTGCCTTTCTCTTTAGCACTTAATGGGAAACTAGCCCACACATACTGTACGAAAATATGAGGAAGTGCCTTTGTGAAAAGCTCCACCTCCCACTGTGAAATACAAATCCTCTTTTAAGGGATTTGTTTGCTTTTCTTGCTCACGAGTTATACAACACTTATTCATACATCCAGAACTTGTTTTGGGTGTGTTTTGACATGCACAGGTACTGATTTATCTCCCCAAAAATCTGTGTTGTGTAAGGGCCTGAGGCTTAAGCTGTGTGTTGTCGTGAAGTGCAGAGGACCTCTGTTGGGGCTGTGAGTGTGTGCTGAATGAATCTGGGTCAGGCTTGTGAGCCCGCAAGTTGAAATAAAGGCCTCTCACATGATGGTTTTTGTTATTTGGCCAAGGAATAAGAGTTCAGCCAAATACTTCAAACTATTACGTACTATCACAGAGCGGGTGCTCAGGGAGGAGTGTGAACAGAAGCATTCATACTTATGAAATGTGTTTGAACCCAAGGTTTAAATTCCTACAGCTGCAAAGTTGGTATTTCTAAAAAAGAAATCCCATTACAATTTTGCCTTATGGCTCTCCTGTACGTAAATATTTAAGTGCGTAATAAAAGTCTGTGACAGAACTTCACTGTGACAGAACTTGTTTCTGTATGATGTTAATATGAACCTGCAGCTGCATGAGCACAGGACTGGTGCCATGTTGGCAGATGGAGGCTGGGGGACACACAGAGGGGCAAGGTGACAAAGGATGGTACTTTGATGACTCCTATGAGGACACTAGACTTATGTGAGCAAAAAATATGAACACATAATAGGATGCTACGTCCACAGGAAATTTGGGTTAGCTAATGTGCAGGACATGGAAGTGAGGTGTGAATGATATCTTATGTAACATGTCATATTATTCCTATTCTATCTTTTTATGTTCAGCATATCCTTAACAGCCATGTAATCCCTCGGCACACACCACCTGACTCTTTGGAAACACTACAAGACTGAGTTTTTGTGAGAGGTCTGCTGAACTATTCCACCATCTGGAAGTCTTCTCTGTCTATCTGTATCTTGCATCGGTATGCTTTACCTCAATGTATCACAGGAGCATTTGGTGATGAATAATTTAATAATGAACTAAATAATAATTTACTAGATTATTTTTGGGGCAAATCACTATAACCAAAGCTGTAAAACGCTACCAGTGCAGTACCAAAGGGGAGAAAGTCCCTGTGTTTTTGTGAGCGTAATGCTCTCTATACTAGTGAACAAAGATGACCCCTGCTGCATACACTGTGCATCTACGGTGGCAAGATAACCTGAGTCATTTTGTGGATTTATTTATTTATTTTTGGGAATCAAATGCGTTACAAGGCCAACTACATTCAGGGGCAACTGACATTAAAATTAATTAAGATTTAAAAATAAATAGTGATATTCAAGTTTGGAAAACATTTTAGGCTACAGACATGTTTTAATTATAATTACGTATTTTTTTAGAAGTTGCAATTTAAAACGTCAGTTAAGGTCCTTTTTTTTGGCCTTTTAGGGATGTCTTCTGTAAAATAAAGTATGATATGATATGTTACTACGACACTATGCAATGCTATGTATCTCATCACACCACATGTAATACAATGAGAGTCTTGGTAAGTAACGAAGCCTGTTGAAAACATGGTCATACAGACAACCACATATTAAAAAAGAGATGCATGTACAAATAAAAATAACAGTTGCGTTTTCTGCTTATTTTCCTTTTTTTTTCACTTATAGGCCTAATGTGAAGTGGGATTAAAGAACTGGGTTTAAAAACAATCAAACATATTTAAATCAGTTAAAAATGTGAAAAATGTTGACATTGAATAAGTTAAACAAAAAAAGGACTACACTTGAAATACATGTAAATACTAGACTTATGGTGGCTGAGAACCGCCACTGCTGCAAATAAAAAAGAATGCAAAAAAAAAAAAAAAGTCACAACGGAAATTACCGATGCAAAAAAAAAAAAAGGAACCTAAGCCCACTGCAAATTAAAAAAAATAAATAGTGTAGATAAAAATAAAAAAAAAAATTTAAAAAGCCATAACGGAAGTAAACGACACACACAAAAAAAGTTGGGATGCAAAAAAGAAAAAGTTACTTACTGCACAAATAAAAGGATACAAAAAAAAAAAAGAAAAAAGAAAAAAAAGGCCACAACAGAAGTGAGCTGCCGGGGACCAATCATGATGATGCACCAGTGTTTTACAATCTAGGCACAGAAGACGACGACAAGAAGACGAGCAAAGAAGTTAGTGGAAAGGTTATTGTTTAATTTTGCTTTGTGTGCTTTTCAATGTGGTTAGGCCATGTAGCGCCTGAGTGGATACGAAGTTGAACTAAAGCTAACACTACACCGGCATCCTCCAGTTCAACTTCATATCGACTCAGGTGCAACATGGCCTAACCAAATGACACATTGAAAAGTTTACGAAGCCAAATTAAACGAAAACTTTTCCACTGACTTCTTTGCTCGTCTTCTCGCCGTCATCCTCTGTGCCTAAATTGTAAAAACCGTGTGCATCATCATTGTTGGTCCTCGGCAGCTCACTTCTATTGTGGCTTTTTTTATTTGCATCCTTTTATTTTTGCAGTAACTTTTTTTTTTCTTTTTTTCCATTTTTTTTTTTTTTTTGCGTCATTAATTCCCGTTGTGGCTTTTCTTTTTTTTCCGCATTGTGCCTTTTTTTATTTGCAGCGAGCTTCAGTTTCTTTTTTTTTCTTTTTTTTTTTTTTTTTTTTTTTTTTTTGCATCAGTAACTTCCATTGTGTTTTTATTTATTTAATAGTATTTGTATTTTATTTTCTTTAATTTTTATATATATATATATATATATATATATATATATATATATATATATGCAGCAGTGGCGGTTCTCGGCCACCGTACTAAACTACACTGGGGACTCAAATTAAGCATTATAAATTCTCTCCGTAAACATTAAAGTCAAGGTAATGCGGAACAACATTCCTGCAGCCCATACAGAGGACGGAATTATTTAGCTGTTACACCCAAAGCTCTAGCGTTTCCGGCCAGCTCAGCGCATCAGCCCTGTGGTGTTGTCAGTCCACAGTCTGTCAAACCCTGGTCCCAGTTACCTGTAGTTGTCGGTGGGCGGCGGAGAAACACCCGGACACTGCGGAGACATGGTGCTGCTGACGATGATCGCTCGGCTGGCTGACGGCCTGCCGCTGGCCGCTTCAATGCAGGAGGACGAACAGGTTACAGTCTGATCCTCTATTTTACCTCTCTGTGTCTCTCTCTCTCTGTCTGTCTGTCTGTCTGTCTGTCTGTCTGTCTGTCTGTCTCTCTGTCTGTCTGCTGGCGTGATAACCACAAGTTACACCACTGCTACTGACACGTTTGCTTAAAAACCCCAGTTGTTTCAGGCCTGTAGACTGAGGCAGATGTTGATTTCCTTCAGAGTTACTGAACAGACTCTCTGTGTTTTAAAGCCTGACCAGATTCAGGTGGTTTTCTAGTTCAGCTGAGCTTCACTGCACTGAACCTTTATATTTACATGGTGTCATATTATAGCTTAGAATTAACCCTATTACCAACTAATACAGGATAGATAACCACATCTCTGTGCCATGTATATTCTCCAATTTTAACTCGCATTTACCTATATTAGAGAGGACTACAAATCATGCTCTTTTCCAGGTTTAATTGCAGAATAACTGCTTAAAATAAAGTTTCAGCCCACCAATACACTTTAGATTGTCAAAAAAGTTTCCAAATTAATTTTATATGTGCTGATAAATAAAAATTGCTCTGTAAAAGGTATGGTGGGCGTAAATTATAAACAGTTTCCCCATTACTAAGTTTGTCCACCAGAGGACGCTGTCATATCTTTTAAGGAGTTAGTTCATTGGGAATGGTGGAATGTTTTGCTGTCATGTTAAAAAATAACCCTGAGCTCAAATAATGTTAATATTTCTAGTTAAAATTAGACTGTTTCTCTACTGGCCAAGTGATGTACTCCACTCCAGTGTTTCTTATTCTGTTGTACGACACACTGTTCTGACAACTGTCTGCGTCAGGTTTGGGCCTAAAAACTCCAGTAGGGGAGAGTGGGGTAAGATGAGCCATTTTTCATATTTTGGATCACTACATTATGGCGATCATAGTTTTGTCTCTAACTAGTGTATCTGCATATATTTCAAGATGTTGTGCATCCCTGCAAACCAACAGAATGAGTGTAAACATAACTGTCTTAATAATATAGCATGCAAAAAAGTGGTCTCCTATGGTCCAACGACCAAAGGAGTAGAGTAAGTTGAGCAGTATCCCTACTACCCCCCACTCTCCACCCCAGCCCTCCCTCACCGTCTCTCTTCTTAAATAACAGTCACTTCTTCACATTCATGAGTATTTTTATCTATTATACACTATTCAACTAGTACAATAATTCTTTTTATTATTATTGCATATAACTGCTAAAAGCTGTTTTGTAAAAAGTCATTTTAACATGAGAATGTTTTTGTTAAAGTGATTCAGAACATTCACAGCTGTATTTTTGAAAAGAAAAAGTAACACATTTCAACAATCTGAACTGAAACTCTGATCCTCTCATCAGACTCCTTTACTTTCTCAGTTTGGCTCAACTTACCCCAGAACTACTATGATGACTTTTTTAGTCCTCTAAGCTAAAATGAACACAATTCTAATGAAACTTATGACAGACTAAATTCACTTTCAAGAGTGAAAAATGTTTTTTTGTAAATAAATGTCTAACCTCTTCACCCATGTGTGCTTCTAACCTTCACAGACTACATGAATTGATGCCCATCGCCTAAATATTTGGTCACATGATCAATTTCTTTTACCATTTCCAAGAAACAGGGGGTGGCTCAACTTACCCTTTGGCTTAACTTACCCCACTCTCCCCTATATTGTTTTCTTTTAGTTAATCCTATTTTTTTGATATTTCAGCAAAGCAGCCAACTATCTGTGCATGTATTACTTTCCGTCACAAATGTAAGGTCGTCATGGCGAGCTGTTTTGATATGTTAATCACACACACTGATTACTAATAACCCACTAAGAATTCCTCAATGATGTCTACAATAAAACTTCTACTCTGCCACATTTTGGTTAAGAATACTCAAAATTCAAAATCTGACAATAGTCACTCTAGATTTTAAGTGCTTATCGTTGGCTTTTCCCTCCCATCACCAGCTTGAGTAAGACCGTCCAATCAGAATGAAAATGATTGCTATAGCCTTTGACACCAACATAACCTTAACATGTGAAAAATGTTGATGGCATTTCAACATGTGAAATTGTTCTGAGTCTAACATCTTTCCCTCACTCTCTCATTTGCTTACAAAAAGGGAAGTGAAAAGGTTTGTTGTGTCTGTGTCGTGCGCTACAACATCACATATGTGTTTGTGATGCTACATTGTTACTGTGAACCATCTGCGACATCTGATAGGAGATAAATCCCATCCATCAGCCTGAAGTTCTCACAAACAATCAAGTGTCTGTTGTTTTTAAACACATCCCCTTCAGTCTGATGTGTAGCTTCACACTGCTCAGTGTGTGTCTGTGTTTATGCCAACTGTTTGTTTTCAGCACGTTACTCTGCAGGATATTATCACCAACAAGAAAATAGAATAAATTCTGCACAGTAGGTGCTTCCTCTTTTTGTTTGTCCTGTCCAAATCATAAGCAAGTATCCTTACATCTTTTTTTTTTGTCATTTTGTCCATAATGGTGATAAAACTGTGGAATTCGTCTCTGAACTCCCTGCACAAGTAGCACACAAAAATCAGTTTCCTTCCCTGAGCTGAAGACAATACTTTCTGATGTTAATATATACTTTCTTTTTTGCCTTTTCCTTGTGGGTCTTCTCAGCTTGGACGGGATCTTCAACAATATCAGAGTCAAGCAAAGCAGCTCTTCAGGAAACTCAATGATCAGAGTCCAACACGCTGCACTTTAGAGGCTGGTTCCATGGCATTTCAGTGAGTATAAAACACATAACAGATTCAGTCAACACAATGCACTGAAATAAATGTAGAATACAGTATGTGCATTGTGCTTTTAACAGTTCTTAAGCAGTTTCCTGTAATAATTTGCCTTTTCGATGTTTTTCCTTCAGCTATTTTATAGAGAAAGGAGTGTGCTACCTTGTGTTGTGTGAAGCCAGTTTTCCCAAGAAGCTGGCCTTTGCTTATCTAGAGGACCTGCAGGCAGAATTTCATGAGCAGCATGGAAAGAAGGTCCCCACAGTCTCCCGGCCTTACTCCTTCATTGAATTTGGTAAGAAAACAAGATGGACAGGAACAGCAACCACACTGCTCCCCTTTAGTTGAAGCATGTTGCACCACTGGTCACACCTCTGACAGTAAAAATGCATCCTGTTAGGACATCCTTGGTTGTAGTTGTAGTCCTGTTGTGTTTTTTAAATATCAGTGTAACATTTTATATGAACCCACCTCTCATAAAGCCTTATAAATGCACCTGTAAGGATTTATAAAATTCATAACAGCTTATAGTAATCTCAACAAAGTGTTATGAGCAGTTAAAATAACGCCTATAAAGGTATCAAAGCTAAGCGCTAAGTTGTTGCAAACTGCAGCCCACTCAGCTGTTAAAAGAGAAAGTAACACTGCATACTTAAGTGTCGGTTTTTTGTTGTTGTGGGTAACAACTCATTGACTTATGACGCATGAAAAAGATAACATTTTTTAACTTTCGATTACTGCATTCCACACACTGGAAAAAGAAGCAAACTCAAAAGCCACCCTACACTGAGTCATTGTAACTTGTTTATTTTTAGAGCGGAAAAATTGTCAAGCATGCACATACAGGAAGTCTGTGAGGGCTATGGCTTAAAATGATGACTAAAATGGTTCAAGGGTTTAATGTTGCAGTGAAAATACAACAACATCATGTTATTAATTACTTATTTTACCTATACTGCTCCTAACCCAGACACCTACATCCAAAAAACGAAGAAGTCATACATCGACAGTCGAGCGCGGAGGAATCTGGGCAGCATCAACACAGAGCTCCAGGATGTACAGAGGATTATGGTGGCAAACATAGAGGAGGTGTTGCAGAGAGGAGAGGCTCTCTCTGGTAAGTCATCCACTCACTTCAGACTGTCCTTCTAAAAAGGGAAGAATGCTGCACCTCATACCCACTGATATTGTTTCTTTTCCTTTCATGACCTGCTACTTTTTGTCCTCTTGTTCCTCTACCTCCTCCTCCTCCTCCCTGCAGCACTCGACTCAAAGGCCAGCAACTTGTCCAGCCTGTCGAAGAAGTACCGGAGCGACGCCAAGTATCTCAATACCCGCTCCACCTATGCCAAGCTGGCAGCCGGCGGTGTCTTCTTCATCATGCTCATTGTCTACGTCCGCTTCTGGTGGCTCTGAGAGGGAGAAAGGAGAAGGAAAAAGGAAGGAGGAGGTGTTGAAGTGAAAAACGAGTCTGCAGACACTAAGAAAACCTGCCACTTTTGACTAAAAAAAAACAGGATCCCTGCTATGAATAAGACTTTGCAGACCGCCCATTTTGTCCTGACCTGTCCATGGATGAGTGATCTGAATAGAAATGATGTCATAATGCATAGTTTTATCATTAACAACTTCAAAAAGACATGATAATACTGACCCAGGGGAACGATTAAGGGGAAACGAGTGACTGTGCTGGAGTGTGCCTGTGTGTGTGTGTGTGCCTGTACGTGTGTGTGTGTGTGTGTGTGTGTGTTTGAGTGTAATGGTTTTTGAGGCTGATTGCTGATGATTGGTTTTGAAACGTGGAAAAAAATGAAGAGAGAAAAAAAAAAGTCCTGTTTTTTGAGATTTCAAAATTGTACTGTACTGTATAGCAGACTGATCTGATCGTGTATAATTGTCTTATAATACCAGAATGGTTCACAAATATATATTTATCCTCATATGGCTATGAAGCATTCTACCAGTACGGTATCTACCACAGGTAAAAATAATCCAACATCAATCTGTAGGCAGGTGAATAGGTTCAGATATCATATACAACCACATAAGAGATGTTAGGCAGACTTTCTTCCATTTTTTATTTTTATTTTTTTGCATAATACAATTTCCTAATTGTTGGACTTCAAAGGAAGAGGGTCATTTTTTTGGTGGAACCAGGGTGGGGAGGTCTGATTTCTTTGGAAAAGTTTGGAGGGGCAGTCTTGGTTTTACTCACTCATCGTTTATATAAATGCCCCATTCTGAGTGATTTTTTTTTAAGGGGAAGGGGGGTTAAGTTCTCATAAAACACAAGTTTAGTTTGCACAGAGAACAACACTTTGAGAAACAGAGTGTCTGTCATACACGGCAAGTTTTATGTTAGAATAACAATAAAAAAAATTATAATCTTGGTCGAAATTGTTTTTGTGAGCCTTTTTCCAGTTACTGATGATAAAGAAGAGGGCCCAGCTTTCCTGAAGAGTGGTATATAAGATATAACCCCCCTGCCCACCTTGATAATCCTCACCCTGTTACTATAGAAATGGCTTCAACCAGGTGTAACTACCCCCCTACAGTATGTCGTCCTCTTTCAACATGACCGTGTGAATCTGCACGTTTCTGTAAACCGGCATTATAAAGACAAAAAGATGTATAAAGTTTACATGTGTCGTTTCAGTTTATGGTTTGGTTCAGGCTGAGAGTTGCAGGTGTGTGAAGGGCAGCCAGTGCCTACTCATAGCCCAAGAGAACGCCTTTTCTATTTCTGTTCTGTCTGCTATCTATAAATAAAAACATTTGCACAAAACACATGTCCTTTTCTTTTAGAGGACCTTTTGTTCAAGTGATGAGGATCAGGAGCTCATAAGCTGCTATTTATGATACAAGTCAATGTCTCACTGTTTCCAGCAAAAGGCCATCATCAAAATCTTGGTTCACTGTTTGCTGTTTCAGTGGAAGTTTGATTACCGTGTGGATATTTGAGATGACGGTCCTCAGTTTGATGCACTTAGTTTTTGGGATGTGAGATTCAACCTTCAATCAGTGGTTCTTCTTCCTGCTGTGTGAATAACATTCAAAATCTAAATATTTCAGGGTAAAAGGATCTGGAAAAATCTAAATAAAAGCAGGTAAATCAATTACTTCCAGGAGTTTATTGATTGAAAATCCTGCATTACAATTTTGGATCAATTTCAAATGTAATGACTTTGCACTTCTTTATGTAGCCGTCTCCTTCATCAAAAATAAACTAAACAAAACTTTTTAAAGATGTTTTGATAAATTGAGGTCTGTCTAATGAACTAAACTCACAAGTCTGGGATCATTTTATCAGCTGTTTTTGAGAAAATAGGGATTCACCTACAGTATATTTAGGTTACAAGCTGATGTACATCAACATTTCCCAAATGACTTAGCTGATATCAGAATGTCTTGTCTAATCCATTGACCTGAGTCAAGATGGCGCCCAAGATGGCTGCCTCCTGCGTTTGTGCAGAGAAGTGGCCTTAGAATCCAATAGATATCTTTTTTCCTAGCTGCCATCTATGGGATTTTTCAGTTTGGAAAAGTTTGGAGCTGTGTTTGGAACAGTTTGGAGCTATTATTTCTGTGTTTGACCGGTTCCCAAATGGCAGAAACACCAACTGTCTTAAAGTACACCATGGGATTCATGAAGAAACTCAGACAAGCTACTACCCCACTAACTCCTCGGCTGAGAAAGACCTTAACAAAAGAGGGAGTGCTACGTGTACCAAACAGAAAAAGAGGCTGTAGAGGAGGTAAGACTATTGTGCACAACATTCGGACTGTTGTTGGCAGGAGACCTGACCAGAACAAGCCTCAAATGTTTGGATATGGGAACCCTAGAGTTAAATTACAATCAAACTTAATCAAAGTCATCATCCAGAATAATAGGCCAACAAACCATGCCATGTTACCAACTTTTCTGATGACGAACCCCAGATCTCTTGTCTATAAGATTGGTGAGCTGCAGTCTGTTCTGATACAAAACCATGTGGATGTGGCTGCAATTTCAGAAACCTGGTTTAGTTCCCATAAACCTGAAGAATTATTGGGTATTGATGGCTACACCTTGTTTTCTAAATGCCGCAGCACTCGCCGTGGTGGTGGTATTGCATTGTACATCAGAGACTGTGTTCCATGTTACCCCCTAACCTGCATTAAAGTTCCACAACATCTAGAATGTCTTTGGGTGAAGGTGAGACCCCCCAGACTCCCCCGGAACATATCTGCTATTGCTGTGTGTGTGGTGTATTCACCACCTAAATCGCCACATGAAGATGAACTCATTGATCATCTAATAGCCTCAGCGGATTTGCTCTGTACTAAATACCCAGACATTGGACTTGTAATTCTTGGAGATCTTAACCACCTTGACATCCGTGACATTTGCCTGGATAATAAACTTTGCCAAGTGGTTGAGAATAATACCAGAGGTGAAGCCATCCTCGACAAAATTATCACAAACATGAAACCAATGTACACTCACCGGCCACTTTATTAGGTACACCATGCTAGTAACGGGTTGGACCCCCTTTTGCCTTCAGAACTGCCTCAATTCTTCGTGGCATAGATTCAACAAGGTGCTGGAAGCATTCCTCAGAGAGCTTGGTCCATATTGACATGATGGCATCACACAGTTGCCGCAGATTTGTCGGCTGCACATCCATGATGCGAATCTCCCGTTCCACCACATCCCAAAGATGCTCTATTGGATTGAGATCTGGTGACTGTGGAGGCCATTTGAGTACAGTGAACTCATTATCATGTTCAAGAAACCAGTCTGAGATGATTCCAGCTTTATGACATGGCGCATTATCCTGCTGAAAGTAGCCATCAGAAGTTGGGTACATTGTGGTCATAAAGGGATGGACATGGTCAGCAACAATACTCAGGTAGGCTGTGGCGTTGCAACGATGCTCAATTGGTACCAAGGGGCCCAAAGAGTGCCAAGAAAATATTCCCCACACCATGACACCACCACCACCAGCCTGAACCGTTGATACAAGGCAGGATGGATCCATGCTTTCATGTTGTTGACGCCAAATTCTGACCCTACCATCCGAATGTCGCAGCAGAAATCGAGACTCATCAGACCAGGCAATGTTTTTCCAATCTTCTATTGTCCAATTTCGATGAGCTTGTGCAAATTGTAGCCTCAGTTTCCTGTTCTTAGCTGAAAGGAGTGGCACCCGGCGTGGTCTTCTGCTGCTGTAGCCCATCTGCCTCAAAGTTCGACGTACTGTGCGTTCAGAGATGCTCTTCTGCCTACCTTGGTTGTAACGGGTGGTTATTTGAGTCACTGTTGCCTTTCTATCAGCTCGAACCAGTCTGGCCATTCTCCTCTGACCCCTGGCATCAACAAGGCATTTCCGCCCACAGAACTGCCGCTCACTGGATATTTTTTCTTTTTCGGACCATTCTCTGTAAACCCTAGAGATGGTTGTGCGTGAAAATCCCAGTAGATCAGCAGTTTCTGAAATACTCAGACCAGCCCTTCTGGCACCAACAACCATGCCACGTTCAAAGTCACTCAAATCACCTTTCTTCCCCATACTGATGCTCGGTTTGTACTGCAGGAGATTGTCTTGACCATGTCTACATGCCTAAATGCACTAAGTTGCCGCCATGTGATTGGCTGATTAGAAATTAAGTGTTAACGAGCAGTTGGACAGGTGTACCTAATAAAGTGGCCGGTGAGTGTATTTGAAGCCTGAGATTCTCCCTGCCCTTGCCTCAAGTGACCACAACTGTGTTCTCTGGAGCCCCAAAGCACAATCATGCCCACCTCAGTGCATTAAACGGGTAGTTCAACCTATAAGGGAGCCTGGTTTGAGTGAGTTTGGTAGGTGGATTACCACCCATCCATGGCAGGAGGTGACTGAAGCAACCAGCACCAATGAAAAGGCTAATGCTTTTTACAATACTATCGTGGCTGAAATAAATAGAAATTTTCCTGTGAAGACAGTGAAAATCTATCCATCAGACAAACCGTGGATCACCCCCAAAATCAAACACCTCATTTACCAAAGACAAAAGGCTTTTAAATCTGGAAAATCATGTGCTTTGGCTAAGTTCTACAAAAATAAGGTCCAAAAGGAAATATTTGCAGCGAAAAAGAACTTCTACAAGTCTAAGGTGGAAGGAATGGAAAAAGCAAATTCCAGAGCTTGGCACAACAATATCAGATCAATGTGCAGTAAAACTCCGAAAAAGGAGGCCCGGATCGATGTCCCAGGAATTAACCCCCTGGACTTCGTGAGAATTGCCAATGCAGTAAATGCAAAGTTTATCAAGGTGTCCCAGTCACTGGAGCCTCTGGACCTCTCAGCTTTACCCTCCTTCCTACCATCCCCCCCACTACCCACTATACCAGTGTGGGAAGTGTATAATAGATTGTCTTCCATTGACTGTCATAAGTCCCCTGGCCCAGACATGATCCCCCCCAAAATATTGAAGGAGTTTGCATGTGAGATCAGTATTCCTCTTTGTGACATCATCAACTGTTCATTTGATGAAGGAGTTGTACCTAGACAATGGAAAGAGGCTACTGTTGTCCCTATACCAAAGTCATCCCCATGCAACAAAGATGAATTGAGACCGATCTCATTAACAGCGCAACTCTCTAAAATATGTGAACACTTTGCTGGGAACTGGATTCTGAATGACATCATGCCAAACTTAGACCCCATGCAGTTTGGCAGCCGACAGAACCGTTCCACAACACACAATCTGGTCAGTCTTATGGATTTTATGTACAGGACCAGTGATGTTTCAGACTCAGTATGTACAGTAATTACAACAGACTTTGCCAAGGCCTTTGATGCTGTCGACCACACTGTGGCAGTACAGTGTCTCCTGGATCTAGGAGTGAGACCAAGTTTGATTCCATGGATCTGCAGCTTCATGACGGATCGGCAGCAAAAAGTGCGCTACCAGGGACATCTGTCCGATTGGGAATATCCCACATGTGGAGTCGCTCAGGGGACTGTATTGGGACCTATAGTCTTCCTAGCACTGATTAACAGCGCCCTCCAGGATGGACCACATCACTGGAAATATGTGGATGATATGACTATAGCCCAGTCGTGGAGCCCCAAGGTCCCCTGTACTCTCCAACAGACCCTGAATGGCCTTGACACCTGGGTAAATGAGCACAAAATGAAGCTCAATCCAAGTAAATGCAAAGTTGTACATGTCACTGGCATGAGACAAAAAACTGCCCTACCAACACTGTCCGTAAACCAAAACATACTGGAAGTTTGTGACACAGTCAAAGTTCTGGGGGTCACCATTCAAGCTGACTTGAAATGGAACAGTCAGGTGGACTATATGTTGACCTCAGCCAACAGAAAGCTGTTTGTCCTTTGCCGTCTGAAGAAATTCGGAGTCAAAGACCCAGAATTGAACCCAGAGTTCAAAAACGGGCGAGCAGAATCATTCTGGGCCAGCGGTATATAGGATACACAGAAGCTCTCCACACCCTCAAATTGTGCTCCCTAGCAGAGAGGCGCACTCAACTATGTCTTGATTTTGCCAGAAAGCTGTTCAAGTCCAATTTCAGAAACTGGCTACCCCCACTCAGGAAAGAGATCTCTGGACGACAAACACGGAATGGAGATGACCTGGACACCCCAACATGCCGAACTGAGAGATATAAGAAATCACCAATCCCATATATGTGCAGACTATTAAATGAGAATGGTGTTTAGCTTTTTAAGTTTTTAGGTTGTTGCTTCTTAAGCTGCATTTTATATTTGAAGTTTTATTTTTTGTAATCAGCAAAATAATTCAGTGTTTTTAATGGCATCTGTCTTTTTTAAACATCTGTGATCATGCTGAAAGCTGAATAAACATAAACAATCAGTTTAATGATGGAAAAACAACGAAGCCAAATTCAATAAGAAGGACACAAAAGCTGAGCCACAGCCTTGTGTATATGTTTGTTGTCATAATTTAAATTGTAGATCTTTTTTAATTTGACCTTTTTTTCTAACATTTTGAATGTTTATTTCATTTCAGCCAGACAGCATTTTTGTTTTAAAGACTTTGTTTGTTTTTCAAATAATATACTGAAAAAATGCCTCTTACTGAGTTTGTGATTTTACTGCAATTAAAGAAGCTTTTGAGGCAGATTTTTGAGAGCTTTCTCCATCAGAGCTGAACGACCTGCCAGAGCAGATTAGGCATGCAGAGACAGTCGCTTCTTTTAAGTCAAATTTAAAAACTCACTTTTACAGACTTGCTTTTACGTGATGTCGTCTTTTCTCTTTTTTCCCTTTTTCTTTTATCTTTTATCTCTTTTACCTCTATCTTATTTCGTATTATTGTTTTTTTAGCCTTTGTTTTACTTATGATCTTTTCTTATTTTACCTTTTAGGCCTTTTACTGATTTTATTGTTTTTTCCTGCTCATTTTTGTTATTCCATTTTATCATTAATATTACCATCATTACTATTTTATCATGATTTTATTATCATTATAAATATCCTCTTTTTTTATTTACTATCCTGTTTCCAGCTTTCTACACCTTATTTATTTTATGTTTTTATTTTGGTCCTCGTGGTCTTATTTTATGTAGTAGTGTTCGTGTATTGTCTGGGTTTCTTATAACAAATCAAATTGGCCTTCAATTCGGAGGCCCTGTTTTTATCTGAGTTTTTGTTTTTTTATTTGTTTTTATTTCTCATGTTCTGATGCTTTACAACTGTTTGTCAAAGCACTTTGTAAACTTCTGTTTTTAAAAGTGCTATAAAAATAAAGTTGTTATTTTAAAATCCAATCCAGTCCAATTAAGATTGAAAAAAAATCTTACTTTTCAAGTGAATGAAGGTTAATGGCTTTGTCAGCTGAATTGTACCTCTCTTAAGGGTCTTGCTGTGAAGATCTTAAAGGCCTTATCCCCACTGAGGGTGAGAAATGTCTATAAAACAAAATAAAACCTGAAACCATGATTAATTAAAAAGATAACACTAGATAAGATAATATCTTGAGATTCATCGTTGCTTTTCTACTCAGTGTTGTCTTGACCCTGATTTTCTCTGATGGATGTATTCCTTGCAGAGGTCATTACTTATTTCTAAAGCTTTGCTTCTTCATGGTGTTCTTTGCAGGTATCACTCTTGACCAGCAGGTGGAGTGCTTCACTTATTGTTGGACAGGGACAGTTGAAAAACTAAGGCATCAAATCCCCTCTGATTTGCAACTTCTGCTGCAAAGCGTGTCCTCTTTTTAGCTGAACTCCAAATCATAGGTTTGTTCTAAAAGGACGTGAAAATATGGGTTGCAGCCTGCAGGGCAGCAGAGACTTAGAGGACAAAAAAAAAAACAGGCTCCCTCTGAGGCACTTTGAATGCGATAACTGCAAGCTTTGTAAATGAACAGAGCAGCAGTGTGATTCTTCAAGTTGAGGTAAAACAGGAAACGTCAGCGAAAAAATGAGAAGCAGTAGAGGGTAGCGTGCCAAAAGAAAACCACAGGGCACAGGCTAACCTTTTCACCTCTCAGAGGAAGCTGGTATTTGTTGAGTTTGGCCTCAGTTGTGATGAAAGTTATCTCTTGCTCTACTTATGTTGGCATCATTATCTGGCTGATGCTTCTTGTAAATAACCCTCTCTATTATGATGTTTCTGTATGTATCTGCTCTGTCTCCCACGTTAAGTCATACCCAGAACCAGAGATGAAAGATTTGTTGCACACAGTTTACTATTTTTTTTTAACTATTGTAGCTTGATCACCTACTTTTGTCTCCTAAAAGTAACTTTCTCCTGAACTCTGTTGTAAAAAAAAGTTACCAAAAGGCTATTATAATATCTTTATAAAATAAGGGTTTGTATTTCTTGAAACCAGAACCAAAAAAGAGAAACTTGGGTAACACCGCCAAAGGACCAAATCCCTGTGTGTGGTAATGTGTGTGTAAATGTCACTGTGATTAAAGACAGGACAACATGCCCCAATCTCACTTCAGCCCCCCTCCCTCTATGTCTCTCTCCTCGGCAGGTTACCATAGCAGCGGCGAGTGTGTGACAGTCATGTGAAAACGAAGCTGATTGGATTAAAATACTTTGTGTGATCAGGGGTCAGGAATATGGCGCATGTACTAAACACACATAGCCTGATTTAAACACACACACACACACACATTCAGCCACAGACCAAGAATGGATAGAAAGGTTGCAGTGCTTCTACCATATTTATCAGTTTTCACGAACAAAAACGGCTGTGTGCTGTTGCCAACTCATGTTACCCTATCTTGATTAAATTTCCTGTCAAAGACACAGAGACAACCACAGGACCGTCCACCCACTCTAGACTCCTCCTGAGTGTTGTGCAATCTTAAAGACACAGTGCGTTTAAAAAGTGTGACCCTGACCTTCACCTTTAGTGCTGCATGCAAATTCGGTCTCAGAGAGAGTTTCAGACCTACTGGGACACTAACATCCTCCCCTCTTATAAAATCTGTCCTTTTATAGTGTCATTATCAGAGCTGTTAATGTGAAAAACTTGAAATGCTTGACTGATAAAAGGTTTTCAATGGCTGATTTTAATGCTGATAATAAGAGCCCATGATAAAGGAGCTGATGGCCAGATCACTTTTTTCTGTCCTGTCCTTTTTCACATGCCTCTAAATAAAAAATTCCAAAAACGCCAAACAAATAAGAAACCAAACTCCTGTATTTGAGTGAATATTTGATTAAATAAATGCAAACAGAAGAATGAGCCTATCCCAGCTGTCCCTGGGTTGGGCAGAGTACCCTGGCTGGACATGTCACTAATCTTCTCCCACAGGACTGACATTATTGAGAAATTTAGAGTGACCAGTTAACTTGAGGAGCATGTTTTTGAACTGTGGGAGGAAGCCAGAGTACCTGGACAAAATCGATGCATGGGGAGAGCATACAAGGCCCACACAGAACGGTCCCTGTCCAGCCAGGGATTGGAATCTGGAACCTTCTTAAACAGCACTGACCACTACATCAGCATGCAGCCCTTGTACTTCAAAATGGCTTTAATCAGCTGTTGTTACCTGCCACATTCATGTGTTGTGTCGAAGCTATAGCAGAGCCAGATCCACCTCCAGCTAGGCTCCAGATCCAGCTCCAGACAATGTCAGCTGTCCCAGTACCACAACGTTCAACCACCTGGATTAAAACAAACACAAAAGAAAGCAAGGCGGACTAAAGACCGGTGGTTCTAGCTCTGCTACTGTTGGCCTCGCTCACTGAATCAGTCGACAGTTTACCCGCAGACTCTGTGATCCTGTGTTGAGTAAATTGTGTTCAGTTCTGTTTTCTGTTAGCTGTGATAGTTTTGGACTCTTTCCACAAGTTGGAAGTTATCTTGTGTCTAAGGAACCATAGTGGTCTCTCTGATGCTTTCATAGTTATTGTATTAAAGTCCAAGACTCAGATTCAAGACTGCCCCTCTACCTGATTTTTAGGACATGCGACTTAACTTGGACTTGTGGACTTACTGTATGACTCAGACTTACACTTGAGTATGATTGCATTCAGACTTAAAATGAAATAAAAAAGAAAACGTTTTCTTTATTTTTGTTTCATGAAAAATAAGGACAATGCTGAGGTGCAAAAAGCTGCAGTTCCTTGAGTGTCCACTGGGCTCCTAATGCTAATGGACACCAATGGCAACAGGTCGATTTTCACAGCAGAAATAAGCATGGAAAAGTCAAAAACAAATGAATAGTTTAGGTTTCAGTAGACTATTTCTTTTTGTACAAACTGTGGGAGGGAGTATTTTTTATCTCGTATAATACAACCTAATGCAGCATTTGGTGAAGTAATGAGTTTCGCATCAATAATAAGGTTCACGGCTGACTTGACTGGAAGTCACATGATAGTTGTGTTCCAGGAGGCTGAAGGCCCGTCTCACTTTCATCTCTTTTCGTGTATCAAAGTTGATCAAAAGTTTGGTTGAGTCATTATTTCTACAGAACTTCATCCAAAACCCCCCAAAACCACAAACCAGTGGGGGATGTCCCTAATTTAATATCCATGTTTTGTTGCCTGATATAGACTCTATACAAAGCCCCCTGTGCTAGTAAAAGAAATGTGTAAGAAATCTGTGTTCAGGTGTGTATGGACTGGAGGTCTGGATATTCAGATTGTCAAACTGTGTGGACAAAGTTGTCATCCATGGAGACAGATTTGTACATATAAATCAAGAATCCATTCCATGGTCTTAAATATAGTTTCATTCTTCAGATAACAAGGAATGGATTATTTGAAAGACAACCACACCTACCAAGTAAACCACATTTATCTGTTATTAAAAGTAGATATGAAGCTGATGTTATGATGCTGCACTCTGATAACTTCCTCTTCTTGAGTATGAGCAGACCTCAATCTCAGACAGGATGTGACTAAAAGAAAGAAACTCAAACACTCAGACAACTGAAGTTACTCTTTGAAATCACTGAGTTTAAAACGAACAGTTCAGATCGGTAAGTGTTTACAGTTCCTGTATTTATATCTTCAAGTTAGAAATGACTTACTACTTTTATGGATGTGTTATGATTCATAACAAAATAAGTCACACAGTATTCACATCTTAAACCTCAATAGCCCTCTGCTGGTTTTAAAATGAATATAGATTTTACTTCAAGTGGTAGAGCCTGAAAAAACACTTGTGACCCAGCCTTTACAGCTGTGTCTTGAACAGCAGTAGGGGCTTACAAATCATCATTTCAAGGCAGGGTATTCATTGTAAGGTGACCTTTTTCATTCATTTTTAGGGAAAAAAAGAAACTTTCTGAAGACCAAATCTTGTCTTCATACAGAAATAAACCTTAAAGCTCCAGTGAGGAATGTTTGAATGGTTATAAAACAGACTGAAATGAACACTGATGTTTCTCCATGATGTAACAAAGTAAATGAGACCGTCGATGTCAAGACCGACAGTTTCTGTGTTATGATATCAAGGGGTTGTGACGGTTGTGAGGGGGGTAGGTATACCGGAGAAGCAGTCCTTGTTAATTTCAAATAATCAGGGTGAGTGATAGGTTTCACCGAAACAAAGAGGAAATATTTTTGTAGCTTTACACCACTTCCACATGGACAAGACAAAACAAACTATTATGAAAGTGTAAGGATTTTGTCTGTAGAGGTTGCCAAAGTCAACACAGAGTTCCTTATAGGAGCTTTAATTGAGAAAAATAAGAAAATGAACTCATTGAATAAAACAAGGTGTTAAGGTGAATGAGAGCTGGAGCTTACAGACATTTTGTGATGGCAGCAAGACAGAAGACTCAATTTGGAGGACTTTTATTTTGTTAAATTGCTGTGCCATTTCTTCCATGGATATAAGTAAGCTTAAAGAACTACATCATCTCATTATCTTTAAGGAGAATGCAATAAATCAAGTAAAAGTAGGCTACTATTGAGCTTAGCAAAAACTATAGCTTTTCATACTTGGACAACAGAAAACAATTCTCCTTCCTTTAATATGAGCTCTGCCTGGAAAAGATTGAGTCCATCTGTGCTGATTGTCTCGGTCAGCAACACAGCTGTGTGGGCAGCTTCACTTTAAGCTCAGTGGGTGTGGCAGGCAAGAATGATTCCAACACAAAGTAATATGTTTCTGATATTCAATCAATAAAATAATGATTTTAAAATCTTAAGCTTGCATAAATAAAGAGCTGAAGTTCTGACCACAGACAGAGCGCTGATCTACTGATTGGCTGAATCAGATAAATTCATTTAACAGTTCATTTAATCGGCTGTTACATCAGGTTGTCATGGCTGATTGGTCCACACACCAAAACAAGATGCCAGTCGTCATCCAGCTAACAACAGAAATAACTATTTCATAAAAATATAGTCTCTAATCATCACAGGTGACCTTGAAGGATTGGATAGGGACTGTCTCTGATCTTCTTTGTGGGGTAGAAATTCCTGGGTGTTACAGAAACACACAGACTTTATTCCACAGAAGTTGCAGGTCTCACAAAGCCATTGGATTTTACCTTTAGTCCCTACATCAAGCTGTTTTTAGAGCTGATACTGTGAGCACAAAATATCAATCATACGTGACACTTTTGAGGGGAATCATGAGCCCCCTTTTGAAGAATGACACTAGAGATTAAGAAAAACGTCATAACAAACAAGAGAGCTAAAGTGGGTTGGATTAGCTAGTTCAGATGACTTCCTCCATCTTTGGAAAGTAAGTCAGGGTAATTGATAGCTGAGATAATGCACTAAGTGCAACTATAAAGATCAGAAGACCCTTTTGTGAATCGCCCTTTTTACAAAAACATGACAAGACATAACTTTACAGCAAATCATCTTATTCTGCAGCTAAGATGTATCAGTGTCGACTGAAAGAGTTATGTGGTACTCAAAATGGTTTAATAATTTAGGTGATGAGGGCAAATAATAACAAAACAACTTGGAAAATAAAGAAATTTTAAACAGTAGGAATTTAAAAAAGGTCATAATTATAGTTACAGTAGTTTGTTGGTGTTTGGACAGCTATAATTTATGATAGATATACTGAAGCTTTTTCTCCCACAGCAGATTTTAAAAAGCAGGCCTGTTCATTTTTTGTCAGCTTTTGAAGTGAAGACAAACAAAGTAGGATTATCAGGCCACTGGTTTCCCATCCCAAATGTCTTATCGTGGTGGGAAGAAACTCTGAGATGTGAATGCACGTCCCTCTGGTCACCTGTAATTGCCAAGATAAAAATCTCTCAGTCCCACATCAAATGAGCTTCCCACCTCATCCCAGCTGCTTTCCTGTCTCTTCCTCTTCATCTTCTTCCCGTTTAAACCAATCAGGGAAGAGAATCAGGGAAGGGAAGCTGCGAAAAAGACAGCAGCTGTACGGCAGAGTGGAGGGTCATAAAACGCAGAAGGCCAAAAGAGGAAGTCAAGGGACCTGGTGAGTTATTGCCCCCCAAACGTACACACCGGGTCCTGGGAACGCAGAGCTTCTCACGGGGGGTAAATGTGTGTAGTGTTTTCCACTGGTTAAGGCGTACCCTCCGCTCTGTGTACTCTTTATCACCTCGCCGCAGTCATATGATGAACCCTCACACCTTTAAGTCATAATACTCAAATGTCATAATATGGCATGTGCATATTTGAAAAGGGGTTGACCTTTAACTCCATAGTAAAACTAATGCAATAGACTCGTTTTTTTCCCATCAACACATATATGCACACTTCATACTGAGTGTTTTTAGGTTTAAAATATGATGTAAATGTCTCTGATTGATACTACATTCAATTCTAGATATTATGTAAATATTTAACTTAAAAAATGACTCTCATTTCCCCGCTATCACCCTTTCTCCAGACACATGACACCATCTGTGTATTAATAGTGTCATATCTGACACACAAGGACGCACACACAATGCAGAGAAGTGCCTGTGAGAAAGTGAGGCTCAAGTGTGAATTCCAGCCATGCCTATCTTTTAGCAGCTTGTAAATTTATGATACAATTAACCCTGGAAGATATGCCAAGCGCCCTCGCTTTCTGCTCTGTGTGACTTTCAGCTAAACACAAAAATATGCAAAGAGAAACAAACTCCGCTCAAATGTTTTCTAAAGTGAGCGTGGAGAAAATGCAAAATGCGGCTCAAACAGGCTGAACCGGGTTTTTTTCTTTTCTCACCATGTCAGACCACTGAAACACATCAAGGTGGGGGAAAACCTTTGAGAGAGTAGAAATGAACAAATTTATTGAATTTCATTTCGTCTTTATTAAAGCATTTCACAGGAGAGAGAGTGCTGCTGAAGCGTTTAGTTCTGCTGTAATTCAGTGATAGACCTGCAGAGATGATGAACATAATGACAAACAGCTCGACCTTCAGACTGATATTGCTTTTACAGAACAGCTCTACACAGACTGAAAAGTAATGGACAGTACTCAGTGGCTATGTTTTTGCCTATATAAACATTTGTCTGTCTCTGACAACTCAACCAGTTCAGCAGTTTGACTGGAACTGGACAGCTGCCAAGTAACCCAAAGACTTTCACGTACTTTTCTTCTCTTTGTATCAGCATGTTATGACATACACTAGTCTGTATATTTCCATTTATCACACAACCGGTAAAATAAAAGTCAGTTGATGAGTGCGTAACTCAATTCCAACCAACTTAAGAGCACCTTTCATACAGAAAAACCTGTCGCTCAAAGTCATTCACAAAAACAAACAAACAAACAAACAAAACAAAACAAGCAAAAAAGAAACACACACCAAATAACTGAAGCTGATATACTCAATTATAAAAGAAAGGAGGTGGTCATAAAAACAAAAATATGGGGTGCCAATTTGGCTTTGCGGTCTGCGTCCCATGTCCTCAAAAGAGGGGGTGTGGGTTTGACCCCAAGCTGAGGCCCCTAGCTGAATGTCATTCCCCTCTCTTACATCCCAGTTTCCTACTTTATACACTGCAGTATCCTTGTAATGAGGGTGTAAATAAGCCTAAAGAGTAAACTTACAAAACACTAATTTATTTTAATCGATTAAATGAATTAAAATCATTAAAAAGAAGATTAAGACAAATTTTAAAAAGTGATTAAATCATGATTAAAACATTGATCATGCCTATAAAAGAATGCCAGATTACAGCGGCAGTAAGGAACTTTTGGTTTGTTCTGGTTATGTCACCTCCTGTTGGCAAAGACTTAGAACTTTTTACCACTTTGCTGATCGTGTCTGAACATGCCAAAGTATTATTGTCAAAAAATGCACTCTACTTTTTTTCAACAGTCAAGTATACCTTTTGCTGTAAATATTTGCTGTTGCATGTTATTTGTCAGCTTATGATGCCCTCTCACAGTGTTCATAGGCCTGAAGTAGTCTGTCTTGTTGCTGATAGTCATGTTTGCTTTGTAGGTCATAAAAAGGCATTGATATTCAATTCACTTTATTTTAAAACTAGCTGAAGAATATTTGGTTTCCTTTAACAGAAACTTGCTTTAACAACATGTGTGATCTATTGTCTATGTATGGGCTGTTGGACCCTTGTAATGTGGCGATCAATATGGGAAGTAAAAAGGGTGGAGGATGGTTTGCCATGACACATAAATACGTGGGCAATCTAGCAATGAGTTTATAAATGAAAAACAGGTGCAGTCAGTGATCCATTCACTGGTTCAAAATACTCATTTCTTGTATCGCAAGTTGCTGACCCATTTGTAAACCATTGCAAAAAAATGTGACAGAAACTCTCGTTGAAAGTTTTTTATCACTCACTGTGAGAAACAACAGACCTGAAAAGTTCACTATTCCCCCAAAAAGCTATCAGATGATGGCCAGTGGGATCTAAGATTGCCACAACTTTAAATGATCTGAAAGCCCCTGTGTTGAGTAAAAAGTCCTGAAACCCCAAATTAACCAATCATGTACTTTCATGCAGCTATAACCCAAGAAGTGCTTTTTAATAGTGTTCATGTTGTGTGTTTATATTTCTTGTAGTTACTAATGATCACAGATATACTCCTCTTTGTTCATCCATCAGTGTACATGAGGGCACCTAGGATGACTTCAGGTGGGAGTAAGCAGAGGGTCACTAGGGGTGTTTATGTATCCAGAACTCCCTTGACCAAATCAGCCTCATCAGCTCCCACTGTCTGAACATACATCCACTCTTAAAACAGCTGAAAATAACTGCAGTCATGTGGTCCAAGATATTTTTCTCCAATGCAAAGTCATTTAAAAAGTCATTAGTCCGTCCACCAAGTTCTCACAGATCTGCGTTTATGCTCCATACATGAATCATATGGTGAAATTATGGTCACAGTGTGGTGTGGCGCCTGTAATTTGGTCAGTAATGTTTCCATATTAAATCGCATCTACCGAAATATTTGTCACTTCATTGCTCTTCTGTGAAAATATGTTGTTTTAAAAATAGGAGAGTTTCAGCTTGTTTACATGTTTTTGGATTCATAAATTACATATTTATTCCCTCTGGAGCTTTACTTTCGCCCTTCCTTAAAGACGGTAAACCTATACTTACCCCTGCGGCACATTTGAAAGGAATGAGAACTGTTTGCACTTTGCAAATCATAATTGTGCATGCATGAGTGCATCCCTCTGTGTGTGTATGTGTGTGCATGTTTATTTTCTGACTTTAAAATCCTGTCAAGGTAAAATCTGTGTCCTTGTGAATGACCCCAGTATGACTTGGGGGCACAACAAACTCCCAGGTTTCCTTGTGTTTCTAGGTTAGGGATTAGATTTTCTGTGATCTAATCCTAACTGTACATTATGAGCGATAATTCTAGTGTTCAAGGCTTAAGTTGGAGTTAGGCTTAATCCTCTATTTGTCTCAAAGTTGAATGTGACCGAGGGAGCTGGAAAGATGTTAATGTGTGTTTGCATACATGTGCGTGAGGAGTATAAACCTTGCAGAACCCAGATCACACTGCTGGGGCCGTTATTTTCCCACAGTGCAATAAAAATAGCCTGCTAGTGTGGGGTGACAGTGGGCAGGCTGGGGCGCTCGAGGGAGGATCCCATCCACACACAACAGCACATTCCTGTCCACCTGGCCCTGCCAGAGCCTGAGGTCACCTTACAGGATGTGTTCACACTCACACATACACACATCCCTTCCTTCTCCTCCTGCGACTCACACCTTTCCTTCATCACCTGTTTCTTCACCTCTCTGCCAGCCCCTCCTTCCCTCATCAGACAGGGACCCCTGGCTGAGGCCTCCGCCCACATGGTCACATCAGGCCCTCTCGCTCACTCTCGCTCTCCACCTCTATCTGTGGTGTGTTTTTTTTTATATACTGTGTGAAATATGAACATAGTCTTGATGGCGTCACCCACTGGTATCTGAAGAGGCGTCATGAAGCACAACAGTGGTGCCAAATTGGAAATGTTGATTTAATTTAACACCTCTAGGAACCTACGTTAATCAAAATGGATGAATTCGGAACAATAGCCTCTCGTGCAGTTGCTAGAAACAAAGATAAACCAAAATAATTTTTGCACCAGGCTACAAACACGTCTAATCCTGCTTTAAAAAAGGCTTTATAACATGTTGTCTAATGGGTGCCTTTTTGGAGTCAGCCTCGAGTTGACATTTGAGAAACCACAGTTTTCTGACTTCTGCTTTGGGTTATTTTCAAGCACTAGAGGTTACTGTTGTTCCTCACTATATTAAAATAAAGAAATAAGTGGCTTTAAAAAAAATCTTGCACAGGTATGTTTACACTTTCCCAAAATGATCCCATGTGTAACCAAGTAAATGATTACACTGATTTAGTGTCCATTTTGTGTGCTTTTGAAAAATTACGCCTGCATTATCTGCCTCAGTGTTGACCCACGGCTCATATAAACTCGAGTTCACACAGGAAAATGATTTAGTGAGATTAGATACTTGAAAAGCCCTCTACCACCTCAGCTCTCCTTGCTGTAAATTAGACACCATGTGTTTGCTCATCTTGGTGACCCAGCTCCGGCGGCTAAAATATCAGTGTTGATTTTTGTTTCAAGGAGATATGAAACCCAACTAATCTGATATGCTCTTGTCTATTAAATACTGAAGTTACTTGTCATCAACAGGGCATAACACCAACTTCCAAAGCACTTCTCCTGAATTGATTAAAACTTTAAATACATTTACAAGTCATTTAGCCTTATACAAGTTAAATATGTAAAGCTGGTCTGTTTCTTTTGCAGCAGTCACAACAGGTCAGAGAAAATGGAGGTGATAATTGACCCTAAATATACCCGTTAGCTTCCTCTCCCACAGATCTGCTTACACGGTACAGTCCACATTAGACAGACGATGCTTCCGGCACAACATGTGCCAGAGTCTCCAAGAGGGCACATGGGGGCATCAGCACTTCACACCCAATGATCCCCGTTCATGCATGCTCACCTCAGCGAAGCCAGCACAAGATGCCTGCGAGTCAACTCTAAACAAAACCTGATATCAGTGAGGCGTTCAGTGCTGCATGAAAGGTTAAAAGTGCAAAATGGTGCTAGAAATAGGAATTTAACAGTCTCTGGAACCACAACAAAGAATTCCGAACCACTAGACAAGCCCTGCCACAGTTTATGCACAACAACTTATGCTGGTAAATCAGCCCCTGCTATTACTAATTATAGAAGGCATCATATATACACTTGCCATCTCAGAATGTAAAGGCCGTGTGACTTCTTAAATGACAGATGCTGGTTTGGTTTCCCATGGCTATCACGCTAGGAGATGGTGTGTTTATGGTTAAGGGGAGTGTACCAGAACACACACACACTCTAGTGTAATAAGTCATTACGATCTGCCCCTTGGAAACACAGTGTTGCGCAGATAAATCTTCTGGCTGACAGCTGGAGTCCCCCTGATGGATTAGTTTCAAATCAGTGTGAAAAGTCAAAAGAAGGCAAATGGGTGTCTCTCCCACTAGTATGGCAGAGATCTACAGCCCAGATCCAGGTCCAGTTCTACTACAAATATAGGGTATAAAAAATGCTTATGCAGTAGACTGGGGCAGATCCTGGCCCATCTGGGTCACTCAGTATGTTAACATGTTGTTAAGAAAAGGGATTTTATGGCCTTAGTCTGACTGAAAGTGGACTTTAAAAACATGTAACCACATTCGTTCCACTGGAATTGCACTTAAGAGAACTTCTCATAGTCTCATTGATATACCCGGATAATGTGGTTGTGGATCGATTCTCTCTGTCAATTATACAGCTCTATTGAACTGAAACTGACCTAAATGTTCTGCACATGCTCCAGTGTTCACCAGAAGTTGAACCATAGCTTGACTTAATTGTGCATGTAAACATACTGACTGACTTGTCCAGGGGTTAGCATGGATTCGTAAGCACACACCTGACTTTACTTAAAGTATTTGATATTGAAATAAGTTCTGCCTCTGACAAGGTAACCAGATTTAGTGCAGGGTTTTTTTGTCTGCACCTGGGGCGGGTGATCAAATTTCAAGGGGGCCCATGCCACCCATATGGATCTGCCCCTGGCTGATGATCCAAAATGTGTTGTATCAAAGTCTTGCTTACACAAAGACTTTAGTTACAGAAAATAATTATTTAGGTTGGTATTTAAAAAATGCTTCTCACAGATTTGAGTTTTGGCTGCAGATAGATTTAAAACAACATGATGTTCTAGGGACTTAAAGCACCACTAAAATGATCTCAAACAGTTTCAGATACGTAGAAGAAGTCTTTCATCAGCGCAATAGCAAAGGGGAACTAATCAGTGTTTCTGCTCACGAGGCAGATCCACGCCCTTTCTCACCCCACATTTCCTGAACTTTAGAGGCCAACATCTGGAGTGACATCATAAGGAAAACAGCGCTGCAGAAAGAGTAATCCTCAGCCCTGATTTACCCCATTACTATTTGCTCATATGATCGTGGCTTTATAAGGTATGAGCAGAATACTGAGATTAATCTGAATTGATAACTTTTGTTTCCTGGTGACAACAGAGGAAGAAGAGCGTCTGTGACACTGGATAGATGTTTCTTGGGGACAGATAAAAGACAAGGAAACACAAAGAGAGGTTAATCAGCAAAATCAGCATCTCACCAAATGCCTGAGCTGCATTTGTTATGGTGCCAGCACCTGACACCCAACCAAGCATGGACAGCGAGAGCTTGACATTGGCCACAGCAACAAAAGCTTTGTCAGTACAGACCCCTGAAGAGTTCAATTTGCTCCCCCCATTTCGAGGCCTTTCAGCAGGGTTGAATAGAGGACAGAGGGTTGGTTGCAGCAGCAGGAGGCTCAGCAATGTTTCTCTAACGGGGTGGAAAGACAAACAAATCACAGGAATGAGACAAGGCCTTGTTATTGTGATGAGCCTGTGATTAACACCTGGATCATTCCAGCTGATAATGGATAATTAGTTTGAGATTACTTTGATGGTTTTGTGGGGCTGTTTCAGTCTGTGGCTGATTGAAAGGGTTTAAAGGGCAGCATTGGGGTCCTGTTGTGTTTTGGATGTAAGCACTAATTCAAGACTTCCTCTCCTGAAAAATAATTGAAAGGACGATTGTGTGACATGTGCCCCCCCTTTTGTTTGCTAATGAAAAAGTTTCTTGTAGTAGTAGTAGTAGTAGTTGTTGTTTATTCAGTCATGAAAACACCAAATATTGTACACAATATTGACATTTCACACAAAATCCACTAAATCAAGCAGACTGCTTATAAAAGCCTATCCTGTGTCGTCAACTTTTTAGGCTACTGACCTCCAGGAAAGCAAAGAAACCACAACAACAGATAATTAATCGCACTTATAAGCTTCAAAAATAAGCTTTACAAACCATTTTCTTAAAAACACACAAAAAAAAGAGTGACATGTTTTGAGATTTATGTTGGCATCCTTCCAGAATTGAACTCCAGTAATGGAGACACATCTCCTTTTCATACCTTTTTAAGCTTTTTCTATGTAAATTTGCAAGCACCTCTGAGATTATATGGACTGTCCTGAATTGAAAAGAACCTCTGTATTGAGTCAGGGAGCATTTTTGATTTTGCTCTTAACATTATTTGCATTATTTTATTATAAAACATCGTAAAATTTCATAACATGAGAATTTAGAAAAGGTGTATACTTATTAAAATAACACAAGTTATAAGGGAAACAGGGCTAATTTTCTGTATTTAGCCGGACCATTAAGTTTGACATTTTAGCTGAAAGAGCAGTATTCAAATGACTAAGCTCTTACTTAAGCTGTTGAAGTTAAATTCTCACTTGATCAAATCAATAGGCTGAATTATTTCACTTTTACTTTTATGATCAAATATGAAAAAATAAGTGATATGTTACTTGTCTTGTTCAAGTGAAGGCAATTAAGGTTACCTTAGAACATGGAAAGCGGTAAACTGGATCTTCTAAAAGCTATAGTGAAGGAAATTACGCTTTAAATGACTCTCTTGTTTATTTCCATGTTTAATTTCATTATACACAGAATCGTGTTGTATGACACACTTAATCACAAATAAGCCTTTATTTCCATCCATAAGAACATAAAATTAAAATAGTGACTCGGTCCAGATATCACTCACAGTCATTGGGTCCCACCTTTTTGACTGTGTGTTTTTTAAAGAGTCTCGTGCGCATTAAGTTACCTGAAACTCAACGTTGCAGACCTGAACCTGGCACAAACAGTTACAGTAATTTAAAAATAGTTAAGTGTGGGTGATAAAAGACATTTCGGGAAAAAACATGCAGTGGAAGGGAGGAAGAAGAAAAAAAATCATTGAATGGGTTAATTTTGAGTCATACCAGGCTCCGAGAAGTAGAAAAATGAGAAAAAAAATTCCTCCGCCGAAACGACTGAGTGGAAGAACGTTGACTTCTAGTATGCATCTTTATTCGTCTGCTTGAAGAATTTGACATTGTTCAAAGCAATAATAGACGATGTTAGTCAGAAAAAGCTTTAAAAGTTTTTTTTCCCATCACTTTAAAGTGGCGGTAGATCCTCGCTGACTTGAGCAGCGGAAGGATACGTGTTTCTGTTCCTTCACTCAGTGTGACTTCAGTAACTGGTGAGCGGAGAGGTGGAAGACTTCTACACAGCCGACGCCGACTTGTAAAAGTTAAATTTATGTTATTTTAAGCGGTTTTAACGGAGCAAACTGAGGGAAAACCGCGAATTATGGCTGATATTTTGTAATTTGGCAGCACAGGTACTTTTCCTCGTTAACTGTGAATGACCCATTTCCGACGAGACTTTTTTTAAGAACTAGCTCACCGCTCCAGGAGACAACTCAACTTTGGGCTGGCGACCTTATGTGGATTTTACAGAAAATATGGAGCGGATCCCCGGTCTCTCTTCGGGCAGATCACTAATACTGGTCTTCTGCTTCATCCACCTCTCTTTGGGTAAGTTTATTATTAGAAAAAAAAAACACTGCACGGTTTCCCCTCATATTTCCATAACTTGTCATGATCACGTTTTGTTGCCTCTGCATCTGCGGCGCACGGGACAGACGTAGCATCACTACATACGGTTAACGCTTGTGTTTGTTTAGATGAGTAACTTTATAAAAGTTACCAAAAAAGGCGATTAAAAGTTGAAGGCAGAGAAAGTTAGTTGTTATAAGTTGTGGTTTAATGTAAAAGATACTTTTTTTTACTGCGTGGTGACAGTTTTGTTCCTGCTGCGTTTGGATCAACTTGTAATTTTTGGACTTTCACATGCACTTATGCTGACTATTGCTCCTTTACTTTAACAATAATCTAAACCAATAATAATGTCTTTCTATCAAACGCACAATTATGGACTTATTCAGTGTTGTATGTTTCTATTCGTGCCATTATCACCACCAAATTGCCTTTCTAACGCTAAAAGGCCATCCTTTTTCATTATAAATGGCAGTAAAAGCCACAAGATCTGCACCAGATTTCACCCATGTGTCTCATTTAGACAGCTTTTTTGCATTCATGTGAGAAATGTTGACAACCCTGCAGTGACTGTTGCACCACTGGCCAGATGTTGAACAGCAAGAACAAGAGAGAGGGAATTCAAAATGGACACCTACAATGTCAAGACTGCTCTGACTGTGATGAAGGACTGTGGATTTTTGGGCAAATACTCACCGTCACCATTGTGGTTGGAAGTATTTCAGGAGGGAGAAAACCTCATTGTTTGTCCTTGAACACACTTGCGCATTTATTTGCAGTCAAACACTGTCAGTTTGAAGTTTTTTGATCACCCTGTACTGTGTAGAAACAAGGCTCCTCTGTCAAATAGGCTTGAAAATAGGAAAAAATTAAAAACGTGGGTGTGAAAATGACCTGAATATGAGTCACAAGTAAACCAGGCACTCTGATTTTTTCATAGAACTGCTCATTACTGTAAATGACAGAATATATTTGATATAAAAGGGATGAAATATGAAAACTGGTTTCCACCTGTCTTATATTTCGCCCTAATTAGGTTCCACTAAATACAGCCAATTACTCGATCCACAGTGTTAGGTGTTGAGTCAGCCCAGGTAAGATTAGGAAGTACTTAAAGGAATAGAAGTGGCAAAAAACTGGCAGTAGTTTGGAGCACACTTGGTTTATGTCATTTACGGCAAAAAGAAACAGACTGCAAAGGGTAATAGTAACTTACAGCATGCACTTTTTATTTATTCTATTGTAGGAGCAGGCAAACACCTTAAATACCTCTGCAGCAGACATTAACAAGTGTTTAATCACGTTGTCTAATTTGACTGTGATGTGAATTTGTCTTTTCTGCTGAGTCTCATCTTATTAATGCGTGTTTATTTCGAAAGAGGGATGAATACAGTATTGAAACTCTTCTACCCTTGTTGAAGATATTCTGCCTGTCTATACCTTTCTCTGTTTCTGTGACTGCTCTCAGAAAGTAGACATAGCCTGTAGCTTTTTTTTAAGTGTTTGCGGAACGTTGACAAGGCAGTAAAATTGAATTCATCCCACATGGTTTCTAGCCTTCTAGCTCGGAGTTGATACATGCAGCTCTGCTATTCTTTCTCACGTTTTTTTTTTTCTTCTTCATGAACGATAGGTGACTCGTGAACAGAGAAGTTACACAAAAGGCGAAAAGACAATGTGAAGTGCTGCAGGCAGTGCAAGGAGAGGCAGTGGAATGTTGTTGGTGTTTGACATTCCTCCCCCCTCTCTGTTCAGTCTCTCTATCAAACACACACACACACATGCGCTCACACACTCACTTGCACACACACACACACACACACACGCTCTCTAAATGTTCTTTTCCCTGCTCTTTCCATCCTCCACTATCCTTTCCACGCTTGTGCAGAACTATACCAAAAAGTTTGTTTGTTGCTTGCAATACATAAGAGGTTTTCCATTTGGCAGGATGGTAGAAGGTGTTGCTTACCTTGCTGAAAAGACAGAGGTTTGAGGTTTACCTTTGCCACAGTGAGTGCCATCAGCCTGCAGCTTTTTTTCTCCTTTATTTATCAAGTCTCTTTGAGTCTTTATTAAACCTTTCGTGTAATAACTGCTTCGGGGTTTGACAGTAGTTGCCAGAGAGGGATTGGCAACCATTTCTCATCCTGTGGTCTTAGCTTTTAATTTCCCCAAAGCAGTAATAAAACAGTTGCATTAGTTATTGAGGCTGGATGGATGAATGAAGGTAAAAAAAAGGAGCCCAGTTACAGACAAGAGAACAGCTGTACTACTGGTATTTGGTATAAGGAATTATTGGTTGGCACTTAAACAGGTAACACTCAAGAGTTGACTTCAATAACTTAGTTTGGTGGCTAAAGTGAGTAAAGATGGAGATTGTTTGTTTTTATTGAGAAGCACCACTATCAAGTGTCAGAGTTCGTATAGATCGGTCTATTTCGTCGTTCAGTGGTGAAGCTGATGAGACTGAAACTTCCTAAACATAACGTACAACCAGGGATAGAAAACATGACTTTTTAACTACCTTGGCCTAGTGGTCATTTCATAGACACCACCTTGAACACTTAATGTAACCCTAGATCACCTTATCAGGTCGGCTAACAAGCTTTTTACGTGCCGAGTTTCACTTGGTTTTCAACATTGGATTTTCACTTAGTTAACTGATGGGGCTTGCTGCAAAGTTTGGGTGTGATCATTATGGCTGTTTTTGCTGCAGCACACAAAGTTGATTGAGATTATCTGTCTCTTAAAGGGGGTGTATTTTTGTTTAATTTGAGGTTGCACTTTTAATGATCCTTGCACGTTATTGACCACCAGGATTCCTCTTTGTATGTTTGTCATGTTAATACCTGCTGGCTGCTGCAGCAGTTTGAATTACATGATGTGACATGTCTTCATATGTTATGTTATTTTGCCTGATTCTGAAGACTTGGTGAGAGAATCAATAAGTTGAACTGTGATTGGTTTTCAGGTTTGGAAAGTTTCCAGCATGGTATGTGTTGAGCTCTGATTTGTCTGTGTTTCACCGTGTTGTTGATCAGTTTTTAAAGACACTAAAAGGAGTGAAAGTCCTTTGCGTACAGCCCTAGTGGATACAGTTGTTAATCAGTCTGCTTCTTCAGAGTGCAAAAAGTAGCTGTCCGATTCCTTTCAATAGGTTTGCTTTTGCATGAAACAGTGGTTCTCAACACACCTGATTCAAATGATGAGCTCGTTATCAAGCTCTGTAATGGCTTAATAACGAGCTGATCATTTGAATCAGGTGTGCAGGAGTACGGAAACATCTAAAACATGCAGGACAGTGGACCTCGAGAACTGGACTTGAAAACCACTGGCATAAAAAGCTTCAATCTTAAGAAATTTAAAAAAAAAATTGAACATTTTGCTCACTCGATCACATATGCCAAGTTGATAATCTTAGTGCATTACTCCCTTGTAGAGGACCTTATTCCTATACAAGACTAATTTACTGCAGACCACCACAATGATTTGTTCCCTTACAGACATGATGGAGTAGTTGATGTTGTGTAACAAAGTTCTGTCTGAAAAAAGCTGATATGATCCACATTCCTATAGTCAACATACCAGAGGGTACGCTGGCATTTGTCAACAACTCTCTGCAGTTTGTTTAATTGAATGAGCTGTTAATGTTAAAGATGCACCGATTGCAAAATTCTTGGCCGATACCGATTTCCGGTTTTAAAGGAGGTCTGACCTGCCGAAACCGTTTTTTCCGATACCGATTTTCTATCTTAAGAAATAATTAATCTTTCTATCCAAGAAATAAAACCCTTCCCCCACAAAAGCATACTTTTTTCAGTCATAATTACAGACCTGAAAAAATACCATGATTCCCTTCTGTGTGCTGCAGCCTGGCTTAATGCTGATTCTCCAGGAAGTGTAGGTGTCATTTCGGTGGCACACGACAACACAGTGTTAGCCCCATGGTGTGGGCATGTGGATGGTTGCATATATTTACCCAGTACAAACAGCAGACAGCTGACATGCGTGTGTGGATGTATTTGCGTGTGTGTATTTATTGCATTGTGGATACAAACTGACAAAGGCAAGCAATTGTGCCGCCCGTGGTTTACTTGCATCTGACCCAAGCGGGTGCCTGGTGTGAAATGTGATTTATCTACGCCATGCTTCGCCCTGTGCTGAGAAGACAAAGATATTTATTGAGCTGCCCACAACACTGCGTTATTTACTGACCACCAGCTCTGCCCACTGCTGTGTGCCTGGGTTACAAATGTGGTATTGGACATCTTCTCTGTGGGACTCCTCTCAGTTGCTCCTTGCAGTGGCTGTCTCATAAACTTCCCATGGCTTTAGTGTGTTCATATTTCAGGCCATACGCAGTCTGATTAGTTGTGTAGTTAAAAAGCCCTGCCGCCTTTGTTTACCTCTTGTCCTGGAGTCAGAGGACATAGCTTTGCAGGACTGCATTTGAGAGATATTGGTCTGAATTTGGACGCACACAGACAGTGCATGTGTGTTCGTGTTTGTGTAACTGTATTAGTTTAGGATTAATGTAAATTTACATTCCTACTTTGATTAAACAGTTGAAGTGGATACACATAGCATACAAGGTAAAAGTGAGGAGTTCAGTTTAGGCCGGTTACCCTTTGGCAGAGGCACTGGTGCTGCTCGACCAGTTTGCTCTTACTGGCTTTGATCCCCGCTCATACAATAAATACTAGTCAAAATGTGAATGAATAGGTGCATGCCCCGCATGAACTACATGCACTGTTACTATAGGAGGTGGTGTTTGTGGCTGTGAAGGTTGAGGGGATTACAGAGCGTTGTGTATGCACTGTTGAGCAGGTTAGCAAATTAACAGGGAATTACTGCGGTCTGCATTCCTTGGCCAACACAACCCGTAATCCTGGAGACACTCAGGCAGGGCGCATGGAGTAATGAAGCAAGCAGGGCACATTAGGCTGGAGAAAGAAAGAAAGTACTCTAACAGTGCCTTTCCACATAGGAGTCCTTTTTTGGTTCAGTACAGTTCGGCACAGTTTGGTAAAGTAAACCCTAACCTTGCTTGCATTTCCACAACAGACTGTATCCTACCCTGACGCTCAACAAATCATACCAATTAGAATGCCTGTGCGAGCTCTCAGTGCAGCTCACACTGAGTTTTTCTGCCAGCTATGTGGATCTCTGCCAAAAACACACAGAAGATTGATAAACCAATGGCTGTGCTTGCTCTGTATTAGCCAGGCTTATGTCACAAGAATGAAAAATACATGACTGTACATTTGGCTTTTCACATCAAAATCCTGATCCATTCTTTTTCTTTCTGAGGAGACTCTAAACACGGTGCTTTTTACTCTGAATTTGTGTCGCAGGAGAAAAGCATGTTAATACACAGCAGAGGCTCCACATTGTAGGGGTATCAGAATAGTTCATGACATACTGCTGTAATGATTCTTACAAGTGCTGGATTGATATATCAATGAATTAGTGCACGCCATCTCTGGAGGAAAAAAAAACATCAAACCTTTAACTGGGTCATAGAGAACAAAACTAAAATAGACTGTATTGTGTTTACTAACCCTGTCATACAGTCAACATTCATTAGAAACACTGCTTCAGGTGAGTCGCTAATGTCCAGTTAGGTAAATAATGGAGGGTGACAGTGTGCATGCTGTCCTGTCCATGTTTGTGTGTGTCCTTGCAGAGCTCTGACATGCAGAATGGTGAGCAGCATTAAAAGGAGTCGCTGCATCGGCAACCCAGCACAGTCATTTTTAACCAGGAGATGATTATGATACTAAAATATATCTGTCATGTGATGAATAGACTTCTGAAACTTACTCATCATATGGAAGGTCTGCCCATGCTAACTTTGGAACCTGCTATTCACAAAAAAACAAACTATATAATGTTGTGTGGTCATTATACCATGAGAGTAGGGCTGGGTGAATACATCAATATATCGTGATTTTTATTTGAGGCCATATCACCCAGCCCTGCATGAGAGTTAAAAAAAATAACAGGAATATGTCTCTGTGAGTACCTGAATATATCACAATACATGAATATATTGCGATACATGTTGTATCATCAGATATTTCCCAGTACACAACCTTACCACATGCATACACATACACACAGTGCTGTTCAGCCCTGATGCCTCTGATCCTACACACCCTAACTATCTTCTCCTTCACCCCCCGTTACTACCCCGACGACAGATCAGAGGCAGAACAAGTTTGCCCCCACCTTGCACATTGCAGACGAGGTGTTGCAGGGACATAAATATCCCACCTTGAACTTGCAGTCTATAAGGGGCCTCAGTTTGATCAAACTAGGCCAGAGGAGATCTTTCTGAATGTTTCTTAAGTCATGTATCTTAAAATTAGAGGAAATGTCACTGGTCTGAATTGATGTCCAGATGACAGCAGCTCACTTCTGTGAGATAAAATCGAAACTTTTCTAATAAGGAACCAATGGGTTGCAAATTTTGATAACACTCAAAAAAACAAGTTATCTGAGTCAACAGGAAAGGGACTTTCGAAATGCGATGTGCGTCAGAATTCATATTACTTCACTCTGATGCTGAAGGGGTATCTGGGATTTCTTAATCGTATCAGTTTTAGTTTAGATCAGTGAACAGAACTTTGGATACTGCAAAGAGAGGGAAAGTCCTGTTTTTTTTCCCACCCATTCACTTACACACACACACTCACTCACTCACTCACTCTCACACATAACACGTGACTCTTTCAACTTGTTAATAACAGCAAAGACTTCTTTCACTTGAATCGTTTCTTGAGTTTATTAAAAATCTGCATTCTTCAGCTTTGTCTTATTTTTAACCTGGTATCATTTGAAGCTAGTTTTGCTCCTTTGTATTTTTCATGCTTTATTGTGGTAACATCAGGGGAGGTTTTCACAGCTTTTGAGTTTTTTTTCAGGTCCCAGGTCAAGAAAGGCATATGCAAATTTCTCCTCTTGACCTGTGTTGTGGGGGATCTGTAGTTCTGCAAAGCATTGGGTTGACTTGACCAGAGTTTCACAATCAGTGTTTTTATTGGTTTTATCTGGCGGAGTAGACCGTGACATATTAATAACTAAGCTTTTATCTTCTGGTTTTACCGGTACTGAGCGTGATTGGTTTCATTAGTAGATGTTAAACAGGAAACAGTATGATAAATGAAACAGAGCAGACTCAACTGACTCAACTTAGCCACTTACAGTGTGGGGTTCTGCAGGGCTCTCCACAAGGTCCTCTTTCATTCTTTTACAGATTAACAACTTAAAAGTGATTCTTTAAAAATTCCATATGCTGATGATACAAATATTAATCAGAGATAAAAAATAATCATAAGTTTAAGATCTTACACATTACCTTTTAAGGGATGGATATCTGGTTGAAATGCAGTAAACTAATGTGATAAAGACTGCTCTTTGATTTTAAGCCTAAAAATAGAACTATTCCAGATCATAACCAGCCTGCAGTCATAGCTGATGATGTACTTGAATCACATGTCAACCTCAAGTCTGGATAAAGAAAGCCAACACACACACACACACACACACAAAATAAAAACGCAGTCCCTCAAGGGTCTTTTTAAGTTTGGCATCAGATGCCCCAGGCGCCTCTTTCAAAAAAGCGTATGTGTAGTAGTACAGTTGACAAAAACATGTTTACAGCCTGGTAAACTAGACAATTTTTGCCCGAATAGCTCACATATTAGAGCCGCCTGTGAATAAACTTCTACATTGCTCATAAACACAACAAATAGCCTAAGTGCAGGTGATGACGCCTTGACAGGAATGCAGTGTTTGCTTTATTACCCTCTCATGTAACACTCTTAGGTGGGATACATTCTGGTTTTCTCCTCTGCACTCTGGCTGATCACAAAGCCAAGACAAAACTGATTAATTGTTTGGTGGTCTCCAAGGTGTGCTTTTGCCTTTTCATGACACTGGAAAGGGCGCACCACTGTCACATAAAAAAACATGCAGATTTGAGCGATTGAGATGATGTAGATCTGATAATATATTCATTTTTTATGGAATTAAATACATGAAAAGTATCAAAATGCACACTGGCTTCACACTGGCTGCAGTTTCCCTGGCCTCCAAAATGTACATGTGCTTTTTTCTGTCAAGAGTGCTTTTATAGATCACAGGCTTTTCTTTGAAAGCAGAGGATGCCATTTTCAGACCCTATTTTGTGCTTCTTTTTTTAAACACCTAGATCTGCTTCTATTTTGTTGACAAGGATGTGCAGATGCCTTCATTGCAATGTAAGGTGTCCTCTCAACAAACCCTTTAAGGTTTCCTTCATCCTCTCTGTGCAGTCTGGATGTATGCTCGCTTGATCTTTGTCTTCGCTTCAATGAGTTAAAAAACAGTGAAATTAAAATCAATGAAATCCACAGAAGTTCGCTGTTTGTGTGGGCACTGATTTGAGCCTTACAGTACGTCCCCACCCTCCACACACTCAAGCTGACCTGTGAGACTGAAGCTTTAAAGCCCCTGCTCGGTTTGTCTGCTGTTTGTGTGGGCCAGTAAAGCTTCCCTCAGGGTAGTAGTGTTTAGTTTGAGCCTCGTCTCCCCTCCTTCCATGCTGAGCTAAGAGTATTTTATTGCAAGTTACCATGACGACTGTGCAGCCTGCTGGATATAGAGGTTTGTACAGCAATTCCAGGAAATGGGGTTACTTCCTCACTCAGTGCGAACAACTTCCTGCCCTCCTCTGTGTGGATGTGTGCCAGGGCTCAGGGACACCCGTTCGTGTGCAGTCTTTGTCTGCAGTTTCATAATTACTTCCTCGTCTCAATCCTCAGCTATTAACTCGAAGCCCATCCACCCCTCCTCCCTTTTGACTCTCGTGTTTTCTTCTCATGACATGGCTGGATCTCTAGGGGACCTGCTTGTTGTGTCTGTGACATAGCAGTGGCGAGTGCTGAGGTGAAAGAAACATAACGCCAGCTCAGCATCACAACCTGCTCTCCCCTCTTGAGTTTTTTTCCGGCTGTGATTTCTAGACTTCTTTGATTTGACAGACCATAACAGAAAAAAATGGTTTGAATAACTTGTGATTTAGTAAAGGTTAAATGAAATAGCGTAGTAAAATTTAACTCTCCAAATGTAAATAGTTTGCTGCTATTACCCAATAGAGAACAGCTCATTGAATACTGCAACTAATAGAAAGAGACAAGTTAAATAGAGAGGAGGAAAAAGAGCTGCCAACCATACAGAGGGCCTGTTTTGAATTATAATAATTCACGACTTTGACTTCACAACCAAGCTGGAAGCTCTTTTTTGGCTTTTCTTAGAAACAGCACTACTTTGTTTTAGATGCCAAAGGCAGCATACTTAAGCAGTGCTGATGCTAGTATGTTGATATTCAGCAGAAAGATAATTTTCCCATTCATCGTTTCATTTCTAAAAGCAAAATAATCTGTCGTAATAATCTTGGAAGCACACATCCGGAGTTAAAACACATTAGGTGCTTGGTGGAAAAGAGGTCAACCAAATGGAAGAAAACAGACATGAAGCACCACAAACTGTAACACAGTATGGATGTTGGCAGTGTCACAGGACTGCTGGAGTGAGAAAATGCCAGCAGGAAGGTTAAGGCCCTACTGGTGCTGTGGTTATTTTCTGCATCTGTTAAAAGTGCATCATGACCAGGATAGCGAGAAGCCCTTAGGGGTGGACAAGACGGCCCTGTGTCAGGGTCTCGTCCACTGTGAAGGATTCTCTTTCACATAACCACCAACTGACTTTGTATTATCCCTCACTTGAATAAGGCATTTTACTTCCTTTCACCTGATTGGTTAGAATAGTAGTAGAAGACAGGAAATATGGGAAATAGAAATGACACGTAGTGAAAGAAAGAGGTCTGCAGTTGAATGCAGGTCAAATGTTGACTCAGCCTTTTTTTTTAAGGGTGCCAGACCTGTTAAAAGAGTCGACTTATTCCCTTGGACTGTAAACCTTTGAGTTGTCATCCTCAGCCTCATGATGAAGATGAACATAAGCTGATTTCACCTAAAATGACTGGCTTTTTTATAAACTGGGAACTAGTGAGGATGTTGTATTGCTTTGTCTATTGTTTGTAGTGCTTGTCTATTTGGTCACTGTTCCTTCTTTTTTTCTTTTCCTATTTGCATGACCTCAGGAATAAGGATTCATTTTTATCGACACTAATACCTAGGGGTGGGAGAAGAGATAGATAGAGCATAGTATCGCGATATTTTGTCTGGTGATAGATCTTATCATCTCATTTAACCGGTATCGATTTTTCAAATTAATCACTAATATGAAGTCAAATCTATGATAATGGAAATATAAAATCAACTGTTTGTCCAGTGAGGTTGGCCGAGGTGACATCATGGAGCAGGAGAAAGTTAGTACAACAAATATAAGGTTTGCAAGATGTGCTACATGAAAATAAAATACTGTGTAAATAAGACAAAAATAAAGGAAAGGCAAATTAGCCTAACAGTTAAAAAAAATTGTATAAATCGCAATTTATTGTATCACAATACTCACTGTATTGCAAAATGTTAAAAATCGCTATAATATCGTATCATAGCCCAAGTATCGTGATAATATTGTATCGTGGGGCCACTGGTGATTCCCACTCGTACAAATACCATCATAGAGACTGATTCAAGATGATTTGAGTCCTTATCTGTACAGATATCAAGTCTTTTCTGTATTTCCTTCAAACAATTGTATTCATACAGATTTTTTACCACAAACCTGACATTTTAACTTGTCATGATAACCTGTTACGTACTTTTGCCCAATTCTACCGATCCGACCTTGAACACCACAAAGTGTAACGGTGGTTAGTTGGCTAAAAAGCTTTTGTCCTCCTGATGTCAACATGGATTTCAACACTGGATTATGACTTTTAACTAGCTGGTCTTGCTGTGAAGCCTGGCTGTGCTTACCCTGGCTGCTTTAGGCAGTCAGAGTTGGTGGAGTTGTTTCAAAGCTCCTGCATTTTGGCTTGATTTGATGCAGAGCGGTGATGTGGGTGACGATGAAAGTTGTGGTACCCCCTCGAAAGGAATTAATTTGCAGGCACAGCTGATTTAATCAACATTGAAAGTATGATGTTACGTGAGACTCTGAACCACTGAGAGTCGATTGCTGACACATTAAGATCAAACATGATTGATTTTCGGGTTTGAAAAAATGCTTTATCAGGTATTTAATGGATCTGGTTATTGATCCCCATCTCTATTCAAGAATGGACTGTTTGGTCTTCTATTCACTTGTTTTGACACTCAAAATCAACAAAACCAGACACATAGTCAGTAACTAACAGAACTTTCACAATGGATTGTGATACCGAGCTATGAAGCCTACAGATGGGCAGTCTTTGTAAAGTTCTCCTTCTTCCATCTGAAGTCCACATGACTTGATTTGAGGTCTCCTGAGGTGGAGACCACTATTCATATCTCTGATGTTAAAGTTCTCTCCCCAAGAGCTAACTAACATTACTTGAGCAGCCATTACTTGTTTTGCTTTCTATTCCCTACTTGAACTCCCTGTAAACTCCGTGTACACACACAGACAAACTCATTAACTCCACAAGTCTGGAAAATGCAGATGGAGTGCATAGAAAAGGAAAGTGGACTTTTGATCAGAAAGGGTCCAAACTTGTAATTATTGTGTCAGTTAGCGGTGTGTTTTATTTGGCTCACACTATCTGCCTGTGGTTTCACTGTTTACTTTGTCAATCAAGTCTTATCAAGAGCCTCATTCCTGGGAAATGTGGCTGACCATGGCTCGTTGATAATGAAGTGTGAGAACCGACAGGTAGAAGGGATCCGAGCTGGAGATCAGAGTCTGGATCAGTTGTTGGCATGTGTGTGCAAAAAACCGTTAGATTTATTTGTTATACTTGAGAAACAGATGCTGAGACCAGTTCCAATTTTTGGAGGGAATCAGTGACCTGTAAGTCATGGGAGTAATTGGTTTGTTTGTGTGTGTGTGTGTGTCTTAAAATGGTATAATAGGAGGCAAACTTTCCCAAATCTGGTGAGATCATTGTATCAGGGATTACGACAGCATGCATGGGAAGCTCATCAACCTTGGAGTGCAGATGTTTTTCCCCCATGCCTCCCTCTTTCTAACTCAACGGTCTTCTTTCTCCCCCTCTTTCATTCAGCATTAAGGTCCTTACACACCGGGGCCAACATGAGTATAGAACGCGAAATCACGAAATATTCGGAGGCAAATTTTGACGTGCCTGATTATACACATCAAGCACGATGCGATTTTGCGACTTTCTGGGGGGGAAAAGACGCATTCCGGGGAAGACTTTTTCGGGGGAAAGTCCCGCCTCCTTTGCCTCTGATTGGCGAGAAAAGCTGGAAACGTCACTAGACGCTCAAGCCAAACAGTCAGTACTTATAGCCAATCAGAGGCAATAAGACAAGCACATAAAACTATCGTTACAACCGTTAGCTTACGTTAACACAGATGAAAGTTAAACCATCGTCATATGGGAAATCTGACACTATGACTCTCCACAAGTTGTCCTTCAGGTCGTTATCTTTGTAATGTTTGTGTCTTTTATCAAAAAGCACTCTGTTCTCCGACTCGTAAACAATCAGCTGGTTGGCCATGTTGGATGTACCGGTGAATCAGACGTCGCAACAGCACGAAATCTGATTGGTCAGAAGTGGACACACAGTATGTGAAACTTTAGAAAAATCAACCATGATCCGAAAAAATAAATGCCGCAATATCGCAGAGCGGGAAAACGGTGCTGATGTGAACACTTGTATTGACAGGATACGGGTTCGAAAAAATAATATTGACGTCTGAAATAATTGCACGACTGAAACCGTCCCAGTGTGTGAGGACTTTTAATCCCATGTGCTGTTTGCAATAGTCCTATCACTTCCATGGTAGATTGCTGTTGTATTGACAAAGCAATGATCAATCTGATGCTCTGTAGATGACTGATTCAGAGTATTTTAAACATGTTTCTGGATTATATTTAGACTCAATCAAACCAAAAGTGAAACTTTGTGCACTTTGTCACAAGTCAAGTCTTGTGTGTGGATTTTTGCTGTCTACCCACTGTTGTTATGTGTGTGACATTTATGTGTAGAGTCCCAGCATGCGTGTCCGCTCAGTAGAGAAAAAGTACCAAAATAGCTCGGCGTTTTCTGTGGTTTCTTGTTCTGCAACAGTAGTCTGGCATCGACTAATACTTTAATACAGTGGATGTCCATGCACTTGTGCACACTGAGGCATGCGTGTGTGAGTGCGTGCCTGTTAGGATTATGAATTTCACACCAGTTTATGTGTGCTATCCCCATGTCTAATGGACTATGTCTGTCAGCCACACTCTTCAGCATCCGTCTGCCCCCTACTCTCTGATCAGACCAGTCCAGAAACTAGACCTTCAACACACTGCACCTGAAAAAGAACATGTTTTCAACTTAAAATGCTGCAAAAAAACAGAAAAACAGTCTTGTTAAAGTCCGAGCTTCTTCATGATATTTTGACCTCTCATCTTCAGTGAAAATGTGATTAATCTAGTGGCAGGAAGTGACACTATAGCTGTGTTCACTTCCTTGTCATGCAATGACTGTTTTCTGTAGTCTACATTGTTGCCATTTCCTTGAAATCAGCTGACCTCAGTTTGTAAAAAGAGCCTTGTTCTGCAGAGCGGGGATTCATCGTATAACCACCTAAACATGTGAGACTAGAAAGAAAACAAAATGTTAAAACATCCACATTTCTCAAGCTTGGATGATCTAAAGTGTTTTTCTTGGTAAATATAACACACAAATAAACTCTTAACAGTGGGCTCTTTCTTTGGACTATCATATCATGCTGTTAAATAAAGGCACAGGAAACACCACACTTTTAGCTGGCATATTGGGTCTGCATGGTGTGTGTGAAGACCACTTGAGGCATGTGTCTCTAGCAGCTTGAAGGCAGCACAATAGCTGGTGTGTTTGGCAATGACTGTGTCAGTAGAGGGGAGATAGTTGGGCTTTGTTGTCTTCTTCAAGGCTCATTTCTGTCTGCTGTCCCATCCGGCTGCCCTATGACCACTGACTGGTTTCAGGCTGGCCTTTCATATTTGGTTTGATAGGTGCCAAGCCCTCTGCATTTCTCTCTAAGAACGAAGGGTAAAAAGAAGGTTGCCATACAAAGTGGAATTGTGAAACAGGATTTGTTAAATTTCACTGAGCAATATATTACTATTTCAGAGCATCAGTTCTTGTAAAACTGCCATACAAACAAATCTGAATGCAAGCAATTTTACTTTTTTCGCAATCGACATATTTTCAGTTGCACTCCTTGTGTTTTTCAACTACAAGACATTACTCTTTGCTCAATACACCATAACTGGGCGATATGGCCTCAAATCAATATCACAATATATTGAGCAGTTCACCTCTATAACAGTAAATGGACGATAACTACTCCACAAGCTGCTCACCCCCTCCCCCATTAACTTCATCTACTCCAGCCGCTACAACTTTTGAACCGTCCTCCATCTCCTCACCTGTCTTTGCCTCTTTATTATGGACTGGATGGGGTGGAGTCATGTCTGTGACGTAGGACAGTGTTTTAAAGGGACATGAGACCATAGCCTACCTACACACATCCAAAACCAACTTTTATTTATGTATTTTTTTTTGACACCTAGTATACTGATATGGGCAAAATGACGTTGGTTATTGTCGTAAATTTCGGTTTCGGTAAGTTTTTGGATTATCGCCCAGCCCTAATACATCAAGAACAAGATGCTGTGGACAGCTAGATTTTGAAATCATGAAAAGATTTGTAAGAGAGTTTTCATTTTGAAAACTACCAGCTGTCTTTGTGAAGATTGTTTTTACATAAATTCCTGATGAAAACAAGCATTTTGGTCGCTGCATGAGTTCAACTGGAACTGTGATTTTTTTTTTTTCTGTGTTATGAGATGGTCAAACTTTAAATGATGGATCCATTCAGCAGGTATAAACCTCTCTGATTGTCCTCTTTGTAACTCCTCTCTCATGTCTTGCAGCTCTACAGTGTATGGATGATAAGGCTCCCTGTGTGAACAACGCTACATGTCTGACCTTAAGCAATGGCACCGAGTACTGCAGGTAAGACTGACCCTCTCGTTCTTTGACCAAACACACACTTCTCAGTTGTACTCATGCTCTCATCAAAACACTGTAACCACAATATGAACACAGCAGCAGCTGCAGGAACACCTCGTAAGGTGCTTAATGGATTTGAAAAACCGGCACAGAAACAGGGTTTTTACAACAACCCCTGACTGTCCACGGGAGCATGAGGTTTTGCTCATGCACGGGGGGAATAAAAGCCTCCTCTGTCTGACAAAGTACAGCCGCACTGGGAACAATACCAACACACACACTTCAACCTCCAAGATGTTATTTGGGACATTTTGGATTTTTTTTTTTTTACTCTCTTGCTGCTTCTGGATTGATGGCCAGGGTCTTGCCAACACACTTCACTGCTCACAGATTTTTCTGTTTCTGGTGGATGTTATGATGACTAATCATTTTCTAACATGAGAAAGTAATGTATTTAGAGTGATTAATGTGAAAAAACATAGTGAAACTCAGTGGATTTAAATCAAAATGACAGGTAGGCTAATCGTTTTTAACCACGTTTGTTAGTGTAGCCTCGGAGTCCTGCTGCATGCCATGCTGCAATGGAAACTTGAACTAACCTGCGAGTCAGTCTCCTCTATAACCAGCGGTGAAATCTCACTACTCAAAAGCAGTGCTGCAGCGTAAAGGAGAGCAGAGACCTGTTTGATGTATGCCTTCCACTTTCTGACAGCTTAGCCTAGTTTGTAATTAACACTGAGCTATCTTTATAATTGTGCTGCCACTCCCGAGCCAAATTCCCAAAGAAAACACACCATAGCTGGTTCATGAACCTGATCATATTTCATCAAATGTGCTGTGAATCACGCTGTGTGTCTGTTCCCAGAGCTTTAGGAATTTCAACACTCTGCTACTTGTTTAAAAACGGAGAAAGCTGCATTCCTTAATCACTGTTTGACTTTGTACTCCAGGTGTAAAGGGACTCATTGTTTATGCGTGTGAGTACAAACACGAGCAGCATTATTCGACAAGAAGACTCCTCATCATGATGAAAAGCGTTCTGCACAATGTCAATTTGTTCATTACTAACCATTGTTTTGCTGCAGACACACCATGTAAACAACCAGTTAAGTGAGACGCAGATGGGTGTGAAATTATGCGACTGCTGCATGAAGTTACCAGAGCTGCAGCTGCACTTGGAATGAGTGCGGTGTTGTGGGTGATTAGACAGAATGACCTTTCTGAAGAGAGCTCATGTCAGACAGCTTTTAATTTAGACGTGCTTCTCGGATTACAGTCTTATAATTGAAATTTGGAGAGATGATTTTTGGGACAAGATAAAAAAAAACATTTAATATGAGCAGACAGGCACACACTTTCAAACACACAGCAGGGTTCGGTGTCAACTTTCCTGCAAAACATCTCAAAGAATATTGGGGATCTCTTGACGACTCGCAATACAGTACAACTATCAGGGCTTGACTATAACTTTTTTTAACAAGGAGCACATGTGCTCTGAAGTTGAAAAAGTAAGGAGCACACGAAGAACTTTTGGGGCACAATGAAAACTGGTCAACATAAGTACTATTATTTGAAATCAATTTTAGGTCAATTGGTCACATGACATGGAAGAAAATGTTCAAAATTTGCCTTTAAATTTAACACAAAAAAATTTTAGAGGACAAATTCGGGAAATAAAGAGGTTTGTCTTGTTGTCCGACTTAAGTACTATTATTTGAAATCAATTTTAGGTCAATTGGTCACCTGACATGGAAGTTACTAAAGGAAAACAGCCTTTTTTGAGAACATCAACTGGTAATTTATTGATGGTCCCTTATTCAACACCTGACATTGATAGTGAGGGTGCCGAGTAGATTTAACCACGCTACTTTTGCTATTCCCAGTTATGGAGAGTGAGAAGACACTGGTAGATGCTCAGTGAATGTCCGTTGAATATCCAACCTAAAACTAACTTCGCCGCAGTATTTACATGAAATAACATTTGTTGCCTCGGCTGATTTTTTTTTATGAGCACATGTGCCCCCAAATACATTTTACAATTCGTTCACATCTATTTTTAGTCGCAAATGCGAGTGAAACGGTCGCACTGTCGAGCCCTGACTATACAGTGCAATACAATATGCAAGACTTAGCTGAAAGTTAAGATAACATCTATGTTCATGGATACTGTGACGATGAGGATATCACAGTCATACAGTCATCAATCAATGTTTTAAAAGGTAATAAGGGGAAGATTTGTGTTTGACTTCTGTTCTCCTTGCCAAATCATGTCTTCAATCACAACGCCTCTCAGCAGCAGGGCTCTCCAACATTTTCCGGCTGAAGTTTTAAGAGCTGTATTCAACATATATGAAGTTATTTCATCATTGCTGTTTCAATATTGCTTTTACTTTAAATGATCTAAAAGCTTACACTTAACCAACAGGTTAACTGACTCAGATGTGAGATCAGTTCAACCTCAAGTCACCCTCTGTGTGTTAGGGGCGTGCCACCTAAGGCACCTCAGGATTCAATTTACAATTCAGGGTGCTACGATTCGATTAATAAACAATAATTAAACCATTATTACAACTATCGCGGTTACAGATGCGTCTTTTTCTCCATGCAGGATTTCTTTTAATTAATGTTGGTCAGCATCCATTAAACCACATAAACAAAGAAATTTACCTCCATTATGTTTTATTTTTATTAGACCGAATGATCCAACACTTTATTCACAACAAAAAGATGCTCTTATTACATAAAGTGTTAAGCTTTAATCTGATCTAACATAAAGTAATGATTATAACTTAACCTCAGTATTTATAAAGACTTCTAAACAATGAGCATCATACCATCCCACAACAATTTTTCTATCCACAACCAAAAGCAGCTTTAAATTTAACCACTGCAGATGAATAAAAGAACAGAATAAATCAAACCACGCCAAGGCATGTAAGTGCAAAATGGACGCAAATGTGCAGCTACTCGTCATCTTCATTCTTGTTATACACGCCTTACAGACAGAGTAGCTTTTGTCAATGCTCCTTGTGTCTTCATGTGAAAAATAAAAAAACTAAAATGCCCCCACACGCTTGATTTCAAACCCGAAGCGTAAACCTCGAGTTAACCAGCGAGTGAGCTGCCGCTATGTTGGCGAATAGTCTTTTATGAGTCGGTCCCTGAAAACTGTCCAGGTGGCTTTTTCTTTTCCAGCCAGCTTCTAGGTGCTGTGGTTGTGTTTCCGTAAATTTGCTATCATGGGAAATAATTGATTTCTGAACATTTGTTAATCAATCATCACTTGTCACACCCCATCCAAGAATCAATGTATTGGCTCACCCCTACTGTGTGTGTGTGTATGTGTCAGTGCTCCAGTTGTGTGCATTGTAAGTCTTGACCTGGTCCTGCGTTCGTACCCTTGTGTCTCAGTGACTTGAACGTGCTCATATTCCTGCTCTGGTTGTGTTTCAGGACTTTTACCCAGTCCAATTCCTGATCCACTCTCTTAGCCACTGCAGTGTTTGCATGAGAGGGTTAGTGATGCTTTGTCTCTGAGTGACAGCTGATGTAATGTTTTTTATCACTGATGAGAGAAGTTGTCAAATTTCTTCCTCGATGAAAACCTGCATGGGATGTTGGGAAAACTGAACTGTGCAGGTGTCCGTTTGCTGTCATCACTGTACTCTGAATGAGCTCATAACAACAGTCACCCCTCTCAGCCTCTACCTCTGTTTTCATTTTAATAATGGTGGGATTATTCAACGTCTCGCATTCACTCTCACCCCCTCTTCGCCAAGCTGTCTCTGTTTTTCACCAACCAGTCAGTATTTTGCGTTTAAAGACAACATTGATGATAAAAAAAGATAGATATAGAGAGAGCGCAGAGTCTTCTTGCCCTGAGGAAAACAGAGAAGCATTTCTCATTTTAGAAAAGTCAGCTGACAGAGCGCAGGCCCGCTGTTAGACCCATTTACTCATCATTCAATTCTTTCTGCCCTCCACAAGCAAACATAAACAACTGCACATGCCCGCATCACGCTTACATATGTGCGCACAAAGGACACACTTGCCCCAGTCTGGCCTGTCTGGCCCCGTCTGCACTGCGCTGCCTGTGAAAGAGCTCATTGTTTAAAATTGAATTATGTGTTCATTAGTCGGCTCAGTGTATTAGAGGCGGCCGGCTGTAAGTAAACAGTCACTTTGGCCTTTTGGCTCGACTCGCCAAATTGAGTCACATGGTTTCACGCATCAAGCGGACTGTGGGTAACTAACTGATGATTAAAAAAGACAATTAGTATTGGTGAAAGCATTCAAACGGTTCACCAATGGACACTTCTGTTTGTTTAAAGTAAATAAAGAGTCACTGTGATCGGCTTTTTCCAACTTGACATATAACAGGGTAACATTTCTGTCCATAATGAAACTGCTCCAAAATGGAGACGAAGACGTGTTTTGATTGGCAGCCAAATGTACTTCTGTGCTTCTGTTATTATTCTTCAACTTGCCTCCTGTGCCTCCTCTGCAAAGTTCCCATACATTCTTCAAACCTGGGGAACTTCAATGTTCCTCAGACATCCAGTACAGTATGTTTCTTTTCAACATCATTTCCTTTTAATCCCTTTTTTTTCCTTTTACTTCTTCAATATTTGAGGAAAGAAAACAGAGCGGGAAAAAAAAGAACTTTGCTTTTATTTTAAAGTACAAACTGGAACGATTGCCTGTAAAAAAGGACTGCGTTTGAAGACATGCTGGGGATTGTTATGCTAAGGACCTTAAGGTGTGTCATTTTGGACACACAGATGTTGTAAGAGAGAGTACATGGGAGAGGTCGACTTGCCTACTTGCAGGGCAGGCTGCACAAAAGCCGTCTAACCGGTGACACTGCAAGCCTTCAGCCTCGGCTGTGAGAAAGAGGTGTGTTTTAAGAGTGTGTCTCTGTGTGGATTTGTGTAAGTCACAAGTTTGTCAGGTTGGCGTTCGGAGCTGACATCATCACTTAAGGGACGCATAAACGCTTTTCGACGAGGTATTGGCAGAGAGGAACAATGGTGCGGTCTATGGCTTCCCGACATTCATTTGGAGTCTGACTCACAGAGTTAATACCTGATCAGTCGAAACAAGAGTGGTTATGCCGCACTCTCGTTGTGTAGTGGAAACCCAGTTTTCTCATGAACAAGATCTCTTTGTCTACTGAGGTTGCAGTGCAAACTGATGAACTTTCTCTCCGCTTCATTACTTCCTTACCTCCCCCACCTTCTTTTCTCACCTCCCTTTTCTCTCTCAGTCACTGTCAGGCCTTTGTTTTTTTTTTTTTATTGAAAACTGCTTTTTATTGAACAGAAAAAAAGGGGAGAGTTACTGCGCTGTGTAGACCTGCTACCTGTTTGATCTGACAGGTAGAATTTGCCTGCGGGGCAGACAGAGGAAGAGAAAGGGCCAAAAGAAAAGAGGATGTCTTTTTTCAGGTAATTTGAGGAGGAATCCCTCGGAGCACAACTCCTTACTAATGATGAGAGAGCAGTGAGGGGGGAGAGAGAGTAGAGGAGTGTAATTCCCCTCTTGGTACGCCTCCTTCATCAAACTGTCACTCATCCATCCATGCCATGGTCTCTCCTTCTCCTTCAGGGATTTGGATGCCTCTGGACACAACTCACCAGGCCTCTTAATCCTTGTCCTAAAAGCCTGTTATTGTTGGGATCTTTTTCTTTTCTCCTTTATTCCAGCCGTACCTGCTCTCCTGTTCGTATCTACATTTTAAAGGAACCCTTTAAAGGATATGAAGCTCTGGCTGTTGTTTTTTTGGTTGATAAAAAAGGTGACGAAGCAGCTGTAGGAAGGAAGGAAAAAGACAAAAGAGAGAGCTGGGAAAATGTTTCAGATCAGTCACTTGTCCTCCACAGATTGTAACTGGGTTGGGCACATGATCCAAACTAAAGTCAACAAACACCAGAGGAGCAGATAGGCACCCACAGCAGTGATTTCCAGCCCTGACGCGCCAAAGACTTATCTGCTTCCCACAGCTCAGCTACCAGTGCTGTGCATGTGGCCGGGGCTGAGACCACAATGATAAGAGTTTCTTTGTGTACATGTTGGCGTGTGCGTTCAGTTTGCGTGTGTCTCCTGAAGAGTCGGGGGCACCTTGAGCCCGGGGCATGTTCACATTCTGGCACAGAGAGGTCTGAAGTTCAGTTTTTGTGTTAGTTTCAGTATTTGGGAGATACAGATGTCATTCTATGCAACGTTTGAGCATGTGATTGAGGCCCCAGATGATGAGACAAGTAGATGATTCATCAGCGCTTACCATGACTTTGACTGTAGTGTCCTTTTATATCTGTTCATCAACTATTTTTACCATTTTATGTTGATATTATAAGAAAAACAATGACAGTTTTCAGGAGCTTGCGTTGGTGTGTCTAAATTACTTGCTGCCGACAACCAGAGCTTTCAATTTGAATTAGGATATGATGCTTTGTCTCAGAAATGAAGAAGAAATAAAGGAACAAAACACACGAACACTTACAGTAGATGAACACCGGACTGCTCTCAGAAAGAGGAAGCCTTACAAAACAGTGGGGAATGTAGCAACCAGACCATAAACCCACATACAGAGAGGTGACAAGTGGCTCTTTGTCACACATTGATGATGACACTGTGGGGTCAGTAGTAACTTCAATCTGTCACAGGTTCACGTTTTCTCTGTTTATGCACTGAAACAAAGGCTTTTGTCAACCAACAATGCACTTTGATTAATTCTTGTCACCTATTGAAAATGATCTCTCTGTAAAGTTAATCTTCAGGTTCACCGAAATGAATTCACCTTGACTCTCTTTTCAAACCAACGAGGAAAACATTTTCTCATGTATGTTGGTCTAAATTTTCTCTAGACTGACTCTTTTGGGGAAAAAAAGCTGGATAACATGATAACTCCTCAAAAGTGAAGCCAATACTTTAAAGCTTCACCTTCTGACCAGCTGTAATGTAGGTGATAAACTCCACCTCCCACCTTTTGGTCAAACTCAATAACTTTAAAGACCCACTCCGATAAAAATCGTGTTTTTCTTGTTGTCTACATGTTCATATGGCGTTTTTCTGATGCTACAGGACATATTTCGGAGTATTTCTTTATTCAAATTGCTGTGAGTCTCTGGCAGACACAAAAGTCAGCTTCAGATTCAGTGAGATTTCCTACATAGCAAATCCAAGCTCCGCCCCCGGAGCCCCGCTATGCAGGCCACATTCGGAAAAGTCGAGAGGACGATCGCGGAACAATGCCCGTAAGAAAGCTAATTATGATATCAGCTTTCATCATGTCCCTAAAGACATTCGTGTCTGAGAGATGAATAACTCCTATGTTACCTGCCACTTCTACTTCACCGGCAATGTTAGGCTACAAGCTAGCATGAAGATGAGTGTGCAGAGCAACGCTGTCTCCGCCCACGACCTGGAAGCGATTTGCTAGTAATCTACTGGAGCTTTGCAGAAGGAAAGCCCTTGAAAATGTTGTTAGGTAATGCGATTCTTGGTAAAAACTCCATAATCACAATTTAAAGACCACCTAGAACACTTTAAGTAGTTAAAAAAAAAAAAAAAAATGATTGGAGTGGGACTCACAGTAATGTCTAATAAGTTTTTCTCAATCACAGCTAAATATATCAAAAAAATACTCAAAAATTATTCACTGGCGTTTTCATGACAGTTTCATGAAAGTTGTCGACTGTAGTTATCAATCAGTTTGGACATGTGTTTCGGTTAGAGTTGGGACATATACAATTGGAGGAAGAAGAAATTCACTGCCCATCTTTAAGTCAAAGGTCAGGGGAAGTTTCAGGTCCATCTTTGAAAAATGAATAAAAACGCACACAGAAAATAAGGGACAGCACATGATTTTGAGTGAACACTGCGGATTCAAAACAACCATTGTACCTTTTTTTGTGGAAAACTTTCTAAGTGTACAGTTAACTATCTATAGCACAAATCTCTATATAGCATTGAAATGGGCCAACAGACCTATTGTAGGAGACCTTATTTGAAACGACCACAGAGGCAGGATAATGAAAGAACAGCCCAGAGAGACATGCAGGCAGATGGAGCGCTCAAAGAGAAAATGGGCCTTGTGCTGCGTACCACAGTCATGCTGATGAGTCTTTTGAACATGTTTCTAAACACAGTCTCAGATTTTACCGCATATCCCGAGTTAGTACTCCACCCTGCTCTGCACTCCTTCATTCAGTCAACACGGATGCTTTTCACTCAGACTGTCTGGCTTCCTCTTTTCTCCGTCCGTCTCTCTCATTAGGTTTTTGGCTTTAACTTACACCTCATTGCTTTATACACTCGATCCGTCTTCCTCTCTCTTTCTGTGCGCTTTTTCTTTCTGTCTGACTTTGACAACAGTCTCTCACCTTTTCTTGCACGCCTCCTCTGTGATGTTATTTTTGCTGCTTCTGCTCTTGACATTGAAAATGAGAAGAAAAAAAAAAAGGTTTTCAGAGAAATGAGGGAGTTTGCAAACAAAAAAAAAACCCAACCCAGTAACACTATGCTATACTAATGATTATTTAAGTGAAAGATTCATAGTTTCACTTCCCAAAAACGCCCATGAATTAACCTTTACTGAAAAGTTTATGTGCATTTTATTTCCATTGTAGGGCTGGCCTCTCTGTATGGGCTGTAACGGCATACAGCTCACAGCTTCACTTGCAGAGCTCCTCCACTCTGGTAGTACTCGAGGTAGACCTAGCAATCATCTTAGTTCATCAGGGTATCAGTTTCCTTATGTGCTGGGGTTGAAATGTAGTTTACAACCCCCTCAAACAAAAACTGAAAAGTAAGTGTGATTATAGGGAAGTAAAAAAGAAACAGTCAGCTGTTCTCACTTGTACCAACATCAATCTCACTTTGCTGCTCCCCTGTGAGAAGACTGAAGCACCAACAACTTTCTCCTGAACAATAGCTGAGAAAAGATAGTTGTTGGTGTTAGTGGTGTGCCTCCTAGATCGACCTCCACCATTCACCTTTGAAGTCTGGAGCGTGTTTTCCTGTTTGTTTCATGTCTGGGTCTGAAGTGACAGTGAAGCTCATTTCAGTCAGTTTCTGTAATCACTAAAGAAACTTTTTGATTTAAATCTACTTAAGAGTTCAGTCATTTTCCAAACTGTGGTGTGTAGTATCAAGATCAGACAAATGTAAAATTGATTTTAACCAGATTACTCAGCCCGAGACTGGAGCTCCAAAGCGTACATTGTGTAATCTGGTGCACTTTTTTTTCTCCTGATTTAAAGTGACAGACACAGACTAAACTGCTGCAGATGTTTTGAAATGACGGGAAAAAAAATGAATTCTCAAAAATGAACTACCAGACATCTTGCAGCTACATTTTTTCTCTTTTTTTTTCTTCTTTTGGTAAACCAAGGAGTCCTTAGATCTTGACACACAGCACCGCACTACTAGCTATGGGTCGACCGATTATTGGCCTGCTTTGGTGGGTCTGTTTCTGCCCACTGCCCACTGCTCACTTAACGTCCTGCCCACAAACTATCTGATTGGCCTGTGTGATGTTCACTGTAACTGGTTAAGTGCCTTGTACAATGTTGAAAGTTTCAGTTTAGATTAAACGTGCTAAAGCCATTTTAAACAAAGTCTTATGTTAGAGTTTGTAGAATTCTAAATTTTTCTATTTTGATGCACATCAGTTCCAAATATCAGTTATCGACCCCATTAGAGGGATATTCCGGCGTAAAATTAAGTTAGAGTCAAACACACTGTAACACTGAGCTAGACACCCCCTCGAGAGATGAATGTTGCAGACCGCTTGCTTCTCTAGTTATACCATATTTAGTAACCGCACGATAGCAATACACAGCGGTCTGAGGAGCCGTAAACAAACCTCAACTAAAACGCCACTCTATAGCCACAAATAATGCTCAGAACAGCACCTAACTTCATTAAAAGCACATATAGGGTCCCAGCCACCAAACATCTTTTTAACTTTGCCTGATTTCTTTAGCAAAGAGACTAAACACAACTCACCTACTCTCTTCCAGCAGCTGTTTGTTTGTAACGAGACCTCGGGCCAGTCCATTAAGACTACAGCGGGGTGACGCAGCTCATTTATGATTATTTCTTTATCATTTTCTGGAAGTAATAATCATCATATTAATCATTTTGCTGTGCAGACGCGGTAGTTCTTCTGCCTTGGCGTCTCGGTCTGATTGCATTTCCATAAAGAAATTATCATAAATGTTCTTCCTTAAGCTGCGTCACCCCACTTCAGTCCGTAATGGACTGGCCCGAAGTCTCGCTACAAACAAGCGGCTGCTGGAAGAGAGTAGGTGAGTTGTGTTTAGTCTCTTTGCTAAAGAAATCAGGCAAAGTTAAAAAGATGTTTGGTGGCTAGTGCTATGGCTGAGACCCTATACTGTTGATGAAGTTAGGTGCTGTTCTGAGAGTTGTTTGTGGCTATAGAGTGGCTTTTTGGTTGAGGTTTGTTTATGGCTCCTCAGACCGCTGTGTATTGCTCTCTGCGGTCATTACAAAAGTTGGTAAAACTAGAGAAGCAAGCAGCCAGCAATATTCATCTCTCGAGGGGGTACCTACCTCGGTGTTATGGTGTGTTTCACCCTAGATTAATTTAACACCAGGATATCCCTTTAAGAACTTATCATTATTATGGGCCCTAAAAATCCAACGCATTTTGACCTGAAGTACCGGTACTGCTGTATATTGAAGCAACAGCAGTGTCAGTAACATGCTCAGAACTTGATGGGTGACGTCCATGCGTGCACACACAGGACTCCAGCGTAGTGAATAGGCCACCTTTGCTCCAGCCAAGCTGGGGAATGATCCAGGTATTGAAATATGAGCCAGCTTGTGCTCCCCTTCTTTCTCTCTCCCAGTGTTTTTTGTAATGGCCGCAGGGGGAGAGCATGATGGAGTTATTAAGCAACGCTGAGACTAGAATAGTTGCGAAGGGAGAGGGGTGGTGGCGGGGTTGTGGTTCAGGAGAGGTAGGAGGAGGAAAGAATTAGCACAAAAGTAAAGCGGAATTAGGGATTGGGAATAATCGAGTACAGGGGTTTAGGACCCAGGAATTTGGAATAAAGGAGATGAGAGACTTTTCATGAGTGAGTTAGAATCAAATTAAGCCCCATGGCCAGCCAGGACAGGCAGAGGTCAGCATGAGGTAGAGAAAGAGGAGGGAGAGAGAGAAAGACGAAGAGAGGGGGTGCAGAGGGAGAGACAGAGAGAAGGGGGGGGGGGGTGTTTGAGATGGGGGGCGCTAATGTGAACCAGCTGTAGAAACCTGACACCTCGAGAGTGGGTTAGAAATGAGAGGTGCAGGAGTGAGAAAGAGAGGGAAAGACGGGCTTCAGGAAATAGCATCGAGTAAGAGAAGGATGGAGAAAAAAGGAGGAAAAAATCCTCCTGGAGCAAAACAAAGGATCCCATAGATGGAATTGGCTGCAGAGACGTTCTTCTTTCTCGACTGCATTGCTCTTAAAAGTGGAATCAAAAGTGTGTTAAAGGTGACCGCGTGGGTTCATAATTGTTTATAGTGTATGAAAATCCACTGAGACGAGGTTTTCACTCTTCCCTGTGTTGCATTCAGAAACAGACCGTCTAAAGCACCACTCCCTGACAGTAATGTGAATCATGCTCGGCCTTGTCTGTTTGCTCCGGGCTCTGATGATACAGCCAGAGGCTAATAATGAACTCTCTATCAGGCTGTGAAACCTGAAGGACAGGGTGGTATCATTTCCTGACACCATGGCATGTAGTTCTGTCAGTACTGGTTAGATAGCAGCGATTTAATTTTCGTGTGGTTATTTTGCATCCTTCCTGTCGGCGCTTGGAAACAATCTCACAAATCTCAGATTAAAAGTTAAAAAATCAAAAGGACCAAGACAACTGTGTAGGCGCTGAATTACATTAACAAAGATATTAACAAGGCTAACTAACTCGAGGGGCTTCTTTAAGGTTAAAAAGATTTGCAGTCGGGCTAAATTTTATGACAAAGTTCCAGTTTCAAATTACGTCTCTCTCAGTGAAGTGGCTGTACCTGACTTTGAGAATGTGTCTCATATTTCCCATCGTTTTAACAGTGAGAATGTGTGAAATGTTCCCAGTGCAATGTAAACCTGGCATTAACCTGGACACGCTGTTCTTTGTGTGACGGCTTGCTAATGTGATGTATGTCACAGGGCAGAGGGCCGTGTCATTACTCCATGAGTGGGGGGCGGAGAGGTCATCCAGCAGAAAAAGAGAAGGAGAAGAAAAAAAAAAAAAAGAGCAGTCCTCATTCCCAGGATGGCCGCCTTGTTGTGATATCATGACCAAGCTGTGTTTGTGTTTGAAGTGAGGAGGGCCGTCTCAGTGTTTGTGTATTTATGTGTGTGTGTTTGTGTATAGGCATGTGTGGAGGGGGTTGCACTGCAGACGTGCTGATACAGGGACAGAGACAGGGAAGAGGGAGGGTGGCCATGTCTAATCAGAGAGAGTTAGGGTCAGGAGGCATGAAGTCTGAGCTTTCTTTGAAGACCATACATCACTTATCTCCCACATGGTTTGACTGTTTATCACTCTCACCGTGAATAGGAGCACACAAAGGGTTTTTACTCAATAATAAACTGAAGTGATGATAATATTTCAACATAAGGTGTAAAACAGTGTGAAGTGCAAAACAGCCAAACTCAACGGTGTGTTAACTCTCCCAATGCTACTTTGATACTTTGATTAAAAAACTGTTTTTTTATTCTCAATTAGGCGGACCATTTAGACGGATAAAAATCAGTATTTGGTACAACAACTTTCTCTTATTTTAAAACATAGACTAGATAGCAGCTGTCATGTTTCTGTTAGACTAGTGGAGGGGAAAGGGTGGATTATTGATACACAAGTTAGTAGGGGTGGAGAAAAAATCACTTCACATAAATATCCCTTTTTTTAATTTTTTTTTTTACAAATTTTAAATCTTTTTTTTTTGTAAAAATAAAAAAATGTTTTTTTGTAAAAAAAAAAAAAAAAAAAAAAAAAACGTTAATTTTTTTTTTCAAATCTAAGAATAGATCTAAAAAAAAACCCTGATATATATGTGATGTGTATTTTTGGGGGAGATATGGTTTCTGGAATAGTCAGTAGACAATCATAATCATTCAACTGTTTCACTGGTGTTAAAAATGCAGACAAAAAATCGAGAAAACCAACAATATCATAAATCGCATTTTAAATCGACTCGGCATTCAAAAAATCGTATGTGTCACATGTGCAGCTTTTAATGCCAAAGAACCTTATCAATTGAAAAGCATATATTTTCATGTTTAAATACAAGTAATGAAAATTATTATTGATTTAAACTTTAGGTGACAATAATTTGCCTTGTTATGTTGAGTTAAAAAGTAGGTTGTTGCATAGTTAATAAACAATAAAACACAATGTAGTAAGGAAACTACCTCCACTGGGTTTACACGGCCTAGTCCGAACAACCTAAAGCCTGGTATCGGTCCGAGTCCTGATAGTTGGGGACTCCTGTTATAGAGCATTATCAGCAGTGGATTTTGAGCTCTGTAGAGTATCAAATAAGGACGGAAAGAAAGAAACATGTCTTACTGATCTAATTAAACTCACTTTCGGTGCATGCAGAAGCAGATAAGTCATTTACGACTTTTGAAACCCAAACTGACGTTAGTGACGGTAACAGAAACATTAAAGTTTGATTAATATTTTTCTTAACTTTTTCCCCAACAAAGAGTAAAACTGAAACAAACTGTTCGCTTGTTGCTTATTTACATTGTGATTCCAATTGATACCGTAATTATTCGGTTGTGCGTGTGTGTCGTATTTGATAAACTGTAAATGTTTTTAACAGATGAATCAGTCAGAGAGAGACTGTTGCTTAATCTTGTTTGTCCTATTTAAGGAGACATCGGGTGAGTCACACACGATGCAGGCAGACGTATCACAGATGTGATTGATCTGAGAAACTTCTGCCTGGCATGAATCACAGCTCTCCTTCGTTCCCATGCGCTCACAACCTAATATCTTCAAGCTGCTTTGGGGTGGGGTGGGCTGTAACAAATACAAGGCAGTGAGCATGAGACTCAATTTCAGATAATTCTCATTTCCAGTGTTTTCAATGGCGGATGACACCCATTGCTGCTCTTCAGTCGTCTGTTTTCACATGCTCCAGGGCTGCTTATGAGGGAAATAAGCAGAGTTTCTTCATCAGAAAGGGTCTGAAAGGAGATATTAGTTTATCTGCGTACGTGTATGTGTGTGTCTCAGTGACTGCGCGCTTTATCTTTGCTCTCCTATTATGTTACCTGAACCCCTCCAGGGAGGCAGGTTCAGAGAGCTGTGCAAGAGGCGGCGGGTTGTTCTGTCACCCATGGTCCCCAGACAGGGTGTCTGCCATGTGCCACACACCAACGCACAAGCCTACACACACACACACACACACAATGAGCAACAGGCAGCTGATCGAAAAAAGCGAACGCAGGAAATTACCTGACTTCAAACGTTTCTACTCGTCAGAAAAAATTTAGAAAATATAACACATCTGACCAAATACTGTCAGACGGAGAAGTGGTCTGGAAAGAGGGAGGGGCTGAGAAAACAGAGGAATAGAAAGTGGGGAGAGGATCGAGGTCTCTGCTCAGATCCCTTGTGGACGTATTGTGTAATACTGTAATTTCCTCCTCACTGCTCCGCATGCTGCTGAATCACTTCACTGAAAATAGTAAAAAAGCAAGAAATCGAAAGGAAGACATGTTGAATGGGTTCTATGTTTTCTGTGAATATATTGATCAAAATCATGACAGTATTCATCTGTCGGCACAAACTTTGTAATCTGTTATTTTCCCCCCGAAAGTTTTCTTGTACTTTCCACTCATTGTTTTTCAGTCTCTGCCAGCTTTCAGTCAACAACTTCCAGATGACTCCACCTTACATCCTTCTACATTTGTTACTTCTTCTTTACCATCTCTGACCTTCGTTTCAACCTCTCACCAAGCTCGGCTTCCTCTTTCTCTGACAGGGTTTATGGGTTAACAGCTCAGGCCAACCAGTAGATCATATGTGCAGTTGTGGAGTTTGTAGTTTTGTCCTCTCACAATATCCAATCTTTGATCAGTCAGCTCAGTGATATATTCTGTTATGTGTTTTTGTGTTTCTGTAGTGTCATGCGTTAAATCTTGCTCGATCTCTCTTGGGACAGTGCGCTCTGTTAATGCACCCTTTTACCTCTTTACTCTAAACTGAAGTGTAATGGCTGAAGTGATTGAATAACTACTTTCTCTTTAAGCACGACCACAGATTTAACTAATACTCCTACTTAGGGATGTGGGTCCCCACAGAGGCAGGACTGAGTATTAGACAGTGGAGTGTACCTGCTCTTGTTCATTGGTTCATGAGTCCTTTTGATGTGTGTGTGTGTGTGTGTGTGTGTGTGTGTGTGTGTGTGTGTGTGTGTGTGTGTGTGTGTGTGTGTGTGTGTGTGTGTGTGTGTGTGTGTGTGTGTACTACATGACTTTTCATCAGCGTTGCCTTTCACTGTAAATACTGTTGTCTGATGTGGTGCATTACGTGCACCTGACTGAAACTCACTCTTTTGTTTTGTTTCTTTGTCTCTTTAAAAAAAGCCCACGAACACTTCTAAATCTGACTTTTGTTTAACCTTACTTTCATCTTTATTGTCTGAACTGTGCGTGTGAATGTGAGTGTTTAACCCAGTTCTGGTTTTATGTGTGTGTGTGTCCAGGTGTGCTCCAGGCTTTCTGGGCGAGTACTGCCAGCATAAAGACCCTTGCCAACCCGGATACTGCCTGAACGGAGGGAACTGTTCGGTGTCTATGTCAGCTGGCGTACCTGTGCCGGGCAGCGCCACCTGCGCCTGTCCCCTCGGCTTCACTGGTCAGCACTGCCAGACTCCCCAGAACTCCACCTGTTACCCCAACAACCCCTGCGCCAACAAGGGTGTCTGCACTCTGCTGTCGCTTGACAAGTTCAAGTGCGAGTGCGCTCGAGGATGGACAGGTGAGCCGCTGTCCGAAAAAAGGGCTGTGAAATGTGGCTCAAATTTATCACATGAACAAAGACTTTATTTTCTAAACTTAAACTTGAACTTTTTCCTGTTTGTTTGTACAACTTAAGGACTTTATAAACCTTTTTTTAAACACTGCCTAAATTGTCTGATAGCCTCACTCTTTTTAAACAGCTTTCTTGATTGAATTCCTACACATATCTATGAAATAAAGACACATTTGACTTGTGTTTTCACGGCTGTTCCGATACACATTTGACCCTGTGGGGTTATAAATCAATGGATAGACATACTGATAATTGACACATCCAGTAAGAGGAAATAATCCTCAGCTCTTCTCCCTTCTTTTCACTTTTAGGTCTCCGATGCGAACAGGAGGACAGCTGTCTGTCCAGCCCCTGTGCAAACGGTGGAATATGCAGCTCTCTGCCTGATGGAAAATACACATGTTCGTGTCCCAGCGGCTACTTCGGCCCTCGCTGTCTGAATGACACCAACGAATGTGCTATTACGCCTCCCATATGCCAGAATGAAGGAGGATGCCTCAACATCCCTGGCTCCTACAAGTGAGTGTCCAGTTCTTAAAAAAATGTCTAAATATGTTTTCACCCCGGACATTTGAGGAGGACAGTTGTAAAACCAAAAAGAGTTTTCATTTATTAGTCATGGTTTATTTTAAGATGTTCTTATACAGACTGAATGAATGACACTTAATGAACCTTTTATTGTCGCTGTAGGTGTGTCTGCGCTCCGGGGTTTACGGGCAAAAACTGTGAAAGCTCGTACATCCCTTGCTCACCTTCCCCCTGCCTTAATGGAGGCACCTGCCACCAGAGCTCTGAAATCAGCTACTCTTGCCACTGCCTTCCAGGTAGGAGGATCGAAACGCCAGACTTAAGCCTAATATGAGCTTGATGAAATCTAATCTTGATAAGACCACAGTAGTTTGTTACACTCTGATCCTGATCTTCATGTATAAATGATTGTACCTGTGAGTTATTGTAACAATATTTTGTTTGAGGTAGAAACAGTCTGATCCTGTTGGCGGTGTTGTGTTAGACAGACTCTGCTGTCATTTTGCTACACTTAACTAGTGGACACAACAAACACACACACACAGGTTGTGTTTATACATTACCAGGACACGTCAGAAGACTTGAATACACCAAATCGTATCTCACTGAAGGTGCTGTATTTGAATTCATGCTCAGAATCATTGTATCGCTGATATCATCCTGTTTGTTTGTTATTTTTGCGGCAGGTTTTAACGGGACGAACTGTGAGAACAACATCGACGACTGTCCCGGTCATCAGTGTGCAAACGGAGGGACCTGCATGGACGGAGTTAACACCTACAACTGCCAGTGCCCCCCAGAGTGGACCGGTAAGGGATTTGTGTGTTTGATCATGTTCCTGTGAGCTCAGTTGTTTGTCTCCTTCGTGTTTCCTCACTTGATGTTTTGTTTTGCGTCATTCTTTGCTCTCTATCCTCCGGAGGCATTTACTTCACACAAGGCGTGTCTCTGCTAGCCATTCGTGTTGCATATGTAAGCTCTTCTTTTTACAAAGCAAACATGCATACAGCAGCTTCCTCAGGCCTGTCTTAGTTTATGTGGCTCTAAACCAACCGAGAGAAACACACTCAGCGGATGAAAGGATCTCAATGTACATTTTCTATGTATGCAAAAAGTTAAATCATCCGATTAGATGAAAAGAATCTAAAACACTTTTCTCCTTGTATCATTCACAGGTCAGCACTGCACAGAAGATGTGAATGAGTGCCGTCTGCAGCCGAACACTTGTCAGAACGGAGGGACTTGCAGCAACCTGATTGGCAGCTATGTCTGCGTGTGCGTTAATGGCTGGAGCGGAGCTGACTGCTCTGAAAACATCGACGACTGTGCGACAGCAGCGTGCAGCCCCGGCTCCACGTGCATTGACAGAGTCGCATCTTTTGTCTGTCTCTGCCCTCACGGGAAGACCGGTAAGATATCAGCGAGACACGGAATATTTCTTCATGAATTCAGACTTCTTTGAAATTTTAGCATGATGATTAACAACATTTTAATTCGGTGCTATTGAAAGAGTTTACTTTGACTGGAAGTAGTTGTATGTAATCCTCACCCAGCACCACAAACGTACTATACCAGACAATCCAGCACACTTGCTTTTTTACCATTCAAATCTTTTATTGAAATATCTTAACATGTGCTTTTTGGATTTCTCCTCATCGCCACTGTTCAGGGTTGCTCTGCCACAGAGACGACGCCTGTATCAGTAACCCCTGCAGGGAAGGCTCCCAGTGCGACACCAACCCCATCAGCGGCATGTACAACTGCAACTGCCCACCTGGATACATCGGCAGCACCTGCCAGACAGACAGAGATGAATGCAGCATTGGTGAGCGAAACAAAGTTAAAATACACACAGGATGTGTTTGGCTTCTGATGTTCTGCTTTCAAGCTTTCCTGTTTCCTCTTTATCATTAGGCACCAACCCCTGTGAGCACGGTGGTCAGTGTGTGAACACTGACGGCTCCTTCACCTGTAACTGTGTAAGGGGTTACGCTGGGCCGCGATGTGAGCAAGATGTCAACGAGTGTGCTTCGAGCCCCTGTCAGAACGACGGCACCTGTCTGGATCGCATTGGGGACTACACCTGCATCTGCATGCATGGTATACTTTAAAGCACCCATGCAGAGTATTATATTACATTTCAAAATCTGAGACTGTTTTTGCAAGAGCCTGTCCTGAACCACCAGGAAGAGGCTTACTGGAATACCGATTGTGATCAGTGGCTCAAAAGCATTACAAAAAGTGTCCAGCAACACAACAAAATCATTTTATCAATCTTGATTTGTCTAGGACTTATCATACAACATAGTAGCACAAAGTGATTTCAACACAGAAGAATGCAAACGAAAAAAAGAATACCCCTGACAGCATTTACTCCTCATCTAAACCCCACAATCAAAACACAACAGTGGGAAGTTAAAAAGTGTATTGAGTGGTACGACAAGAGAGCGGTACGAGCTCAAATCCGGTTATCAAATCTATTTTGTGAAAGCAGGAATATGCGCACTGAGGAAACGCCATCTTAAAATTCAAAATGAGGAAACACTGGGGGTACGGTTAAAATCAAAAGCAGTAACGTAAAATGAAATTTAAGAAAAAACAAATTGAAGTGAAATGAAAAAAGAACAAAAGACATTAAGATAAGATCACCAAAATAGCTCAATAAAACTATATACAATATGTCGAATACACATTAGAAAAAAACCTGTCAGCATAAATATGTATTTGTATTCTTGAATACAAAGATACAAAGTGTCATTATTCCATGTCTATGAAGCGCCATGTATGAAAATATTCTAACATTCAAAGTCAAAAGTGTGTTTTTTTTCAATACTTACATTGACACATAAATTTGGCAGCTTTCTGGCTCTAAAATCCCTAAGCAGTTTTTTTTAGGTGTTTATATTTTTGTCCCACATGATGTAGGAAACAGAAGCATGACTTCTTTGTTGGAGTAGACAACTAATTCCTGGCCTACTTAGATAGCTAACCGTGACAGACTGAAACTACTTCACTTCTGCAGAGACAAAGTCTAAGACAGAAATACTAAAACTTGTCTGTTTCCACACGTTCAGGTTTCGAGGGGACTCACTGTGAGATCGAAATGAATGAGTGTCTAAGCTCACCCTGTCTGAACCAGGGGAAATGTCTGGACCAGGTCAGCCGCTTCGTCTGCGAGTGCCCAGCAGGTTGGTACACAGGCTGCCCTAGTTATGTTATTTATTTCTGTTGATTTCCACCTACAAACAAAGATGCCCATAGAGTTTCATCAGTGATCAAGGTGTTTGTGTTTATGTCCATCTTGTTCTGTCTCCTGTTTTCAGGCTTCAGTGGTGAAATGTGCCAAATAGACATCGACGAGTGTTCCAGCACTCCCTGCCTGAATGGGGCCAAGTGTAGCGACATGCCCAATGGATATGAATGTGAATGTACTGAAGGTAAAAAGGAATGACCTCCTTTTCAGTTCAATCAAAAGCAACATTTTCCCACTTGTAGGGTGACCATATTCTGAATCCCCAAAAAGAAGACACTACTATGCAAGACGGAGCCGCGTGTAGTAAATTTTGAGGGTTTTTCAGGTCGGGTTCAGTGTTTTTACACTTTTAACTCAGTTAGTCTACGCTACACAAACTTAAAAACTTCCATACAAAACCCTGGACATTTGAAGGATTTTATAAAAGAGGACATGTCTGGGTAAAAGAGAATGTATGGTCACCCCACTCATTTGTATTTTTTTCCGTATTCCCTGTAATGAGCTGATAAAGTAGGAACAATTGTACTTTTCATAAAACAAAGTGCCACACTAGTTTGCCCCGGAAAATTGCACAAAATTGTCATTCTATCCATTCTGCGGTCGCCTTTGTTATTTTTCTAAGATAAGATATTTCCCCTCCAGGCTTCACCGGTACACTCTGTGAGGAGAACATCAACGACTGCGTACCAGAACCATGCCACCACGGTGTGTGTAAAGACGGCATCGCCACCTTCTCCTGCGAGTGCTATCTCGGATACACAGGCACGATCTGTAACATCCAGGTCCAGGAGTGTCACAGCAACCCCTGCCAGAACCGAGGGCGCTGCATCGATCTGGTCAACGCCTATCAGTGCAATTGCCCCCCAGGAACCACAGGTATGTGGTCTGCGAGTGACAAAATGCATCATATGGCGAGATGAATTGTAGTCTTAAAATTCATGGATGTTAATGATGGAAGCAGTTGTGATAAGGTTATGACAACAGCATTCTGGATTGTTTACAAAGTACAGCATTAGAATAAAGAACTTTCACACCTTCACCTTCTTCTTCTTCTTCTTCTTCTTCTTCCTTAGCCCTGTATAAGGCCCCTTCCTCTAACGGAAGAGTCTGCTGCTGCTTCTTTTGCGTTGACTTGTGGTTTCTATGGTTACCATGCTGATTAAACTAAAAACACGAAACGTAGCTTAAAGTTCAAGTTCCTTTTTAGCCGAGTATTTATAAGGTCTGCATAATCTTGAATTCAAGACTAAGGAATCCTGTTTGCCAGCTCATCAGATCTTCTCATGAGTTTCAAGTTTCTCTGACCTTTCAAAGTTTTATAGTGGAGCTAACAGCTACTGTTAAATGTAAAGACCTCCACCCCCACATGTTGAGCTTCCTGTAAACTTTCAATACATTCAAAGTCGTGTAAAGTGTAGAGCACTCTGAAGTGAGTGTGTAAGTCACAGGTCTGGGTCGAGCAGTGTAACACTGTGTTGCTCTGTGGATTAGTAGATTCTCTTCAGTATATTGTATCACCCTGAGACCTGGTACTGAAGTCTTTACTGTCCTCACTTAAAAAAAACTGTGTTAGGTCACCCTGTCAGGTCTCACTTTCTGGTTTCATGCCTACACTTCCCCTCCTCCTGTGGCCTTGTTCCCCCTCGGTCTCTCTGTTTCTGTTTCTCGTTCGTTTCCTCTCTCTTCAGTCTCTCAGACTAACAGCTGTGCCCCTCGTGTTATTCACCGAGTTTATCTTACCATATATCACAATCTAGTCATAGCAGGCAACTGCTGTAAAGTCTGTCAGCACTTTTGTCGACATTTCTTCATTTTTTCCTCTTGCCGCGCTCCGTGGACTCTTACTCCCCCTGGTGGTAGATAAGTTAACCATCACATTTAATCAGAGCAACTCGATCTCTTTCACCTCCAGCTCACCTCCTTGCTGACACCAGTCAGAGAGAGATGTGATGGGGTGTTTGTAGTTTGCTTCTTTGAAACCTTAGCAAACATTCCCAATTATAGGAAATGATAAAGTACGATTACATGAATGTGAATTCATGACTTTGTGTTTGTTATTACCCTGCTTAGGAACGAACTGTGAAATCAATGAAGACGACTGCGCCAGCAACCCGTGTGAATACGGAGAGTGCCACGATGGCATCAACGAGTACAAGTGTGTGTGCTCTCCGGGATACACAGGTACAGTCTGGTATTAGTTTAATGTTCTTCAAGCCGAAAAAAATGGGAGAAAGTATAGCCTGAATTGGAGATGCTTTAGAAATCAACATAGAGAACCCAACCTTGAGTGCTTTTGATTAATCTGACCCTCAAATCCTGCTCTAACAGGTGTTAAATGTGAGGTGGAGATCAATGAATGTCACTCAAACCCGTGCTTAAGTGGAGGAACCTGCATAGACAAGATCAACGGGTTTCAGTGCTCTTGCCCACCCAGCACCCACGGCCCACTGTGCCTCTCTGGGACTGACCACTGTGCTCCCCAGCCTTGCCTACACGGAGAATGCATTGAACAACAACACGGGTATTGTATCTTACATTTCCATAATCTGTCTATATGTAATGCCTCTTTAAGTCTGAGTGAAAGTGTACCGCTCTAATGCTGTTGGAAAGGAATTTAAGACCCACAAGATAGAGCAAAACAAATCATTAATCTTCCCTGCTACATTTAACCTGCAGTTTCAGAAGCTACATGTGTAAAAAAAAAAGACATTCTTGGGGAAGCCTTTTCATGTGGCTAGTTCCCACATTTTAACATGTCTTGTTTTGTCTACAGGTATCATTGTAAGTGCGAAGCAGGCTGGGTGGGACATCGCTGCGAGGAGGAAAAGGACGAGTGCCAACCTAATCCGTGTCAAAACAACGGCGTCTGTTTGGACCGACATAATGGCTACACCTGTCAGTGCCAACTTGGTTTCAGAGGTTATAACTTTGAGTGATCATTCAAAGTGTCAGTGTTGAATAATTTAACCAAGAAGAGACGATTTAAAAGTACTTTACTTTAAAAAAATCATCATTTGATTTTCTCTCCTTCTTTTTCCTGAAGGTGTGAACTGTGAGAAGAACATCGATGAGTGTGTGTCCGGGCCTTGTCTGAATCAAGGCATTTGCATCGATGGAGTCAACAGTTACACCTGTCAGTGTAGTCCACCATTCACAGGTTTGTGTTGTCGTATCCTATTAACCAACACTCAAGCATTAAAAAGCAGCTTTATCAGCATCTGTCTTATTATCATTTGAGGGATATCTCTATCCACTGCTTTTTAAACATACAGGTAAACACTGCGAGGTGGAGCAAGTACCCTGCGCCTCTCATCCATGTGAAAGAGGGGGAGTGTGTCGCCCATCTACAGACTACACCTCTTACATTTGCCAATGTCCAGCCAGCTGGCAAGGTATGTGTGTGTGTGTGGGTTTGTCTCAATGAGAGATGTGTAACTGTTGTCATTTCTATTTCAACATATTACAGCTGTGTATTTTGTATGTTTACCATTGTGTAGGACCACGCTGCAGTGAGGACGTAAATGAATGCAAGAAGAACCCTTGCAAAAATGGTGGCCGTTGCATCAACAGCCCGGGTAGCTACATGTGCAAATGTCCGCATGGGTACAGCGGGCACAACTGTCAGACTGACATCGACGACTGCTCACCCAGTGAGTAGCACTTGGATTTATTCAGACACCTGCACTAACCAAATCATTTTTTTTTATTTAGACTTTATTTTGCAGTTTTCCATTAACAGACGTACAACTTCCAAACATGGACCCCCTCACCCAAGGCTCTTGAACAAAAAATAAATTAAACAGAAAAACAAAAATACAAAAATAGTCAGACAGTGACCTCTTCTCATAAGTTCAGAAAATTAACTTATGAGATTTGCATTAATTTAATGTAAATCAATGCATTTTTGGCAGCCATGCAAAATCAGGCATTTCGGTGACAAATCACCTGAGACTTGCGATAATCCCTGAATGGATTAAGATCCAAAATTAGCCTCAGATACCGTGTGAAATGTCGTAACACAGTATGTCTGATTTGAAGAAACTGGAGACAGAGATCAGGGGAAGGTATTTCGCCTCTCAGTCATTTCAGACAGGTTGCTTCTGTAATTTTCACCACTAATTGAGATCAGTTGTTTGTTCAATGTTTGCCTCTAAATCTCCCCCCCCTGCAGACCCCTGCCTGAATGGAGGCTCCTGTGTGGACGGCGTTTGGAGCTTCTCCTGCGACTGTCGCCCGGGTTTTGAAGGCGTGCGCTGCGAGACCGAGGTGGACGAGTGTGCCAGCCAGCCCTGCAAGAACGGTGCCAACTGCAAGGACCATGTCGACAGCTTTGTGTGCAGTTGTCGACCGGGCTTTGAAGGAATCCTGTGTGAACACAACATCCTTGAATGCACTGAAAGGTGAGCCGTAAAACTTGCATTTTACTACCAGACTGGACTGCGCTGTTCTCTTGTTGTAAATTCTTCCTGGATGAACTCATTCCCAGCAGTAACCAGAGAGAGTGGGTGACTGGTATGTGTAAAACAAATGTCTTCATTTTAGTCAGCTTGATGGCTTGCAACGGAAAAAAACAAAACATGTCCGTGTGATTGAAGAGATGATCTTACTTTGAAGATTTCACAGGTTTCACTTTATCGCCGGTCCTCTTCTCTACTAATCAGTTCTTTTCCTCCTCTCGATCTCTTCCTTCAGCTCTTGCCTAAATAACGGGACTTGCATCGACGACATCAACACCTTCTCTTGCCGGTGCCGTCCTGGATTTTATGGGACTTTCTGTGAGTATGAGCAGAACGAGTGCGACTCTCAGCCCTGTAAGAATGGAGGCACCTGCGCTGATGGCCTGGACACCTACCGCTGCACTTGCCCTGTCGGATACAGTGGACGAAACTGCCAGGTAAAGTGTCAGTGCGCAGTGTATCTAACATGTGTAGTAATTTTTTGAAATTACAGAATAAAGACATTTGATAATTTTCTAATGTTCAGAGGAAAAAAATATACAAGAATGTTTGATACTGAAGATTTTAAAACTCAGATTTCTAGGGTTAGGTATTTTAATAAAAACACAATTCAAGCTAAACTTTCCAGTCAACTTAAACTCTCTCTCTCTCTCTCTCACTCTCTTTTTTTTTCCCGTACCCAGAACTATGTGAACCTTTGCAGTCAGGTGCGCTGTCTCAACGGTGGCTCCTGCTCTCAGACTGCCAACTCCTGGACCTGCCACTGTTCATGGGGATGGACGGGACTGTACTGTGACGTCCCAAACCAGTCATGCCAGGATTTTGCAGCCACGAAAGGTGAGACGCTACTTCCTGTTCCTGTGTTTGCCTAATTAAAGGATGAGTAACAGTCGGAAATCATAGTCAATATTTACACCACTGTTTTGCCTCTCCCTTAGTATGAGTCAAAATCAGTGCTAGCACTAAAGGAAGTAACCCACTGAGCAACGTTTAGTTTTTTTTGTAGACCTAATTTCCACCATCTAGATTCTGTATATTTTTAGACGGAATTTAGAAAATGATGTTTTTTACAGGGTCAAAATAAATGTACAGCGCTCTTGTACACTTTAATGCACAGATAGCTTACAAGTCTTTTTTGATGTGAATTCAAGCCTGTCAAAGACGTTTTTAATCCTGTCTACCAGCTCATCATTAAGCTGTCATTATTACTGTTCATATTTTTTCCACCTGTAGGTATTGAAGTGGAGAACGTGTGTGAGAACGCCGGGCGGTGCATAAATGAAGGCAATTTCCACAAGTGTGCATGCCAGCCGGGATACACAGGCCTCTACTGTCAAGACAAGGTGGATGAGTGCAAGTCAAACCCTTGTCGTAACGGAGCAACCTGCAAGGACTATCAGGGCACATATGAGTGTCTTGTAAGTACATTTTCACACCTTTAATTTTTTGTCTTTGTGCCACAGATTACAGGTAGAAAAAGTTTCATTGTAATCCCATACACTGTGTGTAAAAATGGACGCTTTGTAAAGCCAAAAACATCACCTCTACAAGCCAGGTTGCTTCAGCATATGAAGGCATGCTGTCCATTCTTTGTACAGTCAGGGGGTAATACCGAACAAACAGCAGCACATCCAAAACCCACAGTCGGCTCACCTCAGTCTCTTGCTTCATTGTTTCAGTGTAAGCCAGGCTTCCAGGGTGTGAACTGCGAGTATGATGTCGATGAATGCCACTCTAAGCCCTGCCTACATGGAGGAACTTGCATCAACCTCATCAACCGCTTTGCCTGTGCCTGCCCTCCTGGAACACACGGTGAGTCTGCACGGATTATAAGCTCCTACACAGGAGGGTCACAAGAGATAGGCTGCTATGAAACCTTTTCATGTAAAGCTGCTTTACAATTAAAAACAAAGATAAAGAAATGCTCCAATGAGACGTGTGTTTGGTTTGGGCGGTTAACAAAATGACTTGTGTGGTGCCTCTGAAAACAATACCAAGAGTGAGGAAGAGCTATCTGGAGAAAGTTTACAGTTGAATTAACTACAAACACTGATATCTCTCTGTTCTCTACTCTGCAGGGCTTCAGTGTGAGGTAAACGTGGATGACTGCGCCCCCCAGCCTGGGTCCTCAGAGCCTCGCTGTAGAAACGGAGGACAGTGTGTGGACGGTGTGGGTCGTTACACGTGCTCCTGTCCTCCAGGGTTCGTCGGTGAACACTGTGAGGGTGACCTCAATGAGTGCCTGTCCGGGCCCTGCCACGCCCCTGGCAGCCTTGACTGTGTGCAGCTAATCAACGACTACCAGTGTCGCTGTCGCCTTGGATACACCGGTACAGTCACCTTAGCTTTTTTTTTAAAAAGGACATTCAGGAGTCAGTTTTGAATTAGAAAAACCAGCATGTCAGTAATAAACCAATCAGATTATGATCATATTATATTCTTATGATCGCTCTCTTTTGTCCTCCAGGTCGTCACTGTGAGTCTATGGTGGATCTGTGTCTATCCAAACCGTGCCACAATGGGGGAGTCTGCTCAATGAACATGAGCTCAGTCCACGGCTACACCTGCTCCTGCACACCTGTGAGTTTCTCAAACTTCCCACCTTTTTTGGCAAAACATTTAACACTGGTTTGAACTGATTCCCCTCCGCAACACTCACTTCCTAAACAGCGTCTCTCTTTTTTTTTTTTAATCTCACAACAGACAGGTTTTACAGATGTTTTATTTCCATAGAATATTATCATTGTTTTTTAGATATTCATCACTACTTTCATGTATAAATGACCCAGAAGTTATGCCTTTACAGAGGATGTCTGAGGCTCCTGGTCTGAGATATTAGCAGTTTGCTGTTGTTACATTACCTGCTGTTTCAATGTTTACTTGCAGCTGTTGGTTCTGAGCCTCTGCAGAAGGTTTTTGTCGATGGAACGGCCCAAGATTTTAGTCACTGTCGATGCAAACAAAATTTGCTCATTCTGGCCTCTGTTTTCAAGAGAGCTGTCAGTGAAGTGGCGAGCACAAACGGCTACAACGTGGCTGTCGTCCTGACAATTAGAAAAATTCCCGCTGGTTTCTGGTGCTTTGTTGTTTGGGAAAAGAAAATACCTGTGATTTTCCCTCACAACCCACCCAAAAAAATTAACAAAAAAAAAAACCCTTAATGAACTTCCCTTCAGAGACATACTGGATCGAGGGCAGAAATGGATTTTCCAGCTTCAGGGTGGGCTTGTTCTTTGACACATTTCTGATAGGGCGGCACAATCTGACGTCAGGTTGTGGCCAAGTCTCAGATCAGCTCTTCAGAAAAGTTCGAAAGACCGTGTTCAGGGGTGTGCTATCACCTGTGTAGCTCATTTTATGAGACTTTGCTGAGGTCTGAAATGGATATCCATATTTGACAGTGTTATTACATGGTAAATTACACATCAGCGTAGGAGGTTTTCTCCTTTGAGTTTTTGCTGAAAAAGTTGGTCAAAAGTTTTGCCATCAACAGAATTCAAATATCCCTGTCAGTGTTTTAATGACCCTTTAGGCCTAAAGGGTTTACAAATCAGTTTAGTTTGCTGGAAGTAGTAAAGTCGTGACTGGTATGATCATGTGGCAGATTTTAAGAGTCGACTGGTGATATTAATGCCTCAGTGTTTCCTTTTCTATTTACTCTATTATTAGATCAGCAATTAAAAGCTTGATTTCCTCCCCACTAACCTCTCCACTGCTTCCTCTTTTATTTGCACGCTTCAGAAGGTCACACCCTGGCTGAGGTATAGTAGTCAAGCAACTGGTCTGTAGGGAAACTGTAATAGATGTCAGTTTTGTTAGTCCATCAGTTTAGTTCATTGAGTATTATTATGGGCTTTCTATGTTTGTGTAAAGTCAGACTTTTTGAGGTAGTGGACTGCCATCTCACGCTAACGTCATCTTTTCTTTAATAGGGCTTTACTGGGTTCAACTGTGGGGAAATTGAAGGCTACAGTTGTGAGAAGCTGCGTTGTCAGCACGGCGGGCGCTGCGTGGAGTCACCCGGTCGCCACCCGTTCTGTCAGTGCCAACCCGGCTTCAGCGGCCCTCACTGCGAGAACGAGCAGCAGTGTCCGTGGACCTGCAAAAACGGAGGAACCTGCATCAAAGACCCATCCAACCCCTACCAGTACAGATGCCTCTGCTCCATGCACTTCTCTGGAAGATACTGTGAGAACACACTCCCCACACCACGCACCACAACCTGCCCCTACATGCAGTGTGAACAGCACTCTGGGGATAGAGTGTGCGATGCTCAGTGTAACAACCACGAGTGTCAGTGGGATGGAGGGGACTGCTCCCTCAACTGGCGGGAGCCGTGGGTCAACTGCGCCGCCAGTGTTCCCTGCTGGGATCTCTTCAAAAATGGACGCTGTGATAAGGAGTGTGACAACCCCGGGTGTCTGTTTGACAGCTTTGAGTGTCAGGAGACCAAACCAGCCTCCTGCAAGTATGTGACTCTCCTTTTAAATTCATTTTACTGTACTTATTTGTATTAAGCACAAAGTGATACTGACGATACTTGTGGGGCGCTCACACCAAGCGCAAGTAAAATCATCCACTCGCTTAATTCGCGCGAATGTAGGTGTGTGAATGAATAGTTTGAATAGTCGCTTCATTCGCTCGTCAACAGTAATTTCAATGGTTATTCCTGCCAATTCAACTGGTCAGTCAGCTTGTCCTCCATTTTAGATACCAGTGAACAACTGTCTGTTTTCATACATCACCCGGCAACCTTCATACTGAGTAGTTATTGCGACGTGAATACCCGCTCTAGTTGAGATTCGCCCAATTCGCGTCATCTAGTCGCATCTTTGCATTGACTTAACATGTAATTCATTCGCGCGAATGATTTTATTCTTGCTTCGTGTGTGGAAACAGAGTTTTAAAGCCCACTCACCCCCTTTTGCTCCTTGTTTGTGTATTTCAGGTATGACAGGTACTGTGCAGACCACTACGGTAACGGTATCTGTGACCAGAGCTGCTACACAGAGGCTTGTGGCTGGGACGGCCTGGATTGTTCATCTGACACTCCAGCCAAACCGGTGGATGGCTCGCTGGTTATTGTTGTCCGGTTGCAGCCTAAGGAGCTGCTCGGAGACCTGCGGGGTTTCTTGCGTGCCCTGGGAGCCCTGCTGCACACCAACCTGAAGGTGAAGCTGGATGATAACAAGAAGCCAATGGTGCGACCTTACTACGGTACAGAGGAGGAGCAGGGTCGACACGTGCAGAGGAGCAGATCCAAGAGGGAGCTGGAGAGGGAGGTTATCGGGTAAGGACAGCTCACCAAGTCTCCCTTACATCATGTGTAATCTTTTAAACTATAAACAAGAATAGGAATCACCAGTGTGTCACCCTGTCCTCTTTGACACATGTTCTGTGCAGATCTGTGGTGCACCTGGAAATCGATAACCGTGAATGTGTCCAGAGCTCTGTGGACTGCTTCTCCAACATCGAGGAAGCAGCGTCCTTCATCGCAGCAGCACACATCAAGGCTGAACTTCCTTACCCTCTGGTGTCTATTGATAGTAAGTCGGCCCGTCAGTCTGCAACCCATTCGATAAAAGTCAAAACAAAAAAACTAACCGGTTTTATCTTCTCCAGGTAATCGAACAGTGAAACCACCATCACTTGTGCCTTACCTGGTCGGAGTTGCTGTGGTTATCATTCTGCTCATCCTGGTGGTGGGGATGCTTGCAGCCAAGAGGAAGCATAAACAAGGATTTTTGTGGCTGCCTGATGGCTTTTTAGCCAATAAAAATGACAAGAGGAGAGAGCCTGTGGGACAAGATGACCTGGACATGAAGTGAGTGGATATAAAATCAGCATAGTGCATCAAACAGTATGTAGAATTACTATCATTGGGTGAGTGTCATGTTAGAGTGCTGTGTGTTGAAAATCTGGAAACAAACCAAGTGTCTTCCTTACTTTTCGTTAAGATCTCTGTTAGATAACGTAAACAGCTCGAGCAACTGTGGCCCGACTTTTGTACAGTAGGAATGAAAGCAGAAGATGTCACTTTCCGCTAAACTTCTGTCTTTTCTCACACCAGGAATTTCAAGACTCAGGATGGAGCGTTGATCGATGGAGGTCAAGGACAGAGATGGCTCGATGATGTGGTCTCTCCCAAGAAACCAAGAGTAAGTGATAGGAGATGGTCCAAAAAAAAAAGCTGAAATTGAAGAGAGGTTCAAATAAAATCAGGTTTCAAGTTTTTGTAATATAAGGAAAGTTTTTTGGTTCTTTTGAATATTATTTTAAGCTCTGTTATTCTTCACAGACGGAAGACAAACCCTTGCTGCCCATGGCGATGGATGGAGCTGTTGACCGCAGGGAGTGGACCCTCCAGCATCGCAAAGCTGCCGACATCACCCTCACGCCCCCTCAGGCTGACTTGGATGCTGACTGTCTAGACGTTAACGTTAAGGGGCCTGGTGAGGAAATGCGTCATTCTTAATTTTGTAGATCTGATCAGTTTTCAATTTCACCCTCACTAATGATTTCCCCTCTCCTTCAGATGGCTTCACTCCTCTCATGCTAGCTTCACTGCGCAACGGCGGAGGTCCAGACTGCAGCCTGCACGGCGAGGAGGAGGAAGAGAGCGGTGGAGATGAACCCGGGCCCAGCGTCATTTCCGACCTTATCGCGCAGGGAGCGTCTTTAATGGCTCAAACTGACCGCACAGGTGAAACAGCGCTTCACCTGGCCGCCCGCTACGCCAGAGCTGATGCTGCGAAGAGACTGCTTGATGCTGGAGCTGATCCCAACGCCCATGACAACATGGGCAGGACTCCTCTGCATGCTGCTGTGGCTGCTGACGCCCAGGGAGTCTTCCAGGTGAGACACTTGTCACAAAGAGGTGACAGTGATTTATGTGATAAGATCAGTCCTCTCGAGAACTATATTATTGTAGTTCTTTATCATATCTATTGATTCTCCTCTTAGATCCTGATCCGTAATCGTGCAACAGAACTGGACGCCCGCATGAATGATGGCACCACTCCGCTGATCCTGGCTGCGAGGCTTGCTGTGGAGGGCATGGTGGAGGAGCTAATCCACTGCCATGCTGACATCAATGCTGTAGATGACCACGGTAAGGAAACTTCTCATATATACATCACTTGTTAACACTGCTCTTATGTTGGAAACTTGTGAATGCCAAAACTCCTCAAATACAGAGAAGTATCCACTCTGCAGCCAGGCAGATCATTATAATCAGGTTCATGGTCTTTATGAGTAAAAAAGGGTGAATACAAGACCCAGCTTATATTTGATGACTTTCAGTTCACATGCACACCTTTTGTTAACCGTGCTATTGCTGGTTTTGAGTCCCATGATCCTATGCTACTTTACAAAATCATCAAACTCTATGATGTATTACAACATAACATTTGAAGAACTCTGATTTTTGAAATAAAAAATTGAACTTGGATGAAAAACGACCAATTATATGTAATTTTTCATTTTGGATAATATAAATGTGCATCTTTGTCTTTTCTCTGCCCCTCCTTTTTAGGCAAATCTGCTCTGCACTGGGCAGCTGCAGTTAACAACGTGGAGGCGACTCTTGTGCTTTTGAAGAATGGAGCCAACCGGGACATGCAAGACAACAAGGTCAGTTCCTTTGTTTTGATTTGTGATATTATATCTTGTATTAAAAACTTATTTGCATTAGAATTAATATGATTTCATATAAATAGATTTTGTTATTAACATCCAGACTGTAGTTCTTACCTTAAGAATCAGCTTGTTTTTCTGCTAAGCACACGTTTGACCAAAAATTAATAAGCTTTTATTCTACTTTGAGCATTTTGTGCTGTAATGCTAATTTATGACATCTGCTTTTACTGCTATGTACTTTTTCCATCACACCTAATTCACAAAGACAATCACATTTTGAGACACAAGTCCTCCATTAAAGGGCAAGTCATAAAATCAATTTTCTGCAAGAGTCTTTTTTTGAGGTGTTTTTCAAATCAATATCTCTATGATCAAATATGACCACACTTGTCTGCTCTCCTGCACGGTAATAATAAATCCAAGCACTTTTAAAAAAGACATGTATGTGACTTAGGTGTCCTGTTCCCACTAAAGTCTTCACATGCTATGCTCAGGATGCTTTGCACTTGTTTTTTGAACCATACAGACTAGTGAAACAACATGAAAGTAACTGGAACTGGTCAAGTGCAAATGTAAAAACTACATAGTATCATAAAAAGGGTTAAATAGCCTGGGAATTGTTGGTTGACTAGCAGGCTTAAATATTCCTGACTCACCTGGAAAAAATAGAAATTCAGAAGTTCATTTTTTGAGTCGAGCATCATCACAGCGACTCTCAGCCACTCTATCGTCGAATACGTACAAGGCTACTGCGCAATGATGGTTTCAGGAAGTGGAGAAAAAAACATGGAATTACCGAGAGCTTTTCGGCTTCAAATCCATATACTGGTGGAAGGTGGAACCAAGTTGTATGACATGTAGTCTATGGTTTTTTATTATGTAAGTTTTGACAGTGTGTGCTACACAGATTTACATTTTATGTATTTATTTATTTTCAGGAGGAGACTCCGCTGTTTCTTGCAGCTCGGGAGGGCAGCTTTGAGGCAGCTCAGGTTCTCCTTGACCACTACTCCAACCGTGACATCACTGACCATCTGGATCGACTCCCCCGTGATACTGCTCAAGAGCGCATGCATCACGACATAGTGCGCCTGCTGGACCAGTACAACCTGGTTCACAGTCCACACAACGGGCCCAATCACATGGGCGGAGGAGGAAATTCTTCTGTTATGTGTGGGGCCAATGGAGCGGGTTACATGGGTATGCGCCCTGGGCCACAGGGGAAGAAGAGCAGGAGGGGTGGAGGTGGGTCAAAGGTGGGAGTCAGTGGAGGGCCAAAGGATCTGAAAGACTTGAAAGCCAAGAGGAGAAAGAAGCCCGCTGGAGGAGAGGGGCCAGGTGCAGGTGCTGGAGTTGGGGGAGGAAATGGAGGGGGTACAGGAGGAGGTAGTGCCAATGGCGTCAAGGCTGCAGGTACACTTCCAGAAAGCTCCGTAACCATGTCACCTGTCGACTCCTTGGAATCACCGCATTCATACACAGCCGATGTGTCCGGCACCGTCTCCACCACAGCAAACTCCCCTCCCCTCCTGAGCAGCCCCACCTCCAGACCCATGCTGCCTCCGGTCAGCCACATGCTGGGGCAGCAGCAGGGCTGGGTGGGCATGGCGAAGCACGGCTACAGTGGTCACATGTTCGGACTTGTTCCACACCAGATGGGGGGGTCTCACCCTGGTATGGGCCAACACCACAGCCAGGGCGCCATGCTCACTCCCATGAACGTCACCATGAGCAGAGAGCAGCTGCCGCCCATCGTCACGTTTCAGATGATGGCACCTGGAGGAAGCCAGGCGATGATGAAGCAGCCTCAGCCTGGGCAGGTCCAGGTCACACAGGCCCAGGGCCAGACCCAGAGCCAGGGTCACTCTCAGCAGGGTCCTGGCCGCCTCCACTGCTCCCAGAGTCTCATGTACCAGATGTCTGAGCAGATGAGTATGGCCCACGGGCTCCCTCACACCCTGCAGCTCCCCCACTCTGTCAGCCACGGGGGCCACAGCGGGATCGAGGGCCAGTCTCGACCACTACCCTCCTATCCACCCATGCAAAGCCCTGTGGATAAATACCCCACACCCCCCTCGCAGCACAGTTACACCACTGCTGGCTCGGAGGGCACCACCCCTGGCCACTCTGCCCACCCACCCAGTGAGCACCCATATCTCACCCCCTCACCAGAATCCCCAGACCCGTGGTCGTCCTCCTCACCACACTCCAACTCTGACTGGTCTGATGTCACCACTAGCCCCACCCCTCTGGGGAACCCCCACCACGCACTGCCATCTTCACACCGCACACACATTCCAGAGCAGGTGCAGCTGCAGCCGCAGTCCCAGCAGATGCAGCAGGGCTCTCAGCAGCCTCAGCTGGGAAACATGCAGGTGTTTGCGTAGGCTGAACACAGGAAATCAGAAACAGACTGACTTTTGGGTTCTGCGTAGTGAAATGACACAAACGAACTCATCAGATGCTTTTCTCTCTCTTTTTTCTCATTAGTTTACTTTGTCCTTGATCATAGTAATCAATCACTTCTCCTTTTGTGTTTTCTTCTCCTCTTTGCACTTAAGAAAACTCTGTGTATAGTGTCTATAACATTATTGAGTATTATCAGTTCTCAGAACCATCATTTCTCAGTCAAAGTTCTCAGAACCAAAAATCTGTGCAGTGAGCTAACGGTCACTGGCAACAATCAGTTTTCCACGATGATCCTTCAATCCCAGCGGAGCATCCACTGCTCTCCTCTGGCCGGGTCAGACTTTTCTTTTCGGCCTTTGGCTCCAAAACAAACAATTTACTAAGGGATCTTGGAGGATCTGCTGACCGGGTGGTTGTCAGCTGTAACAAACAGATGGATGAGATGGACTCTTGAGATCAGACAAAGGACGTTCTGCGTTGATGTCCGTTTTGAGGACGTTGTCATTTTGTTCTGCTATATGCTATTCTGTTTCGATGTTTCATGTGATAAGCCTGCCAATACTAACTCCTTGTTGAAACCATTTACTGATATGTTTTAAAATGATGGGTCACATTCAGTCGATGCTTTACTTCAGCAAAACTACCTAGTTGTTGCCGTACTATTTTTACTTCTGTATTTTGTTCAATGTGCTAAAGGGGGAATTTTGAGGAAGATGTTGCATGACTTCAAAGACGAACACCAAGACAAGAAAATCGCAGTAAACAAAAGTGCACACAGGAGCATCGTTTTACTTAATTACTCTATACATTTGTACCAACAAGTTAAATGTAGTTACTTTTTTGATTACTGTTGCTATATCAGTGTTTCCCATCAGATATGCTCTGAACCTGCAGAGGGTTTAGTGAAGATGTAAGTACAGGAAGACAGCAGAGTGATTCCCTTTATTTTAAGGCAGTTACTGTTACAATCAATAGTTTGGATGCAGATGTCTCCCCACAGATGACGCGGTTATACTTCGTCTGCTGTTGGGGGATTCGTGTAGAAGCTTGACAAACTTTATGCAAATAAAACATTTTTTTAGTTTGTTTTATGATGTTTTATGTACATAGCACATTCTGCTTCTTGTTACTGAATTCGATTTGGTTGTTGACTTTTTAAAATGTTTTTTATATATAAATTCTGTTCGCACTTCTTTGATGATTCTGAATGTTACAGAGGTACATGTTTTGTTCTTTCAAACTGCCTCTTGCTAAATGTTTTCCAAAATCATTTAACCAGTTTTGCCTTTTGCTTAACTACAATCAGTGTACCTGAGCACCTTTTGAAATGCCATGATTCATAAACCAAGTCTAAATGTAAGTAGGGGGGCGGTGAAATAACTTTTTTTTCCCTTGTTTTCCTTCTGTCTCCCCTCCTGAAGTTCATGCTTGTCATAGCTTTGTGTGACTAATCTGTGAACACAGACAATCATTCATTGTTTTATTTGTAGAATTCCAAAAAGGAGCCCATTTTTTTCTGCCAAAAGTGTACATTGTGTCATGTTGTACATGTTGTTTTCATTTGACCACTTTCAGTTTGTGTTATGATGTGGTAAGAATTTAACTCATCACACACATCCATCAAAAACAAACATTTTAAAGACAAATTACTTCTGCAGGTCTATGAAATGAACGGTTAATGATTAATTAAATATCAGGTATCTCTCTATGCGTTTGTTTCAAAAACATACGAACTTTCTACTTCACAGTATCCGCTTTTTTAAGGGTTGAGCATGTTGGTGCCATTCATACACAAAATCGGTCTCTATGTTGTATATATAATTTTTTTTTTTTTTTTAACTTTCCTCTGTTAACCAAATAGCCTATAATGTACATGCCATATGAAGTAGTTGTCACCATGTTTGTATGAGGTAGAAAAACTAAAACTGTTGTTAAAAATTTGTCTTGCAAAAAAACCAAATGATCAACCAAATGTGCTTACTGAAATAAAACCCAGATCTTCATAGATTCCTGCTCTGCTCTTCATTTGAATAAAGTCTTTATTTGAAGCAGTTTTAGAAATGTAATGTGACAGATAAATACAGTTTAAACCAATTCAGGTGTTACATTGAGGATGAATTTGGTCTTTAAAATTACTTAGTTCTTGGAAATAATTTGATTTACTCCAAATGAATAATGAATCCATGAATTTCATTTGCCCCATCGGGCTACACATTACATGTATTAAAATTTAATAGATATGTGAGGATTTGATGTAAACCCTGGGGAAACTATAGAGTGCTATGATTTTGAAATAGCAAACATTATTATTATTATTATTATTAGTAGTAGTAGTAGTAGTCGTCATATTATTGTTGTTATTATAATAATACTAATTATAATAATTATTATTATTATTATTATTATTATTATTATTGTAATTATTATTATTTTGTTATTCTTATTTTTCTTCTTCTTCCTATTATTATTATTTTTATTATTATCATTATTTTATTATCAGTAGTGGTAGTGTTGTTGTTGTTGTAATTATTTTTATCATTAATAGCATATATTATTATTATTACTATTATTATTATTATTATCAGTAGTGCTAGTATTATTGTTGTTGTAGTTTTTCTATTATTGTTATTATTATTATTATTATTAGTAGTAGTAGTAGTAGTAGTAGTATTATTACATCCAGAATGGTAAGTGCAATTTGCTGCCAGACCAGCAGGGGGCGCAGGTTCACACCGGAAACCTTGACGTAAGAACGAGGAAGAAATCTGTACACGGAAGTCAACCAGGATTTTACATGCATGCATTTGTTTGACTCTGTAGACTTAGTGGGTTAGGTTACTTTTTATCTACCGACGACAAAGCACGGTGCGATGGCTCTGAATGACGAGGCAGTCGGAGTAAAAACCCGAAGAGGATGATGATACGCAGTTTTGAGCGGAGGGTTGAGATCCACAGCGGGTCAATGGACGTCAGGACTTGATGTGGAGCTGTTTTGACAGCTGGGTTGAGACCCCAGTAGCTGGTCTGTGTGTGTCTGAGAGAGAGAAGGGACTAATCTGTGGAGTTTAATCTTACCAAACAGTGTACTTTATGTAGAGACAGACGGGCAGGTCATTGAAGTTATTTGACAGCGCCAGTGGAGGAGCGCGGAAAGGTGAGGAGGGTCTCTCTGGTCTCTGCAGGGTTTGACTCTGGAAGTTCAACTCTTTCTGACTCCAAACTCTTCTCCACTTTCACTCCTTTTTACCCTGTTAGTTCTATCACAACTCGACCACCTCCTCTAATCTTAATCTTACTTTGCAACTCTTCCCTTTCTTTGTTTTCCAGCTTCCTGTTGCCAAGTGGCCATGGCCTCACCCCGGCTCAAGTACCTCTCTCTGGGAGTGCTCGTGTTTCAGACCACCTCTCTGGTGCTCACCATGCGGTACTCCCGCTCCCTGCAGGCCGAGGGCCCGCGGTACCTGGCCTCCTCAGCCGTGGTGGTGGCCGAGGTCATGAAGATCCTAGCCTGTGTGCTGCTCGTCTACAAGGAGCACAGTGAGTGTACAATGAATAACAAGACAAAAGCTGCAAAACCTCAAGTTTCAGATGCTTGCAGCAGCTTCTGACAATGTGTTTGTTAGTCATGATAGTGTAGAATTGATCTGACTTATAGTAGGGCTGGGCGATATGCAAAAAAGTTTATCATGATACTTTTTTTAAATATCACAATATAAAAAATGAAGTTTCAGGGCGTGTTCACACCACCCTCGTTTAGTCTGGTTGAACCGAACCCTGGAGCGTTTTCCCCCTTGATGCGGTTCGTTTGGGTCAGTGTGAACGCTGACCTTGAACTCTGGTGCGGACCAAATAAACGAACTCTGGTCCTTCGAAGAGGTGGTCTCGGACCGTTATAAAGTGAACTCTGGAGCTGTTCATTTCTGGTGTGAACGTCACCCACACCAACCACAGGAAACGCACCACACCAACGACGTTTCCGTGCCAGTGACGACGATGTCATCCTCTGTTGAGTCTTCATTTACATTTCTGCCGGGGGTAGCACTGATTTTCTTTTTTTCTCACTGACAGTGCTGTCGGCTTCACGTGTTTAAGTGCTATGGTCGCGTATAGCTGCAGTCTGTTACTACGCCATTGTTTGCTACTTGGTTCTAATTCAGCACAGGATTGGTTCAGTGCGAAGCGGACCTGGAGCAACTCCCCTTTTCATTGGCTATTTATATAGTCTTCCAAAAAATAACAGAATGCTGACCATCAAAAAGCATATTGACCATGTTTTATATCGATATCGAGGGAAATTAATTTTCGATATATATCATTATCGTTTTATCGCCCAGCCCTAACTTATAGACAATCTGAATATAAAAGATTATTTTCATTTTAATGAGTAGATATGTTGTATCACTCCAGTATTTATCAAAACATAGAACAGTAGGGCTAAATTTTAATTCCTTTGCTGTATTTATATTGCAGATTTTTTCATTAAATATCAGTCAGTGAACATGTTCAAACACCTTTCAAGCAGGTCAATTGAACATTGAAACCCAAGCATAGCATGTACAAATGTAGTATACCTGATGTTAGCGAAGCATTTGTAGTACCACACATGCCTGAATGCAAGCATAGCATAGTCAGAGTTGATGTTCACCATCATTGTGAGTATGATCAGGTTATTCAGGTTGCTCCTCCCCTTTTTTTTTTTCACTCCACAGAATACAGCATGCGAGCTCTCAACAGTGTCTTGCGACAGGAAATTGCCCATAAACCCATAGAAACACTGAAGCTGGCTATCCCCTCTGGGATCTACACCCTGCAGAACAACCTGCTGTATGTTGCCCTGTCCAACCTTGATGCAGCCACCTATCAGGTACAGCAGATTCAAGAGACGATCATGTTGCAAACCTCCATGAATCCAGAGGAGGCATGGAGCTGATCTGTCTCCCTGACCTACTTAATAAGTAGCGTATAAACTTGCCGAGGGTTTGTTTGAATTCCCCCCCTCTTTTTACCTAATAGGTGACATACCAGCTGAAGATCCTGACCACAGCACTGTTCTCAGTGTCTATGCTGGGGCGTAGACTTGGCATCTATCAGTGGCTTTCACTGGTGATTCTTATGGCTGGAGTGGCTCTTGTGCAGGTACAGTACAAATCCATATCTGAATACAACCCCTTTGAATGGAAGCAAGAATTCGTTGATTTGATTTCCAAGCATTTTTGATTTTCAAAATCCTACTAGAAAAAGACAAATTTAGAGGAGCGCCATAACTGCCACAAACCAGAAGTCCCTCACAGTTGCTTTGAATGAATATTATACAGATAGTGAACCCAGAAAACCACATTACAGCTAATAGTTCCAGAAAAACTATGTATATACTGAATGGTATCAATAAGTTTCCAATGAGTTGTGATAGGCATAAGCTGACAAATCTTTGCAAGGGCCAAAAACCACATCTTACTGCTGTGAATCATCAAAGGGGGTAAATAAGTACCTTCAGTCTATACATCTTTTCAGTCAGGATTTATAACACACATCAAGTTTAATATTAACATACTCCATGAAGAGACTCAGCCTGAGGTGCCCAAAGGAGTGTCTGTGGTTGCGAGATTATTGTCATGTGTAGTAACAAGTTTCCCTCGTTGCTTCATAACAACAAATGATTAAGATTGCTGAGGTTTTTCTATTGGTTTCATAACAAGATGGATTTGACATTTAGGTTTGAATCATCATTACATGAAATTGCAAAGGCGGAAAAGTCTCGTGTAAAAGCATTCCCCCGTTTATACAGTTCATTCCAGTAAGAGGTTTGCAGGGATGAAGTGTGAGAATCCATACATTCAACAGGGTGAACATGTGAACTCCACATGTAAGGACCCCAGCTTAAAAAAGTGCTTCTAATGATTTTACAGTTTCTACCAGTCCCATTTCCACACCCGAGCAGCTGCTGTTTCGATTCCAGTAAAACTATTTCCACTGAAGCATGTTATTCAAACCCTTTCGCACTTTGGGTGTTTTCGTTTAAAAATAAAACAAAATCATAGGGTTTGATAACAACAGCTAAATACTTTCCACCAATAGTTCAGCAGCTAGGTAGTGAGTGGTTATAAATGATGAAGCCCACTGAGCATTTTTTTGGTCTAAAAGAGGTCTAATAGACGTCTAAATGTAGCCTAAATGACTGGTCTAAAATCAGGCTACCACAGGTCTAAAAATAAAAGTTACACCAAGTCTAAATCTGGGCTATATCTCTACTATACTGTTTATTGCTCAACAGCTATCATAATTATTTTGGTTAAGTACTTGGAGATCAGTTATACAACTCAGCTGTTTTTTTAAATAAATAGTTATCGAATAATGGGTTAAAGTGCAACGTCTAAATTCTGTCTAAAAATATACAGAATCTAGACGATTGAAATTACATCTAAAAAAAAAAACTAGACGTCTAATAGCCGTGTATTGCTCAGTAGGAGGGTTTACTGCCATCATATAATTTGTTTCTCCTTAATAAAAGAAGAAAATGACAGTGAGTCACTATTACACCCTGATGTGTCTGCTGGTTTTAATGCTGGCAGAGTGCTTTGACAGAAACACAGCAGAGGTGGAGCCCATGAAGAAACACCTACAGTCATTTTCAGGGTCAAACAAATGCCAGCATTAACTCCCAAACAATGTTACCTGAACGGTGGCAGTAAATTATCCATAACACATTGTGACAGCTTGAATTAAAAACAGGCTAAAGATGTATAACCGGCAGCCATAACAGATATGTTTACAGACATTGTCACCCACTAATGGAGTTTGCTAAGAAATAATTGGCTTGTTATAAATGAGATAATTTTCTCATTTTTATTCTTTCTCCGAGGTGTGTGTTTGTACTTCTCTCTCAGCAGGTTTATGTTTTTACTTCTCACTCAGCAGGGTTTGCTTTGCATGATGAATGAGGTTTAAAGGTAGAGAGCAAACAAACATTTCTTGCATATTAAACAACCTTTATCAGAGAATTATTCTGATTTATCTGTATGTTGAGAAAAAGTGCAGCTACTATATTTTTCTCCTTTCTTACTTCGCACAGCAAGAGATCATCACCTTTTTTTCTCTACCTTTTTCCTTTTTTGCATGGACGCCCATTTTTCTGCTGACCGCAGCTCATAACGCAGGAAGTAACACTGCAGCATTTTTACAACTCTGCAAAGTTGTGAAGATGCCTGAGTTTGAATTTCTTGTAGATTCAGAGAGAAATCTGAGGTCCTCTGTTTGCCAGTTTACATCTCAATAAGCAAACAGCTGTAGGTATTTTTAGATAGAGAAGTGTATCTTTTGGCTATTTTTTTTTTTCATCCAAACACATGTAAGATTAAGTTAGTAATACGATTTGCTCCTGTTGTTCTCTTTTTAAAGCATACCCCTAATAAATGATCATACATGCCATGCATTACAAGAGCATTGTATTGAGATTCAATATCTGCCAATATCTCAATTTTTACACACTATACCTTTAAGTGTAAAGTCTGTAAACAGGGCAAAAGCTAACAAAAGGGAATAAATGATAGAATTGACTATATTCACGGGATTTAAATTTATAATATATTGATACAGAAAGTGCCAGCAGCACAAGTTGTTAGACTTTCATCAACATATTCATGAAGAAATGGAAAGAAATGAACCACCTGTCTACAGGAACATGCAAGAACTGTCAGCTTTGGTTTTATATTCATCAGTCAGACACGACAGAACTGGTGTACTCAGCTCAATAAGTTCTTTAAGTCACTCAATGCTGGCCTAAAATAAACACTGTAAGGAGACAGCAGCAGCAGCACTTGGACTTAAATCTGTTTGTGAACTGGTCTGACTTTTCTTGAAGGTCTGGTTTCCAGTATTGGCATATAGTATATTTAACAGAAGGTCCTGCTAGTTAGCAGGATGTAATTTGAGATGATCTATTGTTAAAAACTACTGTCAGAAGGATAAGTGGTGTAGAGAGGCAGATATTTCTTTAACTGAGGATGAGTGGGGAAAGATTCTTGAGCAGCAGTGGAAAATAACCCGATTCCTCTCCTGGAAAGAGCATGGTAGGGAAAACATGGTATGGTTTTGCACAAATAAAATAAAAAATAAAAATGCAGCGATATAAATGTGGCAAAAAAATAATACTTATCATTTCCATGTCTTTTGGGGTTGCCCCTTAATTTTGGGGTTTTGGGTTGATTCACGGAGTTCTATGGAAAAGGTATTAAGGATGAAAATCCCACTTTTATTTGAAGAAATTTATCAGGGAAAAATAGACACTGAGTAAAAAGATTCTTTGAGCAAATACATGTGAAGGATTATGTGAGTTTCAAGCAAAAAGGCTATAACAAGGAACTGGCTCAGGGCTGAGACACACAAGGAGGAAGAATGGTATAGTGTCATACATAATATCTACATTATGGAGAAAATGACTTTTTCTCTCAGACTGGAACAGGACAAGTTTGAGGTTGTGTGGAAAAACTGAATTGAGTTTATAGCGTCAAGTAGACCTGATTTTAATTGAGTATAGAAAAAAACAAAATGAAGATACCCTCGGTTCATAGCTACAAAGTTTAAACTATTATCATATGTCTGTGTTGTTTTCTTCCTCTGTATTAGAGCTGTTTTTTATTTTCTTTATTGATGTTTTTATTTTCAACATATTGGCTTTTGTGCCTTGTGTTTTTATTTTGTGTAGAAAAATATTGGTTATAATATAAAAGAGAGATGAAAAGGGGAGTGTGGGCTAAATTCAAGTGTTACATCTCATGAAACTTGTCTCAATAAAAAGAGAGAAAAAAAAAACTACTGTTGTAAGGAGATCAAAATTAAACTCTCAAGCTCAAGCTTTATTGTGATACTACTACTATGTCTTCTTGTGTTTGTAGTGGCCCTCAGAGTCTGCAGAGGCCCCAAAGAAGGAGGAGGTCAGTGCAGGCTCCCAGTTTGTGGGTGTGACGGCGGTGCTGGTGGCGTGCTGCTCCAGCGGGTTTGCTGGTGTCTACTTTGAGAAGATCCTGAAGGAGAGCAAACAGAGTGTCTGGGTCCGAAACATTCAACTCGGTTAGTATTCATCAGTCTGCTGAGTCAGTCAGTCGTCCGTGTTGAAAACATGAAGAGATTTGGCCTCCATGTTCCTGTAGTAAGCTTGTGTGTGTTTGTGTGAACAGTTTCTTTTCTTCCTGCTCAAAGGGCCAGCTGGGTTTTTTACCTCTGATATGTTTCAGTAGAGATGAATGTTCCTGTCTAGTTTATTTTTACCCCGGAGCGTGTGAGGCATGTGTTAAGTCTCCAGCGACTCCTGGGTGTGTGCTCAGAGCTTTTTCACCTGCATTAAAATCTGATGCTTAGATCTGCAAAAGAAAACAGAGAAGGAAAATGTTTTCCTTTTTCTTTGTGATTGTTGCTGTTGTAGGAAGTTCTTAAAGAGTAGCAGGAAATGTAAATTTGGGAAAATCAGGAAGAACTTGATCTGTCTGATAGGATGAAGAAGTGATATCATGAAGTCACTCAAGCCTTTTTCATTTATAGTATCCTATAAAGATTAACAAAGTGAAAAGTCACATCCAAGACTGAATATGAATTCATGGCCTCCTTTCTCTCTGTGTTTCCAGGTATGTTTGGTCTCGTCTTTGGTCTCTTTGGGATGCTGGCCTACGATGGAGAGAGGGTGAGGGAGTCAGGAATGTTCCAAGGATACAACACAGTCACCTGGACTGTGGTAGCTCTGCAGGTAAGGTTGACCTGGTAACGCTTTCTTTTACGGTACACTTATTACTAGGTAATTAACAGGTAATTATGTAGTAACAACATGAAATTATCTGGTAATTACACGATAACTACTAAGTCAATACTGTCTAGTTTTTCTTTTTTTCTTTTTTCTGTGCAGCTCCATTTTTAAAATCTATTTGGGGTTCTTATTTTCTATGATTGACACTTGATACAGCCTATGGGCGTGCAAAGATTGCGTAGCGATACGCTGTTTGAGCCGAGCATTATCACGGCAACTCACCCGCCGAATGCCTACAATGCTACTGCGCAAGTGGTGGTTCCAGGAAGCGGAGAAAATCCTGGAAATACCAGAGCAATTCAGCTTCAAATTTGTATGATGATGGAAGGTTACCTACCTGGTAGCTAGACAGTATTGACTTAGTAGTTATTGTGTAATTACCAAATAATTTCCTGTTGTTACTAGGTAATTACCTGTTAATTACCTGGTAATAAGTGTACCGTAAAAGAAAGCGTTACCGTTTACCTGACTGAATCAACATGTTTTCCATCAAAGCGATGAAATATATTATCAGCCCTCTGGGGTAAAAGTTTTTTATGTCTTGGGTCAGACTCTCTGTGAGCCCACACAGGTCGTGCCTTTGTCCATCTGTGTCTGCGTGTTTGTTGTTTCTTCAGGCGCTGGGGGGTCTGGTCATTGCAGCGGTCATCAAGTATGCAGACAACATCCTCAAGGGCTTCGCTACGTCGGTCTCCATCATCCTGTCAACACTTATATCATACTTCTTGCTTCAGGACTTTGACCCTTCAGGGTAGAAAATTACACTTAACATCTCTCCGTCATTACTCTTTCTTTTTCTCATGATTGCAGTTTCTCCAGCTGACAGTTTTGTCTTCTGCCTTCCACAGCGTATTTTTCCTGGGGGCTGTCCTGGTCATTGTGGCCACTTTCCTGTACGGCTATGAAGGCAAGCCTTCCCCGAACCCCAGCAGGGCGTAGGACACTCACCGCTGACACCGCTACAACAGCAGGAAGAGGTCCTGGTGAACCGTCTAGAGGTGGAGGGGGGTAAAAGAGGACAGAGGGCTGGAGAGAAAGAAGGGGAGGAAAGGTCTTTATCATATATTGTGATCACAAACATAGAGAGCAGTAGGAGAGGAGGCGAGCAGGCTGTTAACTGAGGACAGGCAGAATGAAAAAGAAGGTCAAGAAATAAGCAAGAATAATGCTGTGATTGGTTTTCACACACCTCAAGTGCCTCCACTGAGAAGGGTGACCAATGAGAAAAGAAACCCATGGTGAAACAGGATTGTGTGTTTCTCTTTTTTTTCCCTATAAATACTGCTGAAGAGCTAATCCTGGCTGCCATGGCTCCAGATGTGGAGAAGTTTTCTTGTTGCTACCTGGTGATTTTTGAAATTATAGTCCCTTTGACTGCCAGTCACACATCAATCATACCTAGCAGTAAAGGAAGACACAGACAGACAGTAAATCTGCAACAAAACTGTAGATGTAGCGTAGTAAATCCACAATGTCAGCTGTTTCACCTCAGAGTTGCAGTATTTATCGTTCTGAGTCTTTCTTGTCCTACTTCAAGCACTGAAAGGACATTTACTGAGCCCTCCGTTTGTCAGTACTCTCTCTTAATCTGTGAACAATACACAATCAACCAGGTTTTGGTTGGCTTGGGGGCCGGGTCGGGGTCGGGGCTTTGTAGAGAAGTGCGATTTGTCCACAGCTTAGGAGGCGGGTCTGTCTGTGAGGCACAACACAAGGTAAAATACTGAACCGCTAAATGCAGCAGGAGCCTTTTGTCAGTAGTTATATAGGATTCACAGTGACCATAAGGTATTGTTTCCTTAATTGCGGCTCTCGCGTTGCGTTTAGTTCAGCTATTTTTGGAGACGTTTTTTGTTGCCAGGCAACATATTGTCACTGAAACATCTTGTATAACATATGTGTCTCAGTGACAGATCTGTTTTACTGAAGGACTCTGGTCTGTCTGAATCTGTTTGTTTGATTTAGTAATCTGGATTTATGAATAAGATGCTGAAACTAAATAATTCAATTCATAACTACTGCTCTTGATTTAAAGAGGGATTATCTTTGGAGGGTTGTGGTTTTGGGGTGGAAATTTTCATAATATGATAAAGATGACTTTGTATAATTTGAAATGTTTCTCTTGGGTGTAAATATTAGCACCATTTAATCTATGAGCCTGGATGGATTGTCTGTGTAACTTATTCATTCATTTATAAGGAGATTACATGACTTCTTAAAGCCATTGATGACAAACATCCAGTTCATTTTGTCCAGTGTTTGTGTGATAATGTATCACATAATATCCATTGATATGATCCACTGATATAACATCCTTTGGTATGTTTTCTGGCAAAGTAATCAAATTACTGAATAGGGCCCAGCTGAGTGAACAGGCTGATTTGTTGACACTCGCTCGCTCAGACGTCTGTGAGGCATTATCTCCATAGAAAGTAATCTCTTATCAGATGATTTGACAGGTGTTTTTCCTTTTTTGGTGATAAAGCGGGTATAATGAACAACTTCATTATTTTATGACCAATATGTGAATCTTTTATAAAAGACAAAAAATGTAAACCTTTTTCAGAATTTGTTATTTGTGTTGCATTTCTGGTGTGTGTCCTTCCCAGACCTTATGCACACAAAAACACCCACATCATCTTTTTAACAGCCAAATCCAAAGGCCTCTGGCCTTACTGTGGATTCTTACTCAAGTACAGCTCAAACTGCAGTGTGTTACAGTAACTTACTGTTTTACAAAACATTTCTAATCAGTTAATCCTTAATTTTGTTCAGGATGAAGTTTTTGCACATTGACACATCTCCCTTATCTAATTTAATACTTGGCATGTCACCACAGAAGCGCAAACTACATAAAATGAATAAATTCACACTGTGTTATTTTTGGCATTTGTTTTAATGAATTTAAAAACACTGCATGCAAAATCCAGACAGTCTGAGAGAAAGTACTGTAACACGCCAGAGTTTTGTGTCCTCTGTATCACAACTCTGTGAGACAACATTACCCAGTCATTTGAAACTAGTAACTGCATTTGACTCCATCCAAACAGCAGAACAATAAGGATTAACAACAGGCTCCTCGTAATGGGATATGTGTTGTTTCTACCCTCTGCTCTTCAGGCACATCTGTTACTGTAAAAGACACTTAAGGTCCTAATACGCACGCAACAGACTGTCCAACTTTGTGATTGAGAATAAAGTCATATTTTCCCTGCAGTTTATTTAAATCGGGAGAATGTAAACATTTATTTTACATTCTGTTTCAGCCTAAGAAAGCTTGAATTCATTCATATCACAGACCAATAAAGGTCATCTGCTTGGTTTTTCCCGTTTTAAGTGCTGCTCCAGATGTTTCCCTTGATTGTCAGCTGCCGCTTGCCCCACAAAATGCTCCTGTGTCGTGGCTACAATATGCATATTGATCAAAAGTCCAGTGTGCACACCCTCTATCCTATGAGTGCATCTCAGGGAAATACACAGACAGAGCACTCCTGCAGGTGGACATGGTGCCCATCATCACCATCCTTCTGAATGCATGTATAGGTTTCTGTGATTGTGTACGGTATGTAAAGGCTTGGTTGGTTTGCACCGTGAGTAATGAGCAGCATGGGTAAAATGACGCGGTTACATCCTCTGTCTCTCTTCATCTCTGTCTCATCTGGACCAGCTCAGCACTCTAGCACACCCTGTTTTACTGGCCCGCTGTGTGCTGAGTGGGTACGAATAAAAAAAAAACATAAAATAAAACATCATAAAGGAGGATCTAGAAATACAAAGCAACATTTTCATAGTCATCATGATTGTGAAATGCTTAAATTCTTCAAGCTGCACTAAAGTTTTCATTTTCACGTATAATCTTCATTAAAAAAAAAAACACACATTTTGTAAAACATCATAATGGCACAAGAGAGTGTATGTGTAAACCAAATACTGCACCAATCTTTAAAGGGTCACTTCACCTAAATAAGGAAAGAAAAACACAAAACGCAAATAGATAACTTTCTTCATTGTCTTGCTCGTGATAATATAAAGCCATGTAGATTATCTAGGCTTAATCTCTACAGGTCTCCAGACATCTGCCTCTGGGATTTCTACCTCCACCCAATATTGTATAAGTGAATGAACTGCCAACTTTAGTGCTCATAGCTATAGCAAATTACATTCAAATAATTAATCTTATTACCTTTAACAGTTTCTATTCCTACTCAAACAAAAACCATTTCTCTAAAGTCATGCTCAGCGTTGGAATAAACTCAGATGTTAATTTATGTGGTATAAAGGCTAGATAAAAAATAAATTATTATTGTTTCTTGGTTGTTTGACTGCCAAAGACTGTTTCATATATATATAGAGGACAAAAGGCCGTTAAATTTTAACACAATGTTTTTTGAAAACCTACAAGCTACAATCAAACAACGCCCGATGCTAACAACTTTCTAGCAGACAGAAGTTATAAGATTGAATGTATGATAGCTTAGCAGTGAATTCCCAACATATGAGCTGTAAATTAATACCTATCTTTTTGTTTAATGCCAGATCTTAGTTAAACCTTTTAGCCCCTTCCTAGCCCATAATACTTTTTATTTAGCAGGTAGAACTATAATAATTGGCTAAAGTCAACATTAGCTGTTTTGGTTGTTAGCTATGTTGCTACAATTTCAATTATATCCCAATGTCCTAAGTTTTTAAAATCGGCTTTTTGCATTTGAAAAGCGATATTGTTGTCAAATATTTAGCTAGGCTGCTGGCAAGACTCAAAGAATGGCTGTGTTTATTTACCTAATTGATCCACTGATTATTGTTAGCATGCTAGCATACAATGATGAAAGTGATATGCATAAGACTTGCAGAACAGCAGCATGTTCAGTTTGTTGATGTAAACAGGTTTGTGATTATCTTTTATTTCACTGGCTCTGAAAACAGATTTAGAGAGCTGCTAGCCGAGCTGAAGACTCATAGTTTGGTCAGATTTTGTTTTTCAAAAAGGGACCACTGAAGACATTTCATTCACCTGTCTCGTATTGGTTGGAGGGCAGAAAGGTTACTGACAGATATGACAAAACTTTGACTTTGAAAATCCTAAAAATCTGCATGGCTACATCCTGCAAGAGCTGATTTTTTTTTTTCTTTACACAACTCTTTGAGCATAAATACAGTTTTCTTTCACATCGACCTTTACTCTCAAATAACATGATAAATACCTCTACTTTCCACCACTAGAGGACCAGTTATACTACCTGCAAATAAAAGTACAGTTTGTTTCTTTTCCCTACAGATTTGATCACATGGGACATGTAAAAGATAAAACCATGTTTTTTTTAAAGGCTGTCATCAACACAGGCATCACTGGCTTTCAAAAAGGCAGGGAAGGAGAAGCTCTGCAGCTTGGATGAACTGGCCATTTGTGATTTCAAAGGAAAAATCCTGCTGCAAGGCTTCACATAAGCTCCTCCTCAATGCACAAGCTGTGTGAGTACATACATTTCACCAAACCCGTGTTTCTACATTTTCTCTGATATGTAAAAATGCAAAGTCGATCTGAGGATGTGTGTGTGTGGTGACAATCTTCCAGTTTTACAAGCAAACTTTCCCTTTAGCATGAGGCAACGTATATGTATGAGTTGGTTTAAGTGTGTGTTTGAGGCAGTCTGGTGTGACAAAGCAGCGAGCCTGGACCCAACCGTTAGGCCCAATTTTAGAAAACACAGCCACAAACAGGTACACACATGCTTTCCAACCTCACTCAATTCACCCAGTAACATTTCAGCTGATATTCGACTTATCTTTGTCTGCTGTGTATAAACCCCAAGCAGTGTTGTCCTGTTTAACACATAAATAATAACACCTTTCCTTGAGTATACTCTGATACTTCACTTTACTGTACAGTACAGAGCAAGCCAGCACTTTGTCATCATCAAGGCTGAAGAACCTTCTTGAACGGGATGTGATGTTTCTTGGCCTGAGTAGCTACAGTACAGGTTTGTTTTGCATCCCAGCAGTAATGGCGGATTTTCAAAGTTATGCTCAGTTGCGCTGGGCTGAATTGAAGGCCTTAATACCCGACAGCTCAACAGCACCAGAAGAAAAGACCAACAAACACTCTGGATCGTCAAAGGCAGCTTCAGGGATTTAAGGCAGTTGTCCCCTTAAGATTTTACACACAAAAATCTGCAACTAGGATTTGTGCCATTGACGGTTCAAGTCTCAGCCTGCTTGTAGATCTTTATTTGTCTTTTTTTTTTTGTCTTCTGATTATCTTGTTTGCTAAGAGAAGTGGCCCACCATGACATAAAATAGAAAAACAGCCAATCAGAACCTTTAACCCCCTACTTGGGTGGTATGACAACAAGAGGAGGTCCTCTCCTCGGCCGCCACATCAGAACCTGGGCATCATTGGCGTTTGGCCTCCCCATGGCATTAGAAGGGATGGGCTCCATCCGGGTCAGCACCCGTGGCTGATCCTGGTGCACCCTTCCCACCAGCCTGGCCCTGGAGCCCAGAGGCAGCGATGGATCCACAGCAATATCCACTCTCATCCTCCACTTGATGGTGTGCAGCAGGATCTTTTCCCTCGATGTTGTGTTTAATGCCACCAGCCAAGTGGTGAAGCTCTGGTCCCTTTTAATGTTCGTCAGCAAGGGGGTGTTGGATTCGCTGACTGGCACAGCCCATGTGACGCTTGGGTAAAAATTGTCGTTCATGCTAACAATGAAGCGGGATGGCTTGGAGGTGGGGCCCACTATTGTGACTGTCTCTGTTGTGTTCCCATACCAGGGGTAGCTCACCCCATCGGAGTCGCTGATGGCCCTGACCAGACCTTCACGGAGCTGCGGCAGCTCCCAGCTCGACCTGAGGAGACAAACAAGATGAGACTAAGAACAAAGACGATGAAGGAACCCTTAAGAATCATTCTTCTTTCCAAGTATAGTCTATCCAGGTGAGGCCTGATGGTTTGCAACAAACCTTTCACTTCTCGTATGGGGCTCCAGGATCTCGTATTCTAAAGTAGAATCGGTATTTGTATTTCTGCCACTGTAAAATACTTTTGAAATCTGCCAGGAATCCAACTGTTCATCCCGTTACAGCCTATTATCTCTTATCAATATTGAAATAAAAAGGTTTATAAAATTCTGTCAACCAGAATTGAAAACATCACCCTATTTTTCATACATTTTGATCAGACAGGATTTATTAAAGAAAGACAATCATCTCATGCTGGTCCAATTTACCCATTTCACTATCTGAAAGAGCATCAACAATATAAATGTCAGTTCTCCTTTATCTCCACCCTTCCTAACTCCCAATGGCTTACATCTCTCAGTTCATTCATCACAAAATTTAACTGAAAAAACAAAGCTCCCTGGAAAAATCTATCAATCTTCCAGAAACCAATCACAGGACAGTTAGAAGTGCCTGACTTTGAATTATACCACCTGGGTGATCAACTAAAATACTTAAATAAGTGGATAAACCCATGTGAACTTGACTCCTTCTGGGTACTAACTGAGCAAGCTTTAATAAGTTGTATATTATCAGTCAAACTATCAAACACCAAACCTGTTGCTAGAGTATAATGATCAGCTCTGGTAGCTTACTGGAAACCACTTCGAGACTTCATTCCCTGGAAAGACAAAGGCGCTACACCTCTGTGGATGTTTTAAATTGACTGAATTTGACAAAATGTTATTAAAAATTTGCAGAATACAGAGTCACTTTGAAACAAACATTTCTATTTCAATATCCAAATAGGAACAAGCGCTCTCTATCAATACCAACTTTGACTTCTGGTGCCAAATCTCTCAAAATAACTTTATTAACTACAAGAATAGTCATACAGGCATATGTTTATGTGTTGATGTTTGTAGTGAGTGAAGGGAGAGGCAGAAAAAGTTAATACAGTGAGCTGTCAGTCACTTAGAGGGTCTCGCTGTTTCACTATTTTCAGATTTGCCAATGATGGACTCTGTAACGCTCATTTGGACTGAAATTTGTGTGAATACTTAGGGGAGACCGGGGCTTGTTGTCACATGGGTAAGTTGTCACATTTTAATTATCTTTGCCACCAGAGGGCGCAACTAAAAAATGGAATACTAGTTTTATTCCTTTACATGGTCAGGGGTCGTGTCCTGTCTGAGAAGAGAAGAGCACATTGTGAGCTGAATGGAGCGCCAATTAACCATTTTGCACAACCCAAAGTAATTTTTTTTTACTTTATATATTTTAAAATAAGCTTCTTCCAGATAAAAATCCTAGCAGTGATACATGTGGACTTGTTAGAGGAGATATTAAGTCATCCTGACATAGCTCAGTCATTGTTCTGTTTTAAGCTAACTTTAATCTAGAGCTAGAATTAGTAAACATGGTAGTTTGGGTCAACATGTCTCAGTCATTTTGGGGTTGGTTGTCACATGTTTAAAAGGGATTAAAATTAACAGACAGAGTCTGCTTATCAGCAGCTGTCATACAGGAATTTTGAATTTATTTTTACAGAAAAAAGAGTGGTTTAAAGGAGAGGAGTAAGCAAGAAGACATGGTCAGGAATTAAAAAGAAAAGCAGAACATGGCAGTGCAGTGCCTAACGTGATGTTGAGGGCAGTCAGGCAGGTGATCCTAGCTAATAAATCAATCTGAAGTACAATAAAGGACTTTAATGTCAACTACCAAACCTTGGCTCAGTACTGGAAAACATTTACCCCAGCCGAAACACAGAGTCAGACAGCTCTTCAAACTCCAGAGATCTTCATATATTATATTATTATTATTATTAAATATTATTATATTAAATATTATTAATATAATAATATTTTGTTAACGTTTCTTCAATGGCTTTTTCTAGCTCAATGATGAACGTTTTCTGTGTTTTACTTTAATGTTCACTTTCAAGTTAAAAAATGAGAACAACAACAATTTTGTCCTTGTTTTATAAGCTGCAAAATCCACTGTGACATCTTACCCCATGTAGTGAGACAACTTACCCAAAGGTGGGGCACCATGTCACATGTTTACACTCTTTATTTGATTGCTTATAACTCTGCACTGACACAAGATATGAAAATGACATAAATACGAAATATAGACCTGAGACTTTGGTCTTTCATCTGGTACACATTTTGTTTATATAGGATGTATTGATTCCAAGAAATATATGAGTGTAAAAAGTGTGACAACAAGCCCCGGTCTCCTCTACAGTGAGCTGCCAGTCACTTAGAGGGTCTTGCTGTTTTACTTTTTTGAGATATGCCAGTGATAGACTCTGTAACTCTCATTTGGACTGAAATTTGTGTGAATACTTATCTCTCTGAGGTATTAAAGTTTTTAAAAATACTTACAAGCGTGTTTAAAAACTTGTATTCAAAGGAGCCCACAGTGTGACAACAACAGTCTGCTGTACATGATATGTCGAGGCTGAGTGTGCCAGGAGAGGATTACCATCATCTCTTTGTTGTGCTCAGCAGTTTTTGTCATCTGGTGGCCCTCATCCATCCATGTGTTGTGCTTTTAAGCCCAAACTGATGCTACAACCTAACCTAAACCCCATCCTAAACCCAGCTGGATTAGACACCCCCTCTTACATGCCCTCCAGATCATAGTCTATGTGTGTTTATGTATGTGTGTATGTGTGTGGCGGGGGTGTGGGGGAGGACATTTCTATTGAGTGTGAGAGCATTGACTGTTGTTTAGCTCCTTTAATAGCTGCTTTCCTATTTGGGTGCCAAAGTCACAGGAACAGAATCTGTCGGTGGGCGTTTGAATGAAGGAGGCTGACAGGCACAGTTAACCTGCTGGGTGCACAAATGCTCCTCTGTGTGATGCACACGCGTGGACCTAGAGACCCAGAGATACGACCTAGATCCCCCCCAAGCTTGGCACACATGTTTTTTTTATATATATATATCTGCCGTCATGAGGGTGGAGACGCAGGTGTCATAGGTGTGAACTCACATGCCAACGTCTCCATATGTGTTGTAAAATTCCATCTGGGTGCACGCTTGAATCCAGCCCACCACCCAGGTCTCGTTGCGCGGGATAGGGGGCATCACAATCCGCGCGGATGCTTTGAAATAGGGCGTCTTGTATCGGAGCACTATCGGCGAGTTCTCCTCGATGACAGTGGGGCAGTGGTCTATCGTGGCGGACAGGTCGTACACCACGATGTTCTCTCTTTTGATCCGGGACTTGTTACAGGCTATGCTCTGGATGCAGCCCATGGCGGTGCAGGTGAAGGTGATGGTCAGGAGCAGCCAAGTGAGCCTGACAGGCCTGTGGAGCAGCGCTGCAGACCGGGACTGGACCAGAACCAGAACTATGAGGCCGTGCATTAGAGGAAACTGTAAGGCAAAGGCGGAGGTTGCCACTCTGTAGGCCCGAATTTGATACGCTGTACGGCTGTAAGGGGGACAGGTGGGTCCTCTGGAACAAGGATAAGGGTTCGATCCCCCTGGGTTCCCCGCTGACACGAACACCAACTCCAGGGGTGCTGGTCTCGGACTTACCCTCCGCTCTGCCCTCAGCTTGCAAAGATTAGAAAGTACCACATGAATCTTAGATGTGATTGTATCTTCGTACCCCCCCTCTCGGACCCCAGCCCGTAACCTTTGATCCTCTTTTTCCTTCCTCGAGCTGTCATGTCATACGAGGCGTCGGGGGACCGGCGGTGACCGGGGCGCCGGCAGGGGGACCCGGTGGTCGGGCGTTGAGGCTCGTCGTTGCCGCACTGTTGTACATGAGACGCTGCTGCTGCTGTTGCTGCTGCTGCTGCTGCCTGTGACCGGTGGAGCGGCGGCGTTACTGTCCGTCATACCTGTCGACTCGTCGGGGGAGAAAGCCGGTGAAACGAACCAAACACCGGAGCATCTGTGACCGGAAAAACAGCTTCCTCCTCGGGGCTTAAACGACACAGGCGGCGCTTTCTCGATAAAGACGAAGGAGAAAATGGGTTGCAAACAAATCGGCTGTCAGCGTCTAGTATATACAAATGAAACAATGGTATTAAGGCTGAAAAACACATCTGATAAACAGTGTCACAGTAGCCCTGTAGGGCAGCGTTTACGCCGCTGGGCATCCTCATCTGATGAAGGCTGCATGGCTGAATGTCGCTGTTCAGCTGCGTGGTGCTGAAGAGGCTGAATGGACCAATGAGCGGCGGAGAGGGGGACAGGAGGCGTAGGAGGGTCCGCGTCTGCACACTGTAGTAGCTTTACGACCGCTTCTCTCCATATTGAAACGATACTTTCCAAGAGCAAAAAAACAACAGACTTGTCAAGTTCAACATCTTACAGATACCTGAAGATACTGGTAACACTTTACAATAACCATGACTTAAAATGGTAAATAGACCATTTATAAATGGTAAGCAGATTGTTTATTATTGTTTATTCATCATTTATAAATAGCATATAGACCATTAATCAATTGTAAATATGACCATTTTAAAAATCTAACACTAACTTTACAATAACCATCTAACTGATGTTTATAGATGGTTTAAAGACCAAATATTAACCATTTACAAAGTGCCACTGACACACATTTTAGTCTAGATGTTTTACAACCAATATTTAAACCCTATATAAACCTTTAATAAATAGTCCATTAATAATTTAATGAAAATTATTAACCATATGTAATTGCTTGTTAATGGTAAAGTAACCAATTACTTATACTAACAAACTATCACAAACTATTTGCCATTTATAACTGGTCTGTATGCTGTTTTTAAATGATGATTAAACATTCATAAACTTTCTATTTACCATTTATAAATTATGGTTATTGTAAAGGCTTACCCAGATTTGCTTTTTTTAGCAACAGTTTTGGAAATATTTAGCTAGGATTAAGTACATAGGCCTACTTATTCAAACATTTCAACTATAGGTAAAAGTAACATTTTTGTCAGATGCCAAAGGCTCTGTAATGCCTTTAAAATAAAACGGTTGCAGTACAAAAATATGAAATACAGATATAAAGAAATAAATACACATATAACTGTAAATATTTAGATATATAGTAATATATTGTTTCAATCAAGATGTCAAACAAAAAACTATCATGTACCTGTGTATACGATTATTCTGTTCTATCTGCTCAGTTTTATTCTATTCTATGATCTATTCTGATCCGTTCTATCCTATTCTGTTTATTCTATTTTGTTATATTTTATCATATTCTGTTCTATTCTGTTCGGTTCTTTGCTTTGGGGAGAGTGGGGTAAGTTGAGCCAAAGGGTAAGTTGAGCCACCCCCTGTTGCTTGGAAATGGTAAAAGAAATTGATCATGTGACCAAATATTTAGGAGATGGGCATCAATTCATGGGGTCTGTGAAGGTTAGAAGCACATGGGTGAGCGGGTGAGACATTTATTTACAAAAAAAAAACATTTTTTACTCTTGAAAGTGAATTTAGTCTGTCATAAGTTTTATAAGAATTGTGTTCAGACCAAAAAAGATCATTTTAAATTTGTTTTATACATCAATTGTGGGATCTATGAGCTACAACATGAGGTCAAAAACCAAGCATAAAGTCCACCATTTAAACCTAGAGGACTAATAAAGTCATCATAGTAGTTCTGGGGTAAGTTTAGCCAGTGAATCAACTGAGAAAGTAAAGGAGTCTGATGAGAGGATCAGAGTTTCAGTTCAGATTGTTGAAATGTTTTACTTTATCTATTTGAAAATACAGCTGTGAATGTTCTGAATCACTTAAAGGCATTCTCGTGTTAAAATGTTGTTTTAACAAAACATATTTTTATCAGTTATATGCAATAATAATAAAAATAATTATTGTACCAGTTGAATAGCGTATAACATAAAAATACACATGAATGTGAAGAAGTGACTGTTATTTAAAAAGAGAGAGAAGGTGAGGAAGGGCTGGGGTGGAGAGTGGGGGTTGACCATAGTTGACCACTTTTTTTGGCATGCTATATTATCAAGACAGTTATGTTTACACTCATTCTGTTGGTTTGCAGGGATGCTCAACATCTTGAAATATATGCAGATACACTAGTTAGAGACAAAACTATGATTGCCTTGATGTAGTGATCTGAAATATGAAAAATGGCTCATCTTACCCCACTCTCCGCTACTGTCTTATTTTATATTCTGTTCTGTTGTATTCCATTCAGTTCTGATGCAGTCATCATGCATCGTAAAATATTAAATTTTAGTCATCTTTTTCCATGCTGGTGTAAAATCTTAATAATTGAGGAGAAAAAAAGATAGACAGAGTAAATAAACTTCAGAATCTAAAATTAAACGTATTTGTTTACAGTCAGCTTCAGTACAACTGTACCAAAGTCTTCCATATGCTGACAATACCTCCAAAATAGACCTCTCCAGCCAACAAGCACCAAACACACACACAAACGCTGCCGTACAAAAATCATGTATGACAGCTTTTATTTTGAAATCAAGACTTTATTCTGGCAACCCTATCGTCACATCCGGCTAATAGTGACCGCTGGCTGCTGCTCATTCACACACACATGGAGGGACTACCGTCTTGTTTTGGGAAGCTAAACATGGTATAAACTATAGAGACCCAGCAACAATTTTCCCGGGAAGACACCATGGTAAATATTGGACATTTGTAAAACAGCTAAATCTCCAACAACCTCAAACGTAACACTTTTACGACTGCTAAAAAAGGATGCTAATGCTAACTCTGCACATAGTGTCAGTTGAGTTGTAGTCAGGTAAGAGGCTTTTTGTCTTTATACCTGGAGGATAGAGGCTGTTAAAACCGGCCTGGTAAAGTGGAGTACATCGTTATTTTTACCAGCACTAATAGTCTATTTTTAATTTTCGTTCTTCTGTTTGATAGACTGATCATTCTATATTGATGTTTCATAAATTACAGTTTGAACAAGGCCCATAATAAATAGTAATAGATAGATAAATAGATAGATAGATAGATACTTTATTAATCCCAGATAGCAAACCGTTTGATAATCTATAAGGTGAATTAAAGTTATGATCAAAGTAAGAATACTTGTCACTGATTAATATTCATTTGGTCCTCTCAATACATGAACTGTCTCTTATGTGATTCCTTCCTTCCCTGCAGGTCCCTGCAGACTTTAAAGCTCTGATCCAGAGGTTTTATCACCTTCAGTCTGAGCGTGTTGAGACATACCGACTCTTTGAAGAGTAAGTTTGACTCTTGTTGACACCTCAGTGCTGAGAAATCAGTATTATATGTGTAATAAATCAAACATCAGTTCATATTGCATTTCCAGCTAACATTGAATCTGAATCATACAGCGTATTCACTGCTGCTTGTGTTGTTGTTTTTGTCGCTGCTTGTCTGCCAGGGGACACGAGGCCTACTTGAGAACGGGGCCCCACTATGACTTTGACCACTACAGGCAGCTGGTCCATGAGATAACACAAGCCTTCTGTGGCATCTCCACAGAGGTGCTTGAGATCAAGGGGAGGCTGCATCATGAGTTTGACCGGCCAGACCTCTCAGAGCATATTGAAAAGCTTCAGAGCAAAGAGAAGCAGAAACTGGAACTGGTAAGTGATATTAGTTTAGTATCAATCAGTCAAGCTTTATTTATTTGTTACCAATTTACACTAAATGTTTTCTCAAGATGCTTAACAAAAAAACTTTTCAAGACCATACTCTTCAAGATATTTACAAAGACCCAACGTAAAGATGTTTCTGAGATTGAGTCCCATCTTGCGAGATCAGGCCCACTCTGAGTCCATCTTCATCCTCATCAGTGTAGCATTTAGCAAATTACAGTGGCAAGGGAAAACATCCTTTTCACAAGCAGAAACCTTGAGCAGAACTCAACTTATGTGAGACAGCCATCTGCAGCTACTACATTGGGTTTAAAGAGGAGATAGAGAGAGATACAGAAAGAGAGAGAAGGACAAACATTAACAATAGTTTACAGACGCTGTAGTAGAATCTTTTCATACATTTAGGTTAAGAAATATAGAGTGATTATCTTTCATTAAGGGGTTACAAATAATCTGGGTTGGCTTACTTGTGCAGCCTCAGAGAGGTTATAAGCAAGGCTGCTTTGCAGGGACCAAAACTATCTGTCTTCAAGAACATTTAGAGCTAATCTCTGGGAGAGTGAAGACTAATCCAAGTGTTGAGTTTTAGAGCAGTACAACACGTCATCATGGGTAGCCTCCTGGAGGACAGATATGTACCCATGATGACGGAAGAGAGACACACACACACGCACGCACGCACATACCAGAGGTACAAGCAGTGCACAATGACTGTATTCAGATACACAATAGACACTATAACAGGGAGAAGAAGAAAAGCTTAGAAAGGCTTTCCTTGGGTTTGGTCAAGACTCTGTTCATCATCTGTACTGATTTCTACATCTGTACACTGAGAGACGCCCAGGCTGTTCTTCAGATCTCATCCTGTCTCCTGCACATTGTTTTACTGAGTTTATGCTGGATTTTCCACAACAATGCATGGTTACAATGCAAGAGATAATGGAACAATTATGTGTACTATTTACAGGGACAGCAAAATGATGATAATAAACTGATCTTACTTTGATTTATAGACGATTAAAGTAAACAGATCTGTAGTAATATATATTAGAATAATGAAAAAGAGAAAATAAAAATTTCACGGTTAATATTAGCTTTGTAACAGTGATTATAATGGAGAAACTATGAACATAGCTAGACCGTTCTCCACTGTTGTCACCAGCTACAGTTGGCTTACGCTGGCCTGCTCTACTTCTGGGATTTTTGTGCCCAACTCCTTGTAAGCGACCCCGCACTTGGTACTAAGGTCATTATTGTGGTGAAAACAATTTAAAAATTTGGTCATGATGGTCTTACATTGATAATTGGTTGCTTCATTGTTGGTGGCAGTACCTGCATCCAAATGGACTTCAAGTACTTTTGTGGCTTTTACTGATCTCATCTCTACTTTTCTAGATCTTTGCTTGTGTTGTTGTTCTTGTTCTCAAATGTACGTCGCTACGGATAAAGGCGTCTGCTAAATGACATTGTCACATTGTAAATGAACATTATCTTTGTTGTAGTGATAACAATGGACAAACTGACACTGATAAAGTAACACTAGTTTTGTTATTAAGCATAAGTAATTTTTGATAACCTTTTACAAGAATCTTAATTCTCATTTCTTCCAAATGAATGTCATGTCAGCCATCAATTCAAGCCCTTAACATTTTAGCCAATCCCACAGTTTAACCACAAGGGGGCAGACTTTTGATGCAAAACGTGCTGCATAACTGGCTATCACTGGCAAAGATTCAGCCATTCTTTTTTATAGATGAGGTCATAAATGTTTTAAGTAAAAACTTGTTAAAACAAAGTACACATGATGCATCTAGAGGGAAAACTTTTGTGCGAAACACCCATTTAGTTCCATTTGAATCATTCAGTGTTGCTGTAAGGAGGTTAGCTGCTGTGTCACAGTTCACTGACTGAAGAGCCACAGTTTGTCTGTGATTTGTATCATGGTCCAGACAATTTGAGCATGCTTGGTGTTGAAATTTTAGGGCTTACTATATTCAATTACACTCGGCTCACACATCTGGCATTTATTAGTAACACACAACCCTGCTTCATAAAGTTTTATGCTCCTTTAAAAAAGAACCTCTTCTTTCCTCTGCCAGTAGTCATAAAGTCCCTTCCCCTGTCTCCCCTCTGTCCTCTGCTGATCAATGATTTGCATACATTTTATCTGATGTGCTTCTCCACAGACAGCCAAGCTGCAGCTGGCCAGGCAGCGGGCCCAGGATCACCCTGAGGAAGAGGACTGTCAGGAAAAGATTCACGAGATCAAGCAAGAGTAAGAGCAGCTTTTACCACCTCTCCCTTTGCTGCGATTTCTCACTCCCTGCTGACCCGTCCGCTCACTCAGAATCAACCTGCTGTCTGCTGCTAGACTTCCTGTTTCCTCCCAGTGTGACAGACTTTTCTTTGTGACCACTCTAATATCATAAAACTGTCTGAGAAAATCTGTGTTTTTTTCTGGCTCTTTGTTTCCAGGATCATAAAAAACAAAGAGGCTCTGAGTGAAATCATGCAGGACTTTAAGTATGACTCTGAGGAGTGTGATTGACAGGCGGCTCCCGGGAGGTTTGCACCCGCGCCTTGTCAGTGGCATGGTGATGGATCGACTCGGCTCTGCTGCAACTTCCATCTTGGACTTCTCAGCTGCACTTATCGATCCCCCTACGGCTCCACCCTGCTTGCTGCTGCAGTCTTATTCCACCCAGGGGACTTTTCACATTCAGGCTCTGTGTTTTTATCTGTAGTCATGCCTTCATGTTAATGCATGCCTCAGCATAAAAAGGGGAGCGTTACTTACATGCAGATGATGAAATAGTAAAATATGTAAATAGTCAAAAGGTGAAATAATTCTTGAAGGTCTGCTGGAGCATCTTTGTTTACTTCATACATTGTATTTTTAAATAAAAAAGGCACTTGTCACGGCATGTTTATTTGTTTTAGACATACTTTTTATAGGCATTATCAGTCCACTTAAAGATGATATCTAAAAAAATCTTTGAATATGTCTGTTTGTTTTGGATTTTGTTTCATCTAGATCGAAATCCTAAATGTAAGGTTTTTAAAAAGGGAGCCGAGTGACAAGAGGGCAACATATACATCCAATTTTTTTCAGTTTATTATATATATGTATATTTTGTTAATAGCATTTTCTTTAAGTTTGAGATAGTGAACTCAATTAGAAAAGATTTTACATTTTGTCATATTTCTTATCATCTGAAAAACTGCAATTATTGGCCGAGAAACTAAACGGCAGATAAATCAGAGAAAATTTCAGCAATTCTTATATGAAATATGAACCAGTGTAGCTTTGTAAACTGTCTTGTCATACATTTAGTTGAACAACCCCAAATCCCCCCAAAATGTTCGCACACTTTGAAAAATGTTGTTTGATTTTATTTTACATTTTTTGCATTTGATGCCAGCAATAAGTTTTTAAATATTTGGGACAGGTAGAACAAAAGACAGAAAAAGTTTTGTAATGGTAAAAAGAAATCACTCCGAGAAACAACTCCACTGTTTAGATTAGTTTATTGGGGGTTAAAAGCACATGGGGACATGTTAAGAGCACACGGTTCAACAATTTTATAAAAACCACTATCTATGAATACATTCATCACTACATCTGCACATGCAGGATATAACTTTACTATCCAAAGAGGAAAACACATATAAACATGATCCAGAAATACAGGCAACTTTTCTCAGCCTGGGCCCAATAAAGACCAACAGTGGCAGCTGCGGTCTAATGACTCAAAAATTGACATTCTTTTTACAAACCATGAATGTGATGTCCTTTGCTCATGAGATGACATAGACTACCCAGCTTGTTATAAGTGCATAGTTAGTGCCCATAGTATGAGTAATTGAAACATTTTGGAAGGAACCATGTTCATGCTGAACAATTTCCTTCATACCAGTTTTGGAGCAGCTTATGCCGCCGTACAGACAGGGCAATTTTTTTGGGCGAGCCCTTGCTTATTAAACTTAACAGGCCTGCCTGCAGTCTTGAAATATCACCTTTCGAAACATTTGGCACATCATCATGTCACAAAAAATACAGCCAAGGACACCCAAACTGTCAGGGAGCTGAAATCTTGTGTTAGGTAACAATAGGGCAACATTTCACTTTCTTAACTCCAGAAACTGGCTTCCTTTATACATTTATAGTGTTGTTAATAGAGGATAAGATAAATGGTTGATATGCCTTTGTTCCAACTTTCTTAAAATGTATTGCTAGTATGAAATTTAAAATGAGCATTGCAGTATTTTTCATAACTTAAAAAATGTTTAAGTTTGAACATTTGATAAGTTGTATTTTCACTATTTCAGCTAAACATAGGGTTTCAATTACATCTAGGGTTTAAATGTTCACCAAAGCTACAAATTCAGTTTTTATCAATCTTTTATCCAGTGCACTATTTTGTTAAGAATGGGAATATCAAATCTTTTTTTATTTCAGAGGACAGGAGAATGAACTGAGTGGGAAACTGGGAAGAGAGAGCGAGGGGTGAAATGCCGCAAAGGGACGCGGATTGAACTCGAACCGACTTTTTCAACTGTCAGAAAAAAAGTGCACATACTAAGGGCCTGACTTTTACTGCAAAGAGATCTAAAAGACTGTGAAGGCTGACGGAAACAGCGGAAAAAGGCTGCATTGTCTCACTTAGGTTATCTTCCACCCGGGCCCTTTAAACCCCAGTCAAGATTTACGACTGAACACGGTATCCTTTTGGCAAGACATTGGACCTCTCACAGCAAGGCCAGTAACCTGTTCTTGAATTAAACCCCACAGTGATCCTGAGTGGTGATGCTATGAATTATCTTCTTGTAAAACCTGAAAAGACAAAAACAGATGGTTCACCCTGAGATGAATCGAAGAGTAAAACCTTATAACCCAGAATCATCATCATCACAATAGCTGCTCTGTCTGACTGCCATTTTCCTCTCATCCCTCGTTTTCTCTGTGTCCTTTATTGCATCATCTCCGCTTTTATAATTATTAGTATGTTGCACGTGAGCCTTTCACCCTCCCCTTCGCTTTCTCTCAAGGTAATCAATGTGAACTTGTCACGGCTAAGGAACAAACACATTATTCAGGAGACAGCGTGTGCTCTATAAAGCACAAAAACATGCAGACTGCTGGGCTAATTGAATGAGGTAAGTGAAGGTTTCTGTGAGTATGAGGATGTGGCTGACGGCTGTTAACTCATCACAAAGTCACGAAAACACATTTGGACAGGGTTTCTCTTTGAAAGGCGGCTTCTCACAACAAAAGAAGAGCTGAACAGAAACAACACAACAGGCTTTTAATGACATTTATATGTTTAGACCTCTTTGTTGTGGTTTTTAGATAAAGATCAAAAGTCTTCATCGTTCAAATATGCAATAAAATCAAAGTGCATGACTGAGAGCACATCTACTTCTGGGGCCGTAAAGTTAAAACCGCACATTTTTACCTTTATCATTAAGCATAGGCTGAAACTTTACAGAGCCAGCGGTCTCGTGGAGAGTCAGACGTCTTTGTGTTTGTTAAAAAAAGCTGACCACATGACTTCACAGAGGCAGGGTCAGAGAATCTCTGTACTGCAGCAGAGACTGACAGTGAGTGAAGCTCAGGAGAGAGAGGGCGAGAGAGAGAGAGGGAGATTCTGCTTACCTACCTGGATGCGTGTTTTGTGTGTCTTCTGCAGCCACACCCTCCACTGGTCGTACAGTTTGATTGACATGCCGCTGCAGCTGGATGCGTGCTTGCGGACCCAGCCGAAGAACTGCTTGAGTTCTCGCCGCAGGGTGGAGTTCTGCTCGCTGGGTTTGGAATCACAGGAACCAGTCTGCAGCCACTCTGAGAGGGAGAAGAGAGGAGCGGGGGGGAGGAGGCAAAGGAGTGTGAGAGTAGAAAGGGGAAGATGAGAGTCGAGTTAAGTTGACACGAGGTGAAGGACAGATGAATGCACAAGTTGTTCACTAAATCCTTGTGGATTTGAAAGGCATAATTTTTGCACTTGTTCACTGATATATACCATAACTCAACATTTTGCCACCATTTGCCGTCATTATTGTTTAATACTGTATTTTATACATGTTGGATTCATATTTTTTCTCAATTTTTCACCCATATTGTTAGACCTCTTTAAAGCTGAATCACATGATCAGCTACTCTGAATACAAATGACAAAAAAAAAGATTTATGTGTTTGTGATTTTCTTTCAGTTGATTCTGACTGAAGTACCTTTACAATCACTACAGGTTTTACGCTGACATTTTTGACCCATATTCATTTTTGTTTAGCACAGATAACTGGTTAGGACTTTGCGACCCTTTGACTTCTTATAAAATGAAATTTACATCAGATGCAAAACTCAGGACATTGTTTTTCAGCCTCTACTTTAGGTTAGGTGTTGATTGGCACATTTGTGCATGTATTTCATGCAGGTATCTTGTTTACCAAACAACAGGGTTATTTTACCTCCCCAAAACTGTAATAGTGTTAAAGCATCTATGTGTTAGTGGTAGGACCTCTGAACTTGATTGTGAGTTTGTTTAGTGATTTACGGCCCCTTTTCTGTGTATTTTCTCTCCTATTGTTGTTTCTTTGTATATTTAGCCTAAATTGTAATCTTAAAATATCCTCTTATTCGTCCGTGTTAAAGCACTGGTTTGATTTATATGTCACATGAAAATAGTTAACAGTTAGTGAGCTATTTTAACATTCAAGTTAAGATCATTACGTGGCACATATTTATCCTATCTGTGTAGGAGCAAGCTGTAGCGGGCTGTAGTATTTACATTAAAGTCTTCCCGTCTGTGTCTGTGCCAGAACATATGATGGTGAAAGGATGAAAAGAGTCCTGGAGTCACAGAATCATCAGTTCATATTATAGCACTACACTGAATTGTTATATTGTGTTAGCATTTGTATTCACATATGTAAGCAAACAGGTATTAGCATTGTGGATGAACTACTGAGCTAAAAACTTAAGATATGGTAGCCCTATATTAATATATTTTTATGCAACTGATATCAACAACAACAACTATCACAAAATGATAACAATAACAATAATAATAATAATAATAATAATAATAATAATAATAATAATAATAATTAGTAATAAATAGTAATGACAATAATAACAACTACAGCAACAACAACAATAATAATAATAATAATAATAATAATAATAATAATAATAATAATAAATAGTAATGACAATAATAACAATAATAATAATAATAATATTAATAAATAGTAATGACAATAATAACAATAATAATAATAATAATAATAATAATAATAATAATAATAATAATAATAATAATAATTTAAAAATGATAATAATAATCTGGTGTATAACTAAAAGTTGTTTTACTGAGATAACATTTTGCACTACTCTGTTCTGCAGAGACCCTTAGTAAAAAAGAACTTCTTCATAGACAATATGATGACTTATCTTGCTTAATTTGCTAAAGTAGGATTTATACACTTTCATACAGGAAGAAATATTCCTCAATTTCAAGTTCCAAACTCTGGTAGTGAGTCCCTACATTTTGCTTTCCCGGCACTAAAAGCTACTGAAAGTCTTCTTCAATCAATTCTTTATAGCAAATAACAGAGCCTGATAACGACTTCCTCCCTCCAGGGAGTAAACACCACATGACCAATGTAATTCATTAGCTGCTCCTCCTGCCTCCAAACCTGCTTCCACTCAGGCTTTATAGGTCCAGTGTGCGTGCAGACAGTGGAGCAGCTTTTTAACCTGATCAATCTTTGAAGCTGACGACAAGAATCTATCAAACGTCCCCCCGGCTTTTTGCAGGACCCTCTAATCCTCTGCTAGGAGATCTCTATCAAGATATCTGGCCCCATGGAAGTGTGCTTCCTCCTGGGTCACATGCGGTTTGGATCTGCTTGTTCAGGATGTTGACTCTGGGATGAAGACTTTTTTTTTTTTAAGCTTTAATTGATGATGAAAGGTTGATTATTAGGAAGGAGGAATTGTCAAGATTTCTGAGTGCTGCAGACATTCAGGAAGTGTTTTTTGTCACGACACACACAATGAATAGAGAGACTTTGATTTTGCTTTTAAACATCAGCTTGATTTGATGGCATGAAGTGAATGAGCTCTGAGTATTTATATAGGTACTCACGACTGCTCGGAGTCGAGGCAGCGGCTGCATGGCTCCACTCACTCCAGATGCCAGCCTTTCTGGAGCCGTAGATGCCCACTGGATTGCACCTCACTTGGACAAAATAGACAGTCCCAGGTCTGAGGCCTGCCAGCCGGCAAGATGTCTGGTTACCGGCATCATCCACAACCTGTGAGAGAGGTCCACAAAACATAGCATCTGATGATATTTCAGACCAGTTACATTGTCAATAGAAATCAATAAGCATTTCTTTTCCTTTAATCGTTATAATTTATGTTTTCATAGCATCATAAAGCGCTCTGTTGACAAAGTTTCCAGTGTTTTGTCTGACAGAGTCAATGTCATGTTGCCTATGGTACGTTCGTGCTGAGTCACATGTTTTATTGTTGGTCACATGACCACATGAGCAGAAAATACTATACTTTTAAATACTATACTTTTAATATTTTTAATAAATTGGAGTATGGACAGCATGGACAGTTCTACAGACTGTATTTACATGGATAATGTGATCAGTTAGAGGTAAGTAAACTCCAAATCCTCATCAAAATGCAAAGAGGTGTTTGATGCTGTCTTCTCACTTTGATACTATTTGAGGATTATCTTTATAACAGCGGCTTCAACTTTATATTAATATTATTCCCTTAATTCTCCCCTTAAAAAGGGAATTAAGAAATCAAAGACACTCCGGAGGAAAAAATAAAAGCTGTTGGTTCAAAAAAACATCAAAGAGGCTGTTTTAAAGAAACACTTCTCTGAAGGCTTGACTGCCAGACTTCTGGATCAAAGCCGAGCTCTGAAAAAGGATCACCTACGCTCGTCAGAGGCTGTTATTTACTTAAAGGTGCTGCGTGTAGAAATGGGAATATCAAGCAATATCTAGCAGTCAGATTTCAGATTGAAACGCTCCCTTGCTCACCTCTCCTGTCAGTGGATTGATGGTGGCCTTTGAAGACAAGAAACATCTGTGATGCACGATGGAGTAAGAGCCTCTTTTGTCAAGTGATTCCCATCAAAATCATCTGTTTATACAAATGTTTTTGCACCCAACAACCGTTCTCTTCTTCTCAATCTCCCAGTCTGTGGGTTTCATGTGGCCACTCATCGAATAAAAAAAACATATTTTACTTGTTTGATCTTTTAATGTGACAGAAGAAACATAGGAGTGCAGGATGGCAGCCTCTGTGGCCCGAGACCTGCTTCTCTGCAGGTATAAAAAATTCATGCTGAGTTAAAAAGGTCCAAATGAAATTCAGGTTCTGGTGATTTTACACTAAAACGCACACAAATATTACATTTTTACTGAGTCTATTCTACTAAATGCCGCTCAATGCCCCCTATATTCAAACATAATATAATCAGGCAGTAAGAGTTACTGTTCTGTTCATTTTTACACAGGACAGTCATTAATGCACCTCACATATTTCCAAAGCTACAAAGAAAAGTGTGTGTATGGTATAATGCATGCGTGTGTGTGGGTGTGTGTGTGCACCACCTTCCATTCAGTGCTATCCTCCAGTCTGTAGCGTATCTGATATTTGGCCTGAAACAGGACGTCCTTGAGTTCACGAGAGCTGGTCCAGCGGACTGTCAGCTGGTCGTCAAGGTCGCCAACACGGCTCACCTGAACATTGGCAGGAGGGTCTGTGGTCACTGAAAGCACAAGGACAAGTTGCATTAAGTTTGTATACAGCAGGTGTTTAGTATGTGGTGCAAGGATTCAGGATACAAGAGGTTTCATTGATGTCTGTGAAATAATTTCAGTGACAGCAAATGTTGAAGTATGTTAATGTCGGTACCAGAAAAAGAAGAAGACAGTCATTTTATTAAACACAAACATTTTATTAAAAATATGTAGCATATAGTATGTTTTTAAGGTTATAGTATTGAAAGTGTAGTATGTCTCTCCACGCTGCTTTGAATTTCATCAGAAACACTTTGTTTTCACTTCATTTCAGTCTGTTTTACCACATGGTCAAAGTACTGCATGTTGACTTTTTGTCCTTGCACACATACATTGGTTTTTAAAATAAATTCAAAACGTACCTATTTAGTCTTGCTTTTAACTAAATTTTATATTATTAACTTTGTTTAAGTTTTTTAGCATTTATCTCTTTCTAGTTTTAATGACAGGATCGTCTTTTATTGAGCTTTTTTGGTGCTCTTATTTAAGTATCTTTTACTGTTGTTTTTATTTTATTGTATTTATTATTTATTAAATTTCATTCTATGTTACTTTGTTTTTAGATTTTAAACTAACCTCCTTTGTTTCCTTATCTTGAATTTTAAAATGGTGTTTCCTTGGTGCGCACACTCCTGTTTCTATGAAATCAAGCCCTTCTTAAGTGAATGCATTTTAATACGTCTCTGTTGTGTTTAGATCGAGGGGTGGGGATAAGTGGTTGGGCTGGGGTAGATTTGGGTATTCTTTGTTTCTTTTATTCTTTTTTCTGTGTAAAGCACTTTTTGCTGCGTGGTCACGTCTGAAAAGTGTTATATAAATAAAGACGGATTGATTGGTTGATTGATTGATTTAATTATTAGTAGTACAGGTACATGTGAGGAAAAACAAGTGAAAATTCAAGTGGGAAAATCATGCAGTTTACTTTATACCAGATGTACTCTCAACCCAAATGTAATATGATATGTTTATGTGTGAGTGTGTGCAGCCGTGTACGAACTGTTTTATGTGTTTAAAACAAATTAACTACTGCCATAAAAGTTACAAACAAAACCAGCTCTTATGGGAGAGATAGACAGAGGGAGAGATAAAGAGGACAGCAGCACGAAAGACAAAGAAAGACACTCATAAAAGGTCTTATTAAATGTCTCGTAAAAGTGTTTCCTGCTTCAAACATCACTGCTGTTTATGATGCCATTTTTCCGCTGAAGTTCTTTATTTCTTTTACTCCACTTAACCAAACAGAGAAAGAGAGAGAGCCAACAAATATTCTCTGAGCTTATTATTTCTGTCATTGAGGCAGAACACATCCCTCTCTGCTCTGAGTTATCCTTTACTTTGGAGTGAAGAAGAGCAGAGGAATGGGATGATCAGTCACGGAAAACAAAACTTGGTGCTTAGAAACAATGCTTTTAAATTAGTGATGGATTATTCATTAGAAATAGCTGCTACTGCTCTTAATTTATCATAATGAGGGTCTTGAAGCAGTCATCTATAACATCAGGTATCCTGCATAATTTTACAATTCATCTGTTTACCTTTGAGAAGTGTAGACAGAAACCTGTGATGTGGTTGGTAGGAGCATAAGAGACGTTTGTTAGCCATCTGCAGACAAACAAATGTCAGAGAGGAGAGGAAAAGAAAAGTAAATGACAGGGAACGAGGAAGTTTACTTACACACCTACATCTAGGATGTCCAGAGTGTTGATGTCAGAGGTGACAGAGCCCAGCTGATTGGCTGCCTCCACCCAGATCTCATATGGAGTGAAGAGAGCGAGGTTGCGGGGGACATAGCAGGAGTAACGCTGCTTCCCTGTGCCGTAAGTTTCACACTCCTTCTCCTTTCCGTACCACCTGAAAAACAGCAAACACAATAACAAAAAACAACTTGTGCTTTTGTTTCTGAAATGCAAACTCACCGCTTTTGACATTCAGCGCACATAAAGAATAATACACTGCAGCGTCTGCACCGCAGGGTAGTATGTTATGCTGAGGCGACACAACTGCATCTACTGCCTGTTCACCATTTAGCGTGGTACTGGATGAGGTGATCACCTGTGAGCTGCAGCACGTCGAAGGGCTCACCTCAATTTGTACTTGAGGGTGTATTTGGTTTTGATGTGGGTCTCACCCCGCCCTCCTGGGCTCCACTTACAGCTTAAGTCCTTTGTGTTGCGAGACCAACATGTTATATTGACCGGCTTTTCCGGAGGCACTGAAAAGAAAAATAAATGTCAAAAGAATTGAGTTAAACTTCTAAATATCCCGTATCAGCCTGATCACCCATCCTGAACACGCATCTATGCATGACTCTTCGTAAACTACACTTACTGCCTACGTAGAGACATGATCCAGCCAGGACGTGTCCACCTGCCCCGTGACACACTAGGTTGTCTCCAGACTGCTGCTGGGAGCCGTTAAGGTTGCGCAGTGTGACGCTCAGGACGTCAGGGCTCAGCACAGTGTAGGTGCTGCTGGACAGAATCATCCCGTTCAGAGTCCAGTACAAGGACCCGGCGTGGAGGCCAGACTCAGGACTGAGCGTGCAAGTAGCTGTCAGAGAGGAGCCAATCTGCAGGACTGGATCCTGAGGGGAGATCACTGCTACATCTGGGTGGTGGACAAATGAACAAAAAAAAAAACCTTTTGAGCCTTGGTGGTTATCTAAAAATTACACATTTGCTTTCCTTCTGATATGCTTTTACTTTACCGGATAACAGGTTCATCTTATGTGATACCCAAACCTGCATTTTTTATTTATCTGATTAATGACTTCAATGATTTTCAGTATCTTTCAAGTAACATTTTTAAACCACGATTGAACCATGACTAATTTGAAATACACATTTTAAAAGAAACCAGTTTTATTTGTTCCTGTTATTGCTGTATCATCTACAGAGTGTCTGCATCGTTTTTGTTTGTTTGATGCCTGATAATGGTCAGTACCCACAACATTTCTCTTTTGGTAAACTTCAGCTGCCTAGACCAGTGGACCTTTACTTTTTAATGACTCTAATTTGTCATGCACCCATAACTTTATATTCACCAGATAGGATTTTTTAACATTTGATGCAACAAAGTGTAGAGGTCCTGCTGTGTTTCCATTTTCCCCTACATTTAATTTTCTTTTTTTCCCCCTATATGACATGCATTAAAACCTGAGCAGCTACCCATCTGAGCAGAATTTTAAGATCTCGAATGCATCTGCAAGGCACAAGTCTATTTTCACCATAAGAAAAGCACTGCACCGGCACAGAGCAGCAGCTCGGCATATATTTATGACCTGGTAATGAAGTGGATTTATGGAGCCTCTGTGGGATCAGTCACATAGGTCACCATGGTGTAAAAATCCTGGAACACCTTCACACACACACAGCTTTGACTCAAAGTTTACCCTACGACTGACGCCAACGAGGAACCTTCTACTGTGTATCTGAATGTTACTACTGCTCTTCTTCCTCACAGAGATACAGAGGTCAGTGTGTAGTTTTAACATTGATGGACAGCAGATAAGCTTTAAATACATGTGCTGCCATCTAACTGAATTCAGTGCCATCTAACATAAAGAAAATATACAAGGATTAAAAAAGTCATTAACATGTGGGAAGATTCTGCTTTGATATCAATATTAAGGTTCAACGTACATGATGAAACAGTTTACACAACATTTTCCTTACACTTCCCATAAATATGTGTCCATTTCTTGTTACATTGCATGGCTTTGTGCATTGCCATCACGCAAAAACATTGTGTATATGAGCCTAGGCATCTGCGGGAAAGGCTAAATCTGTCATTTATTGTTTCAGTGCAATCTTGACAAACTTTCTTCATCTCCTTTTTTGAATCTATATGGATTTATTCAAGAATGTGAAGTTTTACAGATCATTTATATTTTCCAACTTCCAGAAAATTTTAAAAGGTGGTTATCCTTTTTTAATAGTGTTTATATTTTACTGGCGGTATTGTATGGTTAATAAAGTTGGATGGGAACTTGGCTTAAATTTCACTTTCAACTACTGCTGTTATTTCATTAAGCTACTATAAGAAGATTCATAAAAATAACTCCTGAAACAAGAGCCCCAGAAACAAAAAGTGATTTAAGGCAGAACTGTTTGTTTTAATTCATGCAGGCCACAAACATATTGACTGAAAATAATCAGAAAACTTGTGTCTGAAAAATGTTTTATGAATATATATTTATGAATTGTTTTACAAGTTTTCTCAAATTGAAAAAAGTGATATTTTGCAAACTTCGTGGAAATCTTCTTCCCAAAATTGGCCCATCAATAAACTGAGGGTCCTTTTAACTAAAATGAAAGGCTACAATATAAGAGGATTCACTCCGTAAAATGAGCTGTAAGAAGTTGTCAAATAGCTGATTTTAAATGCTCATTTTGCTGGTTTGTAGCATCCAAATATAAACAGTAGCTAGATAACTCGTGTGTCAGTTACAATAAATGTTGCGGGCTACTTACGTGTCGATGACAAAATCACGAGTGGAACAAGTAGGATGAAAAATATGAAGGCAAACATGGTTCTTTTGGACTGTTTATTCGCTTCTTCCCCCACTTTTCTGTCCTCTTTTTCTGAGCGTAAATAACAAACACAGAGGTGAAGTTCTGTCTCTCTTCAGCGGCCCTCCTCACATCCTCAGTGGCTCTTCAGTGAAAACCAGGAGTGTAAATAGACTGAACACGAGGTGTGCTCCTTTCAACTTCAGCTGTGTGCTCCTGCTGTTGCTGTGACTCTCAGGTTCCCTGTGTTTGCTCCTCCCACCTCCTCTTCAGAGTCGGACACAGGTCGTTAGTGCTCTTCGGCTCGCCCCCCTCTCTCTTTAACGCCCACAACACAAGCCCACAAAAACAAGGGAGACACAAAGTTCACGATTCACACGTCCCGGGATCTTTACCTTTATTATTTAAACCAATCAGAGGCGTAACACAAGTAAGGTGCAGACAACAGAAATAAAATGCACACAGGTTGAAGCTGTTAATACCCCTCAGTCTACTGCACAGTATTATAGAATTAAAGACCATATGATATGATATGATATGATAAAATATATTATATGATATTATATTATATTGTATTATATTATATGTGATTTTTGTGCTTCTTGAGAGTGACCCAGCACTTGGTACTTCAGTAGCTGATTATTGGTGCGAAGACATTTAATTGATAGAGCTCATAGTACTATCTATAGTATAGATACTTTGTTTCTCTCATTTCAGTGAAAGAATTTTCTCCATTGTAGGGGAGACCGGGGCTTGTTGTCACATGGGTAAGTTGTCACATTGCAATAATCCTTGCCACCAGAGGGAGCAACTAAAAAGTGGAATACTAGTTTTCTTCCTTTATGGTCAGGGGTCATTTCCTGTCTGAGAAGAGATGAGCGCCAATTAACTATTTTGCACAACCCAAAGTAAAAAAAAATGAACTTAATATATTTTAAAATAAGCTTCTTCCAGATAAAAATCCTAGCAATGATACATGTGGACTTGTTAGAAGAGAGATTAAGACATCCTAACATAGCTCAGTCATTGTTCTGTTTTAAGATAACTCTAAGCTAGAACGCTAATTAGCAAACATGGTAGTTTGGGGAAACATGTCTCAGTTATATTGGAGTTAGTTGTCACATGTTTAAAAGGGATTCAAATTAACATAGAGAGTCTGCTTATCAGCAGCTTTCACATTGAAACTTTGACTTTATTTTTACAAAAAAAAATGGTGGCTTAAAGGAGAGGAGAAAGCGAGAAGACATGGTCAGGAATTACAAAAGAAAAACAGAGCAAGGCAGTGCAGTACCTGACATGATGCTGAGGGCAGTCAGGCAGGTGACCCTAGCTAAGACATCAATCTGGACTTACAATAAAGGACTTTAATGTCAACTACCATACCTTAGCTCAGTACTGCAAAACACTTAACCCACCCGAAACACAGAGTCAGACAGTTCTCCAACTCCAGAGCATGTTGCATGATAGTTTAAGTTAACGTTTGTTCAATGACTTTTCTCGCTCAATGATAAATATTTTCTGTGCCTGACTTTAATGTTCACTTTCATGTAAAATAATGAGAACAACAATAATTTTGTCTTTGTTTTATTAGCTGCAAAATCAACTGTGACATCTTACCCCATGTAGTGAGACAACTTACCCAAAGGTGGGGCAACATGTCACATGTTCCCACTCTCTATTTGATTGCTTATAACTTTGCACTGACACAAGATATAAAAATGACATGAATACGAAATACTTACCTGAGACTTTGGTCTTTTGTGTGGTACACATTTTGTTTATATATGATGTAGCAATTCCAAGAAATAGATAAGAGTGTAAAAAGTGTGACAACAAGCCCCGGTCTCCCCTACTGCTTTTTGCGTCTCTGGATGCGGTGACTGCACTGCACAATAAAAAGCTAAATCTAACACAAGGCAAAAGCATCACATGGTTAAATGGTTATGGTGCGTGTATACTTTATACAGAGTTCATACATATGAAACATTAGAAAGAACTCAGAAAATGGAAACGAGATAACCTCACATGGCCTTGTCAAGTGGTCTAATCTCTCCTTGGTTAATGTATGTTGTTGCTGCAGGATCTTTACAGGATTGAGCTGATAAATGAGACTGATTAGGTGTGAAGAGTCAATAATTGAACAAACGCTCCATCTGTCCTCTCTGTTCACAACACTTGACCCCCCACCCCACTCCACAGCTCGGTCCTTGTCAGCTATCCTCCACGTTTTTATGAATATCATCATTCCCACACGATGCACCGCAGTGAGGGCTTCTCTGCAGATTATGTATGTGTGTGTATTTGGGGAAGAGGGGGGGCAGCCTGTGCGTGATGATGATGATGATGCGCGTGACGCCACGAGCAGCAGCAGCAGCGGGTGAGCGGAGTAGACGGGAGCCAGGCTGAGGCAGCAGCAGCAGCAGCATCCGCAGAAGCGGCGCCGCCACAAAGGGAGCTCAGTGCTGCTTCAGACTCGACTCTTCCTCGTTCCTCTTCCTCCTCCTCTTCTTCAGGGTTTGAGATGCTCCGGCTCGGCGGCAGAATGTGCGGCTTTTCGGCGCTGCTCTCGGTGCTCCTCGCCGGGCTCGCGGCCGCGTCCTCGGATCTGTTCGACAACCAACTGGGCGACATCAATTACTGCAAAAAGCAATGCCAGCTCACCATCAAAAACAAAAGCCCTGCTAAAGTAAGTTATTCCTGTGCGCCGGAACGGAAGCTGCCTCTGCGGACGCGCGGATACATCCATTTAAACAACTGCACAAATACAACAATACAACCTGATTCATAGAAGTGTTTATGTTTATTGGAGAAATACAAAATGATATATGTTTGTTTTTGTTTGATGCGCAATGGTGCTCCAAATTTCTCTGCATCCTCTTGATCCTACCGCGCGCAATTAGGCCAAAAATGGACGCAGCGGATTTTCTTGTGCATCTTAAAGATCAGTGCAAAAAAAAAAAAAGGTTCTGCATTGAACCAGCAAAAAAATCGCCAATGTGCTTATTGACCGTGTGGAACCGCAATTAGGATCATTCTAGGCCAAGGCATGAGCAATGGAGGATGAGGAGAGCGTGAAGATCCATGAAAACAATTATCCTTTATTGATAGTTTACACAGCGCCTCCCTTTTTATTCGCGGCCAGACCAGACCCTAGCAGGATGGTGGATTATTGCTTAAATTTCACCAAGAGCCATTATTGAAGAGCTTTGAATGTATCTCCAGCGTCTGATGTTTTCACCCCCACCACCTCCTCCTCATCCTCATCCTCCATCTCTGCTACCTTCAGGTGTGGTTAAAAAACATCCTGCAGGACGGCAGGAGCACAGCTGCAGAGCGGTGTGTGCACTCACCTGGATTCTAAGATCGTGATGGAAAACAAGAACATGTGCATATGAGGGATTAAACGCTTGTGGGTCGATATTGGTGTTTTGACTTTAAGGTGCCGTTTGGAGGTTATGGATGATCTCTGCAAACAAGGAAACTCGAGAGGAAGATGACGAGCACAAAGCTCAAATAAACCGTCCACGGTCGCAGTCAGGGCTTTTTTTGTGTGTGTCTTTCCTGTTCCCAGAGGGCTCACTAGAGTGTGCTGTTTCCTCATTTTTGAGCAGAGACTGCTAGAATTATGTTAGAGGAAGGCAAATTGAGTCCACTCTTTTTGTAACCAGTTTTCTCACAAACTTTTTTTCATCTGTCTCTTTTTAACATCTCTGACTATAATAACAACTAAACCATGTTATCAAGAGATGCCTTAACCCTTCTTTGTCTCTTTCCCTAACAAGGTTATCCTGTGTTTATGCTCATCTCTAATTCTGTCTTTGTCTGTCTTCCAGGACTCCATAATGAACGCCTGCCACCGTGGTTGCCGCCTCTACTCCATCTGCCAGTTTGTCAATGGAAATGCTGGCTTTAATACCAGCAGAGAGGAGTGTCAGGGAGGTGAGTGGGCCCCTCTATCAGGCTGTTTGTTTGTTTGTTTGTTTGTATGCTGGTCTTGCAGGGATGCTGAGCCAGCAGAGGCCAAAGTTTAAGTAGCAGAAGGCGTCAATATGTCACGTCAAAATGAAAGGCAGTGAAATAAATTCTCATGGGGAATAAACTAAGAATGCAGTTAGAATCATTTATATGTAGCTCATGCTTCTATTATCTGAGCTTAATTTTTCCTTAATTGTGTCTAAAATCAGTAGTTTCTATTTCTAAAAGATAATTCAGGCAGAAATCAAAAAGATCCAAAACATTTCTCTCTTTCTTCTTTATTTATCTCAGACTTTAAGAACAACAACAAAAACAACTAGAAACAAAATCACTGATCAAAATAATACATATGTACACCAAACAACTTTACATGTCAAAGATAAATTAACACAACATATGTTTGTCAAAAACAATCAGTTTGAGGAGGAACAGCATGAAGCAAAAAGGGTATCTAGTCCTTGCAAATTAGAGATTTAAAAAAGAAAAAATCTATTTGTATAAATTACAAAGATCTGTATAAATACACACATTTTATACACAAAGATACCTGCTCAACACTCAATAGGTTACTTATTATAATTACTTGCATATTATAATAATCAGTTTTATAATATTCAGAATTATTAGTATTTTGCAATCAAGTATATCTAGTATAAAACCATATTTTTTGTTAATATACTTATACGAATTTTCTAATACTTCTCTTTAGTTTGATTTAAATATTTTTATGTTATTAGACATTTTTAAAGTGACATCCAGGCTGTTCCAGAGTTTAACACCACAAACAGAAATGCACATACTTTTCAGAGTTGTATGGACAATTGGACAAATAAATTTATGTTTCCATTACAAGACAGAAGACAATAGCTGTTGCTGCCTATAACATAGATTTCAAGCAGTGGTGCAAGCTTACATCTCTGCTAAATACTGCCTCCCGTCCTTGAAGCTGGCGGACTCTATGGGTATTTTTGGGCATTTAAGGCGGCTCCCCTGTTTGAACTGCTGTATTGGAAATCAATGATTTGATTTACCATCCAGACAGCAGATGCCCTGTCGCTCCCTGTTTTAACAAAGACAGCATGAAGTGAATCATCTCCATGGGGTCTAACGGATACATCTCTCTTGCATCTTTATCTTTCTTCTTACATCAAAAGGAAGCATGCACTGCCTTTATTTCCTCATGCCTCCCACCCAGCTGATTGTTGTGCTCTCTTCTTCCTCTTTTCCTTTTTTTAACCATTATTCTACACCCCCCTACCCCCCACCCGCAGCCTGCCAGGAGGCGTATATCAAGCTGCTGGAGCAGGAGGCTTGCAGCACTGGCTGTGCTAGTCAACCCTCTGAACCAGAGATCAAGAGGAGGAAGGTGAGAAGGCCACTGGCTGTACACACAAATACAGCAAGCAGAGCTTTTAGTGCCAAAATGAAAAAAGAAAATTAGGAACTACTAAGAATACATGTGTACACCTTTACAAAAGCATGTGTGCTCTCTGTTCGGCAGCTCAGAGCCATGACTCTGCGCCCTAAGCCTCCCTCTGTGATGGAGGCCGTGTCTAGCTGGTGCAACGACATTGTTAGCTCCGCCCAGAGCTTCATCTCCTCCACCTGGACCTTCTACCTGCAGGCTGATGATGGCAAGGTTGTAGTTTTCCAGGTAAGGCCCAGCAAAGTGAACATGCAAACTCTAGTCCATTCCACTCCATCCCACATCCATTTCTAACTTCGTCTGTTTAAGGTTAATTTTTTATTAATAAATTGTTAAAGCTGCATAATTGAAGCAACAATATATTTTGAAGGAATAACGAAAATCTACAATTTACAGCATTTTTTGACCTAAACCCAGCTGCTGTAACTTATGAAACAATCAACACAGTTTCTGTTTCTGCTGCTGAGATGAAAAAAAGAGCAAAAAACTCCTCACACATTCACTTTACTTCTTTCCTAAAAATGTGAAAAATAATATGTCAAGGAGTTAATGTACCAACTTGCCCCTGCTCCCAGAAAGATGGCAGCAAAGTGTACTTTTTAAGCTGAAATAGACCCCTTTTAGTCTGATGAGTTTGGGAGTTATTGAGACATAACACATTTAGAATTTTATTGAAGAAAGACAAAATCTAGGACTTTTAGTGTTCTTCTGTGGAGGACATATTGCATGTAAAATTTCCTTATTTAAATCACCACATAAACACAATAATGGCCCCCAAAGTCCTGGCGCTGGAAATTTTTATTTAATACTTGCAGAGCTTTTTAAGTTGTGCGTCTCAAATGTGGGTTAAAAGCATGCTCGAGGGCTGCTATAGAAGATAAGTTGAGCTAACCTCTGCTTCCTCTTACGACAGAGAAATATATATCTGCTTGGTTAAGCATAGCTGTAGAGCTTGGGTCACTGCCAAAACAACTCAGAGCCCATTCTCCCGTCAGTGCATCTGCAAAGGTTGAGTGAGCAAGGGCACACAGCAGGATGGGAACAAGGTGCTTCAATTCAGCACTTTTAATTGTCTGTAAATGTCCTTTTAAATTTAATCACAGTTCTCTGTACCATGCATGGTTCATAACCGGCAGGCCCAGCTGTGAGGAACTCAAATATGGATGGAAACAGTAGATGATTTGAGTAACAGAGATGGCTGAGAAGAATAGTCACGGCTGCTATCCTTTTACCGCATTAAATGAAGCCTATGTCACGTTAGATCTGCCTGTTACGTACAGTACATGCTACTGTTGTCCTCCCTCTTTTGCTGCAAAGCTATTTTGTGTGTATTTGCCATGTGTCTGTTGCTGCTGTTGATCTGTTTTTGGTACACTATGAGGGTTATGTGTACAAAAGGCCAGGACCCAATATTGCAGAGACAAAATCACCAAAAGTTTAACAAAAATCAACAAGAAAAAACAACATAAAATCACCACACAGGGTAAAAAGGCTCAGGAGGCACGGACAGCTACTGAAAACGAAAAAAAAACAAGTGTCAGGAAAAATTACAGAAAAACTCAAACAACCTCTGACTCTAAAAGTACAACTCAAATATTCCACATGGGGCAAGTAACAAAGGAATACAAAGTCAACTAGGAAGTTCAACAGAAAACAAAAAACAAACTGAAAATCACCTCAGAAAAACGCAAGGGAAAAAACTAGAACTGTAAAGTACAAAACAACTGAAACAAAGTGACAAACAAACTTACAAAAGACACGAAGGCAGACTGGAGGCACAAGCAGGAGGACACGAGAGGCACAGAGTGGTTCGGCTCGAGAGGAAGACTGATAATCATCCAGCAAAGAGCAGGACAGGAATCCGGCTTTTAAAGGCCAGCTGATGAGCACAATGAGGTGCAGGTGTGCTCCTGATCAGCTGAGTCAGCTCTGCCCCCTGCCGTGCGCCAGTGCTGCAGGAAGAGAAAGAGAGAGAGCACACAGACAACCAAAACACAAGGAAACAGCCCCGGATCATGACAATGAGACTAAAGACAGATTTCCACTTGTGGATAATAAACGAATGAACAAAGTTTCGGTAACTCTTTATTTGACGCCTATCTCTATAACGCATTATAAAAATATGTATAATGTCTTATAATCACATGATAGCACTGTATAACTATAGTTATAAACACTCATAAATGATCATCATGCTTTATAGCAACAATCAGAACACATTATAAAGCATTTTATCATGACTTGCAAGGTCAGGTAATATAACGTGTTATGATAATTGTTATAAAGCCTTATGATTATAATTGAGTATTTATAATGATAGTTATACAAGTTTATCAGCAAATTATAACACATCATAAATATATGTATAATGCATTATCTGTTGTTAACAGTTATAGTAAAGTGAAGGTTGCATCAAGTAAAGTGTTGCCGAAGTTTCAAATGTAGTTATTCTTCGGTTTTAATCCAAAAATTTGGGTCACCATAGTGGAAATGCTGACCCAAACTAAAATTTGGCAAATCCAGGTACAGGTGTAGAGGTGGAGTTGAGGTTCTAGTCTGGTTGTTTCGCACACAGCCACATTACGCCCACTTGTCACACAGTTTGATCAGGCCCTTTATTGCGCTTGTTTATGCATAATGATAACGTTGAAATGATTTTTTAATTCACACATTCTGCATTAAGATGAAGAATCTGTTTTCAAATGCTAAAATGCCCTAAATTTGCAGTATGTTTTGAGTCTCAGTGGTGCTGCAGGCTTGCAACTGCAGATAACAGTCTGTTCTTTCGGAAAATGATAACTTAGATAAAAAATCTGCTTCTTAACTTGTTGAAAAAAAAGAACAACCAGTTTTTTGTTTTATTTTGTTTTGCTGGCATCAGAAACAATTTAACTGAACTACAGTCTAAAAACAAGCATTAAAAAAGTTGTTCCCTCTCATGAAAACAGACCTGACAAAGCTGAATTTACTTAACAAAATTAAATCATGGTGTTTTGAACTAAGAACTTTTGAACTAAACAGGCACTAATCTGAGGGATGTGATAAACCAAGAAAGTACATCGGTTCTTTTCAGGAACTATGCCGCACTGAAAAGGAAGTTTTGGCTGCAAGTCAGTCAGTGCTATCAAATAGCTACACTGCAGATATGGAGATGTTTGTAGTCACATCACAGAGGCACAGCCTGTTGTCCTCAAGAAATGATAAGAAATAATTGCCAATGGGTCTGAAATTAATGTATCCTTGATAAAATCAAAGTAGTTGAGTTGAATATTAAGGCATGAAGGAATAACATATAGAGGTCAAATCAGTCAGACACCAGACTGTAAATATGTTCGCTTTTATCGTTGGTTATTTTAGCACAGAATCTAACAGAAATCCTTGACTTTCAGAGACAGCCTCAAGTGGGCACTCGATAAAACAAGTGCACTTCTCCGGTGGCTGCGTTTCTCAACTGGAGGTTTTGTCCAGCTGCTTATAAAAAACTATTCAGAGTTGTTTCGGGAATTTAAAAGATGCATTAAATGAGGCTGATAAATTAATTGTTTCCATAATGCCATTATTAAAACCACTAGGCAGATTTTCTTTAGTCCCTGTTGATTTATCTGCTGTTAACCAGCTTTTTTTTCACTTCAATTTTATTTTCACACAGGCAAAGACCCAGATGTAGAAGAAAACATTTCTACACATTTATTTTACTTTGACGGTAAATCTAGAGGATTCAAAGTAGACATCTGCTTACTCAGAGAACTTTCTCTCTGAATGTACAGCTTGAAACCACCTATACATTAAAACTAAAATAGGAGTTGGTCGACCAGCCAGACCCAACTGTATCCTCTAAATCGCAAAAACTGGTCAGAAACCTGCATCCTCTTCTGGGGTTTTCCTGTTGGTATAATGAGGCTTTGATGGCATTTTTAGCTACATAATTAGAGGCCTCTATGGGAATGATAGTATTTATGTGCACCAACCTATACAGAAAGGCTTCTGTATAACAGAGGAGTCCTCCTCATGCTAAAATTTACCATTAGTTATAAAACCTTTTATACAGACTGGGCTCTGAGATCCAGCAGCTGCAGAACATGAAACATTTCATAGAGATTGGGTGATGGATGGTTGCTCTTTATGGCTGTGACGCGCAGGCCGGAGCAGCATGAGGCTCCACAGGCTGCAAGGAGGGTATCAGGCCTGTGTTTTGTGGGTAGCTGGCAAACCGCCACCAACTTGACAGATTGACTCTCAGAGTGATGAAACAACCGAAAAAGTCAGGGGAGGAAAATCAGGGCTGCCTCCAATATAAATTGTAATGATGTCCATAATGAGCAGTCTGTACACATTCATCTGTGAGCTCTTGTCTGTTATTGTGCAACCTCAAGCAGTCAGAATGACTAGTTATGTTTACCCTTGAGCATCTTTAAAACAATGAAAGCTACCAGGAATTCATCAGTGGCTCCAAATAGTTGAGATTTGAAGGTGGAGTAAGTCACGCTTAGGTCACGAATGAGGTTTGTCCTCAGGGGAGGAGAGAATAAACTTAAGAAAACATGTAATTACGAGGGCATATTGGTAAAACACAGCCATTCCCTTTTCACCATAACCCTGTTATCTTGACAAATCAGCCCATGATAGTGTGACAGTGTGAGAGTTCAGGACAAAAGTGAGTTGATTAAAGGCTTCTTCCCCTCTGAGCTGAAGTTCTGCTGGCAAGCCGGCCTGCAGGACAAATTGAACTTGGTGTTCGGCTGAGTACAAAGAGAGAAATCCCCGACTCATTTCTCTTGACAATTGCATTAGTCACTCTGCCCAACTGAATATTAAAGACACCAAAATGCTGAAGAGAACAGAGAGAACCAGAGAAATAACAGTGTTTGAAGGAAGTGTGACTTTTATTGATGATACCGCACCAAAGTGAAAGTCAGCTTCAATGACTGATTTAGGAGTAAGAGTAAGAAACTTATAATGTGCTGATATGTCGACCTGCCGCAGACTATCATTTCAGACCAAAAAATACATCTTAAACAAGCAATTTGATTGAGGTTGGAGAATTCCTTACAGCATCAGGGAAATGTTAACCTGACACACCAGATTCTGTTTCACGTAACCATGTCATGGGATATAATTTATATTCATCAGGGCAACACCACACAGATGGTGTCTGCGAAGAGAGGAACCTTTCAAATTATACTTAGAGGATGATTGGCCTTAGGTGCTGTCTGTAGCATTCATTATTGTCCAAATACAGCAACAAAACTTAGGATGTAGGCCTGTGTGTATGTGTGTGTGTGTGTGTGTGAGAGAGAGAGAGAGAGAGAGAGAGAGAGAGAGAGAGAGAGAGAGAGAGAGAGAGAGCTTAACAGGCACTAGTCCTGTATTCTAGCTGCTGTTTGAAGCCCCCCAGACCCAAATAGCTGATCAGGTGGAAGAGCATGTATGTTCTGTGTCCATTTATGTTATAAAACAAAAATTCTGCACTGACAAATTTCAAAGACCGCTATACTCATACTCTGACAATGGTGTTGGTTGATATTTGCTACATCAGCTTAATTTCCTGACAGACCAGGCCTTGACTTTAACAGTTGATTTCTTATTTTACTAAATCATTCATTTTTCATGTTTTCTTTCTTTTCCTTTTTTTTTTTGGGGGGGGGGGGTCTTTTTTTCAGTTTTTCTCATTTTTCTTGTCGATTTCTTCATGTCTTTTTTTTATTTCTTTCCTCATTCCTTCCCCTCCTTCCTTTCTTCCTTTCCACCAATCTTTCCTTCCCTCCTTCCTTCCTTCCTTTCTGTCTTTCCTTGTCCTTTCCTTCTTTCTTTTCTGTCCTTCCTTGTCCTTTCCTTCCTTTCCTTATTTCCTTCCTCTCTCTCTCCCTCCCTTCTGTCTGTCTTTCTTTCTTTCTTTCTTTCTTTCTTTCTGCCTTCCCTTACACCCTACCCGTCATTCCTTCCTTCCCTTATTTTCCTTCTCTCCCTTCTTCCTTTCTTTCTCTCACTGCCTTTCTTTCTTTCTTTCTTTCTTTCCTTACACCCTACCCCTCCTTCTTTCCTTCCCTTATTTCCTTCCTTTCTCCCTCCGTCCCTTGTTTTTCTTTCTGTTTTTCCTTCCTTTCTTTCTTTCCTACTTTCCTCCCCCCTCCCTCCTTTCTTCTCATCTTTTTTTCTTTCTTGCTTGCTTTCCTTCTCATCTAGCACCTTTGCATTCCTTCCCATAATGTATGACAGATGCAGATCCGACTGTGCTCGTTCTGATGGTTTGATCCCCTCAGTCTGTAGCCAATCAGAGGCGCTTCTCTCTCCTCATATCCTAAACCTTCAGTGTGACTCTGCATCTGGTTTTAATGCACTTTGTCAGAAAACTCCACTTGTGCAATGTGGTAAACCCTGCTGTAAAATAATGTTGAACAGAGGATGCTGAAAATATTTTGAAACCCCAACAAACTTGCTCAATCTCTTCATGTATCAAAAGTTTGTTGTTTTGTTTTTCTGGAATAGGGGATGGAAATCGTTCAGTACTAAAGAGATCAATGATTTTTTAAGTTAATAATGACAATGATTGAAATGTAAATGAGTTTTCTGGTTTTATAAACCTTTGCTTTGTGTGAGACAAAGCAAAAGTTCACTGATCCACTTAATCTTTAAATAAGGGTGACACACCACAATGGGACATACTGTACTCCAAATACGTGTGTGTGTGTGTGTGTGTGTGTGTGTGTGTGTGTTATTGAGGCTGGGGCCAGCAGTAGTATTGTTACAGCCAACTACAGCTGCTGTTGTTGGGGGTCAGCAGTGGGGAACCAAAATCCTCTTTTAATGAGTTCTCCAAGGGAACCAGAAACACTGCACACATAATAAAACAGTGCAAATACCCACAGCGGGTTCTTTATGTGTGTGCGTGTGTGTGTGTGTGTGTGTGTGTGTGTGTGTGTGTGTGTGTGTGTGTGTGTGTGTGTGTGTGTGTGTGTGTGTGTGAGTGTGAGTGTAACGTTTATTATGGAAGACATTTTTCAGAGGTTTGTACCATCTAAAGGTTTCACAAAAGTGTTTTTGTTGACCAAGAAATTGAGATGAGAAATTTTGGGGGTAAAGATGAAACTTTAGGAAGTGGTAAAAATATCTTGAGTTTTTAAAACTAGATAAAGTATATTGACTTAAGAGCAGTTTCTTTGGTGATCCAGATTTGACCAAAATAATAAAAGGACTTAAAGCATATCAAGACAGTCCTGTTTTAAGTAAATCAAAACAAAAAATGTCTTCACTGAAACCTTTTATTCACTACTCTACAGACATGACAGTGGTGTCAATTCTCTGTGCTAAATCTTCACACTAATGTACCCGACTATTTCTGTAAAACTACAAAAGTAAGTTTTCATTAACCCCTCCTCACATCTCCAAACCTGCTTCTCATGTCTCTCATAGTTCATCCCAGCTTCTCATCCAACCATTTTAATCAAAGTCATCAATTCTGCTGGTGACTTATAGTAAAATAGCAACTGCTAATATCACTGAGCCTTTTTTTGTTTTTGTTTTTTGCTCTATAGAGCCAGCCAGAGATGGAGTACTCACTGCCCGAGCTTCAGGCCCCTCGTTCCAACGTGGCTGACAAACCCTGGCCTCAGGTCCACTCTCACACCCAGAGGCCCCATGGTGAGACAACTGTATGTGCACATATTATTCCGACCGTTCACAACAGCATGTGTATAGAATAGTCTCATTTGCTGTTCGATTTGATTGTTTGTCAGGTGTGAGGGGACATGGTGAGAGAGGAGCATCCAAAGCCGGAGGCAAAGGCAAACACCCCGTGCAGCACACAGAGGATCCCACAGCAGAGCATGACTTCCTGGGCTGCATGTCAAGGTCAGATGGTGCTTACTTAAAGCTAAGGTTTACTAGTGAAGTGCACTTTTTTTATTGTGCGAATCGTTTTATATTCATACCCTGACCCGTCTCCATGTTAACATTGCCAAACTTTTATTCTCCAGACGTTCAGGCCTTCCACGGTGGATCTTGGCGGCCTGTCTCTTCCTGTCCATTATGGTTATGTTATGGCTCAGCTGTGCTAGCCTGGTCACTGCACCTGAGCAGCACATCAAGACACAGGTACAAACACATACACATCAGTGTTAATACATGGACATTACGGAGACACAAAGACTTAAAAAACATGGTTTACACATTCAAGGCTTATCTGCCTTAAACGGTTTGGTGACTCTGAATATACTTTACAAGCAGAAGTGAGGTGGGGTAGAAATCTAGTGGGAAATTGCAACTCGGAATTTCAATGTGCTGTTGAGCTAATACTGTGTTCGAGTTACCGCGGAAGTCAGGTGTCAGAACTGAAAATGACGTCACACCCGAGTTCCCAGCATTTCAGTTACCAAGTCAGAAACAAAAGATTAGGAGGCGGAAACAAGATGGCTACATCTACGAAAGTTGTTGTAGCGCTTGCCTTATATTTGGACAAGGCAAGCTCTGAAATAACTTTCATAGATGTAGCCATCTTGTCTCAGGCCTCTGATTTTGCTTTTCTCCAACTTGGTAACTGAAACTCTGGGAACTTGGGTGCGACGTCATTTTCAGCTCCGACATCTGACTTCTGAGGTAACTCGAACGCAGCATAAGCAGTCCTGTTTTGTGATGTTTGGATCCCTTGTATTTTTGAAGGTACTCCTGCTAGAACTCATGGCACTTTCTGTTTCTTACTGTTCACACGTTGTCCTACCTGCAGATACAACAACACCCACATAAAAAAAAATCACTTTCTTTTGAATCCGTCTCAGAGGCAGACACATTTTTCAGTGTTGTAACAGCCTTTGTCGAATCTCCCACATTGAAATAAATAGCAAGCCGCTGTATTATAGTCATCCTTTGAGATGATTAAATCACTTCATAACCATCTGCTGAGGTATGAAGTCTCTAGTTTGAGTGACACACATTGTCTAAACTTGGTTTATGCAGCTCAGACTCATTGTGTTGATCTTGTTTGAATCAAAGGCTGTGTTGCCAGGGCAACAATTGTGCACATCCTCTTCTTCTCTTCCGATGTTAAAGGGGGCTTTTCAGTGATAACAGTGCAGGAAATGTGTTATGTCATTAAAATAATTATTGAATGTCAAATTCAGATTTTAGTTTATCCAAGCTGTCGGAATATCATGTCCCAATGAGGACAAAGAGACAGATGAATTGAAGTCACATCCATGTGTGTAACAAAGCAAGATAGTTATTTAATTCAGCGGCACATCTGATCTAAACAGGCAATCAGAAATGCTGAACAAGCTCAGTTTTTAAATTTTCTTTTGTAGAAATATCCTAGTAAGTTGTGCTGAAAGATTGCAAATGTTGGCTCAGTGTGGATATTTGCTGTCATATTAAAACTAAGAGTTTCCATTTTTACTTTTATCTGGATCTCACTGAATGCCGATGTAAAGATAAGGCAGGTTATTGTATCACAGGAAGTCGGATGTGTGCAGTAAGTGACCTCATTGTCTGTTTTTCTTCTTTATTCTCTGTCTTGTTTTAGCTGAGCATCAACGGGGACAAAGAGTTTCTGGATAACGCCATCAAAGTAAATCCATACCACTTGAGTCCTGTGATCGCTGTCGCAGTGAAACAATCAGAGGAGGGTCAGGAGGCGGGGCCTCTGCCGGTGAAAGTCGACCTGAACAAAACCTGTGTTTAGAAGGAACCAGTAGAAGAGCTGCTGTTTTGTTTTCCGTTGTTACTATGTCCAAAATCCTTGACGAACACGACACAGGACTCACTCAGTCACCAGAATTTTTCTAAATTATATTTTTAAGAGCATGGCACCCTGCTGTCATAAACAATTATACTGAAACATCTAGCTTGGTCATGTGATTGTGATGGCACTTCATTTGTTCGTCCTGATTTTTCAGATTTTCCCAGAAGTTCAACCTGCTCATTGATCATTGATAAGTTAGTGCTCTTGTCTCAGAGACAAAGACAGAGATAGAGATTCCTTTCAGACTTTGGTTCATACACAGAGTTTTAGTTCATTAACATGCTGCTGAGAAGATGAATGGAAGGTGGGTGAAATACAGAAACCTTGAATGCTGCAGGAAACAGGAGCTGTAGCTCAGTTTATGATCTGTTTACATAATCAGCTTTATGAGCCATTTACTCAGAATGATTTTATAAGTTGCTTGAGAAATTCAAAACCACGTTTACCCCCTTATGATGCAAAAACAGGTAAGCCCCACACCTCCCTCCAGAGAAAAATACAAAGCGGCGTCTTTTGTAAACCTTGTTCCTTCGTATGTTTGTGTGTTTTTGGATATATCTGGGCGTTTGTGTACAACTCTAACAGCACATGACAAGTATTTAAGGTGGACCACTAAATACTAAAAACTGATCAATTAAAATTCTAACTAACAAAGCCCCTTAGGCCCTGTAAAGGTGATCTTTTTTATTGTATGCACACAAAATGTCACAAAATGCTGTTACATTGTCACGAGAATGAAGACTTTAGAGAGCAATCGAAACAGCAACTTACTGGGAAATAATGGTATTGAATAGCAGCAATTGACGGCAAATGGAATCAGTCGGTTAAGGATTAATAATTTGTGTGTCTAAAATAAAAAAAAATCACCTTGAGGAATTTCAGATGGTCTATAGTAACCAGACTGAAAACAGGCCATTGAAAAAAAAAGCCTTTATTTATTTTTGTCTGTATTTATTTTGCCATCCACATGTGTTTTCTGTTGAGAAGTGTTATTAAAGTGCCATGTACTGTACATATAACCATCAAACAAATGTAATTGCTCTGTAAGTAAAAAACAAACATTGTAACACAGATTGCAAAGAACACAAAGAGGGGAGATTGCACCTATTACTGTATTATTACTACTCTTATTATCACTTATATCACTTGAAGAGTTCTTAGCTGTTATATGTGCCATGTGCTAATAGCTGACTATTTTGTATGTCCTAGGAGCACACACTGAAGGTTAACCTCTGTAACTATGTGTACTGCAAAGCTTTGAGCATAGACCTTTGTTAATGACCAGAGTTGCACAGTTGTAGAGCAGATTTTCTGTTTCCCTCTCGACGCTTTCGGTGTATGAATGCTCTCTTTTCATAACGGCTGTGTAGACAATAAACCGTGCATGCAAACGACGCTTTGATAGTTTATCTTTAACCGCCTGCCATGCCAGGACGGCAAGCCTCTGCTGTAGACTTGTGAATTTTGTGTTACTATTTACTGTAAACTTTAACTTTTTGAACTGAATATGTGATGACGATTGACAATATGCCCGTAATTCGCAGGAAGGACTCTCAATAATAATTAAAAAGCCATTCAATCAATATCTGTGCTGGTTCAAACTGATAACAAATATGATATATTGTTTCCTTTTTACCGGTTTGTTTCTTTCCAATGAAATGATACTTATAACATGATGAAATAAAGTGTTTTCATTGTGAATAAATGACAGAGTTGGTGTTTGATTTCAGAGTTCGTGTGTAATCTTGTGTCAGTATGTGTACTGTGTCAGTATATAAACAATTCTCCATGTGACAGAGTGTTGCATCTTGTAAATGGAAAACTAAATTGAACCTGGCATAATAACACATTACTCCATCAATGAAGTTATTGTATAACATGAGTTCAGGAGCCATGCCTTTGAAACCAGTTTAGTTACTCGTATCTGATCACATTTACCTGTGTCATTACTCTTACCTGTTCACCTAAACTCTCAAGATTAAAACCTCACAACCTCTATTTCTCTCCTCACAACACAAAAAAAACAAAAACAAAGAGGAACGCTAAACATGAAGTGCACTGATACCCTGCCTCATCTCTCTCTCTTTACCTTAACCCCTCATCCATCCCTTCCTCAACCCTGTAGCATATTTCAAATTGACCTCTTTTATACCGTTAAGTATAAGTGAAGCATCCACAGATCCAAGTTAAGTATGTGGACTGAACGCCGGATTCCAAAGGATACCATACACTTAGTCTTGAGGGAAGGCTACATAGCACTGCAGACTTTCTGCAAAGCTGTTCTCACTCAATAAAATCCACTTCACACTTTGGGTTCAACTCATACTGAAGGATACTGAAGGTATTTGTTGTGGTTGACTTCAGGGCACTGTTCAGGCCTGTCAAGTACATTCTCAACAAACAAAGCCCTAAGATCTGAGATAAAGCAGCTCTTCAGACTTTGTTTTGTTTAGAGGGGCATCATAATGTTTAAAATAAGAGCACATCCCCCTCATACATAAGGAATAAAGGCAAAAAAAATGCCCAAAAATGATTGTAGGTGGTTTTATGATGAGATTTTCATGCTCTTGACTGACATCGCTCAAACTTTTCTAATGAGCACTCTACAAATCTGTAATAAGCCTTTTTGTCCACTAGGTGGCAGCATATTTTTACAATCATGAAACTTTGCCAGCATGCGAATATACTGTATGTTTCACTTAACACTTATCTAATAGCACTGCCAACGCACTGAGGAGTGTTTTAAAACTGCAATATTATACATTAAAGGGCCGTTTGATCATACAATGTGAACTGTCTTTGGTTTTGTGAAAGGTCATTTTGCAACTGGGAGAAGTGACTAAAAAAAAAAAGCACCTGTCCAGCTTCCACCTGTAGTATTATGGGTCTTTGATGTAGAAAGACCACATGCCTTTGTTTGTTCACCATGAAGTGTGGGAAGAGTGTTAGAAGAGCTGAATGATCCTCAAATTGCAGTAGGACCTCAGAAAAAGGTATTAATCGGCAAGCAGCCTGCTTATATAGTCACAAAAATCTGTGTAAATCAATGTGACAAAAACACGAGGAGATAAAACTGACAGATATTAGGTTTGGCTTCTCTGTCATTGCTTCAAAAACAGACCAGATATGCTGAATACATCATCAAACATAACAAAACAAAGATGGCACAACAGAGCTCCCAGTGCATGTATCCAATTAGTATAAGACTGCTGTGTGAGAGACTGGCTGAAAGAAGAAAATATCATAGCATGCCTGCTTCTTGTCAGCTGTGACACACAATCAAAGGAAGAATAAGTGTCTTTATAAGACGCTGCTACATTAAATTATATGACATTACACTATGTTTGAGCAGGGAAAAAAATGAAGATGGGAATTATCCACAGCCGACAGAATGAGCCTCAATTTGAGCATAAAAGAAGAGGAGGAGGATGGTAACAATTTCATTTTCTCTGAACTTTTACACCTATAATTCTTCTTTCCTCATCATTTCAATTCCTCAAGCTGTTTTAAGAGCTGAGGGGGCAAATTTGTATCTCTGACTTCCTTTTCAGCCGCCACACCAAAGGGTGTGGGCTGGATCAGAGCTGTGCTTTGTCTGCCATACATTCACACACTTTAGGTAAAGAGAGAAAAATTGCCCGCTGTAGAGCCACTTTAGTTACTTGACCCGGCCTGTGTGCGCAGTGAATGAGTTTGGCAGCAGCTGGGCTCCCATTGATAAAAAAATGGAGAGGAAGAGAGGGGGGCTTGTGTGTGTGTGTGTGTGTGTGTGTGTGTGTGTGTGTGTGTGTGTGTGTGTGTGTGTGTGTGTGTGTGTGTGTGTGTCCCTTTCTGATCTGACTGATAGTTCCTGTATTTGTGCATAGATGAGGTGGAGGAGTAAGAGCTAAAAATGAAAAGGAGGCAGGAACAGATTGTACTTGTCACACTCGTTGAGTCATTTAATGCAAATGAACGCTGTGGTCTCTATCCTTCTCTGGCTCCTGCGATCTGACTTTTAATGTTGATGCAGGAGAAGAAAAACAGAGATCTTACAGAGCCTGCAGCCACACTCTGCCCGACAACACACATGAGCTGACATTATTAACCTAACTGTAATTTAATAAGCCTGAGAAACAAGGAAATACGAGTATTATACCGTTTTTCGTTTTTTGCATAAGCTGGGAAGAGTCCTTTAAATGAAGATTGTGTTTTGTTTTAGGGCTTGACCTGTAAAATCATGTATAAAATCAACGTCATGAGTTTAATGTGTCCCCACACAGCCTCCTCTTCCTAGATTATTTTGACCTCAATATGTATTTCTTCTTCTTCTATTGATTTAATAACATTTTAATGTCTTCCAGGATTATGAGTCATTGTAAGAAAATCTTTAAAAGAAAAAGAAAAAACTCTCATCTATTAGCCAACAGGCCAAAAATCTGTTTGAACACAACGCAAAACAGCCAAATAGTTGCATTGAGACAGAGAAGGGACAAACACAAGCAAAGAGGACCCTGTCACTTTGATTGTCACTCAGCTATGCACCCATAGGGGGCGCTCTGGCTTTAACTTTGAGTGCTGGTGGCCCCATTATTACAATTTAATGGTTTATGTGAGTGAAGAGGCAATGTTCTTCTCCCTCTCCCTCCCTCCCAGCAGAAAGCTGTGTGCTGCTCTTATCTGGCCAGACCTGCTGCAGGAGCCAACCTGCAGTGCATTAAACAAGCCACCACCACTGACACACACACACACACACACACACACACACACACACACACGCACGCACACACACACACACACACACACACACACACACACACACACACACACACACACACACACACACACACTGAGTTGCATGTGTAGATGTGTGTGTGTATGTGGGACTGGCTTTGGAAATGAACAGAATAATGAGAGAGGAGCGACAGTCGGAGACAGTTAAGGGAAGGAGAGTTCATCAC